CCGTTCCTTGCAGCCAAGCGGCCAAACCATGACCAGGACTAGCAGCTTCACCGATTTCGCACGAGGCGCGAGAACCTGGAGCAGCTGAGATCCGCCGACGCGTGGTGCATCTTGCGTCGTATCTTCCGTACCACGACGAATCACGGCCACATGCCCTCAGTGCAGTCCTGCTGCTCTTGCATGCGCGTTGCTCAGCATGCCTGGCGGGGACCCGGCTTCTGATCCGTCCTCGCCAAGGCTAAAAACCTTCAACTGGCCCACCTGGACGAGATTAACGCCGTTGGGCATAGGACGCCTTCACAGCCTGGACTTCGGCCGACGCGCTAGCAAAGGGAATTTTTGTTGGCCAGCATCAGATCAGCCTTGTCAACCCAAGGTCGCTTCGTCGCAGCCGCAACACGCGGCAGGGAAGGGGAAGGAAGGGAAGCAGACACTAGCAGCATCTCCTCACTGCAAACTACACGGCCGGGTAAATTGCTAGTCAAAGGCGATCGTGATCGACTTTCATGGGCAGCCATGCTATTGCATACAGAAGAATAGCCGGCGACTTGCTTTGGGTTCCATTGGCCGATGCACTCGAGATTGCGGCCAGGATGAAGCGGCTATCAATCATCTGCTCTCCATCTATTGTTTCATTTTGATTTGCTTGAAATACGATGGCTCATCTGCCCTTGCGGTGGAAAATCTCTTCGTCTCACCACCTTCGGTTGTGTCCCGATATGCTTCGAGTTCGGAATCACGGTGCGCCGACTTTGCTGTGTCTCAGCTCGCTTTCTCGTATCATCCATCTTCGCCACCGCAGCACGAGCTTGCAGCAAGATCTCGGATGCCACTAGCACAGAAATTAGCTCGCTTCGAAAATCTCGCTGCCGTTGCAACTAGTAGCGGTTATCAACTGCTGGGACTCTTGAGCCGGCCGTGGCCGGCCGTACTTTTTTTTTTTAATGGAATCGCAACTTCAGCCACTTCTAGCAGGACGACCTACATATTCGACTAGACTAGTTGAGCGGCGTTAGAACAAGCGCAACGCTTCGACCAGGGGCTGGCCCTGTAAGGGAGCTGCCGAGGGGCCATTACGGAGTACGGAGTACCATGCTAGAACTCCCGCCTTAAAGATCCACTTGTGTTACACACCATCATATACACAATGCACACACCTATGGCGAGGACGAGGACGGAGCACATGCTGCCTTGGACGCAGCATAACCATGTCGTACGCAGCAATTGTCCAGTACGGGGAGCCGGCATATATGTACTATTGCTCGCATATAACCTTCATAGTGCGATCTGTCATGAGGCCAGCTTCGATTACAAGGAAGAGAAGATGGGGGCGTGAGATCCCTATTCAGCCAGACAAGCATCGTCATTGGAAATTTGGCGTGCATCTTCTCACCAGACTTTTTCGCTCATTAAACGACACGCAATACAGCCTAATAGAGAATAACCCATCGAGGTTGGCATACTGGTATGGTTTCACAAACTAATACCATTTGTTCATCAACTATGTTTCTAATCTAATTTTCTACAGACTCACCGGAGATATAAAGCCTTCCATCACGCGAATTGAAAAGATGAGCTTGTGCGGGTGTCTTCCCACTTGGCACCGCACTCAAATCCTTCGGGTCTACTCCGTACCTACTGTACCTCGTATGTCGTATGGAACTACCCCATAGGCGTCACTGGCACCAGCACAGTAGCCCTCGCAATTACTCCGTGCTTGGCCCTTGCTTCACCCTTGCTTGACACAGCGCTAATAGTGCTAACGGCTTCGATTCAAATCTCGCCGAGACAAGTTTCTTCCAGCGCTAATGCTACCGCCTGCTATCCTCCTGAGAGTATCTTACTGAGCCGGGATGGTTTACGACGCAGATATTGGCATCATATAGCAGAGCTTCGCTGGTTGTGAGTTGGGAGGCATGTATTTCTGCCCACTTACTAACTTGTTAGACTGCAGAGCAAAATGAATTTTTTTTTCGGGGGAGTGGAGAGGAGTGGAGGAGCCAAAGCTGTCGGCTGGATGAAACGTTGTCGGTCTGAATGAGCTGGATCGCTGTCTCCTCCACAAACGTGGATCAGGTACAGAAGCGATGACTTGTGAGGGGACTACAACCACGCCGCCCATTCCCGCGGATACGGAGAGCTACTACCTAGGCACCGCTGGTCTTGGAATACCCCGTTTTTTGAGGGCTTAGATGAACTTCGCCGATAGAGATTCCCCGTCAAAGTTCCAAGCCTGGCCGGTGGTTCTGTTGTGATTTCCTGACGATTCTGTGGGCTATTGACCTCAGGAATCCGCGTTGGCGAGAAACACACATTTCGTCATGGGCTACGACTACTACATATGGAAATACGCACGTATTGCCTATTACGACGCGTTGCCTCTTGCATAAGACTTCTCTATCAAGTGTGTAGTACTACTGTACTAGGCCTACCTGCTACCTAATAGGGTATGTCTCAGGGTGTCCACTGATGCATCTACCACCACCGCCGTACATGCTACAAGTACTACTTGGCCCAGTCGCCTGCTTACTCGTTTTGGGAGGCGTCTGAGTCGCTTAGTCTTGCTTTCTCGGGATCGGTTGACGGCCGCAGATTGATCTCACGGAGCTAATTGATTGCCTTTGGCCTCTTTTGCTTCTGGTCATCTCCCTAACGCAGGAAACGTGGGGATTGTTACGAGCAACGGTGCAGTTGGGGACGGGTAGCTACTAGTAGCACCGTGGAACTGAGTCTTTGAACTAAACAACACCTTGTCGGACAATTTCAATCTGCAAGATTCGTCTCAACTTGCTCCGTCATACCTACTACTTTACAGCATTATTACTACTTTGAGTGCACTTCTGCTAGCTTCTCATCCTCGCCCCGCTTACTTTGTGCAACAGGTAGGTAGTACTGCCGGTGGCATCATGAATCGCTCGCATATATGCTGGCGCACATCAGGGACACGGAGCAGCCCGTATTGCACCTCTTCTCCCAGCCCTGCAGAAGACGTATCTGCAGCCAGTATCGTATCCATCCAAGAGCAAGATTGAGCTGAAACAATTGGAGACCGGCAGATGGATGGACTAGGAGTCCTACTCTACTCTCTGCCTTTCCTTTCCTTTTCCTTTTTCCATCTCCTTGGCGCCAGACAAGGTTCGTACTTGTTTCTCTCTCTTTTCTTTTTCCCTTTCTCTTCCATTCCCCCGTCTCGGCCCCTCTAGCTGCTTTTCCTGGTATTAGTGCAGCTAATAATTGGTTCGCCAGCCTCACCCTTGCCAAATGTACTACTGCCAACTTAGTACGTCGCCTGTATTATCCTACTCCGTACTGTGCCCTATGATGCTACCACAGAGGTGCATGTGATAGGTGAGCCATCATTCGAAGCTGTTTCACCCTACCGTTCTCGAAGCCTTCTTTGTTCCTCCTGTTTTCTTCCCGCTGTTCTGAGACAGTGCTACTTACTGACCCTCACCAAAACGACGCACACCACAATTCAAGCTTCCCTAGACTTTGTAAAAAATGACAGACGTCGCTTTTAGCGGCAAACCCTATGTGACCTAAATTCGTGAGCACCGCAAACAAGTTGCCAGAGGTAGGTGTAAGCAGCCAGTATCAGCAAGTATACATACACATACATACTTGTACTTTTTTCTGATGGAGTCTTGGTTAATAAGAGGCCCCTCTCGCATTCTCCAAGCCGAGGCCGCCGGCACTCTTATATACACGCCCAAACAAAAATGTACCACCCTCCGGGATGGCCGCTCGGCTGCTTCCCTTTTGCTTTTGATATGATACCACACAAAAATGTTACGCATGAAGAAAAAATTGCTGCCTGGCAAAATGCAACTGCTGCTGCGGAATCGCCTCTAATCTCCATTCTTTTTTTCCTATTCGCCAATACCCGATGCTGATTGACATGACAAATCCTGGCAGATGCTCTCAGTGGTCGCCAAACGATGTTCAAGTGGGAAGCAACGTCTCCACATTGGTGGTAAGATGACGATTTAAACAATCAAATAACTATTTTTTTTTTCCCCTAGCAGCTGGCTCCGTTTCTTTGCAGTCTTGTAAAGTCGCGCTGACCTGTCAGCCAAATCATAGGCTTTTTACCTTCTACGGTTGACGGCTTCGCCGCTCGGCACATGCCACGCAGCCCTTTCAGGCTGAGCCCAACGGGAACTGCACCGTTTTGATTCCTCGTGTGGATCCATACTTATATGTACATACTTGTACGCTGCTGGTCTCTCTGACTACTGCCTGTACTCGTAGCTCTCTAACATGGTTGGTGTCGACTGAGGGGTGTCAAGTTTACGGCTCCTCTTGCTAATCAACTCAATATCGCCTCCCCTCCCCACCCCCAAAAGGGCTGTGTGCGACTTCGCATCACCCTTGCTTCCTCCTCCTTGCCGACAGGCACTGTAGCCCTATGGAAGACCCCGGGGCATGGCACTGGGTAGGCAGGGTGTCACAACAGGCGGCTATTAGTAGCTATTACTACTAGGTACTGGGGCAACCTCCCGCTCTGTGTCCTTTAATCCATCCTCTTTGTGCCTCCATCATCGGTGCTTGCCAAAGCCACCCATATCTCGGTCTGCTGTCTTCCGAGACGGAAGAGCAAAAAGAGATTCACAGATTGCCAGATCGGGCCGGGCCAAGAGCTGGTATGGGATCCTCCCTGGCTCTAGCTCTCATTCACCATCAGCTGTCTTAGGTCAGCTATACACTTTGCCACCAGAATTTCAGCGTGCTGTTTTGGATCACGGATTAGAGGTCAATATCCCAGCTCTGGGGCTCGCTAACAGGAGAGTATTGGCAAGCCAACGCCACCTACTCAGCTCTACCATCTGCTGTGGATGACTCTTGCTTTCTTGTCGTACCTTTCCAGCTCAATCGAATCGAAGGTCTCCACGATCCCGCTTCTCTCAAAGACCCCTCCGTGCTACCAGCCCCCCTCAGAGTCATCGACGTCGTCACGATCTCATCAATGTCATATCCAGGCCCCGTCACAACAGGAGTAGATGCAACCTGCGATGCCACCACCAAGGTCTCCCTCCAGAAATTTTAGGGGGCCCCAAGATCCCACAATGGCATCTACCATCCGAGGAAATGCTACCCATGTCTTGAAGCGATCTTTCTCGACACCTTCAGTGGGTGGTGTAGCATCAACATCGTTCTTAGAGTCTCAACCACTAGCGCCGCAGATGAATGAAAAGAAGAGAAACAAGCTAGGCTACCATAGAACATCGATTGCCTGTGGTGAGTCTTGTCTGCCCCCTTTTCCCGACTCGACACGAACCGAGAGGCCTGGGCCGGTCCTCCCGGACACCCCCCAAGGAGTCTAACACACGCTAGGTCATTGTCGCCGACGCAAAATACGCTGCATTATATCCTCCGAGGACCAGAATCGATGTGTAAACTGTATACGGCTCAAGAAAGAGTGCAGCTTTCACCCGGTAGACCAGCAGCAACCATATGATCAGAAACTGCCGCCTCAAACGCCCACTGGATCCAGCATCGCGACGGCCTCCTCATCGCCGGCAATATCTCGTGGCAGTTCCGTTGACCAAGGATCACAACGACAGAATTATCCTGCCATACCTGTTGCGCAGGTGCCGAACATTGGAGCCTCAACACCTCAAAGCGAATACTTTCCGCCGACCTTGGAAGGTGGGTAACTAAGACTTGTCTGTAGGATTTCTGTATGTTTGGCGATGTTAACTGTTGGTTTAATCAAGGTTCAGCGAACTCCATGCAATCCGGATCATCGTATGGTGTAGGCGAGCAGCCCTCAAGAAGCTGGGTGTCTACAGACACAGATCCAAGCGCAATGTCGAAACCTCGCGGTCAAAATATGTGGCAACAGTCATATCAAGGAGACGTTTCAATGAGCTTAGGTGGCCAGATTTCTCCATACACAGATCCGAATACCGTGTCTGCCGCCTGGGCAAATTCGAATTTTGGACATGGAAATGAAATGGGGTGGAATAGCGGCATGCCACCACCTCCTCGATCGATGTCCTTTAGCGGAGAAGTTCTAGGTAGCCATCATACACCTCAGTACTATCCAACACCACATCATAATCCGGTTTACGAAAGGCAGACCCAGCATTTTCCTCACATCTACGGCGCGGTGCCTGTTAACGAAACGGACGAGAATATTGAACAAGCCATCGATCCAGCAATAATGGGCGCTGCTGTGCCCTCGACAGCGCCTGTACCTTGGCAGCAGCAGCAGCAACAACAACAACACCAGCCGCAGCCGCAGCAGCATCAGCAGACGCAGCAACATCAACATCAACACCAGCACCAACAAGTACAAGACACACAGGTAGGAGGTGCTTACCGTGGGTGGACAGGGTATGGTGAGAATGATGGGGCAGGTCGCATGTAGGAGACTGCCTTTCTCCTATATTTACTGAATTTGGCCGTAGTCTGTTACAGCAAGGAGCTGAAAGGACTCGATAACTGCCGACAAGACGTCATTCGTTGCTGAAAATCAAAGTATTCAAATTACGATAAGCCTGAAAAGTAAATCGAGCACGGATATTCGTCTGTCCTAGCTATATTGGGCGGTGTATTGAACCCTCACCAGCCTCCAGTTTGCCAACCTTGGTATTTCTGCTTTACCTCAGCTGCCAAAAGGGTTTCATTAGGTCAAATGCAGAAAGGCGTCTGTCTATCACAAGATAAAGAAATCCAGCGATGCCGATTACTAGTGGACGACCACTTGACCGGACCCTCCCTCTTCGCCGATGTCTCTGATACGAAACGACCTCCGATTCCAAACTTCCCAGCAGCCGCGGAAACAATGAAGAAGTTGGGGTATAGACTTCTTTGGGTGCCTATGTAATGGTTGCTGTTTGCGTTCAATTTCCACAGTGCTGGGAGAGGTGGACTCGTGCTGAGAACGCTGAGGCATGGCGACGTAAACTGCGACCGAGATGTCTCAAGGTGTCTCGAATATTATCGAATAAACGAATATTCACCTGCTGGTGAATTGCGACCATACCCTCGCCGACACCATTTTACCGACAGACAACCGCTTCGGACAATGATTAATCTGATATGGCTGGTCTATCACAATATGAGGGATGGCAGCAAAGGGCTACCTACCTAGGAGGATATAGTTGTACTAGACCCGGCAGTACAAAATATGTGGACTAAGATTTCAACCTCATGTCATTCGAGTTTCTTTATGGGTTTTGCTCTTAATGCATTTCAACATTCAACCTTGGGGCGAGGACAGGGCACGATTATACCATGGAAATGGAGGCGGATCTGGCGACTGTATATAGCGGCAGGAAACAAGGGATGATCGTTACGGCCGAAATACCTGTTTTTTTCTTTTCTTTTTCTCTTTTTAGAACAGGAGGGGGTATTCATCAAGTAAGTGAGCTATGGTCACTTATGGCGGAATAAGCGGATTAGAGTCAGCTTTTCTTTGTTTCAATTCCCCTTTGTTGTATTGGTTTCACTTTTATACTGGACTCTATGTTCGAAATTGGGGTGGTTTTAAAAAAGAAAGGTTTCAAGAGGCTTTTTTGTATTGAGCGGGTCCATTTGCTGGAATCAGCAGCTTCCTTTTCGTGGTTACAGGTTTCTCTTTTCTTTTTATTTTCCTTATAAATTGCAAGGCATTCAATGAAGCATATTTGAGAGAAAAGGAGGGCTCTAATTTTTTTTTTTTTTTTTTTTTTTCCCTTTTTTCTTTTGGAACATGGCCACAACAAATAATACTTGCAAGTTTCATGTTTTTTTCTAGGGAACATTTTTTTCCCATACATATTTTCTATATATTTGTTCTTCTTTCCATTGGACTGATTTAGAGCTAGTTGTTGATAGTAGGACTTTTGGGTCTTTTACATGTGGGATTTTCTTGATTTTATTATTTATCCAGTTTTTTGAGGTGTAAATGACACAAGACGTGGAATGGTGCTTCTTGAGAAAGGGGAATATTTAGAAAGGGAAAGGATATTGGAAGAGATGTATGGATACAGCAGGGCGATTATTTGTGTTGTGGGTGATTTAGAGGGTTGGGTGATTGCGTGACACTGGAATAGTTGCTCGTGCGACTTTTAGATGTATTACTACCATTCGTGTCTAATTATGCTGCAAAAAATATATTATCTTGTAAGTGATGTATGGGAACGTGAATCACGTTTGTTTAATCGCTGATAGTGGCTGACGCCTTGATGTATCGTAAACATTTCCCTTTCATGATCTCAGGTTTTGTTGGGCCCTAGAAAGGCAGGAGATGTTGAGTTCTCGGAGAAGAGATAGAAAAGCACAACCCCCCCCCCCCCCCCCCCCCCCCCCTTTAGTTAGTTAGTTAGTGGAATCGAGCCTTTTGATTCCACCTCGACGTACTCTACGTCTCATCTCGTAGGTTACGTCCCAGGATCTGGCTCCCTCCTTTGTCATACGACAAGTTTCATGATTTATATTGGATCCAGGATAATCTGAGCGTCTCACATATACAGCGAATCTGGTCTTGATGAAACTTTCCTTGACCAAGCTAGCTGGACCTTTTTTGTTCCTAGACATGCTGATTTAATCCAGACATTGACTGCGGGAGTTGGGTGTAGCCTTCTATTGCGCCGAACCTTTGCGGGTCATGTTGAGCCTATAATAACTGTATTTGCAAATAAAGTGTCTGTGGTTTTGCAAGCATCTTTGGAAGATGAGAAGGCTTTAATGTGCTGAGATGGAAGTTTAATCAATGGAGTCATAGTTTGAGTTGCTATGCGCCTTGCTTGAGATCAACTCTGTATGTTACGGGTGGACCATTGATTTACATCACCATGCACGGAATCATGAAAAATGAGTTTTTCAAGTAAGCTTCAAGACTAAAATTAAACTAGACAATCCGAGGGTATCATCTGTGGCCTTTGGTCCAAAAAGAAGCCTTGTTAAAACGCAACTCTATCAACACGCCCCCCTATATGATCACCCATTTGTCCACTAAGATGAACCCAGCTAATACAATTTAACGCCAGATGCAATGCAAATACCTAAAGTATGCTACCAATCTAGTATTGGAAGTAACTTGGAGGAGATTCCGGAGATGTGCGAGTGATAAACCTAGTGAGAAGAAGTGACTAGTGACAAAACAGAAAAGAAAATTGCGTCTGTGTGACTCCGAACAAGCCCTGGATGAGAATCATCCAACGATCTAAATATAGCAAAACAACGCTAGAAATGTTAGGAAGTGTAAGATAAAGACGATACGTGAATTGTGGCATTCAACCGAAATTCAAATCAACTCTTGCGGGCGGGGGATATCATAGCCATGCCAGTAAGCAATGGGCGGTAAGCAGATTTTAACCGAGTCCTTTTTTTCACCAAACGACCCAGTAAAGTAAAGTTAGATGTCATAATGATAGCTCATGCATCTTTAAGTTCCCACGTCAATGCCAAAAGCGTGGCATAGGCGCAAAGACTCAGCACGGTCAACAGGACCACAGTGTCGCCGCTGGTCCGGAATTTCCGGTGAAAGATGCCATCTGCCGACTCGGCGACGAAGAACTGGCGGTTGCCCTGGTAGCGGCGGTAGACGGAGACGAGCAGGATGGCGGTGCCAAAGGCGGCGAAGAGGGCGCCGATGGGGTAGAACTCCTCGGTGAAGACTTTGAGAATGACGAGGGAGAAGGAGAAGAGGCCGAGGGCGGTTCGCATGTAGGCACCCTCAAAGGTTCGTTGGGCGGCGCGGATTTCGACGAGTCTGTGAAAAGGGGGGAGGAGTCTCAGTGAGCAATGGGATTTAGGCTTTGAGAATCCTTCAAAGAAGAAGCAATGTAGATGTAGATTGGCGTCATCCTTGTCACATCAGGGCGACGAGGCGGGTGATACGAAGATGTGAAATATGGCGTGCAAAGTTAACGTGTGGAACCACTCACTCGTCAGAAGTTAGCACCACAGACCGGGCTCTATGGAGCCGCAGATGCATGTTTTCTTCTGGATGCGGCTGAAGGCGCGGTTAGCTCAACTTATTGTGGTGTAAGACGAGGCGAAACGTCTCGAGGGGGGGGGGGCTATATCTGTGTCTTTACGAACCCGAAACATGATGGGCGAGCACGCAGAATAGATGTTGCGTCTGCAGATATCACTGCGCTTGATTTCTTGTGGAGATGAGTTTACACTCCGTTGGAAGTTTGATTTGCTTAGAATTGTATAAAAGCAAAGTGGTCAAGGTCAAGCAGACATGAGGGGCGACGGCGATGGAATCACTTGATCTTGAAATCGCGGGCTGGTGGTTGAAGCATCACGTGGCTGAATGACGTGGGGTGGCTGATTTCCAGCAGCATTTTGCCATGTGCACATCAACTACTGTACTCAATGTTCTGTCTTTTACTATACAAAAAGCAGAGTTTTCAATTTCATACGGTTCATTTCGTAAAAAAAAAAAAAAAACGAGGCGAGTTGATCCTGCTACACTTGCAGCGTCAGAATCCCACAGACGAGACGATGCAGGAGACACAGCGCCAGCGCCAACCCAACAGCAGGCCGCCGGTGCCGCCTGCGCGCGCCTTTTGGACCGGCGGTTATCGATCAGGCGGCGCGCTTATCTCTCGGAGGCAGATTGGGCTGTGAGGAATAAGTAAGGCGAGATTCACGGAAATCCGGTGTCCGAATCAAGCAGACCGAGCGGTGGGTGGCGCTGCAGTAGCGGAAACTGGACGAGACGGGTCGAGGGCTGAGGGCTGGAAGAGGCCGCTCGCTTTGAGAGGCAGCCAGCATCCCAGTCTCGGATCTCGCTCTTTTTGCTTCCGGAGCTTCATTCCCTTGAGAAATTGTAAGGCGTCTCGTTGATGCTTGGGGTCCGAGTCTGAGTCTGAGTCTGCCTGAGTATGGGGCTGTTATTCACAGTGGGCTTATACACCTAACCTGCCACAAAAGGCCGACGTGTGGCTGCACGCAGGATTCCCATGCAGGCTTCGGAAGAGAGGCCTGTGTGCGCGTGGCTTGCGAGCAGGCAAGTAAGACAGATGAAGCTTCTGTGGAATGTTCCAGGATACAATTCTCGGATGGTCGATGCTACTATGATGCATGATCTCACCTAGGATAGAAGCTACTACTCGCGGGCACTATATTGGAGTGAGGCGGTGCTGGCCATCGCATAGTCGAGAGACTAGAGCGTCCAGTCTTTCAGCCGCATGGTGGGACGCACGGGATGTGGCAGTGCCATGTTTGCTGCTCCCCCTAAGCATCAATTTGTGGCTCTTGTATATTGCAATAATACACTTTGCCAAAGAATGGAGCACGCATCCAAGTCTTCTTGAGAATGGGACTTCTGGAACCTGCCCTTGGGGGAAGAGTTGCCAAGACTCACTTCATTCTCATGGCCGGAATCTTTGCTTAATCTCCGCGATGAGCACCGCGTGCACAAATCAAAGGTCTGGCCATGGCCATGGCAGCAATAGGGTGCTGACAACAACGAGCCGAGTCAGCCGGGAAATTAATCGCTGCCGCCGCTGCTCTGCTACTTGCTGTGATTAAATGCCGATGGTAGCGATAGCTGCCTATACTACCTGAGCCGTGGCTAGTGTAATCAATCAACAACAGCTCGGCGCATGTCAGAATATGGAGTGCCTCCTCTGCAGCAACGGCATACATGTTTGGGCCACGTCTACGGAGCATGTTGCTGCTAGATCCTGCCGGCAGGCATGTGGGTTGCATCAATGTCAAGCCGCTGAGAGTCTGCGAAACACTTGATACACATGGCGTCTTACCAGTACGTATATAGTATTCCGTACCACCTCATGCATTGCTGATCCAGTATGGCATGGTCTTGATCCTTCGGAAAGCTGCTGCTACGTACCACACACGCGAGGTACGAGTCGAGCACCCAAAGAACAAGCTTTCCTCAAGCTCCTTGGTCACGCACGAGCTCGAATGTGGAGTACCGCATAAAGTAATGCTGCTGCTAGGTATCTCTCTTGTCTTCTCGCCTATGCTGTGCCACAGGTTGGACAACCTTATTTCATGGTGCTGATGTCATGGCGGTGCCTGTCTCATGTTTATCGCGATGTGCTGCGGCTCGCTCCCCAAGCTGCCCCTGTGTGCCCCAGCTGGACACATCCAGAGCAATAGATTGTTCGATAACGCTAGTCCTGAGAGCAAGGCGGTGCTCCATCTCGTCTCGGTTCGCAGCCACACGACGAGAACGCCTCGGGGGCTGGGACCACCTGACTTGGACTTTGTGCTGGATAGCCTCGCAGGGCCATCGGAGCGCACTATGGCCCAATGTGGTGCCTTTAGAGACTGGTCCAACGTATTTGGAGACTGCGCGGCGCCTCGTGCCCACCCTCGTGCATGGGCTGGGCGTGTAGTCTTGTCAGGGGTCAGGCGGCTCTAGATGGCCGGATACCTGGCCAGGCGCGGTGTTGTCTCGTATGGTTCTCGTACTGCACTATCGTGTCTAGCTCAGTGTCCATAAGGCTTTTCAACGGCATGTTTTTCCACTTGACATCGGAGGGGCAGCCCCACCGGCGAAGCAGACAGAGCCTTTTCTTTCTAGTGTTGCTGCTGTCCAGTTAGGCTTTTTTGATCGGTGGAGGCTATGGAGACAAGAGACTGCAGCAAGTGACACGCTACGTGAGTTTGACAGACCTGACACAATCGACAATAGAGAAGGAGGGCAGTACTTTGCGCGGAGAAACAACGAGACGAGTAGCATTTCCTGTTGCGAACCGTCCGGGGCGAAGGTTGAGAAGCGTTGCTGTGTCTAGACTGGAAAGAGTCTAACCTCAACTCCAACCCCGGAGGCCATGATCCAGTACTTGCAGCGTAGCAGCACCACTGGCAACCTTGTACCGGCAAGGTGCAAGCACTCGCACATCGCTTGGAGTTTCGTGGTCCCGGCCAACCGCGCGTCTCTTTGAGCCCTGGGTTAGCACGTAGGCATGAACTCGTACGGCATAGGTGCCCGCGGAGTGGAATCCCGGTTGCATGCTGCCCGCCCTCTATCGTCATCGTCCATTGCCATAATACACCGTTGCCCTGATGTGGATGTATGTTGTAGGGCAATGTACTGTGTACTTGCGAATGGTTGATCTGGGTGTGATTTCGATTGTCCTTGTTGGAGAGGGGAGTTGAGTTGGCTGGTGTCTGCTACAGATTCAACCCACGGATGTCTATTTTAGGGCAGTTGAGCTTCCCAGCTTGAGGGCTCAAGGCTCAACTAGCAGCACCCAAAGCGCTGCAGCTGGAGTGCTAGAGCACCATTAGCAGCCCTGGACAGCTGTGCTCTGTGTGCTAACAGCGGGCACCTACCTAGGTAGGTACCTATAAACAGCAACAGCAGATAGCTTTTAGCCCCTCAATCCCTTCTCACGTGGGACTCTCTCTTCATCTCGTCTCCCTCATCCCGTCTCATCTCGCCCAGCATCTCCTTGATCCATTGCAATCACCTCTTCCTCACCGAACATTACAATATTACCGGTACCGGCTACTTGCCACTTCCTCTTGCCGTCGCATTTAGATCTCGGGGCCCCTGTGCAAGCTGCTAGGCGTCTCCTCCCGCATTTTCGCCCCCCCACCACACCACCACCGCAATCACTATCACCACCAACCCACTTGCCCACACACCCCAACTCGCAGCTCATTGGGGCCCTGGGCCAGGCCAGCTCGAAGCCCGAAAGCCCAGCGACAACGGTTGCACCACTATGACGCTTTTGACACCACCAGCTGGTACATGGGACATTGTTGTCTCGGGCGGTACACGTATTCCGCCACGGTAGCACATACTTGTACAAGCATCGCTCCCCAAGCCCGGTTCCGACAAGACGCTCAAGAGAGACAGCACGATGGCAGCAAGGGTCGCTCCGCAGGGGGTGCGGTCGACAGCCCAAGCATGGTGGTAAGCGCCTTTAGATCCGCCAGCCGCACCCACACGCTGGCTGCCCATGTCCCATCCCATCATCAGCTCTGGCTCTCCGCCCACTGCCCTTTTTTTCTCGTCCGACACCACTTTTGTCATCTCAATTTCCATCTCTTAGCCAGACGCCGCAGCCTCTCTAGACCGTCTGTTTGCCGGCTGCGCCCCAAAGCTTGACTTCTGGCTCCCGCCCTGCCTAGCAACGCACAGCACAGCAAAACAATCATTAGCCTGCCGCCACCCCGTTGCTCTCCAGGAACATGGTCCCTGGCCAGTGACGTGACGCTGCGCATCTCCAGAGCGCACCAGATTAGGCCTACAGGACCCGGCTGCCTGTCTCGCATCTCTCGATAGAGAGCCACCGCTCTTCTCTTCTCCTGCCATAACCTCCCTCCCTCCTCCTTGCCGCATATACGGAGTACTTATCCTCGGGCATCCCCTTACGCTCGGCCCCAGCTGGATACAATCATGTCTTCCGCATCGGCAGCCGCTCAAGGGTTCTCCGTGCCTCACGACACCGACAGCCCTCTTAGCCTCGATCGCGACTTTGACTTCGACTCTCAACCCCGCGATCTAGTGGCGTCTGGTGCCGGACTACAACAACAGCAGCAGCAGCATCACTACCAGTATCAATATCAGCAGCAGCAGCAGCAGCAACAACAACAGCAACAACAGGAGCGCTCATCAATCGACTCAAACCTACTATCGCCCTTCCTATCTCGAGTCAACAGTGACTCTCTCTCCCCTGCGAACCCCTCAGAGACACCTGCCGGATCCTCGACACTGAGCCTCTACCAATCCAGTGACTACAGCGACTTGGACGACGACCCTTTCTTCGGCGCCAACTTTACCAATCCCGAGGTCGGCACGCCATCCTTTTTGGACGACCACAGCGTATGGGACCTCTCACTAAACAACACCCCAGCAGTTGAGCCTCAACAAGAGCATAATGCCAACGACGATAATTATCATCCTCTAACCCCGGATCAAACTGCCTCCGTCCACACATTATCACCACGAAGCGAGGAGAGAACCGCTCTCACGCGACCAGATCAACACCAGTTACCCAGCTCCATCTCACCGCAGGAGCTTCAGATGCCCTTCAAGCCTAATCCCCTTGTCATCCCAGCACCCCAGTTGACGCCGAGCCAGACGGACAGCACACAGTCTAGTGAGGACGGATTAGCACCTGCTCCCGTCGATATGAGATGTCAGAGTCCTCGCGTCACCATCTCCGTATGGGACAAAGATAGCAGTGGCCCTGTTCATACCGTTGAGCGTTCTCTTGAAGATAGTCCGTCGACGGTACGAGGGGGCCTCGAGTCTGCCGGAGACTTGATTACATCATCCACCAACTATGGCCAAGGCAAACCTGTTGCTAGAGATTCCACGGGTCAATGGCGGCGCGACCCTGCCACTGGCCTTGGTGGTCTGGATCCAAAAAGGCGACCTGGGGAGGCAATCGCGAGCATAAACGAGATTATGAGCCGTCAAGAGATTGAGGAGAAAAATGGCGAGGTCAACAAATGGCTTACCGGTAATCTCAACGAGATTGTTCCTCCAGACACGTCGTCTCCCGAGGATATCAGCTCCGCAGAAGAGCAAAGTCGCAACAGCAATGACAGCATTCCTCTTGGGGACCAAACTGAGAACAAATACATCCCTGGCCAAACTTATTACGCTCCCAACGGTGCTGGTCAGTTGGCCGACGAGGATTACGACATCATCTATGCTAATCGCAATTGGGCCGATGCCCCCATTCTTCCCTCCATCAGAAACAGTGGAGAGAGCCGGCATCAACCTCAGAGCTCACAAGCCGCCATTGAGCGCTTCGAGAGGATGTGCCGTGATAATGACTCCATCATCTCTCGAGCGGCAACCTGGGGTACTCGCCGACGCAGCTTACCCAGCGTGGCCGACGTTGATATCGAGGGCATCACGAGCGGCAATTTCTTGAAGAAGCTCTCCATTAGTCGAAGCGGTGATAGAAGCAACAAACCTGGCAACCTTCTGAAGGAACTTTCAAATCTTGTCCGGCGTCCCAGCGGTTCACATGCGCGTAAGCGCTCCCGTAGCGGACAGCGCGAAGCTCCAAATGAACAGACAGAGCAACCACCAACTCACAATAAACGTGATAGCCTGCCGCACTTGTCTCCCATGTCACGAACACCCAGCTGGGGGAAGAAGCACCAGACTCCCAGTATTAACACCGCTTTAGTGTCCATGGGCCAAAACCTTGGTTCCATCGGCACTACACATTCGCGCGCAGGATCTATTAGTACCATTTCTCCGCCTCCCAAAAGTTCCTTTCCCAGCCTCAGTGTGAAAGGCTCTCTGAGACGGCCGCGAAGCAAGTCAGACTTGCCCAAGCCATCTGCTGCCGCCAATCGCAGCAGCATCGATAATGGTCACTCCAGCCTCGCTGATATGTGGAGGAAATCTGGTGGACCGCCTGTAGCGGCTCTCAGGCAAGCCGCTGCCCCTGTCGAACCAGACGACGACGACGACGACGATGACGATTTTTACGAAGATAACGACATGAAGATGAACCCCAATATCATTGACGACATCGCTCCAAACTTGGCTGGCTTCCAACAACACATTCAGACCCTGAACCAAGCACTGCCCCCTGCGCATAGCTACCTTGTAGATCGCATTGCCCACCAGCAGATTATTAGGTACAAGCAGCTACTTAGCAACAAAGTCAAACACCTTGGTCTTGGGGCCAACTGCCCTTGCGGCTCGCTGTGCTTGGCACTGGGCGGTTCAGCGAACCTGCTGAGTTCACGGGGAGGAGATAATGGCAATGGCAAGGGATTAGACGCCTTACCAACGCACTATGACGACGACGACGACGATGTCACGCCGACTGAAGGCGCCATTAACCAGGAGAGCTTCCCAACCGATATACCTATGCCGCCAACACAGCACTTGCCGGCGGAGTTTGAATGCCAACTGTGTTACCAGAAGAAGAAGTTCCACAAGCCATCTGACTGGACCAAGCATGTGCATGAGGATGTGCAGCCTTTCACATGCACGTGGGATAAATGCCGGGATCCCAAGATCTTTAAGCGCAAGGCCGACTGGGTCCGCCATGAAAACGAGGGCCACCGCCATTTAGAGTGGTGGACATGCGACGTTGAAGATTGCCGGCACACATGCTATCGCCGCGATAATTTCTTACAGCACCTCGTTCGTGAGCACAAGTTCCAGGAACCCAAAGTGAAGACCAAGGCGGCAATGAAAAAGGTTGGTGCAGTCGATCCAACCTGGCAAAAGGTTGAGCAGTGCCACATAGAAACGAACAAACAGCCGCATGAAGAACCGTGCCGGTTTTGCGGCAAGGTATTCCCGACATGGAAGAAGTTGACTGTTCACCTGGCCAAGCATATGGAGCAAATCTCGCTTCCTGTGCTGCGCTTGGTAGCGGCCAAAGCAAAAGAACTGGCAGCGGATACCATCATCAGCCCGGTCCAGGACCCTCCTCCGCGGCACGAAATTCCACTCCTACCAGATCCAAATTCGCCTGCAATGCGATATCCAAACAATGGCCAACAGCAGCAGCTTTCCACAGCGTCGCCAATGCTGCCGCCGCCGCCACAGCAGCAACAGCCGTCGATGCCGTATCCTCCCCAGGCCCAAAACCAATTCATGTATTCTCAGGTGATGAATCCTGGCCAATTCCACTCGTCTTTCTATCCTCAGTTTGACAACATGGGCCAAAATCTACACCAAACTCAGTCCATGGCCGCTAGCCCGCTAGTTCATGGGTTCGACCCCGGCCGGCGGGCTCAGGACCTGCCCGTCACCTCGGCTCCGTATGGGCAGGGGTCGAATCCCTATACCGCCATGGCAATCCAAAATGAGGTGGAGCCATTCCCACCCCTGAACGCATTGGGTTTGCAGAACGTGTCCGTGCAAGTCGCTGCTGCACCCCCTATGAACGCACAGATGTACGACGGCATGATGGACCCTTCGAGCGTCCAAGGCAGTCCATTCAGCGGACACGATGCGCTGTCGACTTACTCACATTCTCCTCACCAGGGAGCCACTATTCATCTAGATACCAAGGGCTGGGACGATGGACAGCAGGCGTCTGGGTTTTATTGAAGCGTTGAATGACCATTTGGCCATTATGCGACGCATTCTCTTTATCTCTTTCCTTTTCTTCTTCCTTTTTTTTCACTTGTTCATGCTCATTTCAGAGCTGGATAAAATTTCAAGGCATGGATTCAAACAACTGTTGGATATTGTTGAGGGCTAGGAATGAGTAGCAGTAGACATTTGAACACGATTCCCCTGCAGTGGCTTGTTTATTTGGGCATTTTTGGTTGCTGCACTTTGGCATGCGAGTTGGACTGCTGCGAGGAGCAGTAGGTATACGATACAGGGCAACTCCTTTCCTTTTTTCCCCTGGTGTTTTTATGCATATTGCATTGTCTTTTAGCTATAGCAATCATTTGGAAAGTGTATCACAGAGGAATAAAGATTTCAATCTCGTCGGTTATGAGCCATTGACCTGGATAAAGAAGCTCTGTGTATCTTCCAACCCGATGGTGCGTGAGGGTAATAGGATACACAGCACTTAACTCCATTCTCCCCCTTTTTTCTCTCCCCCTCACCACACAGCATCTAAGCCGGCCAACAGAACTTTTGTATGAGATATAAAAGGCCGACCACGCATTCCAAAACTTGAGCACTTTTTTGCATTTATACTACTAGTATCTACTATCAAGTACCTGGAGAAGTCTGGAGCGTATTACTATTACAAGTATGAGCCAGCATGGAGTAAAATGGAGCTGCTCTAAATTTGCTGCGTTAAGCGAATTCGTATTAGTGCCAGTCAGGAGAAGATAGCAGTTTACGCGTATGACTTTTGTGCCAATGTATGGATAAACCGGGCTTCTTGTATAACTTGTCCAAAGGCAGGTTACATCGTTTTGTCTTCCTTTTCACTTCTTCTCGTTTTCTCGGCTATTTCTTGATTTGGAAAGAAACAGGAGCTGGGGTGGCTGTGTTTTGTTATGCTTTGTGGCGAAGAAGACTGGGGTTCGTGCGGTGAGGTGCAGCAGTGTAATGCAGTGCAGATCATGGAGTAGAAGTGGAAGTGGAAGTGGAAGTGGAAGAGAGAAGTTTTGGGGGATGAACATGGAGACATTAGACCATCTACGGAGAAGCGATCAAATCAGCACTCGATAGTCTTCTTGATTCTCCTCTTCTCCGAGAGACATTTCATTGGCAGCTGGTCTAATGAGGACATGTGTTGATCATCTATCCAAGATGTCACTAGTCGAGTCAGATAATTTGCCTACCAAGATGGAGATGGGCATGGGAGTGCGCATCTCCTCCATCAAAGGCTGCATCTCCAACTGCCTGCTAGACGATAGGCGGCCTCTCGTCTATTTCTCGCCCACTCTAATTTCTCTCGTTGAAATAAAGAAAAGGTGACCTAAATTAAGACACGAAGAATTGTCTTTTTTTGCTTCATTTTTATTTTTAGTGCAGTGCAGTGCAGTGCTCGTTTACCCCAAAAAGAGCTCATCTCGTTGCTGGCAGGTTTTTGGGCGAGTGCAATTTCGCTGGACGATCCCTGAAATCTTGGGCAGGTAGCTAGCGGTTGCCCCGTCGCCTGGTGCGTGGCTATCTGCAATGGCCATGCCGGGACCCTGATGGGACGATTCAGGGATTGGCGGCCAGTCTTATTGTCGAGAAGAATCGCAGTCCTGGGCGCGCCATGCAATGTCCATCATTCAATGCGTATGTTGGTTGTGGGCTCATTCGCAGCTTGTATTTGTGTATCCGTATATACTACTGGCCCGGTTTGAGCTTCTGGCGGCCAGTTTCAGCGCCGCTGCTCGCCAGCCTCGACCCGCATCTGGCCAATCAGGGCCTTGCGCAGGTACCAATTCCGACCCCCTTCCGCTGGATCTGCCCCTAAGACCGCTGGGAAGGGGCGGCCCATGCAGCGCCCAGGGACGGCGACTTGGGAGGAACCTTGCTCCAGCGCTGCGCCGAGGGGGGCCAGCCGGTACCTCCCTGGTAGCGGCGCTGCAGTGGCTCTGCGAGGCTTGTATTGGAGGTGGGGGAAGGAGGGCCCCCGGCTCTTGCTGGTGCTGCATCCCCTTTCGGCATGTTTCAACCGTGGACGACGAATCGCAGCTTGGGCCTCGCTTTCCTGCGACTTTCTGGGCGGCGTTTGCCTCCTCCTTCTTTTCTTCTCCTTCTCTTCCATAATTCGCCCGTCGTCACTTTTTGCTTGTGTCTTCTTTTTGCTCTCGCTCTTTTTTTCTCCGTTGTAGCAACTACTGCTCGATTTTGAATTCCAGTCATTCATTTTCTGTGTTTTCTTCGCTCCCTCCTCGACGACTCGCTGTTGGGCCTGCTCTTCTGCTATCAGCCACTTTGTGATGCCTTGGGAGACCCTGCTTCACAGAGTGCCATAATAGTGAGCTGAGCCTAATCGAGCTTTGCCAGACGAATTGAGCCTTGCTCAATACTGCCTCCCTTGCTGCGATCCTTATACACATCGCTCTCTCTCATTCCTTTGATGAATGTCCCGCCGTGAAGACAATCGCCGGTGACTGTACCAGACATACTGAATCTATAAAGACGGCGACTGCATTGGCCACTCGTTTCCTTGCGTCGTCACTTCACTTCTTGTCAGGTTGACCCTGGCCATTTTGGATACTCGCCCTGTGGGCGCTTTTTCCTTTCTATTGTCCATACGAGTGTCGCATCTTGCTCTCGACTTGGCAAGCTACTGATTTCAACGAGCGTCTCTTCTCAGCGCATTGTTTATTTTTTTTTGTTATATACCGGGGACATTCGAATTTACTTATCTTCGAATACTTACTTTCTATAACCGATTTAACCATATAGACTATATATATACCGATACGGCGACGATTGGCGAAACGAATCTGATTTGAAAGTTGATACTGGATTGGGCCGATTGCCATACCGAGGAATATACCCAGCGGCTTGCATTTTAGTAGGAAAGATTTACGAAATATGGCTCGAACAACGTCACAATCAAAGACCCGCAGGGCGTTATGCTTGGGAGTGATGTTGATGACGGGAGTCATGGGCGATCAGATCCTGACGACGACTGGTTTTACCGACTGCGGAAGCTTGCCTTCCATCACGATTCAGCAACTCAGCATAACTTACGACAACGACGCCAAGACTGTCACTTTCGACATTGAGGGAGTCAGCACTATTAGCGAGAATGTCACAGCGAGTCTCGACGTCACGGCTTACGGCGTCAACGCATTCACAAACTCCTTCAGCCCTTGTGACCCAGAAACTTTTGTCAACGAGCTGTGCCCGTTGCCTAATGGGCCCTTTTCTGCACGCGGAACTCAGCAGGTCCCGGCTCAATACGCTTCCATGATTCCGGCCATTGCTTTCTCTGTTCCGGATATTTCTGCAAAAGCAGTTATGAAGCTGGATAGACTGGCTGATAAGAGCATGGTGGCCTGTATCTCAGCCGATGTTACCAATGGTAAGACCATGAGCGTGCCAGCAGTTTCCTACGTGGCTGCAGGTATTGCCGGTGTCTCTCTCGTTGCCAGTGGCATGACCGCAGTTGGCTCGGCCATGTCTGGAAGTGCCGCGGGCTCCGGTGTTGGAGTTGCCGGCCTTAGCCCTAGCTTCACAGACGTGGCTGGATGGTTCCAAGGCATGGCCATGAACGGTATGCTCTCTGTCAACTATCCGCCTGTTTACCGCAGCTTCGCAAAGAACTTTGCATTCTCTGTTGGTCTCATTCCATGGAACGGTCTCTTGACCAACATCGACACCTTCCGAGCCAACACTGGCGGTAACCTTACCGAAGACAGTGTCGCGTACCTGAGAAACCTCACCAGAGCCCTTGAAACCGGCAGCGAGACAAACAGCTCGGATGCGAGTGCTCTTGCAAGACTCGTGCGCCGTGATGACGTGGACATGAGTGGCGTCACGGGCCATGTCACTCAGACAATCTCTGGCATCAAGAACTTTGCAGAGTCGTTGAGTGTGCCGAAATCCGACGTTTTCATGACAGCACTTCTCATCGTTGCCATTGTTATTGCCGCAATCGTCACAATCATCTTGCTTGTCAAAGTCGTTCTCGAAGTCTGGTCTCTGTACGGTAAATTCCCAGAGTCTCTCATCGGATTCCGCAAACATTACTGGAGATCCATTGCTCGAACAATTACTTCTCTTATTCTGCTTCTTTATGGAATCTGGGTACTGTACTGTGTCTTCCAATTCACTCTCGGTGACTCTTGGGCGGCCAAGTTGCTGGCTGGTCTTTCTCTTGCAATCTTCACCGGCATTCTCGCCTTCTTTGGCTTCAAAATCTGGATTACAGCACACAGGCTCAAGGCCCAACATGGCGATGCTAGCAAGCTCTATGAGGAAAAGGAAAACTGGCTCAAGTACTCCATGTTTTATGAGGCCTATCAAAAGAGCTACTGGTGGCTTTTCATTCCCATGATTGCTTATACGTTTATCAAGGGCTGCATTGTTGCCGCAGGAGATGGTCATGGTATGGCTCAAACCGTTGTCAGCTTCGTTGTCGAGTTGGCCATGTTGGCCCTCCTGGTTTTCACCCGCCCCTTTGAGCGCCGCTCTACCACCATGATCAACATCTTCATTGCCGTCGTCCGTGTGCTGTCTGTGATTTGCGTCTTTGTCTTTGTCGATGAATTCAATGTTGAGCAGACGACACAGACCGTCATGGGCGCCGTCATGATTGCTATTCAGTCTACGCTGACTGTTGCGCTTGCACTCCTTGTTGGATGGAATGCTATCAATGCTACCATCAAGATGAACCCTCACCGCAAGCGCAGAAAGGATATGGGTAAGTTGCTTTGTGCTCGTATATTATGCTTTATTACTATACCTTTTGTTCTAACAAGTTACCTGCAGAGAAAATGCGCGAAGAAACGGATGATCTGACACCCCTCGATGCCCGTAACACTATGCTCATTCAATCCAAGGCCGACCTCGAAGCATCCATGTACCCTCCTATGCCGACTGAGCACGAAGAGAACTTGCCTCCTTACTCCAAGACGGGAGACCGATACTATGCCCCCAGCATCCCAGAATCGACGTACCATCCGGCACTGTCTTCGGGTACTACGCCAAGCCCCATGTATCGCGATTTGACCGGTTCTCGACAGCAAAGCGAATCAGGCCACGACTTTTCGAGAGACTACTTTGCTGTAGGCGGGGATAACAGTCGACCAAACTCCAGAGGCTCCACCAGAGGTCATAGTTCCGATGGACATGGAGTACAGCCTCACGAGTTTGTAGGGTCCCAAAATTACTCGGGATACCGTTAGATGTACAACTGTGATGGCTCTCGCGAGCCTTTATGAGATTTCAGCCGACCAAGAATTCCTTTGTATCAAAGATCGGCGGCCATGGTGTAGCGAGAGTTGTCTATCTTGGTGGATTGTAGAGAGCCGCGACATCTTTTATGTATTTATAATTCACTCGCTTTATTCCTTCGTTTGTGTCATCATTTTAAAAAGTTGTGGGCTGTTTGTGTATACGTATTCTGCTTTCTATTTGTTTTCCTTTGTGTGTTATAGCTGTGCCTGACAGCAAAAGTCCTAAAATTCGGGATAGAACTGGATATATATGGAGATTTAGCATCAAGTACATGAGACTTGGATTAAATGAATAGACTTTTACTTTTTTGAAATCGTCAACCTTGCCCTAGATGGATTTGGATGATCTAGCGTGGTGGGAGATTACTTACTGCATTATCGTGCTGAGACAGCCATTACCCTAGACTGCAAAATATTTTCGTTTTTTTTTCTTACTTGGCTCTTTATAGTAACTCAATCTTGGCTGACATGGGGAAAGATGTCACAATCAGAAATGTGATATTGATGAGATGAAGCGACTGGATTTGCGCTACCAGACGTAGGTATTCCAAAAAAAAAAAAAAAAAAAAAAACGAAACAGACTGCCCCGTAAGAATCCACAGCCATATATGACCGTGGTATATAAAAGTACTACTAGTGATAAGGGGTAGCAGTAAAGAAGAATTATATAATTGATGATGCATACCGTTTGTACAAAATCACAACCCAAAAAAAGGACCAAATGTCTATCTAGCAGGTAGCTTTAAAAATAAAACAAGGGGGCACAAAGGTATCGTCTTTTCTTTGAAGGAGGAAAAAAAAAAGGTGATTTACTAGGAGGATAAAGCAAGGCATGCATCAACAGCCAGTCCGACCCTGTTGGCACAGTCTCTAGGTTAGCTCAAGATTAAGGTAGTGAGATGGACATGTTCAACATACCTTCCCTCCTTCTGGTAGACCACGTCGCTGATAATGTCCTTATCCAGATCAGGAAACATGCCTGCCAGCGTCTCTACGATATTTGCGTGCTCGGCACGATGCAGCCTCTGCGCCTCGGCAACCTCTGCACTCGCCTGTCTCGCTGCCGCTTCTTCTGCGGGAAGAGGGTATCTTGAGTCTGATCGCCGTCTGTCTTGCAAATCGTTCTGTAAGGGCACGTTTTCAGGGAAGCCCAAGGGACGGCCTATCGGTGGTGGTGGCGGTGGTCGGGGCGCTGACGATGAGGCGCCATCGTCTGAGAACATGCGGCCAATTGTGGTGAGCGGATTCTGGATTGTTCGTAATAGCCCAGTGATGGGCGCAGTAATGTCTGTGTCATTTTGCTCTGTTGAGCGGCGGGGAGCAGACGGCCCTGCGCCATCATATGCAGACTCGGGGGGTCTAGACTTTTCGTTGAAGATCTGCTGCTGCTGTTGGTCCTGGGGTCTTTTTGGAGACATGGCTTGATGCTTCTCTGCAATTGCGGAGACGGCAGCCTCAACATTTTTCTCAAATTCCTCATCGGTTATGGTTAAAGAAGTACGATCCATGTTTTCAATGAACTGAATTGCACCCATCTATACGGAGTCAGCATCTACGCAAGGAAAATGGGAAAAGAAATGATGAATGGATATGTGCTTACGAGAGAAGAGAGGTAGTATCCTGCCTCTCCACCAAGCTTCTCTTGATTTCTGAACCGCAGGATATACTGCACGTTGGACACCAAGTGCTCCGGATTTGACTGAAGCACAACGTAGATGAGCATCGGCATGAACGAATCCGCCGATGAATCCGACTTGCTGTGTTTTAGGAGGCCTATTGAATTAGCAAAGGTGTCGATTGAGGCGCAGGAAAGAGCAATGGACTCACCAAATATCACTTTGCAGCAGTTCAAGACGCAAATGATTTTGTCTCTAGGCGCTCTGTACGATTTGATCTTTAACAGCTCTGAACACAACCTAGTTAGCACGGGATAAAATTGTGTATGGCATTCCATCATTGTGCTGCTAGCACCAAAATCCAAGGAATAAGAGTAACTCACCCTGCTGTGCTAGCTTAAGGAATCGCCTGCCACTCTCCTCGATAGGTGGAATATCCAGATGGTCTTCCTTGACCCAGCCGTAAATGTTGATTTTCTGTGTTAGAATATCGTCTCTCTCGATATCTTCCTGATGCTGGCCTCTCCGGCCAGGGCCCAGTGGCGGATCGCCTCCCCTCCTTCTCGGCTTTGCTCCAGGGATTGGTTTTGGAGGCGGAATCGCCGGGGAGAAGGTCTGGGTGTAAAGTCTATTCATGACGAGCTTTTCCATGCCTTCACGGGCATTGTCAAACTCTGCATCCGAGACGTCTCGCCATACCTCAGACACCACCATCTTGTTGGCAATAAAGGCCAAGAAGTCGCTGATGATTTTGACCTGCTCGTGGACCATCCATTGGCGCTTTCCAAACTCGAAGAGGAACGACTTGAGATATCTTGCCACGGGGTCGGCTTTCTTATTCCGCAGCTGTTCTAAAAATCTGTGGAAGTCAAAGGGAAGAGTTGGTTCGGGCTCGGGCTCTGGGGGCGGCGGTCTGTGCATCGACATGGTGGGCGACGCTGGTGAGGTGACGCTGATGGGCGGTAGCCGTGCGTCTCTCGTTCTCGGAGGCGTACCCATCGAACCGTCTTTGGGGGGCACGGGCGGTCTTTGGTCGTCATCGCCGGGCGTTGAGATGTGCAGGGCATTGAGCTGGCCGGCCAGCCCGGGCGAAAGAGGCTCGAGGCTGGATTTTCGAGGCGGGTGCTGCAGCGAGGAGCCCAGCATGGGCGATGCGATTTCCAGTCTCGGGCTCATGACCTCCTCGGCATCGGGACCGCCCCCGTCCTCGCTAAACTGCTCCATGATGCTCTGAATCTCAGACTGTGAGTCCTCCTGGTCATCCTGGCCGGCGAAGGGCTTGTCGTCCGATTCGGGATTGGACCTGGTGGGAGATGTGTCGTCGTCGGTCCGGGTTGTTACGGAGAGAGCTCGAGAAGGTGGGCGAGAGGCCATGGGCGTGGGCGGCGTCGGGTCGATGTAGCTGGGGCGCTCTGGTGCGAGAAGCAGGCTGGTTGGGTAGTTGGGCCGCATGAGGGACGATGGATCGGCGTCGGCAGGCTTGATGGTCAGGATGGAGGAATCGATGGCGTCGTCGGGCGTCTCGACTGCAGCTGCGGGCTCCTTGTCCTTGGGCGCGGTGGGTATCGTGTGGTGCTCGTGTGCCTCGTCTGCAGGAGCTTTGTCGAGCTCCGCATCTGCATTTGTCGGTCTGCCGCCGGCCTCGTCGCTGGCCATGGCTGCCGTGGGTGCTGGTAGGGATGCTATGGAGGAGGAGTGCTGGGTTGAGAGCAGCTCGTTTGCGTCCGAGTTTGTAGCCGTAGTTGCCGTAGTTGCCGTAGCCGTAGCTGCTGTAGCCGTAGCTGTGGTCGTGTCGGTGGCTGTTGTCGCGATCGCCGCAGGGATTTTCACGCTCGTGGCGTCTGTCCGGATGCTGCTCTCTGCGTCTGCTGCGTCTGCTGCGTGGTCGGCCTCGGCATCAGCATCAAGTGAAGATGTCGCTGCCGTCGCCGTCACAGACCGAGTCCCCGCGTCGTCGACTTTGGTTGGATCCGCATCTGCGTCCGCGTCCGCATCAGGAGCCGCATGGGTCGTCGTCGAGCTGGATTTGCGTGTCGCATCAGGCATCAGCCCCGCCGAGGGGTCTTGGATGCATGTCACCTCGGAGGCATCCGCGCTGCTGCTGGGCTGCTCGGCTCCCGGCGTGCTGGGAACTGCTGGCGGTGGCGACATGCACGTGGATCCAGCTTGAGTGAGAGAAGAAGATGGATAGGGGAAGAAAAGAACGGTAAGCGTGCGAGAGAGGCAGAAGAGCAGGGAGCAGGGAGGATAGATAGGAGAGGTTGTGGGAGAGGGAGTTGGAGAAAGGAGCAAGAGGGACGAGAGCTATGGATGCTATGCTATACCCTGGTAGAGTCGGGTGGCTGTTGGAGTGGGACAGTTGAAGCCGCCACTAACCTGCTGCTGGGGCATCAACCCGAGCCTGAGTAACGTATATAAGAGGAATCAAGTCAAAGCAAGGCAGCGTTTGGTCTTTTTGTCTTTGCATGCCGTTGGTAAATATTGGTGTCGAGGCCAAGTTATGCTCTTCAGTTGCTGCTGAGACTGCGCAGGCCTTTGCGTCACCGCTGTCTCAAATGCGACTCCAGCAGTCTCAAGTTTTAGCGACGCCCTCACTGGCAATTTTGTCGCCAGAGCCACTGCGCCACGTTTTCAGCCCTGTTGCTTCCGGGCTGCTTAATGAGTTGACAGTGCCTAGAATTTAAAGGCCTTGCCTCTGTAACTAGGTACCCTGAATATCCTACTACTAGCAGTTCTAGTACTGTGAGGTGTTATAGCTGCATCCATCACTTGTACCTCTAGATCTAGAAGCGCATTCTGTGGCAGCACTATTTATCCATCTTGCACAAGTTGTCAAAGACAGCTGAATGAGACCGTCTCATAGATTTTGAATTTCGAGCAGGCTAAGCGACGATTCCAGGCATCCAATGAAACTTGGTGGCTACTGGAACGATCCAGCATCGGCATAGACTCATTCGCCGTCGTCATGGCAGAGTCATCAGCCGCAGCTCCGCATCTGGCACTGTATCGACTGATGTATATATCATTCCACGTTTTCAGTAAATACCACCATCTGCAATTGATACCAATCGATACTGCTCTGTAAGTGAAACTCAACAACTACACACTCACTTGATTGAATCTCTTAAACACAGCCATGTCTCATCCTACTGAAATTCCCTACCGCCAAATCCGCGCCTCCTACGACAGCCAACACATCATCGTCTACCAAGCCTACAAAGCTTCCATTGCCGACGCCGCCATCAAGGCCCAAAAACTCAATGCATCCCCCGACTTCAGCCCCGAGCGCATGACCTGGATCAAGCCAAGCTGGTGCTGGATGATGTACCGCTCCGGATACTCGTACAAAGACGACGGCCAGAGTCGCATCCTCGCCCTCAAGATGAAGAAGCAGGACTTCTTCGGCCTCTTGGAACAGGCTGTCCTGTCTACCCATCCGTCTCCGCACGCCCACGTGGACAAAGAAAGCACCAACAAGACGGTGGCTCACGAGAGGGCGACAGATGTGAGAGTCCAGTGGGACCCGGAGCGAAATGCGAAGCTGGAGGGGCTGCCGTATAGGAGCATCCAGATTGGCATTCCGGGGACGCTGAGCACCAAGTGGGCGGATGAGTGGATTGTTTCGATTGAGGATGTTACGGAGAGGGCGAGAGAGCTGAAAAAGGCGCTGCAAGAGCAGCCGGATGCTTCGACGGATGAGTTGGTGAAAAGGGGGCTGGTGCCGGAGGAGAAGGCGTTGGATGTGCCCGAGGAGATTTTGACGCGGTTGGAAATGACTGTTTTGGGAGTTCCTGACGAGTTATAATGCATGCCTCTATTTTCACCTTTGAAAAATGATTGGTAGCTCTTTAATGATAGCCAAGTATCAACATGTGTGTAAAGTACGTCTAATGTGGCCATGAGCCTATCCCAGAACCATCATCTCCTTGATTCCTTGATCGCCTCTCTCAGCTTCAAAACAACGTTGTAATGCAATCTCGAATGCCGACTCTCCAGATCAAACTCAACCCGCAGCACCTCGTTCAGCAGCTTATGCTCCATCTCTCTGTCTTCTCTCACCAGCACATCGTCCAGCTGTCCCGCCGCAACCTTGTCCTTTTTCACAAACGCGTACCACGGCACTGTGTACAATGAAGGTGTGCCAAAGGGGTTCGGAGGATGAGGCTCCAGGCCTATCACGAGATATGTGCGCCAGCTGTTCCATCCTCCATATTGCTTGATTTCGAGCTCCAAGGAGCCGAGTTTGGTCGGCTGCGCAGGTTCAGTGGCTCCCAGATCAGAATCGGGGTCAAAGCTGAGTACAAATGTCCCGCTTGCATCGGATGGTGTTTCTTCAAGGACGGAGCCACGCCGGTTTAGGCTGCCTGGGAGGGTGTTTGCCGAGGCACTTTGGGGCTCATCGAAGAACCAGTCCGAATCATTGGAGAGCACGCCAATCATAAACGGCTTATCATGATATAATGGCACCACTTCGGGATGGAATAGGATGCCCCGGGGGGATCGCCGCGTGGATAGATTGTGCGGGACAAATATCTGTCGAGGCTGGGCCTCTGAAAGGCGATCGTAGCCCAGGCGGTAGCGCTTGAGATCTTTGGCAAACTTCATGAGGTTCATTGATACCATCAGCAAATGGTCTGTTCGTATGCGGACATATTCTGTATCGTTGTGCCATTGCGTCTTTTGGAGGATAATGGCTGGTGTCAGCTCATGCGAGACTTCATCTCGGCCCATGTCGCAGTCTAGCACGGCAATGAAGATTGTGCCAGATTCATCTCGAGGGTGAGGCGTCAAGGCGAGCTCTACGTCTAGCCCGCGGCTAGATACCGCTGCTACATAGTTTGAGCTCCGTGTGAGGTATCTGAGTAATTGAAAAGACAAGTCATTAGCCGCTGAACCTTTCATAACAGTATTAGATGCATACCTTGCTCTTTTAATTACATAGTCACCGCCTTGGTGTCCAAACGCTGCAGGACTCTCTGCCAAGAGACCCCAAAAATGCTGTCTTTCGGATAATTCCTGAGGATATCTCCAAGCGTAAATGGAGTCATCATTCGTAGACTTGATAATCTCCTCCTGCAGCCGCTTGAAAGCCTTGACGCGGCCCTCTCCATACAGCAAAGGCATGTTAATGTCGAACAGTCCGAGCAAGCAGTATGCCATGTCTTCTGGCCGAGTGGTCTGGCGATTAGCCGCCCAGCTCATTTTCTCTGCAATAGAACAGTCATCCAGGCTCTGCCCCTGGCCACTGGTGTGAAGAATCACGGCTGGGATCAAGGACACTCTCGTGATGGCTTCCTGGAGAGACGTTCGAGTGCCGATGAGCTCCCACTCTTGAGAATAAAAGTGTAGCTCGGGGGGAGCAATCAGCTCTTGCAACGTCCAGCCTCTGCTAAACCAGCGGCATTTCGCAAACTGAGAGCCATCTTTAGTTGGGTCGTCTGCTGATGAGACGTCTTCGAGGTATGCGATGCAGACTCCGGCCTTTTCGTACCATTGAAACATGGAGTTGATGGCTTCCGACAGTTCTGATGAAGATTTCTTGTCGATGCAACAGGTGTCTATCCAAATGTAGTCGAAGCCCAGACGAGCTGCTACTTCACAGCTTCGGCGTATCTTGTCCCATCCTTTAGAATCCGTCCTCTTGTCCTTGGCCAAAAATAACGCTAGTGTAACCTCTTCACTGCCCCATGTGTGAGACAAAATGGCATATCGTACTTCTTCATTGGTAGCAAAGACCTCGAGGTCTTGCGATTTGGTGTTTAGTAATAGCATTGGGAATATTGTGACAAATGAAGAAGTCAAAAGCCTCTTGATCGCCAGAACACGCGACGCCCACGGCTTAGGCAGGCATCCCAGCATTTAGCCTCAGTGGACCGTGCATAAGCTGAAGGAGCTGCATCCATGAACTGGGCTATTGATGCGCTACGCAGATGGATTCGTTTCATCGCCTCCTTAGTATGCTTAATACAGTTGACAAGGGCCAAAAGCTTGTTACAAGCTACATGTGCTTTTTCTCATGACACAACTATATACTGCTGGCAGAAATTTGAAACTCGACTTAGACAACATTCTTGTCGCTGTACTTGTCGTTTTGCACAATCTCGATCCAGTAATTATCGGGGTCCAGCAAGAATGCAACATTGCGCATGCGGCCATCCGTCAGTCTCTTCTTCCAGTTGCACTTGAGGTCCTCAAATCGCTGGCAAGCAGCGTCCAAGTCGTCGACAGAAACGCCTATAAAATTACTGTTAAACTGGAATCTCTATAGCAAGGCTATCAAAGGAGAAATGCTTACAGATGTGACCAAAGCCTTGAGGCTGGTCGTTGCCATTGTGGTAGGAAAAGTTCTCATCCTTTTCGGTACCATAGTTCCAAGTCAGCTCCAGCAAACCTTCACGGTCGCTTGTTCGGCCGTCTTGAGGAACACCTTGGGTGCCAGGGTAACCGAGGAAGTAGAGGTTGAAGCCCGAATCGGGGGATTCGTTGGTCCTAAACAGAGACATGCCTAGAACGTCTTGGTAGAATTTGAGAGACTTCTGGGGGTCCTTGACACGGATCATCGTGTGGTTCTGGTGGCCAGAAGAGTCAGTAATTGAATTCCTGTAAGCTGATGACAGTCGCTTCTCACCATGCGGTAGGTGGTAACATCGGTTTCTTTGATGTCGGCAGTCTCTTCAATCGGCTTCTGGCCAATAACCTCAACCCAGTATCCATCAGGATCCAAGGCAAATGCAATGTGCTTCATACGCCCGTCGGTAAGCTTTTTCTGGAACTTGTATCCAGCATCCTCGATGCGCTGACAAGCGGCCTGGAGGTTGTCAACGGAAATGCAAGTGTGGCCGAATCCTCGGTGAGGGTCCTTGTTTCCGTTGTTGATAGTGTAGGTAGGGTCATTCTCGGTGCCGTAATTGTGAGTGAGTTCGATGACGCCCTCTCGGTCAATGCCAGAATTTCCAAACGAAACGGCACCCTTGTTGTTGTAGGCCAAGAAGTAGAGATCAAACTTGGCTTCAGGAAATTCGAGCTTGCGGACCACGCTCATTCCAAGAAACTCGTAAAACTTGACTGGATTAAAGAGTAAGCAATTGTCTTGCCCCTCTGCGAAGTAAATTACACGTATGATACAATGTGGAAAGCAGACTTACCAGACTCTTTGGGGTCCTTGACTCGAATCCTTGTGTTCCTTCATTAGCAAGAGAATCAAACACATAATAAGTAAGCATGATAAAGACTCACATCGAGTGATTGAACTTGTAGGTATTGAGATCCGTTTTGGCAGCCATGGTGGCGAAGAATTGCTGTCTTAGACGAAATGAGCTGTGCACGCTTTTTGCCCCTCGCAAATACTGATGGCGGGGTAGCTGGTGTAAGGCCCTGCAGAGAATGATGAAGGCGGAAAAAGCTCTCCCTGAAAGGAGATGCTGGTCTGAGTATTGGAGACGCTGGAAGCCCGACTGGATATATTTGTCCAGCAAAGACAATAGAAGTTGAATAGAATCAGATGACTCGTGAGATTTTTGTTTTGCTTTTAACTTGAGGCAGCTCGGCTAATCTTGATCCATTTCCGACAACGTCAGAGCTCCAGTTGGCAGCTGCCCCTCATGCCTCCGCCTTAGTCATCCAATCCGAGAGGGGCATGGAGATGCGCTAGAACTGTTTCAAACAATTTGGCAAGTTGATTACTTCAAGCACTCGGCAAAGCGGCAATGGAGCAGACGAATTGGATCGTCTCGCGCCTCAGAGACGGATTTGGGATATAAAAGAGAATCCCGTTGAGCGGAAAAATAGCAGAAGAGAGTTTTCCCAAGTATAGGCTGCTTGAAATATGGTCTCGCATTCTTGTTCCTTGTGGTTGGCGATATAACTCAAGAATGCTTGTAAGCCAGGTACCATATTACCATATACACGCACCTTTGGTCAACTTACAACGAGCGAGCTTGAATTTGCAAGAAAATTATAACTATCAACGTGTATTGTATTACTCACTATTTCAAGAGCTAGAAAGCCGACTTGCAAGTGTAACCAAAGAATACATTCATATTACGTATGCTCATGTTAGACGTGCGCCATCTTGGTTTACATGGAAAATGCACATTCAGTTACACTGCGCTATTATACGGAACAACGCTCCATTGATGCACGGCTTGTTTATAACATGAAGACCGCATAGATATGGTCTGAGAAATATGTCAACATTTTCACTTCTAGTTGGAATTTAGGCTCAGCCACATCCTGAATCTAATCTAGCTTGCCGTCAACTCCAAGCCCAATGTGCGGTTATAAGCGGAGCCATAGATGCTGTACTCGGTCTTGAATCCCGTTGCTCAGACATGTAAACATGCATTGTTCTATAGCAACTCAGGAGTAATTTGCTCGGTGACAAATATTTAACGTCTTACGTGAGCTCGTCGAGCTTCGAAAGAAGATGTGGAGATGTTCAATGCAGGAATACGCACATCGCTGGCAGGCGTATACGCTCAACACCGTCAGGAGTATACGCACATCGCTGCCAGCGTATACGCCCTGAATGCGGTGATGGTAAAATCAAATCAACAAAAAATCAAATAAACAAAAGAAGCAATTTGCGGTATGAGAACAAGTATAAGAAGGAGAGTCTTGCCACCAAACATCATGTCTGTTCAGTACAGAGAAAGCATAGAAAGCATCACACCTTGACACACTCTCCATTGTAAACTCGAAAACAAGACACAATGAGCGGCCTTCTTCCTCTCGTTTCACTTGGAGCTCTGACTCTTGCTTCCACTGCACTGAGCGCCCCTGCCGGCTCTACTACAGCCTCGACCACCAAGCAATGCGTCCAACTCCAGATTCCCGTCCCGGTGGTGGCCACCAACTACCACTATGACCAGCCCCAGGTTGACAGCAGTATCGACGCCATGGACTGGACTGTCAACGTGACCACCTGGAGCAGCTCCAACTTTACTGCTCGCATTACTGGACGTGTGGACATCAACAAGATATACAACATCGGCGCACAATTGTGCGTGCCGTCGCAAAAGACCAGCAAAGCAGGCATTTTGCAGATTGCAACCCCTGGCCTTGGATTTGGCAAAGAGTTCGTGATGAAACTTGTAAATTGAAGAAAGTCAAACGTGACGGTTTGCTGATGAGTCCTTGATTTAGATACTTTGACGTCGAGGTTGATCCGCAGCAGTACTCGTACGTTGATGCCGCCATCAACAAGGGCTACTCGGTCCTTTCTTACGATCGTCTTGGCACTGGTGCATCCGAGAAGCCAAACGCTTACGACGACGTCCAGATTCCAGTGGAAATTGAAATCTTGGCCGGCCTGACTAAAATTGCCCGCGGCGGAAAGCTGATAAGCTCCTCCAAGAGCAACGCAAGCGCTGCGTTCGACTTTACGCCCACCAAGATTGTCCACGTCGGCCACTCGTACGGCTCATATGTAAACTCGCTCATGCTCATCAACTACCCCGATATCATCGACGGCGCCATCTTCACCGGTCTCTACCCCAACAGCATCGAGGCCACCGATCCGCTCAACGTCTTGAACTACAACCACGCATTCGCCAGCGAGAGCGATCCCGCCCGCTTTTCCGAGTACGGCTCGGGCTACTTCGTCTTGGATAACGAGGAAACTATCCAGAAGCTGTTTTTCCAAAAGGCCTCCATGGACCCAGCCCTGCTTACCTACGCTGAGAGCATCAAGCAGCCTGAAGCCGTGGGCGAGTACTCGTCTGAAGAGGGCAACCCACTCGCGCCCGCTCCCGATTACAAAGGCCCGTTGATGGTGAGTCTGGAGGTCTCTAGAATGCTTAAATAATATCAAGACGACTGACCCCATTTTCTCTTAGTTCTTTGTTGGCGAGTTTGATAACTTCGTCTGCAATGGCAATTGCAGCGGCATCTATGCCGCAGACTTTGCGAACCAGCTCTATCCGAGCGTGGCTGCAGACGATCTTGTCTATTACCTGCAGCCAAACACGGGCCATGCCTCCATGTTGTCGACGAATGCTTCTGCCGGCTATGAGGTTATGCTGGGATTCTTGGATTCTCGAGGCTTGTAAATAGGGGGCTCCCCTTTGTCTTGCACGCCCCACAGCTCGCCTTGTTTCGTCAATTTGTTACACGGCCGGTATCTACGTTCCACACATGAATTATTTGCTCTTCTAGAATGTTAGATATGTATGATTTAGACATGGCATTTAGCAGCGAAACATACACTTAGTAGCCCCTTGCTTGGTATTATATACTTATTTAATAGACCATATATTAGCCTAATTAGTACCATCAATTGTATCTTAACAGCCACTCCAGAAACTCTCGCTTGCAGTTTTTGACGACAGTGTCTATTTCTCATCGCCGTCAACTCCACCTCGTGCCCTCTTTAGGGCACTGTAAACCGTCGATCGGCATCTACAAGCATCAACATCCCAATGCCGTATTCACCTTGGTCTTTTCCGCTTCATGTAGTAGTTTAATGATACCTGCCTGCCCATTCCGCTTGGCCAACATTAGTGGTGTTTGGTCTTCGGAGTTTTTCAAACCAACGTCAGCCCCGTTTTCCAATAGCAGCTTAACAATAGCCACATGTCCATTCGAGATGGCCAAAGAGAGAGCCATCTCATCTCTGCTAGTTTTGATGTTAACCTGTGCTCCCCACTTCAACAGTAGGATGACCATATTGCCATACCCGCCAGCTACGGCCATCATGAGCGGCGTTTTACCAGTTTTATCCTGTACATTGACTTGGGCTCCAGCTGCGAGCAATACCGCAGCAATGCCTTCATTTCCATCCAAAGCGGCCATTTGTAACGGTGTAAAGCCATATCCGTTTTTCAAATCAACTTCAGGGCCGCTTTCAAGTAGTAGCGTAACAATGTCTTCCTGCCTTTGGAGAACGGCCAAGGACAGTGGCGTTTCGCCGTCTTCTTCGATTCTATTAGCCTTGGCTCTATATTTGAGCAATAGCTTAATGATATCCCGATGCCCATTCAAGATGGCCAGTGATAATGGTCCTTTGTCACTGCCACCATTTGTTGTGAGGGCATAGACTCCATTTTTCAATAGTAGCTCGACAATATCATAATATCCCTTCGCAATCGCCACTGATAGCAGAGATAGGCCGTAAAACACCTCGCCGGCTTGGGCTCCATTTTCGAGCAACAACCTGACGATATCTCCATGTCCACTCAAAACAGCTAATGATAGCGGCGTTACGGTGTAGTAATTGAAGGCTCCTTGGTAAAGCCTAAGTTGCTGCTTCAAGCAAGATTTGACGTAATCCGTATTCCCGCCCATTATGGCGGATAAGAACGGTGATTCGGTAATTTTATAGTCATTTGCATGTACCTCGGCCTTGTACTCTAATATTAACCTGAGAATGCTTTGGTCTGTGTTAGAAGCGGCCAGCGATAGAGGCGTTCTACCAATGCTTCCATCTTCTTCATCGATTTTGGCTCCATTTTCCAGCAGCAGTTTGACGATATTCTTGTGCCTACCCTTGATGGCAAACGATAGTGGCATCTTGTGTTCTGGCTCTGTTGGGTTAATCAGCGCACCCGCATCTCTCAACAGCTTGAAAATGTCTTCATGTCCATCCTTGGCGGCCAAACATATCGGTGTCTCGCCAACGGCATTTACAGGGTTGATATTGGCACCCCGAGCCAGCAGCATCTTCACCGTTGCCTGTTTACACCTGCTCACTGCGTGATGCAATGGCGTCCAGTCATAGTCATCGCCCCAATTCACGTCGACATTGTCTCGCGTGAGCAGCAGCCACATATCGTCCTGTGATGCTGACTTTGCTGCTTTTGACACGGCTTCTGCGCGGTCAAATTGCATCAAACTTTGTAACGTGTAATTGTCGTAAATCTCGTATGGCGTATTGTCGTCACGTTTCCGCTTCTTCGAATTACTCGACTTCAGCACAGGTGTTGTTCTCCCGGTCTGTATACACATCGTTCTCATCGGATATTGTGAGTGCCTGTATTTTTTCCGATCAAAACACTCGATTTTATCACTCATGACCCTCTCAAATGTCTCCATTGTGCCAAGCAAATCTCTCGCATAAATGGCGACCGGTTTATCCTCACTCTTTCTTTTGCAGTGAAGAATCGCGAGGCCCAATCTCTGAGGACCTATTCCGATAAAGCGAGTTTTTAAGTGTATTCCTCTACTATTTATTGTTAAAGCAGTATTGTAATCGTTGAAGGGGTTGAACTGGACGATATCTCCAGATTCTCTAAAAGCGTCTGGGGAGGTAGCCAGCACTCCGCCACGAGAATCAGAGGACTTCCACGCAAAGAGACTGTCATCGTGTGATATCCTCATAATCTCCTCTTGTAGTCTCAAAAACGCTTGTTCGCCTTCTCCATAAATTAATGGCATGTAAATGCCGAATATTCCCATTAAACAATAAGCACGATCTTCAAGTCGTTGCGTTTTTCTCTTTGAAGCCCATGCCATTCTTTGCGCAATACTGGCTGTGTCAAGATCATCATCGCCGCAGAGGATATTGACAGGTATGCCCGTGCAGTCGGATATATCTTGTTGCCGGGTTATTTTAGTACCAATGTATGCCCAGTTCTCATCTACAAATTGAAGATCTGAAGGGGCGAGCAGCTCTTGCAGGGTCCAGCCTCTTGTAAACCATTCGCTTTCTACAAAAGTAGATTTTGATGGAACATCCGCAAGATGGGCATAGCATCTCTCGGCTTGATGGTACCAATTAAACATGGAGTTGATAGCCTCTGACAACTCCGAACTGCTTTTCTTGTTAATACAGCAGCTATCGATCCACGCATAGTCAAATCCGTCAGCTTTGGCTTTGGCGCAGCATTGCCTCACTTTTGTGAAGCCTTCTTTCCTCTCTTTCGCCGCTGCACCAGTTTCCAAGTCTTGATAGGTGAGCTCGTCTTTACCCCATCTATGTGACAGGATAGCGTACGGCGGCACATCGCCGTATTCGAACGTTTCAAGCTCAATTGTGTCGGTCTTGAGCAGGCGCATAGCTCTGATATGTCCAATTGAAGATTGAGATATCCGACAATGGAAAAACAGAGTACATGTAGTAAGATTCCGCTTTAGGGGTGAGAGGCGGTGTGCTGTAGCCTGAGGGATCGATGTAAGCCGCCTTGAGATGATCTTATTGGGCAGGGATAAGTCTCCATACAACCACACCAAATGAGGCACAAAAAATAATGGCCTGGTTTTCACTCGAAAAGAAAGATGCATAGTAATTAAGAAAATCGTATTATTATAAGGGACGTGTTACCAGGCCACCATCGTAGAGTAATAGTCTTCTAAAAAAACAGGCCCTATGGCATCCTTGAAACGCTAATTCCGGCTGTTCCATATAAAAATAGCTGTAAACAAGAGCAGTAGCAGCTGCTATTACTACTGCTACTGCTACTGCTACTGCTACTGCTACTGCTACTGCTACTGCTACTGCTACTGCTACTGCTACTGCTACTGCTACTGCTACTGCTACTGCTACTGCTACTGCTACTGCTACTGCTACTGCTACTGCTACTGCTACTGCTACTGCTACTGCTACTGCTACTGCTACTGCTACTGCTACTGCTACTGCTACTGCTACTGCTACTGCTACTGCTACTGCTACTGCTACTGCTACTGCTGCTGCTGCTAATTATATTAATAGTTGCCTTAGTCTTGCCTACAGTCTTAGATTAAAGCCGAAATAATACCTCTATAACTAACAGCAGTAGTGTTAAAATTTATATTATAAATAGCTTTAAGATAATACCTAAGTTATAGCTAAGGTGTACTTGTGTGAGACTTCTATGCAAAATACTAATAAAATGTGATATTAGTTATTTAACTGGAGTATGGGCCTACTTAGCTACAAGGCCTGTTTTTTTGGAAAACTATTACTCTACGATGGTGGCCTGGTAACATGTCCCTATTATAAAAAATTGCTTGCCGCATCAGTCAATAACCCTACTCAACCTCATTCTTCTACGCCTTCAATAATACTCCGGCTTGCGGCCCACCATCAGATACATTGGCGTAAACAGCTTCTTCTTCCCTCCTTCGACAAGTGCATCCGCTGCCTTTCCGAGACTCTGGGCAGTCTTCCTCGTACCAGACGGAGCAATTCCCAGCAACTCCAAGATCCAAATGAAAGCATGCGACACCTCTCTTCCAAAGCGATTCATCCTCAAAACCGTAAAGACATCCGCCAGCGTCTGCGCGTGGCGAAGATCAGTACCCAGCGGCCAGTACCAAGGAGCAACGCTGGTCTCGTTTGCGTAGTCCTCTGCGAGGTCGTAGTGGGTTTCGAGAGTGAAGCCTGCGCCTTGGATGGCGGCAAGACCGTCTTCGACTTTGAGCATTTGAGCGATACCATCGCCCTCCTCGATATCGAGACGGATTTGACGATGGGTCAGATCGTCGTTGTTGTAGGCATCTGTCATGAACCATTCGTAGACGCCAAACACACCGCCTGGTTTGAGAACGCGGAAGATTTCTCTGTATGCGCTTTCGAGGTTCGGTGCGTGGACTGTGGCTTCGATTACGTAGACGGCATCGAACGAATTATCGGGGAAAGGTAGGTTCTGTAGAGTATAAAGCGTGTTAGCCGTCTGTAGCTGTCCTTTGCTGGCATAAAAGGGGATACACTTACCATGAAGTCTCCCTGGACGAAATCAAGCTTGTGAGTAAGCTTTTCCTTGACTGCGTATTGCTTTGCTCGGCTGATTTGGTAAGAGTTGATATTCAAACCAGTAACGTGGGCGCCAGTAAACTTTGCGATTTCTCGGGCTGGACCTCCAACGCCACAGCCGACATCCAACACCTTCATGCCAGGCTTGATGCCAATGCTGCTTGCTAGAAAGTGTTCGTGCCGAGCCACGGCCTGACCGAATCTCTCTCCGTACGCAAACCTGCAAAAGTGGAATGCCTCGCCCCAACCATATTCGTAGAGATCGGTCGCCAAGTTGTAATACCTGTTTGGTACAGCCCGAGTTAGCAACAATCTTTGTGGGAAAAGAGCACGGAAAGGGTCTTCGTACTGTCTAGTTAGGCTTGCATAGTCATCAACTCGAGATTGTCGAACGGCTTCGGTCTCGTCTTCGGCTTTTTTGTCATCCCAGTGCTGGAAGTATTCAGCAACAGCTGCCTTGTGAGCCTCGTTGTCTTTGTTAATCATGGCACGGAGGCCGCCTTGAGAAGTTGACGAGCTCTTGTGTAGGATTTTATCAAAGGTCATGTTTTTGACCTGGTCGGCCGGAAGCAGTGCTTGGCTTTCGGTGTCTTTAGCACGGACCACGACTTGGGAATTTGACGAGCCTTGATTCAGCATTTTATCAAACGCCTTGTCTTTGGCCTTGTCTGCCCGAAGAAGTGCTTGAGTTTCGGCCATTGTTGTTGGCAAATGTGATTGTAGGACACAATGAACGATGAACTGTGGGAATAATGGGAAGACTTTGGGGATGGAAAGTGAAGATGATGGGAATCAAAACAGGGAGAGTTTCTGATTCTTATACTTGACAACAATAGAATTCCATCTCTACCATCTGAACTTGATCACTTACATGCAGCTGAACGGTGTTGCCATTGTCGTATAACAGTGCCGACGCCACGCAAAATCGTCTCATAGGTCCGAACACGAATGCGGCATCCGCATATAGCCTACAAGTGGCCCCTAGCCGGCAAACATATGAAAATATGCTTGAGACTGTAAATTAGATAAGGACTTAGAATGCGACCTCAATAAATACGCGTATAGGTACTTATGGGCAGGTATCTATACGCGTATGGATGTGGAAATACGCGTATACGTATTGCAGCTCAAGAGCGATCCAATCATTTCTTCACGTCATCCTGAATTGCGGGGAAGACAAGGATGCTGCTCGTATTAGCAAGGGCGTGCGGTTAATAATAGTACGCGTAACTGTAATCTCGTCGGTGCATCTTGAGGTGTTGCGGAGGTCAGAGGCGTATTACAAACCTGAAAAAAGGCTGACGCTTACGGAGACGTTGTATTGAATTTTCAAGTTTATCCATAGATCAACGACTCAGCTCACACTGACAACCCCTGAATGAGTAAGTTTGCAGAGATGGCGTAATTTCACTTGTTCCCTTGACTATAGCGGAAAAGCAGAAATCCATTTGCTTTATTGGGCTAATGAAGTAGAGGCTTTGCATCATCTCCTTTTGACTGCATTGAAGATTGGTAATTTCTAACAGATATTGTGTGGCAAATGTGTGGGTTGATGCAAAGTACACCCATCTTTATAGCTAGAGTAATTTGCACACGTATATCGGCGACTCTCCTGACGATGAAATCTTCAAACCGTTTGTGTTAATTGCCTAAAAGAATGCACTTTGTTCAAGTTGTAATAAATGGAAAAAATTCGCTAATTGTATCCATTGTTTGTCGCATGAAGAAAACCCCCTTTGATGCGTGAATAGTCGTAATGATCTTATCGACGACGGAGGGGGCAGGCCGTTTTCCCTTTTCTAAAAACAAACAATTCCTTTCTCTTCTCTCTCATATAATCTCGTCATTATATAAAAAAAACACTTGTTTCAACATTCAAAGCCTGGAGATGCTGCAGAATTGAGATTTCGGAATTGATCAGCAACATATATCGAGCCGAGGGCGATAAAATAGTTCCGACAGGGCTTACGATACGATTCCTGAACGTGCAACAAACAACAGCTCGACGCAGCGCCAAGAGACGAGTTCTAGAAACATGTTATGATTGCCCCAGCATACCAGGGCTTGGGGAGAAATGGCAACTGTGCTGCGGCTAGAGTAGCGGAAAAGTAGAGAACTATATCAGCACAAAGGCACAGCTTAGTAAATATTATTTAAGACTTAGAAGAGGTGTTATAAAAATAATGTTTTCATGAATAAAAGGTTTCAAGTATTCCAGAAGCTTTTTAGATTTCCTTCTTTTTGTTGTTTGTCATCTCATACAAAATCTTTCGCTAGTATCCAAAATCCTCCCAAACCACATCCTCGCTCTCCAACCATCCCCTCAACGTAGCCAACAGTGATGCTCCCGTACATAGATAAAATTTCTTTCCACTTCCCATTACGCCTTCAAAATCCCGGGTATTGATCCGTCGTTCCTCCACCGTCGCCCCCCGCTCACTAATTTTCTCAATCAGCTTTTTGATTTCACCCGAAGCAAGCGATCCTGTCGCAAATATGGTACTCCTTTCCGCCAATCCGGGGATCTTGTCGAATGTGTGAATCGCCAGGGGAAGATCCTCGCCACGTAATGTCCATAGCAGCGTCAGCGGGACAGAGGCGTCGAGTACGGCTTTGGCCTGGGCGAGGAGGGGCGTGATGCCGACGCCGCCGGCGACAAAGACGGATTCTTTTGCGGCAGAGGTAGATGTGGGTAAGTGGAAGGCGTCTTTACCACCGAAGCCCATGACGGAGATGTCTAGCGGAGAGACGGGGTTGTGGCGCCAGAGGAATTTCGTGACGGGGCCGTGGAGGCGGGCGGTGATCTGGAAGAGGTCCTTTGAGGAGAGGGAATTGGGAGGGCTGGAGACGGTAAAGGTGCGGACGTAATCGTCGTTGAGAGACTGGGGGTCGCGGTCGTTCATGTGGGCGTAGCCGTTGCTGAGTTCGGTTTCGAAGCCCATGGTGATGTGGTGGCCTGGTTGCCATTGGGGCATGTCGCGAGGATTTGTTGTTTCGAGCTTGAATGTGAAGACGGCGATTGTTGGTGTGAGAACCTCTCGTGATACGAGAGTGGCGCTGATGTCTGGACGGTCTGTGGACGCCAGGGCGGGCGCTCTTTCGGAGAGCAGATATCGGACGGGAGGGTTGTAGGGCGAGGGTTCGTTGGGCGTGCCGCGGAAGGGGAGGCTGGCCTTGACGAGGTGGGAGGCCGAGACGGTGATTTTGACGGCCATGTTGGAGCGTGGGAGAAGGGCGGCGGCTTCTTTGCCGAGGAGGATGGTGGAGTCGCCGGTGAGGTAGAGGGCGTCGGAGGTGTCGTAGTCGGGGATGACGAGGCCGATGAGGGGGTTGACTTTGAGGTTTCCTAGGGATTGGTATAGTCTGTTTCCAGAGTCTGGGGGCATGTCTTGTTAGTATCGAGTCATATTGTGAAGATGTAATGAATAGATGGAGGAACTCACATTCTGGATATACCAACTCGACTCCCCCTTCGTCATTCCGCAACACTCTGATGAAACCCCTCGGTCCTCCTCTGTGATTGGTGTCCATGCTATCGCCATTTGTGCTCGACAGAAAGAACATGTCTGCCTTTTCAATCAACGCAATTGCCTCTGGCGGCAGGATCCCGTCTGGGTCTGTGGGAATCAGCTCCGGCCGAGGCACAATCGGTTCGAGGGCCTTTTTGTTAATATATTTGGGGCAATTGCCCAAGCTCTCCATTATTGCCATGGCCAGCTGGACTTCACTGTCGGGGCCTGGCATGTCGCCTCCAGCAATGAGACGACCGGCGAGCTTGACGCGGTCTCGGGTTTCTAAATCGATGCTCAAGGCGCTCATCATCTTGCCGCCCTCGGGCCTTATGATGCCCTCTTCATCCGGCTCGCTGCTCACTTTGCTGTCGGGCGATTTCCAGAAAGCACCATATACAGGATCATACTCCTTGTCCACAGCACTTCGAATACCCAAAACGCCCTCCGCCACGGGCCTTGCAAACCCCCTCTCACCACCCCAAATCGTCGTCCACGGCCGTCCTTGATCGTCCAGCGTTCCGAGCGCAAGGAGCTGTGAGTGCATCACCCGCACCGCATACGGCATCGGCAATCCGTCCGAAGTTGGGTTCTCAAAGTGAGGATTGCGGGCCTCGCGGTGCATGGCGCGCTCGCCGCGGTGCCAGCCGCCGGATATGAGGGACGGCATTGCGGCGTCGATGAGGATGGAGGCGTTGGTGGTGATGAAGCTGAGGGGCGTGGTTGGCAGGGACAGCAGCTGTGTGAGGTTGTAGGAGATTTGGGAGAGGAGCATGCCTTTTCAGGACATGATGATGGGAATGGTGTTGGTGGAAAGGAAGAGAAATGAGATGAGGAGCTACGAAATTTAGAAAACTACAGTTGGAACGCAACGCAACTTCTAGAGAGAGAAACCAGCGATTGCTGGATCAAGACAAGCAGCGGCGTGGCGTTTTCCCAGCTACAAAAAAGGATGCCGCTGCGGCGTTGTTCTGGAGATAGTGACAAATCATCCGGGCGTAAATTGCACCCTAGGATTTTTCCAGTTAAAGGTGCCCTACTTCGGTGACGTCGATGCTAGTGCTGATTACTCCATTGATCCAAGGTTAAAAGCTGGAGAAGAATGGAATCTCCCCGCATAGAGGGCTGAAGAATCCCGGTGCTTGGCGTCCGTATGTGGAATCTTTCTGCGAATTGTCATGTACCATCTCGGTTGTCTCTTGGGCTTAGTAGCTGTCTTTTATTGAAGCAAACAAGATGCTTTTTATCTTTTGATTCGAATCTTCTAGTATGCTACTGATGATGATGATGAGAGTGCAATGCACTTGGAATCTATCCTCAATGCCCATCGCCTTAAATCTAACTGTGGTACCTGTATTTGGATATCGTGGTCTATGGGTGCCGTCCTAGCCTGCCTCAACCTTTCTTCGCCAGACGCCTTACGTGTATCGTAGATCATGATCAAAATAAAAGTAGTTATATGAGTTAAATAATTAAGGACAAAGGGGTTTTTTTAGTTCCGAACCTGCCGGGACACATTAGGAGGTAGGCTAGCTCTAATATCTACCGCTGCTCTGCGCTTCCACATCATAGCTATAGGATGCTCCTGTTTGAGCCTGGGGGGCATTATAGTAGTCCTGGGTATTTTGGCGAACCGGCGGTCTGATGCTGGGTGGTAAGCGCTGTCCGGGGTAGGAATTGTCTGAGGGCGGCCGCCGGTTAGGATTGGACATTGGCTCAGTCATTTGCCGCTGGGGCGAGAATCGCATGCCGCGCAGAGGCACTTGGTTTGACGAGCTTGTCGCGCTTCTCACGGGCCCCTGCGGCGCCCTGGAGTATGCTGACCCGGCGGCAGATGGCGCTGGGCTGGATCGGCCCTCGTTGTTAAAGGTGTATGCCCTTGGAGGCGGGCCTCGCCAGGATTGGTTGTCGTCCTGCATTTGCTGGTTTCCGCTGTAATTGTCGACGAATCGAGACGGGATGGGTCTTGCCGATGGCGCGTACAGCGGGGATCCTGCCGCCGAACCCATGCTAATGGGGCTCTCAGTGAAGGGTTGCTGGCGATACGAGGAATTCGAGGTGGTCCTCATATGGTTCAGATCTGGCCGAGCACCACTAGTGGTTCTGAATGAGTCTCCCGTTCCAGCTCTTTGAAGGTGCGGCATGGCGGGAAGCATGTCCTCTGGCGAGGCCGATCTTCCATTTGAGTATCCCATATCGGCCGCTGAACTAATCAATGGAGCTCGAGCCGAATAGTTGGAGGCTGTGGTGGCTCCCGTCATACTTCGCTGCGGCATTGGGCGCTTGAAGTCGTCGACAGGGGTACCCGCACTTGAGGTATAAGTCGGCAAAGGTGCAGAGACGCCAACACTCTGCGGTGTTGCGAAGCCGAGATTTGGCAAGGTCGGGAGTGAGGCGTCTGGGTGTGCTTCGCCCTTTTCACTCATGGCCGCCTTCATCCTGTCGACCTGGCCCTTGGCAAGCGCCTTGTTGACAGTCTTGGTGACAATCTTGAGCAGGGAGTTGTTGACCTTTCGCTCGCAGTAGCCGGTGAGACCGCCATCGTCGCGAGGGATCCAGTGAAAGAGGAAAAAGACGTAGAATAGGGTAGCTGAAATCAGGTATAGGGCTGAAAAGACCCAGACGACCAGAGTAAAGCACATGCCTCCGAGGATGGCAGCCTGTCGGAAATCGGATTGCGCGAGCGTCTTGATCTTGTCGAAGAAGGAGGAAAGGGAGCCTTCGACTGAGCTCTCAGAAACGGCGAGCTTTGCCATGTAGACGGATCGTAGGGTGAGCGCATTGACAACTTGACGTGGGCTGGTGCAGAAGATGACGCGGATCCAGGCTGTATAAGTGAAGGGAAACCGGTTAGTAAGATGAGATGAGACAGCCAAGAAGCCAGCAACTGATACGCACATTGAAAGCTGAAATATGTAAACAGGGCGATGTACTCGGCGCCCTTTTTACTCTTTGTGAGTTCCGAAAAGACGAGGAATCGTCTGAAGCCTTGCCCCGAGCCAAGACGAATAGACTCCCAGCGCACAGCAAGACTGTCCAGGTACACCTCGGCAACGTTGCCTCTCTTAATCTTCCGAGCAGCGCGGATCCATTCGAAGCCGAGATTGATAAAGGACAGGATGATGCAGCCAGAGAAGATCCATCTTGAAATGTCAAGGGGAATGGCCGGGTCGATTTCGGACGACCATCGGTTGAAGACGAGGAGCTGGACGGCAGTGAAGGTGTCGACTCCGTAGACGGCGAGCGAGATGATGAGGCCGACCCAGAGGGTGATGTAGGCGAAGATGGGACCGCAGCCCTTGGCCTTGAAGTCGCCGAGGTTGATGTAGTCCCATTTCTGGTCGGTGTATTGCCGGACCTCTTTGCTGCGGTGAGTGAGGCAGCCCATGTTGTCGGTATTTGGATGTTATACGATTGATGACCACACGTGATGCCGAAAGTTGGAGTGATGACACGTATAAAAAAGACGAAAAAAGAGAGAACGAATTGAGATACAATCTTGAACAAAAAAGCAAACGATTCAATTGTGTCGTAGAGAGCGTATTGTACGGTCCTGCCGGTAAGAAAAGCACTCGTCGTCCCTCGCCTGCGAAGATGCGACGGCGCTGCCTCAGCAAAAGACACAAAAGAAGAAAAAAGAAGGACGGAACCAGCGATGAAGATGCACGCTGCGAACCTGAAAACAGGAAAAAGAAGGAGAAAAAATGGAATAAAAACGACTGGCGTTTATTCAAGAAGAGAACCGCCAAAAGCGCCAACGGACTGGCATGAGTGGGCAAATCGGCTGCAGCTAAGAAAAGAAGCGCGGAGGGCCCTTGATTCCTAGGTAGACAATGGCCGCTGACAAGAGAGACCAGCGCCAAAAACGTGCAGATTTGTCCCCCCAGCCCAGCAAAAGGGCGAATTGGGATCGGCCAGCGAAAAGGATGCGGCTAAAAAAAAAAGAGGGAAGAAGCGGAATGGAGAAGAAGAAGAGAAGAGAGAGAGAAACGAGTGAATGGTTGGCTGGGCTAAAAGCAGAGAGACATCGAGAGGAACGGAAGGGTGGCCTTGGCGTCGCAGAATGAGCCCCTTGAGCGTGTGTCAAGATGGCTGGGGGGTGTGTTTGGAGTACTGGACGGTGCTATTGGTCCAAAAGAAGCAGCAGAGCCGTGGGAAATGGTTGAAAATAGCGGTTAAAGGAGTGAAAGGCGCTGGATAGCTGTTGTTGTTGTTGTTATTGCTGGCGGCAGCATTGTTGTTGCTAAAGTAAAGTGAATGAGGGTGAGGATGAGATGATAAGAGAGCAACTACCAGTGGGTACAGGTAGCATTGATATCTAGTAGTGCTATTGTCAATGGCATTGCTGCATCATCTAGCCGGAGCAGACGCGTGAAATGAGATGAAGCCCTGCGCTAGTCTACTGAGTGTCTGCATTATGCTTGGGCTCGCAATAGAAAGAGAGGAGATGAGATGAGGCATCACAAACTATTGGACATGGAGGGGTCACGCATGTACTTGTCGCCGCAGCATTACCGCCGCGTCTATGCAAGTCACTGCCCTGCTCCCCTGCTATCGCTCGCTCGCTTAACGCTATTCCCGGCAAAGAACCCCCAACTGTCGTCTCTCTCTCTCTATCTTTACAGGCACTCAACTCTCCCCGCTGCCGCAATCTCTCAGGTCTCGCACTTTAGCGCCCCCATCTTGAAACCGCCCCTGCAGGCCTCCCGGTCGCTGTTGCAGCCGATCGCCTCAGCACTACCAGCGGAACGCCCAGGCACCTGTGGCCTGTGATTGGCGCGCGGCTTGGGGGGAACATCCCTGCTGGGTTTGAAGCTGGTGCTGGTTGCATTTGGGGCGGCGATCTTTGGCTGCTTCCGGTTTCATGTCGAGGCCAGCGGCGGCTTGTTCTTTTGTCCGGGCAGTCTGAGGTGCTGAGCGGCAAGGCCGTGGTGCTGTTTGTTGGCTTGGCGCGCTGAACAAACAATGGGAAACGAGTGGTTATCGGACGCATGTAATTCCATGCAGTTGAAGCTATAATTATAGCGTGTGTTGACGAGTAGCATCAAATCACACACGGAGCAGATGAGCTGTAATTTACGGAGCGCGCTAAACGGGCATCAAGCCAAACCTCACCTTCTTCTTGCATCCAATCCAGAATATCCCGCTCTCCCCATGCTGTATCGGTTGTTTGTGCCCTGCACCAGTGCTGTGAAACGCGCCATGCCCGCAGTGACATCGGCCCTGTTCCGACGGCTCGTTTTGTTGAAACATCCATTCGATCTTGGCCTCAGCTCTGTACATGTATAGACTCCTGCTAATACTAGCCCATACCACATCTCTGATATCAACGCGATATGCCATACAAGTATGTGCACTGCTCTGACTACAAGGATTCTAATCGCTGCTGTGATGGCATTTTCCGCTCAAAACTACCCATGCCATCTCGAAAGCACAGGCCAAGCGCGGCACGCACCGCGGGGACGATGCTTCGTGGAGTTTTAGTTTACGTGTAATTGCATGCTTGGCGTGAATATGCATGTGTTTACAGCTTCAAACCTCACCACGTGCAAGTGTATCAAGTAATTAGTGTCCTGTTCATCTTAGTACATGTACTCTGGATTCTATATAGGAAACGTAACCTTCTATTGTTCTATTCTATACAAAGCAATAGGTAACAAATAACCCAACAGCCCCGGCCTAAAGATGCATGTAAACGCCAACCTCGCCAAGCAATCTTGGCAGATCTCCCAACTACATCGAATCTAAAACAACTGCGGCGCCTATTACACATCTATAGGCAAAGCGTTCACGTTCAAGCCCTCCCAGTCCTCCTTTAGCTCTTTCAGCGTCACCGGATAAAGACTGCTGTCAGTCATGCAACTGTCCATTTCGGAAGAAGAATCCGCTTCCGACGACGAGTCCATTTCGGAAGATGAATCAGTCTGATATTGACAGCCGCCGACTTGAACATGACCCCAGCTTCCAATCTGGTCCAGAGCCCTGTGGACATGTATGGCGCCGAACCCTTCGAATGGCGCTTCCAAGGGCCATTCGCCAAATGTAAAAGCCAGCGTTTCCTCGAGATCGTCCCCGGCGGCTGGATCGCAAGCCATCAGCTTTTGCAATTTACTATTGGCAAAGTCGACCATTTCGCCGATAAAGTATAGCCTCCTTTTCTCAATCGCATCTGAGACCCGAGTTAGCTCCAGCATACTAGAAATGACAGAAACAGTCAGAGGCAACGTGTAATTTTGATAACAACTCACTGATAATAGGCTCTCGAATGGGCATGCCCAAGGTATGAATACGGCCCCTCGCCTGCATTATGATGGCTTTGGAAAATACTCTAAAGTTTTCCTCGTCTCGAAATACCCAAGATGAAAAGAGCGAGAATAAAAGGTTCTCATTATATGGATAACGCCCAGGCACTACCGGAAAGCGTAGATCAAATAGGTCGTGGCATTGGTAGGCATCGACAACGACAGCCAGCTGAGCACAGAGCTTGGGGTTGACTTGCAGTTCATTGAGACGAGCATCCTGGCCATGAATCCCAAGTATTAGTTTATGCAACGCCCTTTCGCTCCACCCTTCGACGGTAATGGTATATTTGCAGCCCTGGTCGGACATGTTGCCCTCATTCCAGTCTTGAGTCGCAAGGCCTCGAAAGTATGCAGACGCACTTTTCAGCTTCTCTGAAGAAACCCGCCATGACACTTGTCTGCCCATATTCTTCCGTGCTGATGGTAGAATGTTGACTCTAGATTCTTGTAAGCGATAACGATAGTCTTTAACATTATTTCGTAGATGACTTTTATCGTTGGTGATGTCGTTATACTGCTCCAAATGGTTGAACCATAGGTCTTCGTGGTCCACTTCTTCAAACGGTCGATCGGGGTCACAAAGTACGAAGAGCGTGTCCCCGTTGTCAACAATCGTGTAAGTTGGCTCCATGGCGATATAAGTTTATACAAAGCCAGAAGAATTTTGACTGTAAGATAATTATATTAAGAGAAAAGTTGTCCCGAAAGTAATGACTGCAGAAGATACAATATGGAGAGCTGAGTCGGAATTATGTGATGGTTTATATTTTTATCTCTAGTTGGCATCTTTTGCTCAACTAAATTATATACTTTACATTTTGAGTGATTAAGATGCTACGAAAGGAGTTGTGTGGCTGCTGTTCAATTGAAGATGGCAAAGGCACAAAATGTTCAGATTGTTGAAGTTTATTCGACAAGGTGTATTTTTCTTTCTCTCGTTCTTTTCCTTTCAAATGACGATTAGTAAATTGGCTACATCGACGATGCTATTCGAACAAAGAACTGATTTGAGCAACGCAACGCAACGCAATGCAAACAAAACAAATAACCCAATCAAGCCTTTGTTAGCAATGGACAAAGAACGGGAAATGAAGATGATAAAATTAGCCATTATTAAGCTTCTAAGACTGTAAGCAAAATTCCTTTATAAACCAATGTCAGCAAATGGCATTCACCTTGTTCTATCTTTATCCATCATCTTGTGTTTACTTTATGTGCTCTCATCTTGACCATCATCAAAATGGCACCCAAAAATGACTTTGAGCTGCTTAAAGAGACGGGTCAAGGCACTTTGTTCGCCATCAAAAAAGACGATCCTGGCCTGAAATACATTGCTCAGCCCTTTGGCGTTTTGAAAGGCTCCGACGTTGAAGGCGCCGACAAGCAAAAAGCCATTGACGAAGCATCTGCATTCTACAACCTCTTCCACAGCTCGAAAATCGGCTCGGCCATCGCGCAAATCTTCAACCACGAAAACATAATCTCCATCGCCGGCCACATAAAGACGCATCCCGTGGCGAAAAGTTCAGAGTGCGCACATCTTGAGGAGTACATTGTATGGGACTATTGCGATGCTTCAAACCTCAGCGCTCTTTTCCAAAGCAAGCCCTCTGAGTCTACCGAGTTTTACCTGCCAGAGTCAGTCTGCTGGCATGTCTTGACGTCGCTTCTCAACGCCATCACGTACCTCCACGATGGAAAGAGACTGTTTCTAGATACAGAGGCATCGGGAGGGGCAAAGAAGATGTGGGCATCTGTGGATCAAGATTGGCTTCCGATCCTGCACCGGGCGATTGAGCCGAGAAACATCTTCTTCCAGCGCCCTCGCGGCATTGAGACGTATGGGATGTGTAAGCTGGGCAACTTTGAGCACGCAGTGGTGACGAACCATGTGATTACACATGATGGAGGAGATGTCGCGGATAAAGATGAAGTCAGCAGGGCAATGGCCCCGTATCGTGGAATGGAGGCTTTGGATGCGACGCGCCAACAGTTGCTTGAAAGCGCTGAGACGTCCACTGCGGTATGTTTCTCTACACTTTTATATGACGAAATACTGCAATGGAAGCTAAAGCTAACTATGATATAGGAGAACCGCCCTTATACCGTCGCCGATGAACTGTTTGCCATTGGGTCCGTCATATTCACCATGATGACCGGCCGGCAGCCAGCCATCAACACCGACAGCTATCTGGCAGCGGCGCAGTACTCGAACGAATTAAAAGCCGTAGCACGATACCTGCTCGACTTGCACTCCGGCGAGACACACGTGGACAGCGTCCTGCCGACAACCATGGCCGTGACGGAGCAGTACCAGCAGTGGAAGCTTCACAGCGAAGAGGGCAGGCTGTACAAGGACATTGAAGACGACATGGCGGCGAGATGCGGCGCAAAGACAAGGATGGAGACGCACAGCTAAAACGGGGGCCGTGGTTCCTCGGTCCATGTTTGTGGAGCTCTTCTCTTTGGATCTAATAAAACGGGCATCATTTAGCTTGCATGCCGCTAAAGAATGGTGGTGCCTCGAGGGAGCGATATTCGCGCATCATTTGCTCGGATCAAGGATGCAGTGACTCGTATGTAATGATGTGTGGTGAGTTGATTATGGAGTGAGAGGAGAGAGACAGTCGTATTTTGTTAGAGTTTCAGCAGTTTTACCGTCAGACTTTGAATAGACAAAATGGCTTCACTTTGATCACAAGCCCCCTCGTGTTTGTAAACTCAACTCTCCTCCACAAGCCAGTGGCATTAACAGCTTGGGACAAGTATTATTTCGTAAGAGTCTGTGATGTAATAATACATTCAGTCAGGGTGGCAGTATTGAGACAAATACTCACAGCCATCATCATCTCTACAGCCAATGAATGCTACAACACAGCAATGGTTGAACAAACTTTACATGGCATTCACCTCAAGTCCAATTTACCAACCCGCCAAAGCCCATGCACGGATGCGCTTTAGCTCGCAAACCGCGGGGATTTAGCGAACCCTGCCTCCGCGCACCCGCTAGAACCAATCCAGAAGTCCGCTAAACACCTCGCAGCTCAGCTAACGCTGCTGCTGGCAGCCATTCCTTGGTTCTTGTTCAATCTTCTTACTGTACCGCTTCCTCCAACCTCACAAGTCTCGCGTGTCTGTCTCACAGCGAGTACAGTAAGCTGCTCATCTCGGACCAGCGCCCTCTCTGTTACACGGCATCTTCGTGTGAGGACTAAAGAGTAGAAAGAGGCGGCTCTGACTCTCTCGCCCGACTGGCCAGCTCCTTTCCCTTTCAAGGAGAGCGAGCAAACAGCCTGGCTCGTGACGCGGGTGCCGTCCTTGCTTCGTTTTCGTCCTCGGCTTCTCGCTACTTCTTCCACCTGCTTTCCCTCGTCGTCTCATCGCACGTCGATGATTTCCACTCGCCCTGCTTAGCAATCCGAAACACCACAACCACGACGCAGGCAACAAGAACAAGGCCAGCCAGAATTCCAGCACTTCCGCGCCTCGCCTCGCCTCAACCATGGCGGCTCCCAGCGCCACGCCGCCTCTCCTCCTCACCAAGCGCCTCAACGCCTTCCTGCACTCCCACCAGAGCGCCCACCTGCCGACGCTCCTCCTCACCACCTCCCAGGGCAAGCTCCTCGCCCACGCCTCGTCCCAGCCCGTCACCGTGCTGCGAACCCACGCCACCGTCGCGGCCTCTCTGCTCGCCATCCACACCTCGTCCTCGGCTGCCATCCCAACCGCCCTGCCCGGGTCGCGCACGCCCGATCCCATCGTCAGCTCCCCCGGCAGCCCCCACGGCAGCGACCACTACCACGATCTCGACGAGCACAGCAGCCAGGGCGACGCGGCCGATGCGTCCGGCCCGACGCGGTCGAGGTCACGACATACCATCCGGCCGGTCACTATTACTGTCCAGCTCAGCGAGGGCACAGTCCTCATCCGCCGTCTGAAATGCGGCCTGCTCTTTGTGTGCGTGGGCCCTGCGGCGTCTAACCTGCAGGACCAGCTGCATCACTCGTCGTCGCACACGCATCATGAAAACGGCGATGGGGTCGGCAGTCCCAGCGAGGTGGAAAGCTTGATCAGCACGGGTGGGCTGACGACGTCGAGCTTGGAGAGCGCGAGCGCTGCGCCGGTGGTTGCTATGAGGAGACACGCGGCAGAATTGGCGCGGTGGTTGGATGAGAAACTTGGAACGTTGAGAGTGCCCGAGGAGGGCATTGGTGTCATTGACCTGCATGCACCGGCGCATGTATAAGGGGAAAGGCTGATGAATGCTGATGAGGAAGAGGGAAAATGCGTTCTGTCAGAGTAATGCTATCATGGGCGTTTGGATTTTTTTCATGCGGCTTTTTCATTCGGTACATTTTGCATCCATCATTTCGGAGGGAAAGTAAGCAATAGGGAGAAACTTTTAGTACAAGACTTGTAATACTCGCGGCATTCAGATTATATATCGAGATGAACAGCAACGGAAATAAATCATTCAGTCACTATTAATATTCATCTTTCGAGTGCTACGAAAGCTCATGAATTCATATCAAGGTGGCCACTATAAACGCCTGGGCTCATAGTATGCATGTCTATATATACATGTGCCAGTTCTTTCGTCTCAATAAATAAGCAGATTACATCTCATGCTTCCCTTTGTACCCTTCTGCCATGTTGCCATGGCAAGATTATCAAACGCCGTCCCAATGCAGTATGAAAGCCAACCGTCTACTCCCCTCTACTCAAGCTGCTCGCGTGGTTAATGTCACAAAATACAACGTAATTTACAATCTTCCAAGTGCTCCCGCTCGAGAAGTCACTCAATGCTCATTCGCATGATACCATCGTTCGTATCCGTCATTCCCTGAAGGCCGACTCTTCCCTTCCTGACCTGGCCTGTTGAGCCCACAGGGGGGTTCGCTGGCGTTCCGCCCATGCTGCCAGATTCACTCTGTCCGCTGCTACCTCTGTCGCCGCCGGTGCTGCCGGGTCGTGAGCCCCAGGGCATCACGTCGCGCTGCATGGGGCTTTGGATGATGGGCGAGTTGTGCACGCTGATGCTGGGGCTGACGGCGCGACGCTTGAAGCTGGTTGGGTCAAAGTCATCGTCTCGACGACGCTTGTTGTTGATTCGCCTTGTAATCTCTGCGGCACTAGGCAGTTGGCCATTCTACAAACATCTGGTTAAAAACAACTCAAGCATGGATTAATGGGTGTTTGACTTACGTAGAAGCCACTGGAGTTCAGGGAAGGCGAATCCATGTTAGTATCCTCGCTTATCCCCGATGATGAACCCCGAGGCAGAAAAGTTGCCCCAGGAGGCGGCGTTCTTGCTCCGCTTGATTCGGAAAACGTATCCCAAAACTGTTTGCCTTTGGAGTTCTTCATGGCCTGCTGCTTGAAGCTGCTTCCTAGGCCTGCGCTCAAATCACTCATTGGGTCGTCTGCAGGGATTTCCTCCAGGACTTCTTGAGTGCTGGTGAGATTAGGTGATGAATGGGTTGTCGTCATGGCGCTATGGTCAGCGCCCGCGGGTTGAACGCGAGGCTCAAAGTCGACATCGCTTTCGCGGACTTGCTTGACGATTTCAGCTTCTCGCATGAATTCGGACTCTGCTGGTGAGCCCTCTTCTGCGAGAGCGGCACGGATGCGTGCAAATGCTTTTGCTTTGGGCTAGGAGCAAGTTAGTTGTGTGGACGTTTTACAATGTGATTCTCAAGTTGGCTCTTACCAAGAGATTCCCCCGCCGTGTAACAACCCGCCGTATCACGCTCTTCTGATCGCCACTGCTGCCTTCTGCGGGCGCGCCCTCGTCAATATCTCTCGATGAAATGTGGAGCTGGTTCGCTTGCCAGCTTATACTCTCCCTCCTAGCCCGCGCCGCAGCCGAGTTACTAGGCGGTGACTTTGAGAGGACAGCCGAAGCAAGGTTGAATCCTAGGCCGAGGGGACCATGTGGCTTCTTCTTCGGATGTTTGCGATGTCGCTGCCGGTGCTGGAAGCTCGCTAGGCTACCCATAGAGGGGGAGCCCAAAGCACCGATCCCAGAGCCCTGTCCTATAGGCATGCCTGTCTTGGATACCTGCGGCGTCGTCACGTAGGGCTCATCCATTTCTTCGTCCATATCCTCGTCTTCTGAAGAAGAGCTGGAAGAGTCCGATGGGACCACATGGTTGCTTCCAAGTGAAGTGCTGATATTGTGTCGTTCCTGATCGCCCATCATGGACCACAGAGACGTTGATGTCTGCTCTGCGCCTCCATACGGCCCCCTCCGCGCAGGAATGTTCATACCCCGCTCCCCGATGACGGGTGACGAGTCTGGAGACGGCTGCTCGGCCAGGATCGAGTGGTGGAGGCTGGTCGCGGCCCGCGAGAAGTCGAGGCCTCGTGAGCGGCGGGGCAGCAGGCTAGTGGGCGAGGCGTAGGTGTGCGAGTGCGAGTGGTCCAGCTTGGGCGACACCGGAGCTGGCCGGATCGAGGCGCCGGAGGGAGTGCCGGGAGGAGGCGAGGCCTGCCGGGTCGGCACGTGGATCGACAGGCGGCGCGGCGTGACGGGAGGCTGCAGGCGGTCGAGGCTGCTGTCGTCCTTGGAGGTCCGTCGCGAGGCGTCGACAATGTGCGGGCTCGGCGAGAGCTTCGACGGCGTGCCGGTGCTGTCGGACAGCGAGCGGGTCTTGAATGTCATTGGCGATCGCAGCTGGGCAACATCTCCGCTGTCTTGGCTGCGCCCTTGGCTGTCCTCGTCCATGATGACGGCATCGCCAAAGGGCATGCCAGCCAGGCCTCTGGGCCGTTCCATGATGGCCTCGTGGGAGGGAAGCGTGGTGTGGTGTCAAAGTTGCGCCGAGAACCAGCAGCGATCTCGATTGTCTCACGAATGATGTCTTGGTCGCCGATCTCGCCGAGTGGGATTCGTCTAGCATAAACGGTTTTGTTTCTGCGAGTCGCAATGCACAGAGAGGACTGCGGGATGCTATGGCCTGTCCAGATGCGACTGCGCGAACAGCGACAAAATACGAACCGCGAGTCACGGCATCGAAAGCCAGCTTGTCGCGAAGAGAGAAGAGGGAACGGAAAGACGAGGAAGAGGCGCGAAAGCCAATCAATGCAAGAGGGCGGAAATGATGGGTTGTTACAAAGTGAATTGAGGATCAATCCATGTGTGAGGATCAAAGATGCAGAATCGCAGTTTGTTGTGAGCAGTGACAAGTAACGGCGACGAGAGTGCGCGACGTCGAAATAGCAGCTTGCAGCGCAACTTTGGCTTTGTGGTGTGCTGGGCGCGAATTGGACCACCAGCTTCAGCTTCTCTAGATGGAGGGGCCCACCGCCGCGTCTAAAATGCCCCGCCGCATGGATAATCAGGGCGCTAAGTTAGCTGCGGCTTAGTGGCGGGATAAAAAAGGAGCTGATGACGTGAGGTTTTGGCATTCAATTGATAGAGGGAAAAGGTGAAATGGGAAGATTTGATTGACAAAAAACTGGATTGTGTTTGTCGGCCAATATATCGGAGAAGTAGTCAAGATATTGTAGATGTCTGCTGAAGAATAGAAACACTACTGAGCTGTTGATGGGACACTACCTAAGTGGTGTGTTACATGACCAAAGTTCACAGGTAGATAGAGCTTTCACAAGTCAAGAAGGTTTGAAGAGAGTAATACCAAATATTAAAACAGTGGTCATTGCACCGGTTGAAAGCACATATAGAAGCTCTATTGAATCTTAGCTAATTACCTAGTACATATAGGCAATATGCAGGCCGGCCAGCAGCACCCATAGGTCTAGGGCGATTGCATACTCCCGGCTGTTTCTCAAGTACAGAATGCATATAAGAGACATTTAATCAAGTTGCGTGTATATAAAAGACGCACAGCTTCCCCGCAGCAGCACCCGGCATCAAATCTCAGATCCTGATTACTGCCAGTAATGTTAGCATAGTGTATAAGACGGATGATTGCCAAATCGGTAACATGAGACAGCATACTAGGTAATACAAGACAGTGATTTGATCTTGGGGGGTGGCCGCTAATATTTAGACCAATTCCGATCTTGGGTGTCTGCCGAGATCTACGGGCCGACAACAAACGTTGATCTAGAGCATTGGTCTCCATAAAGCTCTTTATGCACCTGTCGCTTCAGATTGCAAAATTGATAGGAGTAGCGGGCGAGAACAGTGAGTGGATAGAAACTAGCAAAAGAAGATGAAAATAAGTGCTGTGCTCAATAGCTTCCACAATACGGGAGCGAGTGCTGAAACGTCCATGTCCATGTTAGTTGTAACACAAGGTGCTAATCCGTGAAGCGGTTAATGTGTCTTTTTACTCTTAGCAAGCGTTTCTTCCATCGCACAATCAAGGTTCAATATAAACCATCTAATATCATTTATTCCTTCACGTAGATACTATGAGGCAATGCTGTGATCTGCAGAAATAATTTTGCCGGCCACGTATACTCTTCTCAGTTTCATGACGACGACGATACTCTAAGCCCACCAGATACTGACTCTTGCTACCTCCATGATCAGGGTGTTTACTGAACATGCCTTATTTATGCATAACAACTCAAACTTAATTCCACCAGTAGCGCCTACAGCTCACTATCGAGCTGCATGCCCTTCGTATACAGTAGTAGCACTTACACGAGACTGATCCACAGCACATCAATTATGAGACAAATACCCACAAGATACCACAAGTATAGGTGGAAAATTTGGCAATCAGAGGCATTGCACTTGCTGGCTCAAGCCCAAAATAGACTATTGTCTTGAAAATTTCTCAAAGGCTGTGCTCAAAGGCTGTGGAATGCCTGCCAGCGTCCATCCATTGCATGCAGCCAAGGCGCCAGCAGTTTACAGAAAAGCTTGGCATTGCGCCAAAAGTGGATTTCGGCTATTGATACATGTGTATTCCGATGAGCATTTATGCTGTAAGACTCGTATACGAGCAGCGGCCAGCATTGACACCAATAGCACCTCGGTATGTTCCTAGTTCGGCGAGGCTGAGCCACTCTAGCCTATTTTCTGTATGCTTAGTTTTAACCCATGAAAGCTTGATAACCAGATCGATGTCTTTTGAAACAATTTCGATACGTCACGGCCGTGGCTGGTATCGTGGACTCGGGTACTGTATCCGATTCTCTTGCTGTGCAGATCGGTGAAGGAGCTCATTGAGGCGTGTGTAGGATGTTTTACGGAAGAATGTGTGCCTCCCTAACGATGATTGCATACACAATACGAAATTGACCCAATCATATATGCTGCTAGCAATACACGCGCTTTCTTGCTGTGCACTATTTCACGTATACAGGGTATATTGCAAGTCGTCGATTGCTTCAAGTGAGCATATTTCAACAGGCTACCCTACTATCATACTTATATGCACCTACATGTAATACAAGGCTACTTGAGAAGTCCTGCGTTCAAAATTCTTGCTACCAAATAAGTAGATATGGAAAACAGGGAGCTACCCTGATGCGCTGGGCTTAATTTGGGGCAAAGGAATCATGCAGGCTCGATCGGACCAATTGGATGTGTCCCGAATGTGTCACGACTCTGTCGTGCTGTTTGTAGGATTTTAAGATGGAGTTCAAAAACCACTAGTAGCGGCTTCTATGCAAGATCTGGATAGTACCAGATTAATTGCATCTGTGGAAATAGCACTTGGCCATCTCTAGTCACCTCTCGTTATCGTGTACGGCTTCTCGTCGCACCAATGCCCATATCGTGAGTACATGTGAACAAAGACATGCAATTTGAACCCAGAAATAACACCCACGTGGATTCAACAATGGCCACGCCGCCATAGCGGGCTTAAACAATGAATGGCCAAGATAGATTATTTCCGGGGCCGGGCCGACCGGTATGAATGCCGATAGTGATCTCGCAATTCTCATCTCCATTTGCGTGTCAGTGATGACCAATCTGGAGGGGCAGTCTAATTCGCTAGTAGTCTCGCCCTCCCTTGCTGACAAGATTTGTCACCTGCCTGTCCCTTGAGATTGGGAAGGTCTGCGTTGCTTTTGAGAGATGCATACATTTACCATTATCAAGAGACTCTCGTTATCTATCAGGGATATCTGAAACTGCCACAGAGGTTATTGCGGCGCGTGCGAGCTAGCGCCATGACTCGAGAGAATGATGTTGAGACCCAGGCGGGACATACTGAAAGCACGCCCTTGCTGGTAAGAGAGCAGTCGGTCCAGTCTCATCCAGAGCAGCAGGAAGATCAAAAGAGGTCTGCTCGCTGGTACCTGTGGAGGATATTCTGGGCTATTGCTGCGGCCCTTGTCCTTGCAGTCTTTATCAAGGGCTGGATTGACGCAGATGGCGATGTCAACGTTGGTGCTATCTTCTCACTTGCATGCATTTTTGCCATGAGTTTGCATTCTGACTGGCATTGTATAGTTTGATTTGGATAAAGCACTCAAGAGAGCTCTTGGCGGCGGCTTGTCCGGTGCGGCGGCGATGTTCCTACAAGTCCTGCTTCTCATGGTAATCACTCACTTACTCTCACCCTCTTCTTCATCCACCTCTTAGCCAAGACTAAGACTTTGTCGCGTCATTTAGCCGCTGAGGACGATTATGAACTATCAATATCGCTTTGGAACCTCATTCACCATTGCAACCCAAAAGCTCTATGCTGATGGTGGATTTGGCCGATACTATTCGGGCATCGGAGCTGCACTTATACAAGGTGAACAATCTACTCATTTTACTGAAAGTGGTCTATATGTTGTTGGGTAATGTCTAACGTTTGGCCATCTACAGGACCCCTGGCAAGATTTGGAGACACAGCGGCCAACGCTGGCATCTTGGCACTTCTGCAGTCCAACTCTTATCTGAAGGACTTGCCTTCGCTCGGAAAGACTGTTTTTGCCTCTCTTTGGTATGCTCACACTTGATTCCCCTCTATTATTTGACAGGACCTGTGTTACTGATATGCGCCACGTCAAGCGCCGCTGCTTTCCGCATGATCCTCACTCCCGTCGATACGCTCAAAACAACTCTCCAGGCCCAAGGTTCCAGTGGAACTGCCCTGCTTCGCCAACGCATCAAAGAACACGGGGTCGGTACTCTATGGTGGGGAGCTTTTGCCACTGCGGGAGCGACATTTGTTGGACACTACCCCTGGTTTGCGACTGTAAGGCTTGTATCTACCTTGAACACAAGGGATGAATTGGGCGCTCACATTGCTACAGTACAACTTGTTGACGGAGAGCATTCCAGAGCCACCAAAGTCCGAGCTTCTCCTATGGCTGCTACGCTTGGCGTTTATAGGATTCGTCGCATCGATAATATCCGACTCTGTTTCCAACTCGCTGAGAGTAGTAAAGACGTATCGACAGGTCAATGATACAAAAGTCTCATATAGTAAGTGGCTCCATGTTATCTCTTTAAGATCCTTGCAGAGGAACTTCCACCCTAATACATTTATAGCCGAGGCTGTACAGCTGGTGATTAGAGAAGACGGAATTTCGGGGCTGCTTGGGCGAGGACTGCCTACGCGCATTTTGAGCAATGGCCTTCAAGGGCTGCTGTTTTCCATCCTCTGGAAGCTTTTCTTGGATATGTGAGTTGATTCACCAAATATTCGAATGAGTAGTGTTTAACTAACTCATAATTGTTCAGCTGGGAGCATAAGACAAGCTCGTAACGAAAATAATGGGTTGGCTTTGCCTGCTAAAATAACATTTCTCCGCGCCGGATGTACTATATTTTTGACGTGCCAACTCATGGACTACTCTTCGTCTTTTAGTAGTTCAATTTTGTATGCTATATGAGTACATGTATGTTTCTCAATGTTTTGGATTGGGCCTAGAAGGAACGCTGAACCAGTGGCGACAGTCATATCCATTGGTTAATGAATCTTGGAAAAACAACTAACTATTATATACTCTCTCAAACGTCATCAAACGATATGGATGTCTATGTTCCATTAATGCTTTCATAAAAATCCTCCCCAAAGATCTCTCATGCTATAACAAAGGCGGTTATTACATATCTGTTACGCACATATATATGTACCTGTTAACCAACCAGTTCTCAAACCTTCAGCAGCAATGGAGCTGCCATTGATGACTCGAGGGCAGAACTAATATCCTCCGCATTGAATCGCAGTTCCTTGTTAGCATTAAGCATATGGAACACTATGGACTCGAGCTTGCTTATCCCAGTCCCCACGTATACTGGACTTAATTTGGCTCTGACAGAAAAAATGTACTGTAGCCATGTTTTCATCTTAATTTGATTTTCGTCGTTATGAAGGAGGTTGAGTATGGGCCAATCGCGCCTCTCGGAGTCTTCCTCTGGACAGGTAGTCTTTTTCTTCTTTTCCTCCGGATAATCGATCTTGCCAAGCAAGTAGAGCATGGTAATGCCTAACGCCCATATGTCCCCTGGTGATCCACGCGAATTGGAGGTTAGGAGATCTGGAGGGAGGTACCAAAGCGTGCCTCCTGCATTCCATTTACTGGCGCTCGTAGCCAATCCAAAATCGATAAGAACAGCGCCACGCTGAGAGGAGTAGGTAATATTGCGTGGCTTGATATCGTTATGGACGATTGGGATCGTCTTCAAGTACACCAAAGCGGATGAAATATCAAGCAATATTTGAAAAATGGCCGATTGTGAATATTTGGCCCTAACTCCCCGATAAAGAGATTCTGGGAGAGGCTCTAGGTATATCGCAAGCATGCGACCATCGAACGCCTTGAGCGCTACAACGTTCCTCTGCGTTGGGTTAGAACGAAATTTGCAGTATACCGATGGCACGAAACTGTGGTTTGACTCACATGTTTTAACTTCTCAAGTGTGTTTTTTTCTGTCTTCCACAAGGACGAAGAAACAAGAGGTGACTCCCTGTCGTATCGAAGGACTTTGGTGGCTACAAGCTCAGAAGAGCGTATGCAATGAAAAACACTCGCGGATGCTGTAGCTGCAATTTGCTTGACCCGGCGTAGTTGATAGCTTGCTGGTCCTTTTGCTGCAGACACTGATTGAGAGCTGTCGGGCCTATCTTGCAGAGCCTGGATGTCGGCTTCTTCTCCATTTGCGAGATCTAGAAGGGAGACTATTGTTTTGTTGGGAATCTTCTGGACAGATGACGTGAGAGCTAGATCCCGGGCATCAGTGCTCTCAGTGCCAATGGCGGTAGGCCTTGGCTCTATACTCGTCTTGTTTAAAGGTCGGATGAGGGTAGTTCCTGTGAGATCATTGTTTCGCTTTTGTCTCTTGTTGACATTCTCTTCAGCGCCATCGTCAATGCCTCGCTTTGTTCGCGATGGGCTATTCGCTGTCCGAATTGAGATGTCAAATTGTCTTTCACGAAGCCAAAACTCAGCAAGATGATATTCTCCAGAATCTTTATTGTCGCCGTCTATAGATATTCTCCGCATGCCGGGCTGGAGGAAGTGACTTTTCTTCTCTCCAATAGATACACAGAGAGCCGGAGATGAACTGAAGTTTGTCAGGCGTAATTGCCGTTCTGCATGGTTTACCAAAAGGCAGTCATCCTTCCCAGGATGGTAGATAATCTGGCATGTTATACCAGTTTCAAATGAAATATAGCCATCTTTATCTTCGAGCGGTAAACGTAGAACCAAGTCCGCATCCTGAGCTTGCTGGGTGACACCAAACGTCAACCTATTCGTAGCTTTGTATGGGAGGGGTATGATGGATGAGTTCCGATGCGTATCTTCAGGAAAGTCTGTTGAAGTTATAATCAATCTAGCATCTTGCACACGCCGCAAAGCTTTCGTAAACAGTGCATCGATCTCCGTGGTGGTTGGTGCCTTCGTAGCGAATCTCAAGGCCTCACGCATTCTTTTGAATTCTAACGCCGCTTCATTGGCAAGAACGTGTGGCCCTATCTGCGTCGCGGAGCCGAAACTAGATTGAGAGCATGTCAGAGCGTAACCTTGATTCCCTAGCTCTTCAGCTGCGGTTATTGCGCGATGCTCTATCTGAATTGACGGCGGTTGGGAGGAATGAGAGTCAACGGCGCTGATATGCGATCGGGCTGTGCCAAAAGAAGCCGACAGGATTGAATCATTAGTGAGCTCCGACATGATGCTGGCTCAGGATGTCTAGGATATGTTTGGAATGAGGAAGAACAGTGTGTATAGGTAGGTAGTAATCGATAATACTGACGGTTTTAAGCGGTAGTATCTCATCTGCGAGTTCAAATCAATTACACCACGACCACTGCCTCATACTTATACACGCTGCAGAGGAGCGCTGAATAGAGGCAGCAAAACGCCAGAGGAGCTTCAGATGCGCCATACAATAAGAGACCAGACGCTATCTGGTGCCACGCCGGGCACTAAAAGCGGGCAGATCCTCGCCAGAAGCCACCGTGAATATGAGTGGATCCGATACTGGGTGGCGTACTATGCCATGAACAGGCGGAAATCGGTGGCGACCTCAGATGCCAACGATAACACAAACAGCAGTTCACTAACAGGGTGTCGCTAAAGAGGCGCAGAATGCTCTGTACTCCGTGCAGGCAGCGTGCCCTTTTATGCGTGATTCGCTACGCCTTATTAACGGTTCTACTAGTACGACACACAGCAAAACGTGCTCCACTGCAGCATCACTGAACAGGCTGGCTAAGAGTCAGGCTCGGAATTGGACACACGTCTCATCTCAGCACAAAGAACCATAACACTGTGGCATCGACAACGACTATCCTGATCATTCCTGGCTCGATCAATAGCACCCGCACATCATCGCGACCTGACGGCGACCACGAATCGAGCGATATATCAAAGATACTGACCATGGGTCGCTTCGATGCGCCAAATCCGGTCAATGAGCTGACAAAAAACACCGAATGGTATGAGGCTGCTCCTCCTGGCATGCGCAGCCCCGACCATCTTTGGAAAGAATACTGGCAGCGCTTCAATACGTATCCCATTTCGATTTTTGACAGCAACAAATATTTTGAAACCGCTATGGAGATAGCAAAGGCCTCCAAAAACAAAGCGGATTTTGAACGGAAATTTGAGAAACATAACAAACAACAATATGAAGTCCTCAATTCTGCGCTAAAAGATCTATACTGGGTTATTGAAGAGACTTATCCGGCCCTCGATGCTCAAAATCCAACTTCCACTGCTCAAAATCCAACTTCCGCTGCTCCTCGTGCGATCCCCCCGGCACAAAAGCTCAGATGCCTCGACCACTTTGTCCAGTTATTACATACCTACGTCTACCAACGAAAATCGGATAAGAAACCTAAAACGATAGTCGTGGAGAAACAGGATCATACAAAGGAAAATTCCCGTCAAGAGAGAGGGCACGAACTCATGGAAGATGAGACGGAGGAACTTATTAGGGAAATCATCCCAGCCCCCTCTGCTGACCCAGAATATGAAAAATCTCTAGATGAAGAGTTTTCCAGTGAGGATGAGTGGGGCACTCAGCTTCCTGAGGATATAGACTATGGTTATAGGCTCGACCAGGAGTATAAGATGCGCTATGGGGGAAGCAATACTTTCGCGAGGGCGGAATTCGAATCGTCGATGCTTTTATCCGACGATGCTGCTTCACATACCCTCAACTCTGAAGACGATACCCCTTCAATTCAGCAGGTCCCATCACTCATATCAAACGATTCACAGGACCTGAAGGAGGGAAATGAGTCTCTGGCGACACAAGATGAGCTGAGAAGACGATCCAGTATATCATCTAAAAGCCAAGGTTCGAATTCGGCCAAGAAGAGGGTTCGGTTTGACGACGATGAAGATATCAGTATCCATGAGCCTAAACGTCGAAAAGTAGACAACAGTCTTGCGCATACCGAAACCTCCCCGACCCCTCAGGCTACTCGCGCGTCATCTATACAGGCTGCCCATGGGAGCGCATCACGGAAAAGATCCAGGTCTGACGAAGATGAAGAAGACAACGGATATAAGCGTCAGAAAATAGAGAGTCTGCCACGCCCACCATCTCCTGTCCCCAATGCTAGCTTTACGGAAGACGATTCGGCAAATCATCTAGCCCAGGGAAGTTCAGAAAAAGTATTGGAAGAGCAAGTTCCGGAAAGCGACAACAGCGGGCGAAAGCGCCGAAAACAAAAGCCCAAGTCGCCAACTTCACGTGCAAACTCTTCTCGAAACACTCTGAACACGAGGTCTTCGAGGAGATCCAATTCGTCTACGCTTTGGGAACTGGATGCCTCGGGCAAGCCCCGTTCGAACTACTAATTGGAAAAGAAGGCAAAGACTGGGGTATGAGGCTGTTGGGAGTTTCCGAGATCATGGCCGTTATCCTGGCAGGGCTGGGTGCAGCGGTTAGATTGAAAGAAACATTGACACGGTGTTCTGACTGAGGGCATGGTCGTTATCCTGGCAGGGCCGGGTGCAGCGGCGTAGTTCGATGAAAGGAAGATGCCGTGTCTAAACGCAGAACATGGTCGTTATCCTGGCAGGGTTTCCGGGTGCAGCGGCGCAGTTCAAGCAGCGCCATAGGGTTGTAAATTTCCGAGGGCATGGTCGTTATCCTGGCAGGGCTGGGTGCAGCGGCGTAGCTCAGAGAAAACAACGGCGTTTCCCATGGACAGTCTCGGCCAAGTCTTTGTCAGCCTCTTCTTCCAACCCAGGTGAGCTTGGATGTCATGTGAAGATGTTGTGGTGGTTGAGCATTACGATATTTTGATATTTTGAGATACCCATTGAGCGTTTTTGTTTATAGTCATTTGAGCGTACTTGCCAACGTCTTTTGTTGTGCCCGTCACGTATAATAGAAAGAATAAGCCCATTATTTGCTTGAGTATTTTTTACTACCATATATTATGAAACCAAGTTTCATACTTCCAATTTGTCACCAGTGAAAAAGAGTCTTCTGATGCCATTTTGTTATTTCGTTTACAAGTACGACCATCTATCTCCTAGGGATGAATAGGTATCTTGTTTGATACTATGATATGATACGCACAGACAACAAGCACAGATGAACACTGTTGAACAGCATATTATTGGTTTTGTTATCTCGCTACTAGATAAGGCAATTCAACTTGTTTCCAGTGCAAACCTGCACTAAAGTGTGGGCGGGCCATCGTGACTACACTGAACAAGCGCGCTGATGACTAAGCACAGCAGAAATTTTCCGGGCCCACGCCTTCAAGCCTATAAATTTCTTCACTCGCCGCGCTAGAGCGAAGCTCTTCTTTTTCTTTTTCTTTTCTTCGTGCGGCTGGCATGATCTGAAATTTATACCCGTGTTGCTCGAGTCCCTTCATCAATGGATAAATCGCAGCGTCAATCATGCCCCAGATAAAATATAATTGCAAACTGGTTTCTCTATTCGTTCTGATTCCCATGGCTTTGGACGCGGGATTCGTGGATGGAAGGCTGGACATACTTCCTGCTGTGTCTCTAAACTGTGATCTGTCTATACCCATGCTTTGAATTGTAATGCTGCTGTTGCATGAGTACGTCTTGTCATAAAGTACACCCTTGGTGAACTGCACGGCCACATTTCATGAGCCTCAGCTGAATCGACTGCGATATTCTGAGATTTCTATCATATCCAATGGCGATAGAGGCCGCTGGCTAAAGAGTCTTTGACCTTTGAGCCGTCCAAAATCGGGAATAACACACGTGAACCTGAGGAAACTGGCAGTTGATTCTTGATTCACCAATACCCAAGGGTGTGCAAATGGCCTCGCCAAGTCTTATTGAAGAAGAATTCTACGACATGGCTTTAGCGTTGCAGACATTGAAGCATAGGGCACCGGGAAACGGCATTTCAGCCTGCGGCCAATCAGCGCAAATAATATCCGATGCCCTTGCATATGCCCGTCATTTTCAGACCCATTTTAGAGTAATGTGATACCGTATGGCTGCTGGTCTCTACCTAGGCACATGTTATCTGGGTAAGTTGCCTCAAGTGACAGTCTTTAAATGGACTATAAGAATACTATCTGATACAAGCAAGAACTCCATCAATCCAACAAGATCTAGGGACTCCTCTTTGCTTGTACACTCTTAAATCCTTCAGCGTCTAGAATGAAGCAGTACGTAAGATAAATGTTGGTTATTCACTTCTCACTGCTCTCTTGGTTTGTCCCCAACGCAAAAACAAGCAAGAGCAATAGTAGAGTGTCATTTGGTAAAGAAGCGAAAGTTGCTTCTCCTTCCTACCGCTCAAGGAAGAAGAGGGTAGCGTTTCAACAACTGGCTGGAAAGTGAGTTTTGAGTACGACAAGAGAAGAAGCAGACAATATAGGCTCTGCTATATTTCATCAGTGTCCCAAATAATGTCAATTTGTAGTCCGTATTAAGAGTTTCAATCGCGTATGGTTATCTTGTATATAATTTTTTTTTCATTTGGTAGAGGCATAGCGTAGTTGTTATTCATACATTGTAATAAAAAATGCATGTTGTCAAGTTTATTGCCTCTAGGTATAGACTTGAGTCTAGAGAAGTGCCCTGTGTAACTAAGGTTAGCTTATATTGGAAGAAGAGTATTACTTGAAGTCCCACGTATGAAATGATTGAACACCATTAACATACCGCATGTTGCAAGCGACGTCGTTATTCCCTATCGCATCTTCTGGCATCGACTAAATCCAACCATATGAATGTTATTCCAGCCCCATGCCCAAGTACAACCGTACTGCCACAAACGAATGCACATTGGTTCCTATATTCTTCAGGAATCCAAAGTAGGCGTCTTCGATTTTGCGTTACCCACCCATCAGTGATTGGAATACCTCGGCCTTGTATGTCCTTCGAGAGATCTGCGTCTAGGCTCACAATCCGTTCATCGTCCTCGAACAATCTTACCCTGTATTGATGCTCTAAGTAGAGATGTTGACCATCTGGCGAGAACATAATATGATTATACGTCTGCTCGTCCGGAATTTTCACCGGAATTTCCACATCGAATTCCTGCCGATGCTTTCCCGTTGCTGTGTCCCATAAATCTATTTGGTAGATCTTAGCTTCGAATAGATGATAATGCGCCGATGCCAGCATGCTATTGTTTGGGGAGAAAGCGAGGCATCTTGGTCGATAAGAATGATAACAGTCCACCTCCCAGAGCCACCCGCCCTTTACTATGTCCAATAGCACAACTGTTCCGGGTTCGAATCCCATCGCTAACTTGGTGCCATCTGACGAGAATGCAAGTCCCCGCACCCGATTGCGGTCCATGGGCTCCCGGCAGGTACATTCCCCAGTCATTGTGTCCCATAACTGTATTTGACAGTGCAATGCTGTTGGTCCCCCACTTTCATACCATGCTCCCAATGCCAAGGTCTTTCCATTCGCTGAGATTGCAATGGCGCTATAATCGCAACTGTCCCAGATGTCGGTGAAATTATGTCGCCAATTGTCCTCGATTGTCCGACAGCACTCCCCTGCCGTGGTATCCCATATCTGCGCTATGTTGGATTTTGCACATGCCACTGCTTTACCATCGGGTGTAAAAGCAAATAATCTATATGCATCGACAAAGTGATTGGATTCACCCTTCTCTTGCATGCCTATTGCCGCGTCCCATAGCTGTATCTTGTGACTTGCCGACGCCAATATCTTATTGTCTGGTGAGATTGCTATTACCGAATCGTCTTCCCCGACGGAAGTCTGTACAAGAATGCCCGAACTTGGATCCCATACGCTGTTTTCTACCCCCTCCAAACTTAGTAGGAGCTTTTCACCATCTTGACAAAATGTGATGGCTTGTATTATCCCAGTCGTAGTAAAAAAACCCCTGGCGAACTCATAGTCTGCCGTATTAAGCTCTCCTAGGTGCGCACCCGTTGCTGCATCCCATAGTCGTAATATTTTCCTACTTCCTGATGCTATTTTCCCACCATCTGGCGAGACTGCAATTGCTTGTATCTCGCCATCATGGCCTTGAATGATCTGTAGACACGCGCCAGTTGTTGCATCCCACAATAGAATTAAGCCAGATGTTAATCCTGATACCAACGTCTTACAATCTGATGAGAACGCGAGAGCAGTAACGTCATAGTGGCAATCAATTGTCAGTGAAGGCCAATTTAATCGCACCGCACGTTTGACCACCAAACGGACGACACGGCTTGCGTTCGGTATCCCACTTGCTGGCGATAATGTAATATATCTTATCCAATAGTCATCGCATTTTGCGTTTTCTTTCTCGCTTTCTTTAGTGTCCCTTCCCAGCATTGGATATCCACAGGTGGCAAGTAGCAATATTCTGTTGTCTGGCGAAAACGCAATGGCCGAGACACCATAGTCATGGCATTGAACTGTCCAGTCAAGGGCACCTGTTGCAACGTCCCAGCAACATAGTTGTTCGTGCCAAGACTTTGACACCAGCATCTCGCCATCGGGGGAAATTGCAAGAGCTTCAACACGACGGGTGTGGTACTTGAGTGTCTTCAAGAAACCGTCTGTTGTAATCCCTTGAATGTCTTTGATGAAAGGTAGTCTCTCGTCCCATTGGGTTGCCTTTATGTGATCATGCACTGGACTAAACATAAGGGCTGAACCATATACTTGAAGCGGCGATTTGGTAATAAGCGCTGCATTGCGAAGGATGAAAATTTCTATGCTGCTTAAAGTGCTCGAAAGCTGAATATTTTTATTACGTGGTAGCTACATGTAACGAGCCATTAGCATCCTTGTTCATATGTAGTCCCAGACTCTTGGAACATACCTCGTGGAGAAGTTTGCGCATGGAACGTATGCCTTCTAAAAGCCCGTCGAGCAGAGATAAGCTCTCTATCCAACGGAGGACATGGTTATTTAAAAAGGGTTTAAACGTCTCATTGATGATCAGTTGGGTTTCGTCTTCGGAGCTCGCATTACATGTATCGCAAAGATGATTGGCCCAATAAAAGCATGAGTATCTCATTGAAGCCAGAGGATTCGGATCAGGCGGCTGCGCATCTTTCGGCCTAGGCCCAAAGTCTGTGAGGCCGTATATGTTTTTTGGTAGCTTTGATATAGCAGCAACCGATTGCTTGAAGACATCTAAATGTCTTTTAGCAGCGTCAGTCGAGTGTATCTCTGTGTAAACAAAATCCTTTGCCGACTGATGGATAAAGTAGACTTTATCTTCGTTTAGTGTGAGAAGTGAACCACACATTGTTACCAGCTTGGCAATGGATTCGAGGCTCCCCGATATGTGATCCGGTATCCCAGCGACAACTCCTACTTCAGCCAAGCTGAGTGGATAATATGCTGTAAATACCGCTGAAAGTAGATTTTTGCAAAGACTTTTATTTCTTCTCGATAGGCTGTTGATTTGGTGCATCATCCGATTGTATAGGGCAACTAGGTCCGTTGGCATATCTGCAACCACTTCCATTACTTCCCAGGCTTCAACCTTTTGAAGCTCTTTCATCACTAGAGATACCCATAGAAATGTGCCATTGGCTTTTTGTTGGACTAATTTGCGTAAGTTTTCTTGAACGCTGTATTCGCCCTGTATCGAGGTTAGTCGTGATATGCTGTGCTCGATGTACGCATCCACGGCCTCGGATACACATGAAGCATTTCCTTTCAGCTCGAGACTCAGAACGCCTTCAGGTATGTATGACTCGAGTCGCTGCTGAATGCCGAGTATGTTTCGACTCGATACGATACACTTGATGTGAGAGAATTCGAATTGCTGTACAATGACATCCAAGAGGTTGGACAAGTCTGCCTCACACTCGTCCAATGCGTCGATAACTAAGATCACTTCCTTCATTTTGGGGTCTTGCAGGATAGCCGCGAATATTTCCGACAAGGCTACCCAAGCGTTCCCATCTGAAAAGAGATCTTTGCCCGCATGGTTATACTTTTCCAGAACGTGCGAGATAAGAGAGGGTTCTTGTGCAATGATGAGGTATATCAGTCCACGCAGTACAGCGGTAGCGTTATTAATGCGCCTGTCGGTACCCTGGCAGAAGAAGTAGGACAAGAGTATAGTGTTCGCAGTTTGATCCGCTGACTTGGCCAGTTTTGTTTTTGGCATCAATTCGTCGATTATGCCACAGAGCAGCATTGTTTTCCCCTTTCCTGGGTCGCCTTTAATCCAAAGGATTCTGTTCTCTGCATTGTCACGCCAGTCCTTAAAGGTTTCATGTTCGAGGATCCAGCGGTACGAATCTTTAAGTAATCCGCCTTTCGTGTTCTGGATGCGCATTTTATCGTCGCGGGGATCGGTTGACCGCAAATCCTTCAGGCACTGGCTGGCCTGATCGGACGCGTGATTATGTACATCGCCTTGATGGATTGTGACATTGTCTCCAAAGTGATTGTTTGCGATATTTCGAAAGCCTGGATCTGCTTGACTCATCTCGACTGAAAGACCATAAAAGATGAAGTGTAAACAATGTTGATGCGTGTCTTTGGATGCAGCCTTGGGGCGGTAGGAGATATAATATGGTCACACAAGACCAATTACATTTGACTGATAAGTACTTGCCTAACCCCTCATTTCAAAGCCCACTGCAGCCAATCGATTAAATGAATTTGATACACTATCGTGCATTTTTAGTCATAGAATGTTTAGGATATGTGTGACGCTCCCATTCACATGGAATCCTCTATACCTCTTTCCCTACGCACTTCCTATTTCAAGAGCCTGATCTCCAGTATCAACTACTGAATGAAAGCTACCAATTTATTATGGATATTATGGAATACTACTGCGATGCCCACAGTATGGTGATACACGTATCCTGCTGTTAACTTAGATGCATTCACTTCCATCGAGTTCTCGGTGCTATTGCAGTCCAGAGCTTGCCTATACATACCTACGCACTTGCGCTTATTATTATGATTGATAGAGCTTCAGTAAGTGATGTTTATACAGACCAACGTTGAACAGGCTAATGACTATTATTGCAATGTAGTTATGTCTAACATCCTTGAACAATTTCTCTAAAAGATTGAAGTAAAGTTTTTATACTTTCAACAAAGCAAAGTAAGTGCGAGTTGTAGATGACAATCCTATCCAAAGACCTGTTGCCAAAATCACTCTTCCGGGCGGTTTGACCAAAATATCCAAGATTAATCTACTGAGCAAGCCCTATCCTCGGGCCTTGGTAATGCTTCTTTGCGAACGCGAACCAATTGATAGCCATGACGATTGCGATAATCGCCAACACTACCGCGGCATAATCTGTGGAAAAGCTCAAGGTTAGCATTATCTTTCACCAGTATCAACGTCTCAAAACTAACGTAAGAGAATCCACTTACTCATGTTACCGCCCGTCACAGGCAAAACCGTCGGAAACGTGAAAAAGACAGTTTCAATAACCGCCGCAACAATCGTCCCAATATTACAAGCCCAGCCCACCACCTCGGGCACTTTAAACGCCCTCTTCCTCGGAAGCACCTTTTCACTTCTCCGACGATATATCAGCAGCGCAGCAGGAATCGCAAAAGAAATCATTTGCATTAGGGAAAACACGCCAACAAGGGCATTGAATGCAGCGGAAGAAGCCAGACTTATACACCCGCACACAAAAATCAGCCCCGCGTCGAGGAGGAGGGCCGCCACAGGAATGTCGCCCAGCTTGGGAGATAGTTTGGCGAATTGAGAGGAGAAGGCGAGGCCGCGATCACGGGCGAGGGCCCAGAGCAGGCGAGACGTGGTTTGCTGGGTGGCGGCTATGATGTATGTGGTGAGGAGGATGACAATGACGAGAAAGACTGTGCCGGCGGTATCGGATTTGGTAGCCAAACGCCATAGTTTGTAGACAGGTACTCTGTTAAGCACGTCGAGTAAGCAATATATTCAACTCTCTTTCTCACTTACGCAATAGAAAGGAAGAAAAGGGGGTTTCTTATTACTCACAGATCATTCGCCAAAGTATCTAAACTCGGGAGACAATATGCCATGGCCACAGAAAAGACTAGTCCAGAAAAGAAGCCAATTCCAATGGTGGACATGAGCGCCTTTGGCACCGTTCTGGAAGGATCCAGCGTTTCTTCCGCAAGATGAAGCGTGGCGTCGAGACCTCCAAACATGTACGCATGAGTGGTGAGGCCGGTGAAGAAGGACACGACAGGCGTCCAGCCCGAAGAAGATTCAAAGTTGGTCCAGACCCAAGCCGAAGACTGCTTGTCGCCTCGGGCGAGACAAAGAACAGAGACAGAAACGAATAAGAACAGGGTGAGAAAGACTTGTTTGATCGTAATTAGCGGTTGGCTCCATATTCTCACGCCCATATAGAGAGAGACTTACAAGCTGCATCGTGTATCCAATGCGTCCTCTTCAGCAAGAACAAATTATACACCAAACCAATCACATTAAGTGCTTGGGAAATGAGAAACAACTGCCAAGCGCTCGCCTGAAAGCCATTATAAAACTCGGCAATGGCAGCGATACACAAGCTCGTAACACTAGTGATACTGGCAGAGCATATAATCCACGAAATCGTCGCAACCATGCCGCAAATGTACGATATCGACCTGTTGAACCTCTTTGGCGCCATGATGCTCGCAAAGTGGTATTGCCCTCCGGCGGTAGGATAGACGCTGGCAAGCTCGGCGAGAGTCACGGCTGCGGCGCCGTACATGGCGGTGATGACAAAGTTGCCGTATATTAAGGAAACGGGGCCTCCGGCTGTCAAGGCGGCTGAAAGGGCGACGGCGACGGCTAACCAGCTGTTGGGGATGTTGAAGCCGAGAGCAATGATCTCAAAGGTTCCCATATCGCGGGGAGCAGCCTGGGGGTTGAGCTGGGTCAATTCTGCTTGCTGGGTGCTCTCGGAGCCTGCTGATTCCAGCGACTGCCCGAGTTCCGTCTTTTCGGATGCTTTTCCATCTTGCTGATCCATTTTGTTTGCATGAAATCCCGATCAAAGTATCCTTCACCGAAGATCTGACAAAGATATGTCTAGTATCAACTTCCGACGCTACCAAGCGAATAAAGAACAAAAAAGATCACAGTTGTAAGGTAGAAGGGTATTTACTATTTATTACTACCAGCGAGGCTTGCACTTTGTACAGCCATTTGAATCGCTTGCCAGCCTACAGACATGGCTCCCTGTCTTGTGTCTCAGGAGGCAAGACATGATAAGGGGCGCCCGGATGATGGTTTGGTGTCGGCAGGCATAGCCAAGACGTATAGCTACTAAAAAGATTTCTGGATATATTTATATCAACTATGAAAGAATCTTTTTAGTATTTGAATTCTACCTTTTGTGGGCATCCTTCATGGCAGGTATGACGAAATGGATCATGGCCACCCTGAGCCATCATTCCAATCATCCCGAAGACCTGAATACTGCCAGAGACAAGAGCACACCTAAACGATAATCAATTTGGATCTATGAAAGCCATGTAGTGACACATAGGATCGACGTAATGAACACAGCATGAAATGAAGTCAACTCCCGTCATATTGGCGACATATAGATTGTTTTGGGAATGGCTATCCAGGAAAATGACCCATGCTTGAGACAGCAGTTCCAAGTCAGGTGGGCTTATCAGCTTGTGCGACACTTTGCACTGCCATTGTGTCGCACAGCATCAATAAGTTTAATGAGTCGATAATAATAGAGATTCTTTTCCAGGGAAAAGGAGGTTGGCATTTTGGAGAGAAAACCTTGTGATGAGTATATGAGTGTCGTTAGATGCACTACTAGGCTTCGCGTGAGCGGCTGGATCGTGTGTATGAATGCACGTGTCACTATTAACCTGCGCTCTCAAATCAGTATTAACTGCAGAAAGTTCGGAAAAATATACACAAGGAAGTTATTCCCTTTGTCTTGACTGAAAGACAGCTCTCTAATTGCAGTGGGGACCGAAGAGATAAGAATTTCCATTCTGAGAGAAGTCGTAGTACAGCAATCAAAAAGAAGCGCACAGCCAGAGCTTGGAGGCAAATCCTTGACTGCCCTTGCATCCGGGAATCTCAGATTCCATCCCTCGTAAATTAGCAACTGGCCAATAACCCGGTGCTCACCCAACTGTCCAACACGTCGGCTGTGGGTACAGGGACATCACTTCGCTGATAGCAGGTAAAGTAGCCACTCACCAAGACACAGACAGACTCTCTAATGCGGTTGGACGCCGGGGCACATCATGGTCACAGCAAAAGCCACACTCCATCGGCTCCATCGCCGATTTTGGTCCCATCGCCGCCGCTTCTCCACTCGCACTATAATGGGCGCTAGATGCAGAGATACGGCACAAGCTTGTTTCCAGTTGGAACGCAGTGAAGACGCAGTTTCGTCAGGAATAGAGCTCTCTTTTCTGCGTAAGGATCCTCGGAGGTAGGTAGCATTGGGCTCCCCTGTGAGGTTGGGCCATGGCCTGTGTGATATCCTCCGAAATGAAGTGCGACGTTGGCTCTGGCGAATCCCATGTCGAGTAGCTCAAAGACTAGGAAATTGGCGTTGCGTGTCCGAGCCCCGACGTTCCGTTGCTATAGCTCGAGGCGATAGCTAGACCGGTCCGTGCCCGAAGATGAGCTACACTTGCAGTTTAGCTTGCTTGGTGTTTGTCAGATCTTTAACGGGTAGCATACGGTGATGGTGGTTTCGACCCGAATGCCTTGAGAGGATGATCCAAGAGTTCAAGTTATTCCAGGTAGCATCAGTGCTCTGTACCGGCATTCTTCGAACGAGCAATCCTCAGACAACGGGAAATAGGAGGCCGACTCGAGTTGCGGCTGCTGGCAGTTTGTGGTCCCCCAACAATTTATTTGCGTTGCTCGTGCAGGCCTCGGACGATTAGCGCAGAGGGGCGTCAGCCAGATAGACAAGATATCGAGGCTACCCGCAGAATGAAGAGCAGCGTCTGGTATTAGTAGATAGGAAATGGGAATGGCGTAGATAGTTCTCGAGCCGAGGTACCTCTTTGTCTTCCCGTGATCAATTTCCAAAAGTAAGAAGCAAAAGAGTTGGCGTTGGCGGGTGCTGAAGCTCGATCCCCAGCCATGCAAGCCATGCCGCTGGCCGCTAAGCCCCTCACGGCATTGCTCCCTCCAAACCACCGAAACCACATACCTAAAACGTTGGAGAGCCCGCTAATATTCACGCGGGGTCTGCTGCCAACGCTGTTAGTCGTAGTAGCTGCATCAGCTCTTGGCTGGGATCCGCAGCTGTTAAGGACCGTTTAGCCTAGCCTGGGGTCTATTTCCCTCCGTCATTGCGGTCTTGCTGCTTTGTTCTCCCGGGAGCTTGTGCCCTCTAGCCGTTGTTTTCTTCTTCTTCCTCTTGGATGCTGCTTTCCCTCGGTTGCTGCTTCTGGCCGGCCCATGCGTCTTTGCCTCGCCGTCGGACATTACCACTGTCATGGTAAACAGAGCTGCGTTTCGCATTCCGTAAAACTGCCCGTGTCTGGTGTCTCCGCTGGCAGCAGGAAAAGCTCACGCGAGTCACTGACATTTGACGGAGCTTGAGAGAGAGTCAAGACGGAACGAAACACAAGAAGAGCTTTTCTTATATAAGAGACTCGCAACCCAAAGCTACCAGTGGATGTCTGTCTCCTCTATACGCCTCTCTTTTTGTGTCCAAGCGCACTGACTGAGCTGGCGGGTCGAAACAGCTGAGCTACAGCCGCCGGCCAGCTGTGCGACATTCTGTACGAGCCCAGGCCAATCGGGGAGTTTTGAGCTGGAGGGCACCGATTTAATATAAAGCAAACGGATTGTTTCTTTTCTATCTTTGAAAATAGTTTCAAAAAGCTACAATGGACAGCATCGCAAAGGAAACCGGCCAAGCAGCCCAAACCACCGACATGCTCGCCGACGATACCCCCCGCAGCGGCGCCTTCCACAAAATGTCCAACTCGGCCAGCAGCACCGAGGCCCTGCGCTTCTGGCGCTCCAAGAAGGATTCGTCGCAGGACTTTAGTCTGCAGGAGCGCGAGACGCCCAGCAGCGACGAGCAGAGTCCCGATATCGAGAACGGCACCTCTATCGAATACCGGACGTATAAGCGGCGGTGGTTTGGCCTTGCTCAGCTGACGCTCATGAACATCATGGTCTCCTGGGGTGTAAGTCAACTTCAAGCAGCACATCTCGAGATTTCCACGCCTCTTCTTCATTCGACGGCTAATAATAACTGCAGTGGCTCACCTACGCCCCCGTCGTCAGCGACTCGGCCACCTACTACAACGTCACCTCCTCGGCAATCAACTGGCTCAGCACCGCCTTCTTCCTCGCCTTTGTCGCCATCTTCCCTGTCAGCATCTGGGTCGTCAACCGCGGCTTCAAGTACGGCTTCATCTGCTCCGCCTCGCTGCTCATCGTCGGCAACTGGATCCGCTACGCCGGCGCGGCAAAGGCCTCTGGCGGCATCTACGCCTGCGCCATGGTGGGCGAGATCCTGATTGGCTTTGCCCAGCCGTTTGTGCTTGCCACGCCGGCCAAGTACTCGGATCTGTGGTTCACCCACCGCGGGCGTGTGGCGGCCACTGCTTTGGCTACGTTGGCGAATCCGCTGGGCGCGGCGTTGGGGCAGTTGATTAACCCTCTGTGGGTGAGCTCACCAAAGGACGTCTCGCAAATGGTCCTCTACGTCTCCATCATTGTAAGTATTTCTCCAACATATCCCTACACCAGATCTAAGCTGTAACTAATGACACTTCAGTCTACGGCCTGCTCGGTAACAGCCTTCTTCATCCCCTCCAAGCCGCCCACCCCCGTCGGCGCCTCTTCAGAAACACCAAAGATGCCACTCCTCCCATCCATCCGAACCGCCGTCCGCTCTCTCGAAGTTTGGCTCGTCTTCATCACCTTCTCCGTCTACGTCGGCATCTTCAACGCCGTCTCCAGTCTTCTCAACCAGATCCTCGTGCCGTACGGCTTCACGGATGACCAGGCCGGCATTGGCGGCGCCGTCCTCATCGTCGTCGGTCTCGTCACAGCTGCTATAACATCGCCCATCCTGGACCGTACGAAGCATTTCCTCCTCTCCCTAAAGATCATCGTCCCCATCGTCGCGGCATGCCTCGTCATCTTCATATGGATGCCCCAAACAAAGGCCCTTGCCGGTCCGTACGTCATTCTCGCCATCATCGGCGCAGGGTGCTTCGCCGTCGTGCCGATTGCCGTCGAATTGCTAGCCGACTTGAGTCACCCCATCAGCCCTGAACTCACATCCACTGCGGCCTGGGCCGGCGGCCAGCTCTTCGGCGCCATCTTCGTCATTGTGAGCGACCCGCTCAAGGCCGGGAACAACGCCAATCCTCCCGAGAATATGAAGAACTTTCTCATCTTCCAGGCCGTCCTCGCCGTGGCGGCAACGCCTCCGGTCCTTGTTTTGGGCTGGTTTGGGCGAAAGGACAAGGTCGTTTTGCGAAGACTGCAGCCTCAGCAGGAGGACGAGACATGAGCTGGTGCCGCAGAGCGGAACGGCCTTGTACAAGGAACTCTTCCTTCTCAAACTGAGTTTTATGACCCTATGACGACTTTGGGGATAGTTCTATCCCGAAGCAATGTTTCTAATAGTTTGCGAGTTTTTTTTTTTTTTCTTGTCTTTTGACAACGCCTGGAATGTGTATATGGATGACTGCTTGATGTTTTAGCAGGGGTATATAACGAGTATACTGAAAACTCAACGTAATGTTCAAAGTCAAACAATACAAAAGAGATGTGCTTTGATGTTCACTTAAGAGTGCTGATGATTAGTATATAATATAGTGATGGTGATACCACACTTGCTTGTTTGAAAATCGTACACGTATAATACCCCATCTCTTGATTCTAAATCTCCTTGTGCCCCTTTTTTCCCTTCCTATATAGTCCGTAACAAATAATAATTAAAATCTCGTAACAAAGCAAAAGAGGTATAAAATTGAAAAAGGTCAAAAAAGACATCGCTCACGCCTGTTTCTCCAGCTTTATAATCTTCCCCCACTGATGCCTCAACCTCTCCATCTCCTCCCATGCCCTCGCCCCCGCCTCCTCAAACTCAACCAGCGACTCCTCCGTCGCATTCTTGACCCCCAATCGCCTCCCCGCCGATTTATGAAGCACCCCCGCCGCTGTATCGGCCGCAATCGTCTTGCTCGTCTCGACCTTGCCCTCCCACCCCCAGCCGTCCACCTCCGTCTTCTTCACGTCCGACACGAGATGCCGATCCGTTGAACTGCCCCATTTGATCCTGTCGGCCTGCATTTCATCCAGCGCGGCCTGGTCCTGCAACGCCAGCCAAGCTGCCGACGTGGAACCCCTGTAGCCATCGACATTGTGCCACGGCGAGCCGATCCAGCGCGCAACCACCAGCGCGAGCTCATACGCCCAGAAGAAGAACCACGGCACGGGGAACAGCGTGCTGGCCACGACGCCGGGGTGCGTGAGATACATCTTTGGCGGGACGGGCTTCTCGGCAGCGTCTCCACCGGACTCTTGGTCAATCGTCAAAAAGGGCCGTGAGAATTTCTGAACAGAGGGGAGCGAGTATGAGAGGGAGATGATGTCGGTGAGGCGCTTGGCGGATTCGTACGCGGCGGGCTTGAGGAAGCACTGCATGTCGTCGGCCACGTACACTTCCTCTATGGCTTCTATACTAGAGGACCAGACGATTCGGCCGCGGGACTCGGATTCTGAGTGGCGAGACAGCAGCGGGAGCAGCTGGTGGGCGAGGACGTAGTGGCCAAAGACGCAGGCAGTAAAGACTTCACCCAAAAGGGGCTTTTCGGGCTGTATCTCGCTGTTAGCATATGACAACCGGGAAGAAAGCATACCGGCAAAGGTAGTTGGAAAGGACAAAACATACGTATCCATAGCTCTCCTGCTCATTCAAAATACTCGTCGGCAACGAATTCTTAAACGTCGGATACGTCACCGCCTGCACCAACCCCTCGCTCAAAATCATCCATATAGCCTTGGGATAATTGCACCCGGACCAATTCCCATACGCCGCGTTGAAAATCACCGTGTCCAGCCGCGGAATCCTCACGTCCCGCAGATACTCGCCCTCCAGCCCTTGCGGATTGCTCACGCGCCCGCGACACAGCGTCTCGGCAAAGGCATACACGCCGCGCAGGTCGCACAGGTCCAGCGTCAGGCTCAGCACGTGGATGCGCCGCACGGCGTCCTGCCAGTTGTACTCCTCCTTTTCGCCGTCATATCGGGCTCGCAGCGCCGTCGAGGTCTTGGCCGCGTACAAGGCGTGAGCTCGCAGGGCCGAAATGGCCGCCAGGGATTTGGAGGCGGACCGCGTCGTCGGGATGAGAATCAGGTGCGCCGTCAGCGAGCGCGTCGCGAAAAAGTCGTCAATGAGGCGCTGTCCTGTACCGAGACCGATGCCGCTGTATCTCGTGGCGAGCCAGTTAGCATCTTTGTTCTTTTCCACGAATCAAACGACGGGCGAATGGAATCGCGGCCCGCTATGTAGCAAAGATGTAATACTATACCTGTTTGCGCCCGTAATCAGGACAAAGAGCTGCTCCTCTGGCGCGACTGTTTCCCACGGCGCTACTGCCGATCCTGCTGCAGCATCGGGAAGAGGAGCCTCGATCGTCATTCTATCGTGTGTGTGTGTGTGTGTGTCCCCAGGCCAGGCACAAGAAAGAAAAAAAAGGGAAGAAAAAAGAGACAAGCGCCCGCCAATTCAAAATCGCAAAAAGAAAAAGAAAAAAAGAGCCCGCTTGGAGGTGTCACTGTCAACTTCAGCTAGCACAGCTTTGCGAAAGAAAGTAAAATGGCGGAATGTTCGCTCGGAAACAGCTTTTCGTAATTTTGGCAAAAGCCACAAAAGAACGCTTTGCGCTTTTGGCAATACGAGTACGGGAGGGAGGTTTGAATAAGGGAGTTGGATTAGTCCAAGTTGGTGTTTACTGGCTGAAGTTGCTTCGAGTTGGTGGCGCGGCTGGGTGGCTTTTTTTTCCCAATTTGGTGCCCCCCTTGCATTGGGCTCACCCCGCCGCTATTGTTCGACTACAATCCGCTGCTAATGGGTGCCGGGACATCAATTAGTAGGGACGGACGGTGCAATTATGAGACCGACGCATGTACATGGACCTTCAGCAGCAGTCATGAAGTCATACTTTTATGATGCCGTTTTTCCCCATGATTTCATATGTTCAGACGTGTAGTTTCAGTAACGTTGATACACGCACCTTTAGCTACCTACACTACGACAGCGATACCAAGGCAACTCTAAGCATATACGCTGATAATGAAAACAAAAACCACCTTCGATTTTTTAAAATAAAGATTGATGGAGCAGAAACTTTAGTAAAGAGGCCTGCTACGGCCATCACTTGTAAAATCAAGATTCAATCTAGTTTCATCGCGGCATCATCTGCCAATTAAAGATTGTACACCCCATATGCCTTCTACATTGCATTTTCCTATTTGCCAAATAACGTTGGACTTTGTAAAAACAAGCCACCTTCCCATCCCCCTTTGTAAGATCTCGACTCATTTGATCAAGACTTCTCTTACTCCATATTTACATGCTCTCCCGCTTCGCTTTATGCTTTCTAAGAGAAACACATGTCATCAAGGCTGCTCATCTACTCGCCTACTCTCTCGACTTGTTCTGTCCCTCTCGGACAGCAGCCAGAATCAGATCCTTGGCCTTCTCCACACCCTCGCGAGTGCCGGTAATCTCAATGGCCTCATCCTTGGCTTGGTCTCGCGGCACTTGGATCTGGCAGTTGCTCTGGTTTCGGATCGACTTGACCTTGCTTCCGTTTTGGCCAATGACGTAACGGTAAGTTCGAGGATCGGGCAGGATAAGATAACCTGTAGAGTCATTGGCCTTGGCCTGCTCCAGGGCCTTCTGGATAATGTCTTTGGCTTTGGCGATATTTTCAGCAGTTCCACGCAGGTTCCACGGAATGTCACCCTCTTCGCCTGAGTCAATGCTCACAATCTTCCAAGAGTGAACATCGGCTGATGCATCGGCATCATCGGTAATCAGGGGCAGAGAACCCTCAACAGCCCTGTCTGACGGCGTAGGCTTGGCAGGAATGCTCTGGCCGGCATGGTCAACCGTCACCTGGTAGTTGTTGCGGAGCTGACGGAACAGCTGGCCATTGTTGGACACGGCATGGTGGGCGTTGCGAGGGATCTGGAGCGTCTCGCCCTGCTGCTGCTTGATCAAGCCAGCAATGTGTTCCTTGGCCGAGGCAACGTTCTCTGGTCGACCAGTAACCTTAACACCCGTCTTGCCGTCACCCTGGCGAGGAATGTCAATGGAGACGCTGAACTGCGACTCAAGCTGGCGCTTGGCATCTCCGCCTCGTCCAATGAGAGTTCGGTGCTGGTCGATGGGCACTTCTACAATCTCAGTGACCTGGCTTTCACGCTCCGCTACAATCTCCTGGATACGCTTGATGATGTTCTCAACAACTTGAGTGCGACCCTCCACCTTGATAGTATTGCCGTCTGCTTCTTGCTTGGGGAACTGAATAGTTCGGGCAAGTGCACGTCTGTCATCAGAACCGCCGGCTCCGACAACAATCTCACGAAGAGCGGATCCTATATCATACATGTTAGCTCAAAATTCTTCTTCCTGTTCATCGTAGGCAGATAGCAAAGAGAAAGAAGCTTACCACTTGTTCCAATCAAGGCTCTGTGATGCTTCTTGTCCACCTCAATCGTCTGGACAACAGTGTCATCGAACTCTGACCGCTTCTCTTCAAGGATCTGCTTCGCCTTCTTAACCTGACTTGCAGTTCCCTTGATGACAATGTCGACAATTTCAGTATCCCGGTCAGCAGGAACATCAATTCGAGCACCGGTCAACTGTCGAAGCTCATCCAAAGCCGCACCGCCTTGGCCAATCAGGGAGCCGACCTGCTTCTGCTGCACACCGATAGTGGCTGTGTGGGAATGCTCCTCCAGGTACTTGTGAAGAGAGAAGATCTCGTCGCGAGCCTCATCGGCTCCCTTCTTGGGGCCACGAATGATGACTTCGTCCGGAGCTTGCTGGCGGCGGGGCTTGCCGGCGTCACTTGCCGCATCCGCGTTTGGCTGGTCATCTCCGCCCTTGGCTGATCGGGGGAAGAAAATGAGAACCTTGTATCGAGTCTGCAGGCGGTTGATCTGGCTTCCCCCAGCACCAATCAGCTCTCGGTGGTACTTGGGGTCGATCTTGAGAGTATGGGTGGTCTCGTCCGCCAAGGTGCGGCTAAGGTTCTGGATGTAGGTGCGAGCCTTCTCGGCCTTGGCCTGAGGTCCCTTGAGCTCCACTTTGCCGTCTTGAACTTGGATCTCGACGTCAAATCGGTCACGAAGCTCCTTGATGTTGCTGCCACCCTTGCCGATGAGGTGGTTAGCAAACTTCTGAGGGAAGTCAAAAGACAAGGTGTAACCACGCTCCTTCTCGTCAATCTTCTCCTGCTCAATAAAGGCATTGGCCTTGCTGGCAAGGGATTCGACAGCAGACTTGGGTCCTCGTAGAGTCACGGTAGTACCAATCTTGGTCACTCTGACGGGGATCTGAGCTTCCGAGCGGCTCTCCTGCTCCTTCTTAATGAAGCGGCGCAGCTTCTCGTGGAACTTGGCGGGAACGTCGAGAGCCTCGCTGCTGAGCTCTTCTTGGTTGTTGATGAGGCTAAGGATATGCTTTTGGGCGTCATCCAGGGCCTTCTTAAACGCGCGAGCCTCAGCATCTGTAGGCTTGGCACGAGGAGGCTGGTAAGCGCCCTCGGCAGGGTCGGGGCCCTCGAAGACGAGGAGCACCGGGAGATTGGCCTCTGAAGCCTCTGGTACAACGACATGGACACCAAAATCCTTCTTGATTTTAGGCGTGATATCGCTGCGCAGATGTTGATGGAAGAAGGGGTCAACAGGGACAGTCTGCATACGCGACGGCGGGTGTCCGTTGAGAATGGCGGTAATCTCCGATTGCGCACGGATGGCGTTTTTACCCTCACGGGAGTACAGCTCCCAAGGCAGGGCGCCGTCCTGAGAGAATGGGGTGTTGATGTGAGTGTTGTAGGCCTTCTCGAGACGCTCAATCTCTCTGCGCTGGCGAAGGTATCTGGTGATGTTGGTAGCGTGAGCGGCGGCTCCGCCAGGAGCATTGCGGTGAGATCTCGAAATGTCAATGTTTGACATTTGCATACCCATGGCGAGGTCCATGGCTCTCTCCAGACCGGCCTGCACCTGGGAGGGAGGTCCAACGACGGTGATCATGTCATCGTCTTCTTCCTGAGGGAACAGGATGGCACAGCCAGTCTCGTTGAAGAAGTTCTCCAAGGGAATACCGCGCTGACCAATAATGAACTGATGCCTGCCTCTTTGGATAGAAAGCTGCTCGGCTTCCAGCTGCCTCTGCAACTCAGCGGCACGGCGTTCAATCTCAGCTCGAGCTCTTTGCACGGCAGCACGGTCACCAGCAAGCAGAATATGCTCGTCATCTACACCAGCAGGGGCAAACACGGGTCGCTGACCAGGGGCTGGTGCAACGGGAAGGGGTGCGGATGAGTACAGCTGCTGTGTGGGGACACGAACCTGGACTCCATTGGCTTCTTCGAGTGCCTGCGCCAGAGAGTTTCCAGGTCCGGCGATGAAGGGGTAAAAAGCAGCAGGGATGCCCCGCACTTTGGTTTGAGTGTTGGCAGAACGCTCGCCAACGATTTTGAGAATCTCATCCCGAGCATAAGCAGCAGCGAGGGCATGGCCCTCGACGATGACATCGACTTCAGCCTCGCCGTCTTCATCATCAACAGGCTGGCTCTCATCGGACTTGGGCAACTGGATCTTGGCACCAGTCTTTTCCTGGAGAGACTTGATTGTAGCACCACCCTTGCCGATGATGAATGCTCGGCTGGACTGAGGAATAGGGACCTTGATGGAGACCTTTAGGAAAGTTAGCAAGGGACAAAATGCCGGAAAATAACCATTGTTTGAGTCAATACCTTTGTTCCGATCTGGCCGACCAGATCCTTGAGTGCCTGTTGAGCAGCTTCCTGAGGACCAGTAGCAATGAACTTGAGGTGACCATTGGGAGACTGAGTCATGGTAATGTTGGCACGAGACTTGCGGTTGATATCCTTGAGAATATCGGGGATTGGCCGTCTAAGCTCGGAACGAGGGCGAACGTGCGTAGGAGCGAGGGTGTAAGTCTCAACCCTGCGTCCAGGAATGGCCATGGAGGGAGTAGGAGCCTGAGCAGACGGAGTCGAGGTGCCAGATGCCGGAGTGGACGAACGGGAAACGCCATTGGAGCCTCCGTTGGCATTGCTCTTGGCTCCCCAGATGGGGGCAACGCTAGGGCTCTTGCCTTTGGGGGCTCCAAGCTCTGGGAAAAGCTCATGAGACTGAGTATCGAGAGCGGCTTGCTTGGGCTTGCCAGCTGCCTTGACAGTGGGAGCAGATCCAGAAGCAGAGGCATCCTCAATCGGCTGCGTGGGCAGGTCGGCATCCGGTACGTCCTCAACAGTCACATGGTGCTGCTGGAGGCGCTGGGCGACGGACTCTTCGCCAGCATTGGCGAGGCCGGCAGCGACAGTTTCTTCGGAAGCCATTATAACACTCGGATTGGGGGCGTCACACGTGAATGGAGACTAGATGGGAGCACTGATCCCGCAGCAGAACAAGTCAGCAAAAAAAAGGCACTAGACTCTCGTGGGCAGCCATTGAGGACAGTTGGGGCGAGAAATGCCGCGAGCAGCCGGTCCAATGGCTGCACCAAAGCATCCGTCGTCAAACTCACCACACTGCAGTATGTGCGGGCAAGTACAGGAAGCCTGTGGGCTTTGCGGGTAGCAGCACAAGACGGTTACGAGACCAGATAGCGGGGAGTCGGGCGATGCTTTTTTGTTAAGAGTCTGTGGTGTCTAGAACATTGTGCAGACAAGCCAACAGACGACGAATACCAGAGACCAGAGGGGAGAACCAGAAGACAGGCGGCGGCCGGGCGACGACAAGCAGAGCCGGTGAAGCAATTTGGGGAGAGATGAGGATGCAAGTTGAGGGTGAGGTGGAAGTTTCTCCAGCGTTCTCCAAGGAGCTCCGTCCCTAAAGGGTACGTACCTCGCTGGCCTTATGCCACGACACCGACCCCAACAAGCTCGGAGCGGGACTCTGAAGTGGCGGCTTGCCAATGGCACCACCGCCGAGCCACGACCGGTGCTGGAGCTCCGCTCCCTGCCGCCAGAAGCCCAAAACATGGACGCCAATTGGGAGAAAAAAAAGGTTAAAGATCATGTGATACTCACCTGGTTGTCTTATCGCCCTTATCGAGGGATTGCGGCGAATGAGTTTATATGGACTGCGGTTTAAGTTGGAGTAGAGGAGCACGTATGACTTGATAGAGTATCCGAAAAGTCTTGAATTTATTATGCCCATGCCTATGTTGTATAATAGTGCTCTTATATCGCTGTATTGCAATTTTGAAAATCCACCTAGGAGAAGTTTAAACTCGAGAATCTGTATATGCGCCCCGTCTAGACTTGGGCCTCTCAATCTTCATCCACCTTGCTTTTATTATATGACTGACCGATTACATAGATGGCTATTGTTCTAGACTGCCGTATATCTCATTTCTCTCCTCTCGCGTAGAAAATGAACGATTCACAATCATGTCGTTCTCCAGCGGGAGGCGTTATGCACGAGCCTGCTTATCTAAAGGCGGTACGAGATGCCGCAAAGCCACCGAGTATAAGCTTTGAACTCGCGGTGCTAAATAAAGAAGTAAAAGTCAGATCTTCTGAATCTTTTTTTTTCTCATTCTAAATATTAGATGTTGAGTATGCAGTACCTTGAATTTGTACTTGAGTTTGCAGTACTTTCAACGGTGCATACTTGCGCATATATGCTTTCACCATCATTGCCCTTCTGTAAAGGGCAGCCAGGCTGTGGAGCAGAGAAAACGCCAAACCAGCTGAAAGAGCCGAGGCCCGGCTGCCGAATCTAGTCGATGAAGAAGTCGAATAAACAAGTGACGGTTCTCCTCTCATATCTAACTAGGTAGCACTGGCATATTTTGATCAGAGACGCGTCTCATCGGGAGACAGCCCAAGCGCCTGATCCCGCTTCTGCCATGCATCGACCTGAGACCAAAACTCGGGCTAAAAACAGCCCTTTGGCGCCTGCAAGATCAGAATGGCTGCGTTCGGCCCGCCAGTGCCGTTGCAATAGTCTCCGTGAAGGGAGCGCTAGGCTTCACAATCCCTTCGCTTGTCTGGGACGAGAGGGCAGAGTTCAAGGGATACCCCTGGTCCGATCGAGCTACTGCTGTGTTATACGAGAAGAAGAAGCAAAGAAAAGAGTACAGAGTCGTTTTTTGCGCTTAACTGGGCGTTAAAAAGCAATGACTGCATATTTAGATGTAACAAGTAAAGAAAAGGTTCCGCTTCAATATTTTCATCAGCAGTCAGCTTGTTATTCAGCTTGTTACAGATGCAAAAAGAAAGGCTAGCAATGGAGAAATTGCATGGAATGGGAGCGGGGTGTCTTAAAACAGCCCCAGCACCATGAAACAATGCGGCTGCCCACCGCCTTGCAGCAAATTAATGAGCTGAGATGCGATGCCGTATATATCGTATGTGCAAGTATGGCGTATAGTATATACGGATTGGCAGCTCCCCTTTTGCATACCAGACACATTGTGAGAAGTGACCGCTTTCCCTGGCTGCTTGCGATCGATATTATATGCTGCAGGGATGGCTCAAAGACCCAGCGGCGGCTCGTCTCTGGAACAGCCTCGTCTCTTCAGCGAGCCACGCCCAAAGTGCACTAGGCTGCATAGAAACCTGACGTCGTCAAGTCCAAGGCCAGCAGCAGATCCTAATAAGCGTTTTGCTGTATACGTTATGCTGCGAGATGGTTCTGAATCTCATTTGATGTATCACGGCTGGCTTATCAAAGCCATATGTAGACGTTTAGCTTCCCCATATGATGGGCGCTGGCGTATTTTGGTAGGTGGATTTTTTGCCCTTTTTCTGTAGGGCTTACTATTGACATCAATTGGCCATTCGTTATCCTCGAGCTTCTTGGAGATTTTAAGTCGCAAAGCCACCAACAGCAGCGCTAGTATAAATCGCACTGGGCCACAAAGTAGAGAAGAGAGAGAAAAAAAAAAGAAGAGAAAAAAAACGGAGCAAGGCCAGAATCAAGAATCGATACTGTGCTTGTGAGAGGCTTTTTTTTCTTGGTGCTTCTTGGTTCTGGCTTGTGATTCTAGCTGGGCATCAAGATTCGAATCCCCAGGCTTCGTATTTTCGGCTGCAGTTGGCGCGCAACATGATGCCGCCCAGAATCGCAAGGAACAGCGCCTGATGAACGGCTGGGCCTGTAAGTGAGCAGGGCTGGCAAGGCCGTATTTGGCGGCGATCTGCACCAGTGACGATTTCAGCAGCAGGCAAGCTGCAAATTCTGGGCGCAGCATGAGCTTCCCCAGCAAACGACAGGGGGGCCAGATACGGGGCAACGGAATTGATTGACTGCACTGGCAAACTGGGAACACGTACATGTACACTGTCAATGGTACAGTAATAGGTGCTCGGCTCACGCAGATGCAGCAGATAGAGGCCAGCTGCTGCGATTTGTCCGTCACAACGCAGGCGTGCTCCTACGCAGCCGTCACATCGCGGTGCGTCTATCGTGGCAGTTTATTTGGCCAGCCCGGCCGGGTCCCCAGTAATAAACGCCTCATGCAGGCTTCATCCTGGCCCAGCGCCGACTGCACGTCTTCTCTGTGCCACTAGACGCAGGCCCCTCCCCCTCCTTCATTCAGTAATGCTCACCAGCCTGCCTGCGCTATATCCACCATGTGCCCGCGCCGGCTCCGCACTGGGTCTCTACAGTGCTTGGTTTGATTTGATTTCCATTGCCTGCCTTATCTGCGCTCTCGATATATACCGAATGTCGACGGCGAATGGCTCGAAAAGAAACAAGTTGCTGCATTCGGCTTGGGCCATGGATGGAATGCACGCCAGAAAGCTCGTGTACCAATCCGTAGTAACGAAGAGAGAAACACGGGCCTTGAACAGGGCCATGGCAAGGCAGCCTTCACCCAATGGCGGAGCATTGACTTATACCTGACGGCGCAACTCGAGACTGCGCGCGCATTGTGCTGCTATTTTGGGCCGTGGCTCATTCACTATGCGCTCTGCCAGCCTTGGCCTGTTGGGCGGATGAATACGAATAAAGGCGCATGCGGCGGATCCAACAGACATTCACACTCAAATAGACAGGAATCAGGTTTTTTTTTCTTCTTCTGCTTCTACCTTGGTATTTGTTGCATCTGTGCGTTGAAAATTGCAAGTGCCGCGAAGACCGTTGGTCGACTTGCAACTTGTCCCACCCCCCGACCCGCATACGCAGCACAGTGCATTTTCACTTCCGGCTCACACGCGCTGGCGCCCCTCCTCGGCCTATTATCTCTTGAACAATCTGCCACCATATGGGGCCCGCGACAAGAGCAGGCAGGGAATAGCAGGACGAGCCAAAATTGAAGGTGGACGGGATAGAGAGAAGAATCCCGGGAAGCAGCCTTCCAGAGCGTGGTGTTTCGCTCGGGCTCCGTTCATATTTGCACGTTTGATGGACTGTACCAGAATACTAGTTAGTGGCTGCCCGTACGCCATCTCACCTCGCATTTCATGTTTCTGTTTCTTTGTCGTCCCATGCCTCACTTCAACTCACCTTTTTTTTTTTTTTTTTCCGCAACAGGCCATCGTCGAATCCCGGTCGGCTCTTTTTGTCTTCGCCCCCAATCGCCAGCCTGCTCTACTCTGGGCAACTAATTGGTTGGCCATTGCCGCCAAAATAGATAGCACTTGAGTCGAGCCACTGGACGGGCCACAGTCGGGGACCCTCACTTTTTGTGTGGGCTGAGACAGTCTTAGGTAAGGGTGCGTGCGTGCTCGCAGCAGCAGCAAACCCCATCGCTCCCATTCGATCCATCATGGACCGCCAGAGCCCGCCGTTGAACGGCAATTCCCAGCGTCGCAAACTCGTCAAGCGGCCCCCCTCGCACCAGCCCTACCCGCGCTCCTCGTCTGGCTACGACACCGAGTCGCTCGACGGCAAAAGCTCCAGCTCGCGCAACCTCCGCCGGGCCCCCAGCGCTCCGCCAGTGCGCTCCAACGCGTCCAACGGCTCGTCGTCCCCGCGACCGCACCCCTCGAGCTTCCAGCAGCGAACGAATGCATCGCCGGGCCTGGGCCACGGCGACTTCTCCCGCACCAACCGATTCCGCCTGTCCGACCCCAACCAGAGCGACCGCCGCGGCAACGAGGACCTGATCGGCGCGCCCTTTGACGGCACCAGCATCCTCAACCACATCGAGGCCACCAAGTTTGCAGTCACCAGCTCGCCGCCGCCGTCGCTCGTCAAGGCCGCGACCGACCCCCGCTTCGCCAGACCGTCGCCGAGGACCTCAGCCAGCTACGGCGGCGCCATGGATCCCACCGCGCTGGAAAGGTCCCAGACTGGCCGCATGGCAGACGCCGGCCTCATGAGCCCCAAGCGCTTCTCCGACGAGCCCAGGGACTCCAAGCCCACCACGTCGCGCAAGAAGTCTGGCTTCTCCGGCTTCGTTAACAGCCTGGTCGGCTCGCAGAGGAAGCCCGTCATCTCGGCGCCCGAGAATCCTGTGCATGTCACGCACGTGGGCTACGACAGCACAACCGGCCAGTTTACCGTCAGTCCTTGTCCAGCCTTTTTTTTTTTTCTGGGTGGCATGTTCCGCGGCCGCCTGAACCCCGCATGGCGATGCAGTTGCTGATGGATTTTGATGCTAATGTCCACCCAGGGATTGCCAAAAGAATGGCAGCGTCTCATCAACGAAAGTGGCATCTCCGAGAAGGAGAGGAGAGAGAACCCTCAGACCATGATTGATGTCCTGACCTTTTACAAAGAGACCACCGAGCGACCACCCGAGGATCAGTCGCTCGAGAAATTTCACAATGCTGCGGCAGATTCTCGCCAATATGCCGTCTCCCCGACATCACCAAACACATATCCTGCCAACTACTTTGGTACGATTTTCTCCCTTCTCCTTTTCCTCTTTTCTTTTTTTCCCCTCTCTCTTTTCATGTTTCTCTGTTTTAAATCCTTATATGCTTCGTTTTGTCACTGTGGCTATTGTAGCAGGCCTCTAACCTCTCATTTATCAATGCAGGAAGCTTTGAGAATCCCCGGGCACCGCCTCCAGTCCCTCCCGGCAGAGGCCATCCCTCTGGCCCGGTCAAGGAGATCATGCCGAGTCGACCAGCCCCGAAACCCCCGATCAGCATGAACAACCGGCCACTGCCGCCCGGCGCATATGCCACCAAAGATTCCGGCATCGGTATGGCACAGTCCGTGGACGACAGCCGTTCGAAAGACAGCACCCCGACGATGCTTCCAGAAGAGCATAGATCACGGTCCAATTCTCGCACCAATGGCCTATCACCTTATACTCCCCAGACTCCCTCCCCCAGCACCGCCACCCAAGCCAATGTTTACCAGCAACAGTTGATGCAACAGCAACAGGAGCAGGCCATGGCACAAGCCCAGGCTGCCATGACCGGGCAGGTTGCCAGAGCTCCCAGCAAAAGACAGCAGTCTCCGCACACGGCGGCTGGTGCGGGATACGCTCGCGCTCCCGAAGCCAACGGCCATCAAACTGCGCAGCGCCAGCAGCCTAGTTCCGGCGCACCAGCTGCTGCTGCAGGCGCACGCCCGCGACAGCGAGTCCGCCAGAGCAACGGCATGGACGTTGTGGCTTCACTCAAGCGGATATGTAGCGAGGGAGACCCACGCAACATCTACAGAAGCTTCACCAAGATCGGCCAGGGTGCTTCTGGAGGCGTGTACACTGGCCATGAGAGGGGAACCAACAGATTGGTGGCTATCAAGCAGATGAACCTGGAGCAGCAGCCGAAGAAGGATCTCATCATCAACGAAATCTTGGTGATGAAGGACAGCTCTCACCCAAACATTGTCAACTTCATCGACAGCTACCTCTGCGACGGCGAGCTTTGGGTGGTCATGGAGTACATGGAGGGCGGCAGTCTTACCGATGTTGTGACTTTCAACATCATGACAGAGGGACAGATTGCTTCCGTGTGCAGGGAGACATTACGGGGACTTCAGCATTTGCATTCCAAGGGCGTTATTCACCGAGATATCAAGTCTGACAACATTCTGCTGTCCAGCGATGGCAACATCAAGCTGAGTAAGTTTTTGTATCGATTGCCTTTGTTTTCAACTCAATGCTAACCATGTTCGCCACACCAGCCGATTTCGGTTTCTGCGCGACCATCAACGAGGCCCAGAACAAGCGTACCACTATGGTTGGCACGCCGTACTGGATGGCCCCCGAAGTCGTCACGCGAAAGGAGTATGGCCGCAAAGTCGACATTTGGTCGCTGGGCATCATGGCCATTGAGATGATTGAGGGCGAGCCGCCGTACCTGACCGAGTCGCCCCTCCGCGCGCTGTGGCTGATTGCTACCAACGGTACGCCGCAGATCAAGAACGAGGGCGACCTGTCCCCGGTGTTTAGAGATTTCTTGTATTTTGCATTGAAGGTGGATCCTGAGAAGCGAGCCAGTGCACATGATTTATTAAGAGTAAGCCTTTTCCCTTTGCAGGTTGCAAATCATTGATAATTTGGCTGACACTTTTTTTGCTATAGCACGAGTTCATGAAATCATGCGTCGATTTAACACAACTGTCACCCTTAGTAAGAGCAGCACGAGAGCAACGAGCCCAAGAGAAGGCTCGAAAAGGCTAAATAAAGCATTGTTTGATTATTCCACCTCATATACACCCCTTCTTTCTTCCCTCTCCCTTTATTAGAGGCAAACTCCCAACAACAGCTAGAGGCATCAAGACACCTTCCATCTTTTTTTCATCATTGTTATCATCAGAAAGGAAGGACAGAAAGAAAGAAAAGAAAGCCCATCTTTGAATATTAGAGGCATCTCTTCATCCCACCTTGACATCTTTTCCCTCTCACTCTTCAAAATATTTCTACCATTATGTCTTTTTTTTTACCAGGAAAAAGGGGGGATTTCTTAAACTTGGGGTGTTATTGCTACTATGTGTATCTAGAGCCGCGGGCTCCCTCTCTTGCCATGTGCTTGTCCTCATCTAACTCTTTTGATCTTTTTTTTGCATTTTTTTTTTTTACTTCAATTCTTCTGGGGGCACTTCTTACGAAACTTGAGTGCTGAATCTTTTTTGCTTCTTTATTCCCCCCCCTTTTTTTTTATTCCGATTCCTACTTGTCGTTTTTTTTTTTTATAAAAAAGAAAAATCAAGAGTTTTTTTTAGTTAATACCCAGGTGAAAGAAATAATAAAAAATGCATTCTCGAGAAAAAAAAAACACATTTTTTGCTTTGTAGACGAGACTTGAAGAGTTTGGATGGTGGATACCTGTCACTTTTATACTTTGTATGCCCTTTTTTTGTGTTTTTTTCCTAATTGAGGAAGATGATGGCGCTTGTCGGGTTTGTGATTCGTGAATGCTATTTTTATGTTTTTTGTTTGTTTTGGTAAAAGTTTAAATATGGCGTCTGTCAAAATGTCATGAGCAACGTTTAAATCATGCGGGATTGGTGGCGTGTGGCGGCGAACGACAGTTTTGGGTCAATTGAATGCCAGTAGCGAAAATGATGTAAGAAAAATGCTAGGTACAGGACCAGCCGCAGACTATCACTCTTATAGCTTACATGTATGTTGAAAATAGAAGAAGGCTGAGGTGGGGATTGGCTGTAGTAAACGGCTGATAGAAGAGAAGTGAGATTCGGGAGAGGTTAAAAATGCTGTGAAATAAATGCCTTTCTGTTGAATAAAGCTATAAGCTTTATAATAATAAAATATCTGCTCTTAGGTTTGTTATAAGATAGTAATAATACTTTATATTTACTATTAGTTAACTATTTTAGCTATTTATTATAAGCTTAAGCAGTATTTCCTTTATACTAATACAAGGCTCTTTTATAACCTCTACCATATGCTCTATTTAGCTAATCCGAGCATTCCAACACTTTCCTTAGTCCCAACTGAAAACCCGCGATGCTTTAAGAAAAAATAGGAATGTTATCGCTCGCCAATATGGGATCGATTATTCGTCTCAATGCCAAGTACCAGATATCTAGCGAAGAATTATATAATTTCTTTACAATAATTGATTTAGAGGCATTAATCACAAGCGCAAGCAAAAAGTCTTTTGGATTGTAACAGCTCAAGGCCACTTCATTAATTGATTTGCCTTTTTGGCATACCAGATTTTCATCTAATATCTCTAATCTTCGTCATTGAACTCGACGTCTAATTCCCTCTATGCTCGTCTGGCTCTGTATACCCCGACCAGCAGACAGCAGACCCAAAGAACTCCAAACAAGTGAAAATCAGAATAGTAAAAAAAACTGCGATGCAACTCTCGCGATAATAAAAAACTTCATGATCATGCAGTGGCTCAAAGGCCAACCAAACCCCCATTTTTAAAGCTATCCTCAAAATCGACTGCAAATTTCATGCATCGATATCTCCCAAAACTCCGATGTCCAAGCCTCGAGGCGTTAGGACGGTGTCGCTTCCGTGATGATATTAATGTGTTGTGAAATATGATGTGTCCATGCTAAAAAGAGGAGTTTTCGCTCTTTAGTAGCAAGAGTAACCACCGTCAATGATGACGTTGGAGCCAGTCATGAAGCTGGAGGAGTCGGAAGCAAGGAAGACGCAGAGACCGTTGAGCTCGTCAACAGCACCGAGACGGTCCTGAGGAGTCAGGGACTTCCAGATCTTCTTCTGGGCCTCAAGGGCGGGGACACGGTTGAGGGCAGTGTCCATGTAGCCGGGGGAGATGCAGTTGACACGGATCTTGTACTTGGCCCACTCAGCAGCGATGGACTTGGCGAACTGGATGACACCGGCCTTGGAGGCGTTGTAGCAGCTCTGCTCCTGAGGGTAGTTGACGATGGAACCAGACATGGAGGCAACCAGGATCAAACTGCCAGGCTTGCCAGCAGCCATCATGGCGCGGCCGACGGACTGTGCCATCAGGAAGGAACCAGTCAGGTTGATGTCGATGAGACGACGGAACATGGCGGGGTCGTAGGTCTCAGCCTTGATGTTGGAGTCGGCAATACCGGCGGCGTTGACGAGGACGTCAGGGGCGCCGTAGATCTCGACAACAGAGTCGACGGCGGCGTTGATAGCAGCGCCGTCACGGACGTCGACCTTGAAGAAGGAGACGGGCAGACCAGACTTCTGGTGCAGCTCAGCAGCGGAGGCGTCTCCGAGCTCCTGGTTGGCATCGAAGATGATGATGGCCTTGGCACCGGCCTCGGCGCAGGCGCGGGCCATGTGGTTGCCGAGGCCTCGGGCACCACCGGTGATGATGATGACCTTGTCCTGGACGGTCATGCTCTTGACGGTGTGGGGGAGCTGGTCGTAGACCTTCTTGTTCAGGGGCTCAACCTCCTCGCGCTCGGCGGGGACGGGGCTGTCGTAGGGCACCTTGGCGGCGCCATCAGGGACCTGCAGAGTCTGGTGGGCGCCCTCGCCAGCGCCGTAGACGGTGACGGGAACCTCCTTCTCGCGGACGACGCTCTTCTTGTTGGCGGTGTCAGACACGCGGACGGCGCGGGTGGCAGAGAAGAAGCGGACGGCGTTGCTGGGGGCGGCAACACGAGAAACGGCGGAGAAGTTGGCGACGCGGGAGGCGCGCAGCATGCTTCGAGTAGAGAAAGACATTGTGAATGTGATGTGTCTTGTTGTGTGTGAAGAGAAGAAGATGGAGATGATGGAGATGATGGAGAAGGGAGTTCTTCGAAGGCGGTGTAACGAAGGCTCTCTGTTATATAGGAGTTTGGAGGTGAAAGATGGAACAAACGATGGAAAGATCTCTTGCAGTGTGAAAAGCCGTGAAAGAGAGATGACCTTCTGTCTATATGCTGTGATTGCTTGCGGGATGGAAGAGGTGCTTGGTATGCAGAGGAAAAGGGAGAATGGCTGCTTGCAAACAGCCGTCGAGGCGTGTCTTGATATAGATTTCGGCCAAGACACAGCTGGAGGATGTGGGGGCGATACCTGGCAGAAAAAAAAAGTCGAGGGGCAGCTAGCGCAGTGGGTCTTCGGTGGATGCGGCCAGGGGGCTGCAGTGGGTGTGCATCTGGGTCTCAGCGATGGCGAGTGGGTTTTCAGTGGGTGTGGGCGCTGCATTCGACTAAAGCTTAGCGCGGCGGGAGGTCCGGCAGCGCAGGCCCCTGTAAGATGCACCAGGTGCGAGGTACGTACCGCCGCGAGGAGATTTAGGTCGCTAGCAGCCAAATTCGGGACGCGGTTCCATTGATTGCTCTAAAATTACATCCAATGGCTGCCCAATGGTGGCTCACGCGCGCCACCTCGGAGGTGCAACTGCGACTGCAATGCCAATTCCAATTGACAGGAGACTCCGTGTTCGCAGCGCCAGTCTGTACCGAGAGACCTGCTTTGCTTTGCAGAGGTACTGTACAGCGCAGAGGTACATGCAGCGGTTGGGTGACCTGGAGGGGCAAAGGCCCATTACCCCTCTATTCTCACCTGTACCAGTACAGGATCTTCACCACCCGTGCTTCTTCCGCTATCTTGTTGTTTCAACTCGTTTTTCGACAGCTTTCTTGGTGGCGGATCCGTGGATAAGCACTCCTGTGTGGGTTTTTTATGGGCGTGTGACGCAGAGCCAGTGCCGATTCTTTCTCTGGTCGTGATAGCACGGGGTCTCGGAATCTGCCTTGGTTTAACATTTGCTGACAGCTGCTAGACCGACCGCCGTGAGCCAGAGCCGCGATGCCGATCGAACATGAGATTTATTGGCGGTTGCGCGGTGCCAAGATGAACAACATTCCGTGGCAATGCTCATCGGGCCTTGATTTGCACTGCTAATCAGCTTCGTTTACATCACCCGAAATGCATCCTCCCGAGTCCCATGCATCGCTGCCAGAGAGTCGAGGCCTTGCAGGCTGCAGCAGGAGATGCGTTCTCGGCCGCCCTCCAGCGTCGCTCGCCGAGGCCGTTCTCCAAATTTCTTACAGAGCCCAATTGCACAGTGATTGGACAGGAAATTTTTTCATCTTTGCGCAGACCCTGTACAGATAACGTGGCTTGGTAGAGTTTGTGGTGTTGTGGCGAAAAAGCGACAATGGGCGTTGGTCGGGCGCCTTTCGCCCTTGATCGGGGTTCACCTAGAGATCTCTTGCCGCATCGGATCCGAGCACAGCAGAGAGGCAAAACCTGGGGTTGCACTTCTGTCACTGCACCTGCAACCAGACGATCGAGACCAAGCGATCGCGGTTGGGCTGGACAAAGCTCTCCCCGAAGAGAGGACAGGTTTTTTTTGAAGCTCTCCCCGCCACTATGCAATGCAGGCCAGCTAGTCTCATCCCGAGTGCGGCTGAGACACGCTGTTGAGACATGTGCAAAGGCGTCTGGAGAAACCCAAAGACGCCAAAAACATGCGAATCCTTGTTCCGCTTGCGAGGAGGGGTGTGCAGTCGGAGCCTTTTTTTCAGCCCTTTACATTACTGTAGCGAGAAGGCGCCAAAAGAAGTCGAATCTGCCGAGTGAATGTTGACGACAATCTCCAATTCGCCATTATTTGACAGGTGCACTCTGATAGTGCCCTACAAAAGATGCATACAGTGGAATACACAGGCATCAGGCTACCGGTCATCAAATGCAGACAGCTTCGCATCTGCCGCCCAAAGTCGCCGCAATAGCGGGTCTAGTGCCGGCGAGCCCAGTGCTGCAGTAGCACTGCTACAACCACACTCCCACGCTGCCGGCCGCTGTGTTGCAGCGCTATAGCACTGCCCACAGCGCATCTCTGGCGCCGCAGTTACTGTATCAATTTGTTCGCCCTGCCCAACACAACCCTCCGACTCAACATCTCCGTGCGACCTACACTCAGTCCCGTGCATGGGTATCTCTGTGTCAACGTTTTCTGGACTACGTCGAATCCGCGCCCTCAATCCGAATTCGTCCGCCAATCTGCCCTCTCAGCTTTCTAGGCCCTGATGGACCTCCCAGGCATCGACATTCTTTGGCGCGCCCGTGGGGGTTCCCACTGGCCCCGAAAGTAGGGAGCCAGCCGTGGTTCCTGGGTGCGACGGTAGATGTGGCGCTGCCGGAACGTTTTGGCGCAACGCAACCCTCCCTGGCATGAATCCGGTCCCGCCCAGAGCATCGTGAAGTCGAGCTACTGCTAGTAGCAGAAGTTGGAGAATGCGGGATAGAGGCCAGCTACAGCTACAGCTACATGTGTACCAACAACCTCACTGCAGGGCAACTGTCGTCGTACATGCAGAAGATGCGGCGTGAGCGACGAGCTCCTGTCGGACTACAGCCTACGAAGGAATCATGCTTACCTATATTACAGGAGCTTTCCCCCAGAGAATGCGTCTCACTCAGCCAAAGGATTGCGGCAGTCTCTGCAACAGGAAATCTTGAAGCACCGTGGCTGACGCACCCATCTTCTAAGAAGCGACGACCAAACGAAGCCCTCTTTTGTTTCCAAAGAAAGAAACCTCGGCTATGGCAGCCGATGGCGCCGTAAAAGATTTTTCCAATCAATGAACTAGACATGCACCTCTCGACTCAAAAAGATCAAGCATCAAGCATCAAACACTCTTACGAATACCAAGATACATCTAAACGAGTCAGATAAAGGCCTCAATGACGCATTGTTGCTGTCCGTTGTCCTTGCCTTGATCCCGGCCAGCGTGGGTTTCATGGCGTCAGCGGGCCTCCAGAGGACCCCGTGGACCCCTGAATCTTCCTGATTGTTCTCAGCATCAACCGTTGAGGCCACGAGGTGGGAAAAAAGTTAGATCCCGATGAAGCCACATATCCCATTTTTATTTTCATTTTTTTTTCTTGTTTGCTTCACAGAATTTAATTACAAAAGTGGCGGCCCATGTCAGCTCCGGCATCCAGCCTCCCCCCCACGTCCTGCGCGCCACTGAGGTATTGGCTGGGGCTTCTGCATCGGCTTCTGGAAGCACGGCACACCAACATGAGGAAACTTCTGTGGAGACCGTAAAGACTGCGGTCCACAGGGCCCACGCACGAATTGACAGAGAACAAGGTTGCCGATCAGGCAATGGGACCCGGACGCAGCTTGGCTGCTAGAAGCGGAGCACTCTGCTTCCACAGAAGATAAAAAAGGTACCCGTACGCTGAGATTATACGGCTCCATACCCCCAGCCTCGTGGAGATGGTATGGAGTATCGAAATACGTCTGCCTAGAGGTTTACGGGGCTCTGGAGCAAGCTTACAGCAAGCCTTCTGGGGACACAGAGTGCTTTTGGTCCATGGAAAACATATCAAAGCAAGCAACACAAGAGGGGAAGCGAGCTAGGATGAAGAAATTTTTTGCAAAAGGATGGATGGGGAGAAGCGTTGAAACACAAGAAATGCGGTGTGCTAACGTGACGTCCTGCTTGCAGCTAAACGGGAACACATGCCCAAAGTTGCTGCGATCTCGGCCACGGTCATCTGTCTCCGGCCATTGGGCTCAGCCAAGCTGGCATCTCAACGCTTGAGGCTGTCTTGTCCTTCTCTACACAGTATGTGTGGGATGATCACCCCTGAGTCGTCGCATCGTCATCCCACGAAGCATGAGAACATCGTATTAGCGACATTGCTTCGTGTCACGAGACTGAGGCTGTAAGCGAGAATAACCAGGATAAACCAGCCATCTCACTGTGTGACTTATCCGGATCGTCAGGACTTGTTTCTCAGGGTCCTCGATGCGATCAGCCCTCGCCGCGTACACCGTGAGGATGGTCTCCCCACCGTTTTACTTTAGCGCAGTTTTCTACCGTTTTCCCGCAACGGGAAGACGCCAGTGTGGTCGTTAATAAGGTTGTTCGAAGCCTCCTTGGCGAGGGAGGTCTGGCAAGGGTAGCTCACCCTTGTTAGCGCTGCTACATAGTACAGGGTCTCTCCAGGAGCGTGGAACTGATGTACAAGTATATACGGGTATGTTTTTGGCCCCCTTTTCTCTTTTAAAATGTTGAGAGTAAATTACGGTACTGATGCCCTCTTTCAGAATCTACCCAGCTACAAACGGCGTCATGTGGTAGCTGACATGCATTGCATTGTCTCAGGTCATCGGGCGTGTGTGGCTTCAGGTGCAAAAACAGACAAGACATGGCTGGCATTCCTCGTATGCCCAATGCACCGTTCCAGCCTCTCCTCTGTCGAAAGGATGCCATTCTATATGCTACCCGCTCATTTCACTTGGCTGAATTCAGACCATGTCTCTCAAAAACTAGCAATCAAGACGACTACACACAAAGACTTACTTGATCATCCCATACAGAGAGAGCCTCTAACAATCCGCAATCGCACCCGCAAGAGCTGGTCAAAGCTCCTGTTCACTCTGCCTGCCGACACCCCGGATTTCGCGAACCAATGCGGAAAAAATCAAACTGTCCGCATGACCACTGCGAGATTGGCCTGGGTTTATTTCCGGGGGCCGGAGCACGACACCGTTGCCGGCTCCCCACGTTTCCCAATTGATGGTTGGCGACTGAGCCGTGCGGTTGCCGGCTGACGGTTGGTATGTACCGTCAGCCCCTGAGCCACCACCTCCAACGATACTCGTCAGCTTCGTTTTGGGTGCCCTCGTGTCCTCCTGACCTTGCTAGGATGAAGCTTTCATTTCGGGGCTTCGGGAACGACGCTCCTCTACTATGGAGCAGTGTTCCGGAGAGAATTTCCAATTTACTAACAGCGGTTTAGTTGGCACAATAATGAGGCTCAGACCACCAACACAAGATACTAGGTCCTAGCAGACTGCAAAGTTGGGTGCGGGCTCCAATGCTAAAAGTGACCAGAAAATTTTTATGTAGCTGCCTAGACCCTCTTCTCCTCACCAGCGGCAAGATGGTGTGGCCAAAGCTGCATTGCCGGCAGTCGAGACGCGATCTATTGAATTGGCGTCTCTGGATGATTATCCACACACAAGCACACACCACGCAGGAGACATCCTCCAGAGTGCGGCTGCGGCTCCCACGACTCACGCTTGTTCTTTAGGTATCGTCAGTTTTCAGTTTTGAGGGACGGGGGGCGCTTCTTGGGCGGAAACCGGCCTCCCCCCACATCGGGCAAGATGTGGTGGTGCATCCCGGACGCTCTAATCCTACCCCACGCGCCTCGGAGCAGCTCAGTCCAACAATACGAACAAGATTAGCTTCTAGCAGACCATTCGCAGGCTCTGCAGAGGGTGAAGGTACGCTTGAAGCTCAATGGCAACGCGGCGCTCGCCCCCTTAACACCACTTGCTCTCCGGTCAGCTCATTATCACGTTGTCCAGACCGCGGCGACGCCCCATCAACTGTCGCGGCCGCTATCGACTATCTACAGTCTACTGCATTGCATTCGCGTCGCATCCCATCGCATCCCGTCGCATGACAACTTGGTAATCCGCGCCAATTCGAGTTATGGATTGGTACCTCTTCAAGAGGCAGTTGTATCGTATCATCTTTTCCCGAGATTTTAGGTTCTGATCTATCGTGACCCGACGAAAGGCGAGACCCGACGATGCGTCTGAGAGCTTCCAAGCAGCCTTTATGCAGATCCGGCCCCTCTCCGCCCTCCTCTTCCGGAGCACACCTCCGAATCCCTTGAAGAGAAAAGAATGATGGCTGTTTGTTGATTTGTGAAGCACCCATATCACATGCAAGTGCCCAAGCATTCACACTGAAAGGTCTGCATTGTGTCGTTCTGGCTGGTCAGGTTGTGGTGCATTGCATTGGCGCCTAGCGCCTGATGTCTGCAGTAGCACCATGTACTCTCCGTGCCTCTCCATTGTTAGGCTATCAGTACAGCACCAGGTAGGGTGGCCTCCCTTACTTTACTAGCCTCACTTTGTGGCATCCTGTACCGGCGTGGCTTTACCAGGAACAGGGGAAAGCGGCAAACCTTGCAGGACGCTATTGTCATGGCTGTGTGCCGAATTGGCGTTGACGAGCAGCATAGTTCTCGCTAAATGGAAGCAGGGGGCTGTTTCGTTTGTCACAGTGATATGTATTCCCTCTTGTGATTTGCTGCTTTCTTTTTGTTACAGCTTCGTCCAGTATAAGAGGGCAGCATGGAAGTGGTGTGTGACCATTTTTGAGATTTTGTCTGTTAAAAAGAAGGATTTCTTGCAATAGCTCGCTATAAATCAGTCCCTAAACGGTGAGCAAACCAAAAAGGCAAGCATAACTCGGCTCCCTAAAATAACTAGTACCTAGACCTCTTCACTATCCCACCTCCTCCGTCCATCCATCCATCATTATCCATAAACGCCGGGGTATTAGAACCACGCGTGGCTAAACCTCGTATCATACTGTTACTGTTACATGTCACATTTCCCCCCAAACATCTTGTGAAAGAAACCAAAAAAAAAAGTGCAGAGCAGGAGAGCTCTCTCAGCTGTATACGTCCAACTTGAGTTCGTGACTGCTTCTCGTCTAAACCGGTGGTATAAGATACCTGGTGCATCATAATGCTGCGAGCTTTGATTATAGCGGTTTTGCGGCTCTCTAATCGCGTTCAGGCACCGGTATGATTAGCTCCAGCAGGGACGCAATATATGGACTCTGTAAAACAAGTCATGTCAGTAAATAGTAAACAAACAAGGAGATTAACAAAGGTACTACGTACCATGGCAAGATTCTCCGCCAAAATGCCATATAGCTGTGATAAATGCGGCCGGAAGAGCTTCTCGTTCCATCCTCCCTTCTCAGGAGTCCTAGACTGTTCCTTGAGAAGCTCCTCCTCAGCCTCCGTCTTGACCACATTGCGGGCAATGTTACGGAGCACCAGCACGGCGCTTAGCGGGATACCGCCAGCCTGGGGAGGGGCGTCGGGCGTCCGCTCATCTCGGAAGGTTGGCGTCTCTTCCAGCACGATGCTCATCGTCTTTGCCGGGACGATCCACTGGCTCCGCTGGTGCCTATGCACGGCATTCGGGCCAGGGATCATCGTGGAGATGTGGGTAGTGATGTGCCGCGCAAAGCTCTGCAGGTTCATCTTGATCGGCTTTTCGTACTTGGTACACTCGCCCCATGTGCACTGGAATTCCTTCTCGGCATTAGTGTACTGGCCGTTGGCGCCCCTCTGTTCGTTCAGGTGGGCGTTGAGAATGTGGTTCCACATCTCCTCCTGCTTTAGATAGAAATGGCCGCATTTCTCGTTCTTTTTGTCATTGTTCGTAGCCCACAAACAGCGGCCATATTCGGAACCATCAAAAGCGAGGGGCCTTGGTCGTGCGCGAATACCGTGGATGATAAACTTTTGTTGCGGGTCACCAGGCTCTCGGAGCACTTGGGCGTTGGAGTCCTTGTAGACAGACGTGCTGTTCCTGATGAAATCGGCAGGTGTGATCATTGGTTGATTAATTGTCTTCAATGGGGTGGCGAATGCCGACTGGTAAGCCTGCCAGGCGGCGAGCTGGGTGATAAAGGACCGGTTGTCTTCCTCAAAGAAGCACTTGACCCACTGGTGGACTCGATCAGGCTCTTCTAGTCTGAGCATTTCTTGCAAGAGGTCATCGGGCATTGGAGCGATGTCGTCTTTGGCTGGCAGCCTCTGCTCCTGCTCAATTGTGTAGTCCCTGGTATATTTGCGAGCACCGTGAGCCAACAGGCGAATAAGTTGCTGGACCAAGTTGTCGGGCACGATGGACCGTACTAGGTTGTCAAGGTTCGGCACAACTGCAGTGTATTGATACAGAAAGTCGAGACAAGCATCAATGAGCTCATCATCGTTCAGCAGAAGCCAGTTCACGATCCGCTGAAGCACCGGGCTTGGAACTTCACCCAGCTTGTTTGTAGCCTCTAGGTTCACAGAAATCCTACCAAGTGCACGAAGTGCTGTCAAAATGGTTCCTCGGTCTTCGGATGCTAGCTGAGATAAAAGGCTCTTGTATAAGGGATCGTCAGATTCCAGAATCATAAAGGGGGTCAGCTGCTCCGCAATATCAAGAGCAAGTTGCTTGACTTCCGTAAGGGAATCTCTCGCGGGCAGATGCAAAAGAATGCATATCAAGTCTTTCACTGGGTGAAAATCCGACATGTTGTGCGCATTTTCAGGCAGCGTCACCATGTTTCTGATGGTAAGTATCGCCTCAGTTGTCAAGACCATCTCATCGGCAAATTTTTCGGTCTGGATAACGTCTGGTATCTCTCGCTCAATCAAGTTTTCGATTCTCTCTAGGATATCTGGTGTGCCGTAGTTGCCATCCAAACAGCCAACGTCATTTGATTCGGCAAAGGAGTCCCAAGACACAGTCCAGTCGACGTAGTAGAAGAGGCTGCCTATCTGCAGTGCCTTCTCAACAAGCCCCTCGGCCAGTCCCGGGAAAGAGTCAAACTTGTACTTATCACCTCGTTCAAATGATATCTTCACCAAGTGGTTGAGCGCAAAAGCTTGCTCTGCGGTAACACCGGAACGAAGGGCATTCAGGCACCGAGTGTAGATATTAGGGCCATCAAAGCCAGCTACAAACGATTAGCGTCAGCGCGAATCTCTCTGAGGATGTCTCTTCAAAACTCAAACTTACTACCAGGCTGCATGGGCTGTCTGTTGGCAGGATCCAGAGCGAAGCGGTGCGGTAGCCTTGCTTTAAAGAATTCGCTTGGCGCATTGCTTGGAGTTGCTACGGGACGTAGTTGGAGTGGTTTCATCGGCTTCGGTTGATAGGAAGTGACTAGGTGTGATGTGTTTTCAGAGTTGGGGGGATGGTGTAAGATTGAGGGACCTCTTGAGTTGTTGTGAATTGCCATTGGCGGCATGGGATGGACGGCTGAATGGTGGGCGGGGGCTTGCTGGCCGTGGTTCAGGGCTGGGGAGGCTGAATTGTTGCCCTGTTGGTTTGACGCCTGTCTTGTGGCTCGGGCTGGGCCTGTATCGGGCTGGAAAATGACTCTTTGCGGAGGCGCCTCGCGAAGGCCGCGCGAAGCTCGAGCGCTTGAGACAGGATCTGGTGCCGGTCGTTCACGCGTCGGGGTGCCATCATCACCAGAGGCAGGGCTGTCTGTGGCCCCGACATTGCTCTCTCTCTTGCCGCGGAAGTTTTCTCTCGTCCGTGTCAGGAGGCTCGCACCCTTAGCAGTGACATCTTCAAGGATATCTTTTGGCGGCGGTTCCTTTCCGTGGACTGTTTTGATCTCGTATGCTGCCAGGTTCTTGTAGAACTTCTCCTTGAGAGCAAAAGCCGTTGATGCCTCGTTATTGGAATGAAGGCCAAGCTCTGCTGCCATTCGACGCCATGCCAGCTTCTCTTCTGATACCTTGTCGTATCCACCGTTCGCGACAATATGATTGAAGACCTTGAACAGATCCAAATGGATCATTCCAACCTTGGGTTCTGGGTCTAGCGTCGTGCCTCGTAGGGTGTGGTAATCCCTGAGCTTGGTCATGAAGTCTTCATATTCAGGTGTCCTCTCGATGGAGTGCAGCGGCACTTCCTGGGGAGATGAAGTCATTTTGGCGAATACCAGTCGAAGTTCGGTTGCGCTTTATTGATTTATCGACGGCTGTTGTCGAATTGGACGATGCCAGGCGCAGTGGTCGCTGCTGGCAAACGATGCTCCCGCTATTTATGCCTTGCGCGTCTTCGGTGTCGGTGGAATTGGGCCAAATAGGCGTCGTATATGGTTCGGTCAAATGCGCCACGATCGAGTTCCGCAACGGATCCGTCCAAACTCTCTCCTGCGACTCTTATCGACGGAGAAATCGGCGGCACCAAAGTCGCCTCGCGTGGTCTCTGGCAAGGCTGCAGCCATCGTGGTTGGCGCGGCGCGACGAAAATCGGCTGGCGCACAAGCAATCTTATCTACACGTGAGATGGCCCCCCGCTTCAGCCAATCGGAGCCTTGCCATGGTAGCTTCCTGGTGCATCTCAGATCGAACAAGCCCGCAGCAGCTCTTTCTTAGTCTGCAAAGCGACAAAACAACACAAATTCGGGACTGCAGTCTGGGTTCCTTTTTTCAATCTCGTGTCAATTTGAGTTACTGCGACAGTCGTTTCGCCGCGTATCTGCCAAGCATCATTCGCTACTACACCAAAAAAAAGACAAAATTCTGCATTTCCAGCCATGACGGCACTCCCACTGTCCGGATGTCCTCTCAAGCGTCTGGAGATCCATGGCGGGGCCACCCACAGCACGTATGACGCCGCCAACTTGGACAGTTCCTTGACGGCTACCCTAGAAGCTCAGCGATGTACCACCGGAAATCACAGCAATCTGTTGTTTCAATCTCATCTAGGGCTTCAACGAATAGTTCGTATTTCCGAAGATGCTTTTCTTTTCTTTTCGTATATTTGGCGGTCGTCTAATGGCATTAGTTTTCTATACAACTTGCAGATCTCAGTGAAACACCAAACAGCGAGAGAGAAATCATGAGAATCCATGAGCCGTCTTTCAGTATACGCATAAAAATTCATCAAATTCAACAGGATGTAGTGGTTTCATTCGAAATGAAGCAAGACTTCAATCACGCAATAAACATACTCAAACGTATTGGATACCGTGCTCAAAATGGCATCCCTCCCGCATTGCATGCTATTGACACCAATGATACTACGGCTCAATCCGATCCAGGGCCTTATTCATATCACTCCGGACCACGCCTGAGTTCGTTTACCCCCTTGGGGAATGGAGCACAACAACTCTCTCAATCGAACTTTTCATTCACATCCATGTTGAATTCCGATATTCCTTTATCACAACTGCTTCCATTGGGCATGAAGGATCAGTGCTTTCATCACCCTCCACCATACAACGTACCACAGCAGTCGCGCCGACAGAGTGATCCAGCAACGGTGTTTAATCCACATCCAAGTCATCAAAATTTTAATATCAATCAATCAAAAATAATGTATCAGCCGCTCATTAGTTCTCCTTTGCGACATGCTTTACCTGTCGATGACCAAAATGAGGCCCCTAATTCACCAATGCCAAACAGTCAGCCAACGTTCTGCACCGACTATGCGGATATGCCATCTTTATCAAGCTATCGGTCTATATCTGAACCCAACTCACTATTCAATCATTCACAGCTTTCAGAAACGTCAGTTACAAGCTACGATACATCACTAGACCCCCAATTTGGCCCTTCAAGCAGCCAAGAGAGTCTCACTTCTGTGGACAGCTCCTCACAAGCTACAGACACGACTGATGACAATTTTCAATTGCAACTGGGGCAAGATTTTCGCAAATTCCTGCCCCGAACGCGCAGTTTGCCATTCTTAAAAGGCAAAGATCATAAAGTCGCCAAATCAAAGCCGAGGGCTAAGCAGAATCAGCGGCACAGCAACTCACAGGAGAAAAAAATCATGGACAAGAATGCGGATGTACACAGAAAAGAAAGTACCAAAATGGCAGACTCGAATAACGATGACTCTCAGCTTGTTTTGCATCATACTCCACCCCGATCAAAAGTTTCACAAGCCAGCGACACCCCAATTTATCACTCCTCTTTGGAAGAGACTAAGCCAACCACTATGTTGATCGCTGACCCTATCCTACTAGAGAGGGCGAACAAAGCCACTTCTCAATTGTTTGACCAATATAATGAAGACCTCAGCCGGGGCTGTAATGCTGCTTCTTACGCTGAATTCTACTTGGAGCAAATCCAAGCTATTCGAACAGAGTTTTGGTTTAACGAGCTAAGTCAGATGAAATACGATGGATTAAAGTGAAATCAGGAGTGAACGTTTGTATAGAACCTGTGTCCCAATGGCCGTTGGTGCTAGCAGTGGTCTTGAAAAGGTCTTTAACCAACTCATCTCAAGACTGTCTTTATACAGTGTTTCATCTATCCATTATATCTTGGGCATCTCAAAACCGCTTTTGGAGAATACATCGGATAGGAAAATACGTGTGTCGAGATGGAAGTCAGATACGGCATTGGTATTATTGTTGGTAGGTACTACTAGTACGCAATCATCTTAATATACATACGCCAGCGTTACGTCTTGCATTATTCGCTTATCGTACTATGAGGATCAACGGGATGACGAATGTAACATATGATGTGAATGATTGAATGGCCTACATTCATTGCTATCGTATAATGCGAATGGACTAAATGCCTATGAGTTTGTCAAAACGAAAGAAGGAGTGGCAGAGTGAGGATATCTCTTTGAAAAGCATAAACGCCGAACATGAGCGATACATGTAGCAGACACAGGATAGCCAAGCAATAAAAAGCTCTCGCAAAGGCAATAAAACAAAATTTCAACGCAAAGGAGGTAATATTGCTTTCTCAAAAAAAAATCTTTCTCTTATCCCTACGCCTAACTCATCACCACCCACCGCAATCTTCTCTCAGTTCCAAGAAGAAAAAAATATGGCTATCCATCAAACGTGAAACTTCATATACCCAGAAGAGCACCAGAAAAAGGCGTGTATAAGAGAAGAGAAAAAAAAAGAGGACAAGATTCAATTCAAACCGTTTCGAGTAAAAAGCCGTGTTAAAACAAGTTGGTATCCTTCCAATTGGAATCCCTTTTTCCAAGAAGAGAAAAAAAAAATAACAAGGAAAAAGGTAGAAAGTATTGATGGCAAAAAGAAAATGAAAAAAGCAGCAGTCTTTGTGGTATCGTAGGTATCACACCAGTGGGTATCTCGATTTCCATCTCTTCACTCCCTCATCTTGACGTAGTTACTCGGGAAGATGCCGTGCCGTGCTCCAAGTTGACCGGTCCTAGACGTGTGGTGTTAGCCTCTCTCTCGTACAATGCTCCCTACCAACAGTGCGCAGTTGGACATCAAGGCAAAGCAAATAGGTACTCACCACCAGTCGTTATCGCTATCCGTCTTCTTGAGTATCGTAATGATGTCGCCCTTCTTGAAGGCCAAGTCGCCAGGCTGGTCTGCGTCAAAGTTGAACAGGGCGACGGCCTCGTTTGATTTCAGGGCAGCCTGTCGGTTTCCAAACGAAGGCTTTGGAGCAGTAGGACGGCCAGGGGGAACCTTTTTCTCCGCTGCCGGCGCATCATGCCACCTGTAGTCGTCGCCAAAGCCTCTCGTGCCACCGCCCACCGTGTTTGAGCGCGACGGCGCATTGAAGCTGTCCCTGTCGTACACATCGTCCTGCCAGGTGTTTGATCGCGAGCGGTTGGACCGCTGGCCCTCGCCGTACGCAGCGCCCTGGCGGCCCTCCCAGACGACGTCGTCGTGGTTGTCGTCGTACACGGGCACGTCGTTGTACATGGTGTCGTCGGACTGGCCCTGCCTCATGCCGGCAAAGACCCTAGAGTTGAGAATAGTCATGAGGGGCGCGGCCTGCGGCGGCGGCGGCACCGACCCCGTAAGCAGCTGCTGCGCCGTGTACCGCGTGCCGTAGAGCTTCTCGTTGGCGTCGCGGCGCTCGATGATGGCGGACCCTTCGAGCGACACGCCGGCGAACAGGCCCTTTGTCTTGGAGTAGCTGAAGATGCCGGCCACGCTCTTGAGCGACGCTGCGCCGGCGGCCTCGGCATTGCGCCCAACGGGGCCCGCCGCCAGCGACACGTTGCCGCCCAGGGTGATGGACCCGGCCTGCGCAAACGTCTTGACGGCCGAGGTGTCGTTGAGGATGAAGACAAAGTCGGTCAGCTCGAAGCCAATCTGGCCGCCGAAACCTCCTCCCAGCGTCCCAATAGCGCTCGGGGCGCTCCAAGTGCCGTCGGGCAGTCGAGCGACGACGAGGCCGCTGCCGAATCGACCAGATCCGAGGAATCCGGCCTTGAAGACGGTGATGATGGCGAGGCCCTTTGCGTTGGAGAGGACCGAGGGCGGGATGATCTTGTCCGGGCCAAAGGCCTGTCGCGGGTTGATGAATGACGTGAGGATCTTGCCGCACTTTTTGCATTCGGCTGTTTAACAGTAAAAAGTCAGTTTCAAGCTTCACAAAGCTCACAGATAGCTTCTGCGTTCACGGCGCCGCAAAGTTGCTGGCCGCGCGCGAATTAAACATCAATCGAGTCACTTACACGCCATGGAGGCGGGGAGAGGGTTGTTGATTCCCATCGTGTCTGGCGTGGCCTGCGCAAGGCGGTCTCGCAAGCGATGCTGGCGAAGGGCGATCCGGAGGCTGAAGAAGCAGAGGCTGACGAGGATATAAAAATAAAACAAAAGTATATAGAGCGAGGACTGGATGCTGCACAGGAAACTGCCTAGAGAGAGGGTGGGTTGCGTCAGCACGTCCATACAGGCAAACACTGAAGAAAATAACGGATCCAGTCAGTAATACGCCTGGAACTCGGCGACCGCGGCGGGGTGTATGAGGGGAGCCAAAGTCCGCGGTACTAGGTACCGGCGATTGCGGGCAGGATCCGGCGTATGCAGCGTGTATGGGGTACCTTTTGCGAGCCGGGATGTTGCCTGTCGTACCCTTGTTGATGGTGACGTGCTGTGTTTACGGGCTGGACAGTGGGCAGCGCCCTGGAATTTTAGCAGTTTGACAGCGGGTGCAGGTATCGTGACAGTGCTGGAGTTTGGTCGGAGTTGGGGCTGAGGCGAAAAAAAATGGAAGGCCAGCCCTTTTTAGCTGGTCTGGTCCTTTTTTTTTTTTTCTTCCGAGAGCGTTCCGTCGATCAGAGGTCGCTCAGCCACAAAACGAGCATCTTCATCTCCAAATTCCAAGCACAGCGATGGGCGAGAAGAAGAAATATATAGAAATGGAGAAGAAGCTGGATCGACTCAGCAACCTCAGCAATACGCGGGAACCTCGTTCTAGTTATACCTTAAACGCGTCGCATTACGAATCAACTTAAAAGCCAACTTGGACTGCTTCCGTGTATTTCGCTCAGACACGCAGCTCGATCAGCGCTTTGGAAGCATCAATTGGCACAGCATCTCCAAGCCCGGATTTCCGGCCCCACCGCCGCGTGGTTTTGCGTGGCGGTGCGGAAACTCGTGCGGTTGCATGTCACTAAGAAGCGCCTGTGGAAGAGCGCTGAAACGCCTGAAAGCGTAGAAGGGGGCTTGTTCCCGCCACTGCACCAATGGCCAAAACTGACTAAGAGCACCGTCCATCCGACTCGCTGTTCCCCCGGACCATTATTCATTCCGACACGAACTCAAGCCTCCGGCCTATCGCCATCGTCATCCACTTGGAATCAAACCATCGCGACTATTTCCTTCTCTTCACACAGTATCGAGCCTATTTACTCGCCCTTTAATTTTTACTTTGACTTTTATTTGCGCGCTACCGCCACAGCAGCCAATAGCGTCTTTAGACCTCCTTGACGAATCCTTTTTCCACGAGCGCAATCGGCTTTCATCACCACTCCCTTCGAATAATCAATCTACGAGACAAGCTGGGCTTTCCAAACTCCAAGACAACAACAACAACAACAAGAACAACAACAACACAGCCCTGTCAATATCTGCAGAGCGCTCTGCGCAAAACATTGAGAGAAGCGAATCAATACACCGAAGTGCCTATCCTAAACCACCGCCACCATGTCCGAAGCCTACGAGCGCGAGCGCCAGAACAACGCTCGTCTGGAGGAGCTCTCCTCCAAAGTAACCGCCCTGCGCGGCGTCACCGTCGACATATACGATAATGCTCGTGCTCAAGATGTCATCGACAACACTGTATGCCAGCTTTCTCCAACTCCCTCGTCGAAGGAATACCGACAAATTCCATATTATCTTCGTTGCTAACCGGGGAGCGTTTGCCCCTTATTTTAGTCTGATACATTCACATCCATGACCTCCCAGTTCAAGGGATCAGCGTCGCGATTAACGCGCATGGCCGCTTCCGGAAACAACGTCGCTATATTAAAGCTTGCGGGAATCATCATCGGGGCGTTTCTACTGCTCTACTATGGCCTCAAATTGATCTTTTGAGACATTGGGTGGGCAAGCAAAGGCGATGGCGAAACAAACAAGGTCTAAGGTGGGATATGGGGGCGTATACATACTAGACAGGCGAGCAAGCCGTGTACAGCTATTTTTTTTCTTTTTAATTCCTTTTTTTCTTTTTAATTCCTTTTTTTCTTTGGTAACTGGCCTTTAGGATAAGGGGAAGATGCGGTTCGGCTTCGAAAGACAATGAATACCCCTGGCGCGCTATCCGGAGTTGTTTCTCATTTGATTTATATGAGCATATCAATTTTTTTTGTATGGTTATGGCAATAAATAAATTTAGGGAACATTATCAATTATACAATAAATACTTCCAAGACATAAATCACATAAGATTCATCAACACCACAGGCAGACATGAATGCCGTGGCCGCGCAACTCTATGCCTCCTTTCTCTTTTTTTCTTCGTGCAATCTACAAGACTCCTAACATGCAAAACGCCCGTTAACATGCCCGCCTACCCAATTGTGCAACAGATGATATAAACTTCTCCCCTTGTCTTGCCAACTCCTCTTCATGGAAAGGAAAAATCAGAAAAGAGGGACACCCTACTGCCAGACATTGTTGAACAAATCGTCACTGGCTCCTCCAAAGCCTCCCTGGTTGGGTGTCACGCCAGAGTTAGCTCCGCCGGTGCTGCTCGCCCAGCCGCCAAACTCCTCATCGGCCGTGACCTTGGGAGCCGGGGCAAAGCCTCCACCGGATCCGGGGACAATGGGCGTATTGGAAAAGGCACCTCCCTCCCATCCAAGGCTGGATGCTGAAGCCTTTGGCAGCGAAGGGCTCTTTTGAGCTATCGGCGCGGCCGTGGATGGCCCGCTGCTCCACTCGTTGCCACCCCAGACGTCAGCTCCCGATAGGTTGGCTCCACCCAGCGCGGTTGCGGCCGAGCTTGGTGCAGGCGCAGGGGCGGGAGCAGCGGGCTTGGTCTGGGGAGAGGAGAGGTTGAAAACCGAGCTTGATACCGGAGCACTCGGTTGCGTGGCAGGCGGAGAAGTCGGCTGGATGGTCGTGGCGGGTGCAGAGAAATCAAAGAGATCGTCCATGGCAGAAGACGCCTTGGGAGCAGGGGCCGTGGCAGCAGCCATGGGCGACGAAAAGTCTCCGAATCCTCCAAATCCGGAGCTGGAGTTGGACAGCTTCGACTGGTGAGACGGCTGTGCAGGCTGTGCAGGCTTCGAGTTGAAAAAGTTGCCTCCGCTCAAACCGCCAAAGGCACTGCTGTTGGCGGACTGGGATGCTGCTGCCCTAGTGCCCAGACTGGCAAAGGGGTCGACTGGTGCCGGCTTGGGAGCGGCGACATTTCCAATGTTCAAGCTGCCGAAAGCATCGTTGAAACCGCCCATCGAGCCGCCCATCGAGCCCTGAGAGTGGTGGCTAAAGGTTGGGGAGGCCGGGCCTCCAAATCCCTGCTGCTGGTACTGCTGTTGCGGAGGCTGCGGCTTAGGAACGGAAGCATATAATGATAGAATAGACTGCTTAAGGTCTGGCCTTGACTGGGCTTGGGCGGAGCTCACTCCAGGGGTGCTTGCAGGCCGGGGCGGCGCGCTGGCCTCACCGAGGAAGTCTAATCCAAGTAGAGAATCTTTGGTGCCAGTCGTCTTCGGAGGGGCGGGCTCAGCCTTGGGAGTGATCCTGCCAACGGGAGGTCCGCTAGTTGCCCGTGCTGGCACAGGATCATCGCTGCCGATGAGGTCTCCCACCGCGGGCGCAGGCAGAGGAGACCTTCGAGGTGCTTGGGACTGTCCAATCGAGGCTTTCCTGATCGACTCGTTCCTTTCGACAACCTGCTTCTCTTTGACAATACTCAACGGGACGTCGTCGTCGGCTGCAGAGTCCAATTCTGAGGGATCTGGCATCGGCCCATCCATCGCCCATCTCTTCAGCTCGTATTTGGTGCGGATAAAGTTCTCGATCTTGGATTCGGAAGGCGTGTGGCCGGCTGCCAGCTTTGCTTCCCAGTACTTGTTTGCGCGCGCATTGCCCCAGTTCAGGACGCTCTGGAGCTGTTCGTCGGTCCATGAATCGAGGTCGACGGACTTGACTCTGCTGATGTGGGTTCCCATGCCACGGTGGATGCCAGAGCATCGGATGCAGATGAAGATGCCCAGATTCCAGCTGGCCCATCGCGGGTCTGGACGATGATTCATGCGTTAGTTTCTTGAATATATAGAATGGCAGAATCGAGACTCAAAATGGCAGATTGACGTACGCTTGTTCTTCTTGCAATCGGCGCAGACCTTGTTGGGCTCGAGCTTCAGGAGACTCTTGATGGTCGCCTGGTTCTGCGCCGCCCGCTCGGCGCCGGGATTGGGAGCTCGTCTCGACATGGCGGTTCGGATTTGTCGTGAAAAAGCAGATGAGAGACTCTATAGACGAAGATTCGATATGTCGCCGGGTTTCGAAGTATGTGGTTGTAAGAGCAGGAAAACGGCAGCCTAGAGCAACGTGTCGTGGCCACTTTGATATTTCCACCAAGTTAGTTGCAACTTGACCGCACCCCACGAAGGCCGCCTCCTGTATCAGACATGGCCGGGAAGACTTCGGAAATCCGGGGCGCTGGGTCGTGCGGCCTACCCTGGAGCTGGCGCAATTTTGGCGGGTTTTGCGACGCAACCCATTCTGCAGTACAGGCTATTGTAGACGGGAGTTCTTGTGTTCAGCTGCTGCGTCATCGATGTGTTTTAGAAATGAACATGATGATTCAATTAAAGATATCAATATTTCATTCATAGTGTATGAGCGAGACTGCACGAGACCATGGTGGAGCGGTCTGGATTGAACACATATCATCCAGAAACATCACTGTAATCTTTGTTCTCGCTTCATTACATGAAACAGTCGTCAGGTAGCTGAGAATAAGGCTCGTGCCTCCTACTTAAGCAAAAGCGGCGCTAAAGCTCCAGCGCTGTTTTCCAGATTCCAACGTTACGGGGCGTCAGGTGCGCTATTGCGGCCTAGCGCTGATGTCCCGGCGCTTCACAGAGCCCTAGAAGGCAGAATACAGTGCAGAAGCTGGCGCTTGGCCTATCACGACCCTTTTTTAGATGATGCAATTGATCCGATTCCATTGCGGCTATACAGCGATTTGTCAAAAACCTCGTACCAGCTGCTCAACGTCTTCCAAATACTACCTCACAAGGCAATTAACAACAGCAAAGGCCCCTTCATCAATACATATAAAGAAGTCGTCTCTGTCGCCTTTTTTAAATCCATCAACACAACTTTCGCCTTCATGCGCTTTGTGCATACATTCTCACGATTCGTCTTCACTCTGTCCAACTTCACCCGCATTAAGCCCCCGCATCAGATCTCACAGCGCGCACTGCAGCCTCTTCGATTGCAATCTATGTCGAGCATCCCCTTTTTGAGCGCTCTGTTCGGTTCTTCATCCAAGCCATCATCCAACATGTCTTATCCCGATCAGCGAACCGATGACGAGTGGCGCGCCATTCTGAATCCCAGTATGTGTTTGTCCCCCTCTTAAGCCAAGCACTCGTTTGCTAACAATAACCACAGCGCAATTCAGGATTCTCAGAGAAAAGGGAACTGAAGCCCCTGGCACTGGAGAGTTTGACAAGCACTACCCCAAGGAGGGCGCCTACACTTGCGCCGCATGCGACGCGCCGCTCTACAAGGCAACGCACAAGTTCAGCTCTGGCTGCGGCTGGCCGGCGTATTTCGACAGCATCCCCGGCGCCGTCACCCGGCACGAGGACCGAAGCTTCGGCTCCGTCAGAACCGAGATTGTCTGCTCCAACTGCGGCGGCCACTTGGGTCATGTTTTCAAGGGAGAGGGGTTCCCGACGCCCACGGATGAGCGCCATTGTGTGAACAGCATCAGCCTGAAGTTTTCACCTGAGGACAAGGTGGTGGAGAAGAGCAGCGATGAGACCAAGGCATAAGTGATGGCTGCTGGGGAGAGAGTTTGGGGTGTGTGTAAGAATGTACAATGTGTATAATAGCGAGTGGAATATGAATTTGGAAATACCCATCTAAAATAATAATTCAGTTACAAATGTTGACGAGGAGGTGCATGAATGTGTATGTGGTGTATATAAGCGCTTGGCAATCTAGATCTGAATCTGAGAATAGCACCAACCAGACGTCATGCTAAGATGATGCATGATGGATTTGGTGACTACTAACCCTTATTTTACCCTTTTCACAAGCAAACCAGACCTGGAGCCTGCAAATAACAGCTTCTCAAGCATGTGCCTGCAGAGTCGAGTCGGTGCAGAGTGGACTGCCGCATTCAGCTAGACATGGATATGGAGCAGACTGTAAATGCATCTTGCACCTGACTTTTCATTACTCGAGTCGCCATTACAAACTATCTGTGGCCAACAACTGACAATTCCAACGAGGCAAAATAACGAACGGGCTGCTTATGATTATTGATCCCGCGCCTCGTGACGGAGCAGAGGCGCATCAGTTTAGAAGCCCCCCAAAAAGCTGGGGAAGCCTGTGCTGTCGGCATGTGAAAGCGCGCTAAGGAAAATGCGGGTAGTAGAACCACGCCGTTAGTTTCGCCGCACGCTCAGAGATGCCTCGGCCGAGATGGAGGCTGACGCTGGCTACGTCGTTTTTGTGACATTTCTGGACACGGACAAAACATCCGAGGTCAACCGGGAGCTCAGCTGCTTTGATTATATACGCCGCGGGCATCCGTTTTCTCTCTTCTCACATCTTTGATTCCTTTCCCTTTTATAGCCTTTTTCGTCCTTTACCACCTCCGTCTCTGCATATCCATCGGCCATCCCTTTCGTGTCGCATATTCTCACCTTGGTTTCTGTATTCCAGCTTCTACACATCTTCATCATGAGCGGTAAGTGATTCTTGTACAACCACGTCCATCTCTAGTTTTACTTTGTAGTTAGCTAACACGGGCCTCGCTATAGCTGTCGCACGGATTTCTCAGATCGGAGGCCAGATCTCCGGCAACCCCACCGCTGGGGGCCGCGAGAAGCTGCTGGAAAAGCACCCCGACGATGTACGCTCTCTTCATCATCCACGCAGTCGAAAATCCCCATATACATGAACCAAATACTCACGTGGATACCTCGCAATAGATTGTCGTCACCGCCGCCTGCCGCACCGCCTTCACCAAGGGCGGCAAGGGAGGCTTCAAGGACACCCCCGCAGGCGATCTCCTCGCTGGCGTCCTCAAGGCCCTTCTCGAGCGCTCCAAGATCAACCCTGCCCTCGTTGAGGATATCGCCGTCGGCAACGTGCTTGCTCCCGGCGCCGGCGCCACCGAGTTCCGCGCTGCCGCCTTTGTTGCTGGCTTCACGGAGGAGACCGCTGTCCGAGCGCTGAACCGACAGTGCTCGTCTGGTCTGCAGGCCGTTATCGATGTCGCCAACCAGATCAAGGCTGGTATGATTGATATTGGTATTGGTGCTGGTGCTGAGAGCATGAGCATGAACTACGGGTGAGTTTTTATGCTCGTGTAAAAAATGAGGGGGGGAAAAAAGCTAACAAGACGTGCCATCTTAGCCCTGCCGCCGTGTCCGAGCTCTCTGATGAATTCCAGCAGTGGGAGGAGGCCGTTAACTGCAAGGTCCCCATGGGTAAGCTCTCTGAGGATATGGCCAAAGATCTCAGCATCAGCCGAAAGGTCCAAGATGAGTTCGCCGCCAAGTCATACCAAAAGGCCGTCAAGGCCCAGAATGCTGGCCTTTTCAAGGATGAAATCGCCCCCATCAAGACCAAGGTCCAGGATCCCAAAACTGAGGAGTGGAAGGAGGTTGTTGTCGATCGCGACGACGGCATCCGCGACGGCATCACCGCCGAGTCGCTCGGCAAGATCCGCCCTGCTTTTGCAAAGGACGGCAGCATCCACGCCGGTAACGCCAGCCAGATCTCCGACGGTGCTGCCGCCGTGCTGCTGATGCGCCGTTCAACCGCCCAGAAGCTCGGCCAGGAGATTATCGGCAAGTACGTCGCTGGAGCTGTCGTCGGTGTCAAGCCCCTGCTCATGGGACAAGGCCCCTGGAAGGCCATCCCCAAGGCGCTCGAGAAGGCTGGCATCTCCAAGGATGATGTCGACATCTTTGAGATCAACGAGGCCTTTGCTAGTCAGTGCCTGTGGTGCGCCGACCAGCTGGGCATCTCCCATGACAAGATCAACCCCAAGGGCGGTGCTATTGCCTTTGGTCACCCTCTGGGCGTCACTGGTGCGAGACAGGTTTCAACGCTGCTGTATGAGCTGAAGAGGACGGGCAAGAAGATTGGTAACACTTCCATGTGCATTGGTACTGGTATGGGTATGAGTGCCGTCTGGGTTGCCGAGTAAAATAGACCGGCGGAGCATGGGAATGAATTTGTATGAATAGAAAACGAGCTCTTGTTTTTTGAGTTATTAGTTCTCGTACCTCTATAGGGAGAACAATCTAATATAGAAACTATTGGATACCTGATATTTAACAGGGAAATTGATTCCTTCAAACACTCTTGTTGCCCGTTAACTCACTGACTCATTTTATCAACCCTTTCCTTTTTCATATATAAACTGAAATGAGCTCGTGGCATGTTTATGTAATTCGCGCGGCCTAACCATTATGCTGCCCATTTATCATCATTTATGAATATCCAACGCTGTATCTGTTACCGGGCAAATCCATCATCGCGTACCATCGTATTCAAAAGCCTTCAATCTGCGTGCCAATATTCTTCTGCTTCGCAAGCTCAACCAACTCCGTTCCAACCACCAGGTCCATCAACCCCACCCCGACGCTCTTATACACAACAGTGCCGTCCCGTAGCCAGCGCGAGAGGCCGTCGTCCTTTTGCTTCTCCTTGTCCTTGTCAGACAGGTTGTTGCTCGACGATTTCCGAAAGTGCTTCCGGAAGGGCGATTTGCTGCGTGAAGACGTCGGACTCGAAGGGCTCGATGGCATGTCGCTATAGACTGTGTTCATGGAAGGGCTCCTGTCGGCGATGTCTAGTTCTGAGAAGGATGACGTTTGTGACATGACGTCGGAGGCTTCGGACTCTGACTCGTCGACGGCCATGCGGTGAAGCATGACAAGTTCGCCGAGTCTGGGGGGCAATCGTTAGCTTAACATATCGATATTGATGCAGTTATGCTGGGTGTATGATATAAGCACACTTACTCGACCAGCTGGGTGGGTGAAATCTTGGCGGCAATAATCTCTCCAGCTTCTGACAGAACCCCGTCTAATGTGTCCACCACAATGACGCCGCCTTCATCAGCGTGTCTGTGGAAATGCCTATGGCCCTTTTCACGGGGCTTTGTGACCAGCTGCAGGAGACCCTCGGGTAGCTCTCTCATCTCCGGCGTATAACTCCCCACGGCGACGATGAGCCTCCCCTTCTTTCTTCCCTCATGATTCGTCAGAATCGAGGCATCAAAGAGCTCTTCCCGAGACGGCGTGCAGCAGTAGATGATGTCGGCGTTGCGGATATACTCCTTCTGCAGGCGGTTGAACTCGTGGAACGTGGGCGTCAGAATCGTAAACTTGGCCGCCTCCCAGCCCTCGCGCGCCTTTACATCAGGAGGGATGACGGCAAACTTCTTCAGAATGCGGCCGGCGCTGTCAGAGAAGCGGTGGTTGATGATGTTGACGTGCTTGACGGTGCTGCCGCGCATCATGAGGGCCAGGCGGACGTGCCAGTAGGCCTGCATGCCGCTGCCAAAGACGGTGATGGTCTTGACGTGGTTGCGGCGGTAGACGAGGCATAGCGAGGCCAGGGCTGTGCGGAACGCAGTGAGCGTGCTGGCGTGGACGAGGCCAATTGGCTTTCCGTCGGGCGAGAAGAGGTTGACGACGCCTGTTGGGCTGATTTGCTGGATGGAGGGGTCTTTGGCCGCCTCGCCAGAAGTGAGAGACACCACTGATTGAATGTTAGTATATTTGAAAGTCTTATGAATCAAGTGCGGGCTTATACCTTTACAGCCCATGCCAGATGGACCGCATGATGGCATGTACAGGGTCGTGGCCTGAGTCTCGGGATGCAGCGTTGATACTCGATGCGGCTGCTGGAAGACGCCTAGGCCATCGGTTCCCAGACTGGTAGAGAAGGCATGGAGAGCACTGGCCAGCGTCTTTCGGAGATCCTCCAGCTCGTCCAGGCTCAGATTTTCTAAGATATCCTTGACCTGTTCATCTGAGAGAACAGTCAAAGTCATGTTGGCAATGCGGCTATTACCAGTGATGGACTAGACTTGTTTTCAATTTAGCTTCAGGTGCATCGTTGTTAGGATCCACAGAATAGGCACCTTGTAACTGAAAATCACAATGCTAAACTTAAAGAGAATAGCTGGATATCAGTGCTCTTTGGTATGTGATGGCAGAAAAGCTATGGTAAATAAGACGAGTGATATGATGTAACCGTCCCTCGGCACCGGTCCGGCGTTGAGGAGTTTGGTGGGGAATCGAGTCTGGCCGGAGCTCAGTCTCAGTCCCAGTTATATAACATAGCCTCACATGCTTCTAGGCTGATTCCCCACAAGACGTGCTGATAAGGAGTCATTATCGTATTCGGCTGGTTGCTCTTGGCGGAAGGCGAATTCGAAGGTCTGGGCTGTTGGGCTTGGCTTGGCGATTACCTACTCCAGGGTGCGGAGTCCAGATGCCGATTCATGGCAATGTCTTTTACGATTCTGCTAGTCGACGATCCAATCCATCCATCCATCCAGATAAGGCTGGAGACATAACGCTCAGGCACCGGATCAACGGGCCGTGCTCTCGACAAACTTAGTAACCAGACAAAAAGAGGATGAAATAAAGGAATAAATTGTGGCGAGAGCGTTGTGGTGAGTTCATTGTGTGGACTGGGTCGAAGAAGTATTGGAGACGGCATATGGCCGAGTCAAACTTTAAGGGCACGTTTGCTGCGCTGAGGGCGAATTAAGTGACATTGACTCCGCCACAGCGCCTAGTATACAGTATTTGGACAACGTGCACAATAAATAGTAACGAATAGTGATTTCGCCGCAGCCTCTTTGCCACGTACCGGCCTACGTAACAAAGGATGGCCGCGATATAAGTTGAATGGAGATGCCTAGAGGTGAATTGGGATGCCTGGAGGTTTGAAAGAAAAGGTGCAAATGACGGGTAAATTGTTTGAAATCTTACGTAGATATATCCGGAATGTATAAAGAACAGCTGAAACGCTGCTCCGCATCTCCTCCTTTGTTTGAAGTCTCCAGCTCTATATCACAAAACAGCACAATACAGCATCTGTCGCCGTCTCAACCCGCTGTTGCTTTGGGGCACGGAGTACCTGCGCCAGGTTGCTGGTACAAAACAGCGGGCGCAGCAGGCTCGTTTCTCCCCGCTAAGCCCTGCGTCTCACCCCTAAGCACCGCGTATTCTCTACCTGGCGCTTCTCGTACCCGCGTGGAAACTCGTTCCTCCCGCTATACCGCAAGGGGCCCTAAAATCTACCTGGCCAGAAGCAGCGCTTGTCACCCTCGTCTCTTGGACAACGTTCCTGACATTCCACTTCCCTCCTTTGCCATCGACAAACCCGCAATCCGCCAAATCGTCTCGGACAATTCTCGACTCAGGCTGCATAGCGCGCGATTTTGACATTTGACTTGCCGTCTCTCTCAACCGACTTGTCGCTTTGCAAGGCCGCTGCGCGCATTCGGCGACTACGAGTAATACAGTGTTCTGAATAGCTGCCGGACAGCTTCACCCAAAGACCGCCAAAATGACGCTCAAGGAAGAGTTCCAGACCCGGAACTTCAGTACGTGGCCTTTGCGAATAGCGCCGAGTTGAATCGCGTTGATGCTGACTACATCTCGACAGGTATTTACGGACAATGGTAAGCCTCTGATGCGCCGGCCGCTCTTTGCTCTTGGCTCCTCGCATGCGATTATAGCGAGTGAGACCGGTGTCCGAACCAGTCTTGCGGGTCGATGCGCGACGCTGATATAGAGCTGGAGGCCTTTCTTGTTAGAATGGACTGAAAGAAGAGACCTTTTCTAATACAATGTCAACTCCTATAGGTTCGGCATCCTTTCCATGATTCTCTGTTTCGCAACAGGGCTGGCCAACATCTTTACGCTATTTTCGAAGCATGCACTCCTAATCATATTCTGCGCCCTTGCGCTGTAAGTGGCCCGCGCTTTCTGAGCTGAACTGCCTGCTAATCAGACCACAAGGGCCTCGTCTCTCGTCATCCTGTTCATCGAAGTGCCTCTTCTGCTTAGAATCTGCCCGACATCCTCCAAGTTCGACGAAATCATCCGCAAGGTTTCCTCCAACTATATTCGAGCAGGTACCTACCTCGGCATGGCCATCATTCAATTTCTCAGCATCATTGTTGTGAGCTCGAGCTTGATCGCCGCAGCCGTTTTCCTGCTGCTCACTGCCATCTGCTACGGCCTTGCTGGACTCAAGGGCCAGGCATTCATTGGAAGCAAGACCCTTGGTGGCGCAGGTATCGCACAGATGATTGTGTAAAGGGCTTTGTTAAAGGATCCTGTCATCTGGTGCCTATGGTGGAGCAAGAAAGAAAAGGCGGACAAGGAGAGGGGTAGAGACGACGACTTTTGACGATACGTTTTACTGCATGAAACGACGTATGATTCGAATGAGCTGGGTGGAGTGATGAGACTTGGGACTTGGACAAAAAAATTTTTGCAGGCAAGGCAAAAGAGTTGAATTTTTTCTAGCCTGTATTTCTTCTGACTGCTTGCCTGGGGGTGTTTGTGGGCCTTTTTATCCAAAGGGTATTCCGGCGTCAGGAATGAAGCATGACCTATACGGGTTGATTTCAATAGCTGCTTCGGTGCGTTTCTCATAGGGCCATGTTTAGTGGAATAGAGTTTTCAATGAGGTATACTGTTGATTTTTTTTATTAAATTTCTTCTGGCGCAAGGTGTTGAGATTGTAATAGCCGGCTCATGGTAATATGAGTCTAGCAGAAGACCCCGTGATGCTCAGTAGCTGTGGTCAAAGATGAGGCCTTTGATATGTTGTATCCTAGACTTCCAAAGAAGATTTGCAGATGAAAGGCATCAGTACTACACAATCAATTGGTTCTTGTTTCAACGTAGCTTACAAGTACCAACGGGGAAAAAGTTCAAATGGCTAAACGCTGAGTTAGTATCACACGTTAACCCTTACTCAGCACCCGAAGATGGCACAGAACACTGAAATAGGCGAGGGCATTTCATATTTGTTATTTTCTTTTTCTGCTGGAGTTTAGTATATCTTGATTGTATCACTCATTTGAATCGTGAAACATTTGCGAATTGTGGACTGTCCATACGCCTGTGGCGTCTGACGGCCCCTGCACCGGATGATGTACAAATAGACGTACCGGCGGATGATTCTGCTAAACAAAGAACAAGGAAAGCGACAGATCAATTAGTGTCCAACATGTTTGGAAATATAGGCAGGTAAATATTATGAGAAGCTATGACCAATGCAAATGCTCGTGGGATGTGACGACACCGTATTCATGTAGGCAGGCAGGGGTTGAGATTCAAGACAAAGCCCATACAACAGACTGGCCTGCAGATCTCGAAGCACTGTTGGGGGACCCTGCAGGCCGAATCACTTGCAGCCAACGGGCGGCAACTTCTTCAACTAAACCAGACATGCGGAATCGTGCTACCAACAATGTACACGGACAAATCTCTCGGCCAATGAAGAGTGGCCCAAAGAGGTGTGTCTGTCACTTTGGGGTGCTTGGCGGCATTACTGGCGGTGAGCGGCCGAGTGAAGAAAAATTCTCATGCGGCATGCACATGGTGCAAAGCTTTGTGTTTTAACTCGCAACGTGCTGCCGGTTTTTTAGGCGCATTAGTTTTACAGGTCAGCCGATTGGATTTATCCAGCTTTGAAGGGATTTGGTGATCTCGGTGGTGGGGGATCTGCTGAGCTACTAATACGCAGTGACGCAATCTAGCTCGGGTGAGGATGACGATGAGAGCGATGAAGACATTTCTTCGTCAGAGGTTTGGCCGTCCGAGGGTTGCGCTGTTTTCACGGCAATGAGAAATCAATGAATCAATCCACGCGTCTGTGTTTACCACTGGCTACTAACTTTGCATCCACCAGCGCTCTGTAGAGAGCCTACAAACAGGTACGTAGAATCTTGACATCAATGGATTGATCAATCGATGCAGTGTAGCGTGTGTGGCGTAGAGGGGTCACCAGATGACGGTGCGGCTGACGGGCCATCTGCACTGTATCTTCAGCGTCGCATTGGGCGGGGCGGCCACCGTTTCAGCGGCAGCCACACAGTGTTTGACAGACGCCCCGCGTCCCCATGAGGCGCTATCGCTGGCCAGAATTAGCGCACAGGCCTCCAGCCGTCTCCCAATAGCGGCGTCGGCATAGATAAGCTACGAGGACCTGTCGGTATTGTTGAGGGACACTTGCAGCTCTGGGAAGCCTCTTCAACCTCGACCATCTGCTGTTTGTGCTGTTTTTGCTGCTAGAACCCGATTCATGCTTCTACACTTATAGTTCTTTTGGAGATATTCCGCACCGGCTCGAGAAGCAATCGCAATTGGTAAGTTGGATCTCTGCCCATGTCAGGACGCTGCGAGGGACAGATGGCCACCGTCGTCATACAGTACGACTGGCTTGAGAATAGCCGCCAGCTTCCCCTGTGACTCCTCTGTTGCCCGTCTTCGCTGTGCAGTCAATTACCATCTTGTGAAGAGCTATTTATGGCCATAATTCCAAGACTGGCTGCTGTGATCAATGGGCTTATTGGGTTTCACACGCTGGTTTTGGGCACCCCTTTCGCGTTGCAGCCTTAGTCCTGTGACATCCCACTTTCCACTGCCGAGTTGGACACCATAACTGACGTTTCGCGCCAGATCCGTTTCGAGATTCGATTCTATACAATTAATACGACAATTGATACGCTGTTTATCTTTTCTGACTTTGTTACTCTTTTGTTTCTACTTCTTTAAATGATTTACACACTATGACGGCACCGACAATGCAGCAGCCAATCATCCCCCCTCGTCCGTCCAAGAGCCCGGCCAAAGACCTCGCGGCCGCCAGTCCTACTCCCCTGATTCCGCCACGGCCGACAAACAAACGAATCGATCGCTCAAAGTCCCCCAACCCCGATCGATTCGCCCAATCGCCCTTCACCGATGGCGCAATTACTGTGAGCCCTCTTGGGTCCAAGCTTAGCCCCAGCTTCTCCCCTGGGGCCTCTGGCGATGCCATTGATCACGCCGAGAGTGTGCCGATGCCCTCTGTTGGAGAAGAGGGCCTGGAATACAGCGTCATCACCTCTGAGCTGCAAGGACAGGGCACCGAGGATGCAGAGCAGACTCGCACTGTTGCCCAGGACCTCAAGCTTCACGCCCCTAAGCCGTCTCTCCCGGCAGCGAGCGCGAAAGAGCGGGTTATGAACGTCACTCGCACCGACTCCGACAGGGCCGCCTCATTTGGCATCGGAAAGCCTGGATATCTTGAAGGCCGCTCAACCTCTCGCAACGGCCTGAGGAAGAAGTCTAGCACGACTCTCTCTGTTACCAGCGAGCAAGACCAGCAGCTTGATGACGAGCATGGCATTCCCGAGATTGGGCAGCGAGTTCCCATGAATCCGCACCTCGGAGATGTCCAAGCGCCATCGCCTGCTCCGACTGATGGAAACGGCAAACACCATAACCGCAAGCTTAGTTCGCGTGGTCTGCCCCCGGGAAGCTATGGAATGCACGGCCACGGGGTTGTGCCTCAAGATGAGCTTGACAAGGCTTATTACAAGAAGCATCCTGAAGTGATGCAGCGAGAGCATCATACCCCGCTGCACGATCATCGCCAGACCGACTTTGCTCTGAGCAGCAGTGATCTCAATAAGCTAGTCCGAGACACGGCCAACCGTAAATCTATAGGTTCGCAGATTTACACTTGACTCCAATGACTAGGAAAAGTGTCAGCTAATTTTGACTTGTACAGACTTCAATGAACAACATGGAACCCCCAACGAAGAAGTTGCGTTTCAAGCTCACGAGGAATATGCCAGCCGCATGGCCACCCCGCGTCCAGCTTCGATGGTTCTGGATACAGGTGCACCATCGGAGGACCCCGATGCATCTGAGAATAAGCCTATTCATGTAGACGACCCCAAGCATCCCGAACACTACTCCTATGGCGCTGAAAGCCCGGTTGAGGCCCGCGGGGACGAGTTTGAGGCGCCGATCCTGGCTGCCGATGAGATTGAGAAGGATGCTAGGCGCCCTGCTCAGCAGCCAGCCATTCGACCTCACCTCGACCGCAACGGTAGTTCGTATGATGGCACAAGTCGTCCTACAAGCCGTCCTACCAGTCGACCCACGAGTGTTTACAACGCCCACTGTCTCGACTTTGACCACACTCCTTTGGAAGATGTTCGCGAATACGAGCCTTTGTTCCCCGATGAAGCCGCCAAGAAGGAGGAGGAAAGGCGTGAAAGCAAAGACGGATCAAAAGCGCGTCACTATTTCCCTAGCAAAGATGTTTGGGAAGATGCACCGACCAGCGTTCACTACACCGCGGAGGTCTCAACTCCTGACAATGTAGATGAAAATGCAGAGGAAGACGCTCAACGAAGGAAGTCGTCAACGCATCCTGAGAATCGCCCCATGACCCCGGCTCAAATGTTTGCCATGCAACAAGAAGAGCTCGCCGAAAAGGAAGCAAACGGCAAGAAACACAACTTCCTACCCATCTTGGAGCAGCCAAAGCCTACTTGGGTCGATCACCAACCCCATCTGAAAGGTGGCAAGTCAAGTACAGGTCATCGATTCCCCAGTAAAGATGTGTGGGAAGATACTCCAGAGAGTCTTCTTCATGAGGCAGAGGTGGAGGAAAAGCCAAAGAGCGAGAACAAGCCTGAAGTACCCGCCCGACCTTCCAAGAAGCTATCCGAACTGCTTTCACATAAGCCTGCCGTTCCTGATCGCCCAAAGTCAACTAGACAGCTCAGCGGGGAAGATGCGCCCAAGCCGGTGATACCTACTCGACCTGTTAAAAAAGTTTCGGCCGACTCAAAGGATGGAGAGCTTTCCAAACCGAAGCCCCCAGTTCCCTCTCGCCCTGCTGGGGGTAAGATTGCCGCTCTGCAGGCTGGCTTCATGAGCGATTTGAATAAGCGTCTGCAGCTTGGACCGCAGCCTTCGAAGAAGGAGGAGACTGAAAAGAATGAAGCTGTAGAGGATAAGGATAAAGTCCTACTGTCTGATGCTAGAAAAAGTCGGGCTAGAGGACCACAGCGTCGCGCACCGACTAAGAGCTCGGCCCCAGCTCCTGCTGCTACATCAACGAAGGAGCCCGCTCCTATCACGCTATCCTTCTCACAGCCGCAGACAATTTGGAACATTGACCCTGATCATGGCGACGTCCATGTTGCTTCTGACTCACTCGAGGTCCCTGCAAAGGACGTTTCTGAAACCGGACTAGAAGCAGAGAAACTGCCTCCGATAGAGAATGAGAAGCCTGCCGAGGTAGAAAAGCCTAAAGCAGAAGAGGAGAAAGAGACGGAGCCTGTCGCAAAGGTGGTAGAACCTGAAGCCCCCAAGGAACCTGTTGAGCCCGCTGCTTCAACCGAGCCTGCACAGTCCGAGACTGTGTCAGAGCCCAAACCTTTGGCTGAATCTGAAGAACCAAAGGTCCTTGAGAGCGCCAAAGAGCCCGAAATAACCAAGGAGCCTGAAGAAATTAAGGAGCCAGAAGAAATCAAGGAGCCAAGCGAGCCCGAGAAGTTAGAAGAAGTCAAGAAACCGGAAGAGCCAGTAAAGGAAGAAACACTCGCGGCAAACATGGCTGGCGAAAGCATCTTGGAGGCCAAAGTGGAACAACAGAACGATGATACACAGGAGATAGAACCTGTTAAAGTTACAGACGAGGTGAAGGCTTAGAGTAGGAGTGTTGGATGTGCCGGGGCCTATTTTTGTCTTGTGCACGGATCTACCGATGAGACTGGCTTCTTGGTTTCTGTGCATTCTAGCTACATCAGGGTCTCGAAACTTCAAAGTCATGACACTCATACGGGGCTTTATTTCACTCTTTTAACATAATGAATAAGATCTTCTTTTCTGTCTTAAGAAAAACAAGAAAATTTGCAAATTTGAGTGAGATGTGTACTCTATAAATGACACATGCACATGAATACATATAATACATAAGCAAGACTAGCTAGTTTGTAAATGTCTCAGCTATTTTCTGCTCCACGAGCTCCTCTCCTGACCCTGGCCCTCGCGCTCTCTCTCTAGTAACCGGTCAAACTCTTGCTGAGCTTGCCCTTTGGCCAAGTTCTTCTCCTCGTCGGCGCTCGAGAATGAATAGCTCTCTCGCGGGGCTGATCCTTGGTACTGCGCACCTGATTCAGCCTCTGATCCCCATCCGCCTCCTGACTGAGGCTTCTCCCACGTCTTGCGATTTTGCTGAGAAGGCTGGTATTGAGCTTGTTGTCGGATGCGGTCCCACGCCGAGCCGCTGGAATTGTTTGAGGCATCTGAGCGATTTCTTGCTGCGGGTGCGACGGGCGAGGCGTCATCAAAGTCGTCTGTAAATGAAGAATCCCACGCATCAGATTGCTGTTGTTGCGGTTGGGGCTGTGCGGACGGTGTCGCGGGGCTGCGATATGACGTCCAGGCGGATTGCGTTGGTGCAGCTGGAGCCTTTTGTTCAGATTCGGCATCTCTATATTGTTGATTCGTATTCTCATACTGCGCTGCCGACTCCCATTCGTCGCGAATCTGCTCGCGAGCTTCCGGATTGCCTCCTAGCAGCGTAGCGCCCTGGGCCCCTCCATCATGTAAGAGCGCTCGCAGCCTAGGATCCGCCTCCATCTCTCGACGCTGTCGCATGAAGTTTGCGCCTTGAAAGACCGGCTCGCCAAGAACCCAGAGGGTTCCGTAATATGCGGCGAAGCGGGCGCTATGCCACATGAACTTGAGGCCCGGGCTGCCGCCGATGGGGCTGAAGCGCTTGAATTCCGGGTTGAAGAAGGGGAAGCGCCACGTCTTGCGGCCGCGGTAGGCCATGTAGCCCGCGAAGCCGGTCATTGCCCATTTCCACGCGAGCAGGTTGTGCACGCTCGACAGAAAGTGCTCCGTGAGGGCCTGCGTCTCTTGGTCCTCAAAGGCGCGGTTGTTGACGGCGGCCAGGGACAGGACGGTGGATTCGGCCAGAGCGAGGGTCTGGGCTTTGCCGAAGCCGCGGAGCTGCGCGTAAAAGGGCGCCTCGTAGGTTTGGAACAGGCGCTGGATCTGCTCGTGGATCTGGGGCTCGAATTGCTTGCGGTTCGTCATGGCCAGCTGGCGGCGCTCTTCGATGGCGGCTCGGGCCTTTTGCATGTATTCCGACCGGCTCATGTGTTTGTAATCGGGGGTCTTGTTGGCGCCGTCGCCGCCGCTGCCGGCATTGTTGCCTGGACTGTCCATGTTTGCTCAGCAATGTGTCGCCAAAATATAGGAATTCAATGTTTCGTTATAAAGTCGACCCCGCGAAATCTCTCGGCATCGAGCCATGTCGAAGGCCCATTGAAGCACTGTGACGCAAGAGATGCCGGAGCAGCTTTATCGATAAGTTGCCGTTTCACGTGACCGCTGTCATTAAAGCTGACCACGTCGGATTTTTGTTACGGTTGTTGGAGCAATTGGGCGGGGCGCGTCGCGGTTTAGAGGCGCGTTCTAAACGATCTGCCCTTGTATTGAAGTTTAATAGTCTGGGACGACAGATTGGCATTTTTGCTTATCGCATCTGCCAAAACCGTTGCGGTGCTGGAGGCTTTTCGATGTAAGGCTCTAAAATTCAATCATATCGAATCATGCCGCTCCAGAAGTCCTATTCTGAGCGGATTGGGCTATCAAGAGTATGTTTACTTTCCACAGGCTGGTTTGTTTTGTTTCGTTTTGTTATGACGATGTCACTTACATGCGCGATAGCAACGCTCGCCCTGGCAGCGGTCTCACAGCACTCCCAACAATTTACAGCCAGCCAGCTCGAAGAATCTGATTCCCGTATCGGAAGTTACGAAGAAGAAGCTCGACAAATTTTTGTACAAGGACTCTCAAGATGGGTCTGCGGCAGACAAGGGCGTAAATGGGAGGGGTAATGGTGCAGCAACATCTGCTTTGAACGAACAGACACCCTCCCATCTAAGGATGATTGGAAATAATGCGACGCCGGTGACTCGGTTGGATTGGAGCGACCTCCTCGAGCCGTGCAGCCAAATACCAGAGGAAGATGCCACCTCGCCAAACGACAAACTGCTGTGGAACAACAAGCAGGACCCGAATGCATTCGCCACCATCTCGCCGATGATGCCCCGCAAAGGAAGGAAACGAGCCAGGAGCTCTTCGCCGATCTCTTCGCCCTCTGCCGACAGAATCGCCACCCCAACCGTCAATGTCAAGAAACTCGCCAGAGCATTGAAGTCACCTCACCCCGATCCGACGTTGGAGCTCTGGGACCGATACTCGCTGAACGGACATCCGGGACAGTCTCCCGTTTCTGGTGCGGCGAATCCGATTTTGGCCCAATTGATGGTGTCTTCGTCTCCACGGCCATCCAGGAATCAAGCTGCCCAGATCGACCAGGAGGATTTGCGCCGAGCCGCCAGCTGTGGTTTTCAGTGGCCTAAGAGGAGGAGGATGGAGAAGTCAAAATCAGGCAGCCAGGTTAGCGCCAGCCAACGAGAGTTGGAGGCTGCGTCCAAGTCCTCTCTCGTCACAGCGTTGCTGGATTCGGTTACCAGTAGTATGCAAAATCAGAGCCAGGAGGATGATACCGAGGCGGGGGGGATGGACTCGCCGTCTCTTAAGAAGAGGCAGATTGTACCCCGGAATAGTAACTCCCCGTCGAGAAAACCAAAGGGTCGGTTACCAAGTCCGATCGTTTCGGACTACGGCGATGATGATGACTTGGATGATGAGTTTTTGATGCTGGAAGAAACCATGCTGGCGACCCAAGCTACTCAGGCATCTCAGACAACGGAGAGTGTAGCACTAGCTAAGCAAAGCACAGAAAGAGCAGTCAAAGAAGAGGGCGAAAATTTGGACAAGAAACCTGTCTTGAACGAGTTTGACGATTTTGATGATGACGACTTTGACGATGCAGACGATTTGCTGGCAAATTTAGAACTGAAGACTCCGGCATCAGGAAAAAGAATGCCTTCAAAGACGATGAAGACGCCGCTCAAGAATAAGGCTCCGCGGAAGCTAGTCGACTTGCAAGATGAATTCGGCGACGATGCCTTTGACGGAGATGTCGACTTTGAAGCGGTAGAATTCGCTGCGACCCAGGCGGCCCAGCAGCAAGACACTGCCTCAACAGCTGTATGTGAGGACGCTATCCAGGAAGAAAACACGCTAAACGTAGGCCAGAACAAGAAAAAGATCAAGACTATTCAGCGATATTTGGTAACAAGTGTTTTAGACGGCGAATACGTCGATCAGTACAACCGCGTCTCCCCCGAAAAGGTACGTTGAGCTAATGGAATTTATCTCTTGGATACAGTATACTGACTCATACCAGATCTTGTTGATTCAAGCAGATGGCTCAAAGACTACCCGAACTGTACAGCTACGAGGCTCTTGGTACGACACACCGGCGCACGCTGATGCCTACGTCCATGTTATTGGAGACTTCTCATTCAAAGGGCAGTGTGTTGTAGATGATGCGCAGAATCTGTTGATTTTGCATCCTGATCAGCTGGTATCTGCAACAGTTGTTGCCGACTCTTTTGGCTGCACGCGTCGAGCTGTGCTCCAAGATCGAGTCAAAGCTACCAGCGAAGCTTCGCCTCCGTTGGTTTACGGAACGATGCTTCACGAAATCTTTCAGGAAGCATTGCTTGCCAACAGGTTTGATCTTGGATATCTCTCAGAGTTGATTGATAAAAATATCGAGAAACACATTGAGGACTTGTATACGATTAAGATGGGCATTGCGGCTGCCAAAGAGCATCTTCAATCCAAGATGACGGAACTTAGCTATTGGGCTAAGAGCTTCGTGTCATCTCAGCCACAGGTAAAATGAATTGCTGCAAATCTATCTCCTTGATATGAAAACTGACACTCGTCTAGGCCGACGCCATTGTCGAGGGGAGAAATGGAGACAAAGCCACCATCGCAGTCAGAAAGTTGCTTGACGTTGAAGAGCACGTTTGGTCGCCCATGTATGGCTTGAAGGGAAATATTGATGCAACGGTGGAAGTAATGATGACAGATGGCAAGCAGAGTCAAGTATTGACTGTGCCATTTGAGGTCAAGACAGGCAAGCATGCCAACAGCAACCACATGGCGCAGACGGCTCTTTATACCCTCTTATTATCGGACCGTTACGACATTGACATTACGCACGGAATTCTATACTACATGGAGACTTCTAAAACGATGCGAATTCCTGCCATTCGACATGAGCTCCGGCACATGATAATGCAGCGAAACCAGCTGGCATGTTACATCCGAGAACGGAGTGTTCAGCTACCTCCAATGTTGAAGAGCAAACATATGTGTGGAAAATGCTATGCGAAGACTTCTTGTTTCATCTATCATCGGTTAGCGGATGGAGGGGATGGGGAGACAAGCGGCATGAACGAAAAGTTCACTGAGGTCGTCAAGCATCTAACACAAGAACACCAAGAATTCTTCATCAAGTGGGAAAACTTATTGACAAAGGAAGAGAAGGAGGGGCAAAAGACCAAGAGAGAGCTGTGGACGATGACGAGCTCTGAGCGCGAGAAGAAGTCTCGGTGTTTTTCGGACGTCATCATTGAAGAAGGATCTGCATCGGTTGATGAAGACAACCCTCGGATTAATCGATTTCACTACACTTTCGTCAAACGCGAGCCGATGCCCGACTTCACATTTATTGGATCGGAATTGACGGTTGGCGAGCCAATTGTTGTGTCAGATGAAGATGGACATTATGCTTTGGCGATTGGATACATTACTTCTGTTCGAAAGCAAAGGATAAGCGTCGCCGTGGACCGACGTCTACACAATGCTCGAATTCGACAGCCTGGATTTGATGAAGTCGATAACCAAGTTTTTGCTAGCATCATGGAAGTTGCAGCCGAAGGGGCGTCGGTTGAACAGAGTCAAGGGAAAATCAAAGAGCCACCTATTCGGTACCGCCTGGACCAAGACGAGTTTAGCAATGGCATGGCCACTGTAAGAAACAACTTGATCCAGATGATGGCAAATGACGTGCCGGCTGCGGTCCGAATTCGCGAGCTTATTGTTGATTTGGAGCCCCCTAGATTTAAATCAGTGGCGACTCAATATACCGTCACTGATGGGGAGAGCTTGAACGTTGATCAACAGCGGGCTATCGAAAAGGTCATGAGTGCGCAAGATTATGCGCTGGTACTGGGAATGCCTGGTACCGGCAAGACGACCACCATTGCCCACATCATCAAGGCTTTGGTGTCACAGAACAAAACGGTGCTGTTGACGTCTCATACGCACACGGCCGTTGACAACATTCTTCTCAAGCTAAAGTCGGATAAAATTCCTATTCTACGACTTGGTGCTCCGGCAAAGGTCCACCCCGAGGTTCAGGATTTTGTACACCTCGCGGGTCACCCGAAGAAGACTTTTGAGGAAATAAAGGAGGCTTGGCATGGCACCCCAATTGTTGCGACGACCTGTTTGGGAATTAACCACCAAGTCTTCATAGAGCGTTCATTCGATTATTGCATTGTGGATGAAGCCTCGCAAATTACGTTGCCTATCTGTGCTGGCCCGATTCGACTGGCAAAGACGTTTGTTCTTGTCGGAGACCACAATCAGCTTCCTCCGGTGGTGAAGAATGAAGAGGCTAGACAAGGTGGCTTGGATGTCAGCTTGTTCAAGCTCTTATCAGACACCCACCCGCAGTCTGTCGTTAATTTAGAGCATCAGTATCGTATGTGTGAAGACATTATGACTCTGAGCAACACCCTCATCTACAATGGCAGACTTCGATGTGGAACGGAAGAGCTGCGCAAGAAGAAGCTTCACATCCCTAGCATGGAGGCTCTGAGACAACATCATCACGACTCCACAACTATTCATCGATCTGGAACGGCACGCTCATTCTGCACTGGACCCGTGCCGTCGCGATGCTGGCTTTACGACCTTCTTGACGCTGAAACTCGTGTTCGATTTGTTGACACAGATACGATCCGGCCCCAGGTCCGCGAAGAGGCTCAAGGGAAACGTATCATCAACCCTGCCGAGGGGCGAATTGTCTCACAGCTCGTTGAAAGCCTGCTCACGGTGGGAGTTCCTGCTACCGAAATCGGTGTAATGACACATTACCGTGCACAACTTCATCTTCTCAAAGACAAGCTCAAGTACTTTCCTGGCATAGAAATGCATACTACCGATCGTTTTCAGGGACGAGACAAAGAAGTCATTGTGCTGAGTCTGGTGCGAAGCAACGAGGCCTGCAATATCGGAGACTTGCTCAAAGATTGGCGACGTATTAACGTGGCATTTACCCGTGCGAAGACGAAGCTCCTTGTTGTGGGTAGCATGAGCACCCTCCAGGGAAATGGAGAGGAGACTATGCTGAGCAAGTTTATTTCTCTGATGGTAGATCGCAGTTGGATATATCATATGCCGCAGAATGCTCTTGAAAGCCACTGTTTTGCGGATTTGAGCACGCAGCTCACTGGTTTTACGCAGCGAACGCCTAGAAAATCGCCAAAGAGAGTGTCGGCAAAGGCAAGTTCTACTTCATACGCGGACAAGGAGAACCGGAAGCCGTCGCCGAGGAGGGCGCGGATGGGAGAAGGGATGTTGCTTAAGGGAAAGCTAATTACGCGAGATATCTTGAATGAAATGACGGATGGCGCATATGGAAATTAAAGATGATTATTTGGTATATGTTTTTGGTTTCATTGGGTGGGAGGATGGACTGGCTGTGGAATTTTATGTTGAACGGCGCAATTATGGATTATCAGGATACTGTAAATATAGGATAAAGAGACATGATATTCAGGATATTATATTTTTTTCTGGACAAGTATATTACGAGCTGTCATTAATTCGTTTAGTGTCGTTCATCAATGCTGTTTTCATCGTGATCGTCATGATGATTGTGCTCTTCGTCTTCTTCGCCTTCGTCTTCGTCTTCGTCTTCGTCGTCGTCGTCGTCGTCGTCATCGTCCTCATACGGCTCCAGTATTGTCCATTCGTCATCAAACCTACAGCGATTCAGTCAGCAATCAACATTGAGAAGGACATGAAATGGGGGAGAATTACCCTTGTTCACCCACAATGAGCTTGGTAAACTTTTCCAACTCTTCCAGCTGCGCGACACACCCAGTGAGGCTCTCATTGTACGAGTAGCTGTATATGTCGCTCCACTTCTTGTGCCATCTGACGTCGTTTGCTTCGCTGTGATGGGCCATGGAGTCTTCCACGGCTGCTGTTTCTACGAGGAGCCTTCGACGGGCTGCGGCGGCGCTGGGGAGATAGCGCTATTCACAGAAGATTAGGATTAGAGTTGATAAATGTTGAGGGTTGGAAGAAAAGAGAGCGGTACATACGGGTACTTTGCGGTCTGCTCTTAACGCACCGGCGAAGACGTATAAGTTGGCTAGAATCGATGCCACGGCGTCTCGCCTGAATCCTAGTAGACGCTGAGCTGCGACTGGATCATCGCGGATGTAGTCTGGGTTGTAGAACACGGCGGATTGTCGTACGGCGATGAGATAGTCGAAGAAGCGTTCGCAGGAATCTGCGAGGCCGGAGTATGGGAGGGGATTGAAGGGGCCGCGGAGGCGAACTTCATGGCGTGTCATGACCTAGTTGAACTGTTGGTACTTTCTGATGTATTGTGGACAAGGCACGATGGATGCTTACGAGGAGTTGTCTGATCCTGACGAAGCCTTCTCTGATACGGCCTTCGAGGATTTCGGATCGGACAATGTCTTCGGGGGTGGGCTCTTTGCCTTCTTCGAAATAGATGTATTTTGCGACAACGTCTATCAAATGTTAGGTAAAACGACAGTTTATATGAGCCGTGTAAGAGATGACTTACTTCGGTATATGATGCTTAGAAAGAAGAGCATTGAAGATAGAGATTTCCTTAGCTCATGCCTTGCGACAAAGGGCCACAGACACCAGTTAACCACGATGGGTGCAGTTGTGCCAATGAGGAATATGACACCCCTTAGTGTGGCGGTTAGGGCTGGTGATGATGGCAGCCCGCCGGCTTGAAGCTGCAGCGAAATTACTGTAAAGGATAAACATCCCGCAAGGCCAGATCTCTATAAACGGTATTAGCTTTGACTCGTCATCTTAGAAGAGCTGCTATTTGATATCATACCGGATGACAGCTAAGGGTAAATCGATAAAGCATAGGGATCATGAAGATGGCTGCAAAAACTGCAACTACATAGGGGCTGCCATCTCCAGCGGCATGTGCAGCGCCACCCCATACGGCGCCGAGAATGACCAGAGCGGCTCTGGCAAATAGATCTTGAATGTTGCCGCCTACGCGAGCATGGATTAGGAGCCAGCTCATGGTGACTGCCCACCAAGCTTCGTACTCGTCCCACCAGACCTTGTCCCAGCTGAGATACGAGGGAACTGCGAGGAGAGACGTGACGAGAACGACTTTGAAGGCATATCGGCTTTCATAGCCTTGCAAAAGATGCAAGATCTTCCAGATTCTGTAGCCGAGCTTGTTTTTCTTTGTGTCCATGTCAGGCATGGGGCCAGGATCCGTCAAATGGGACAACTCGGCTCTCAACTCAGTTTCGGAGACGCCATCGTCATAATTTTCCAAGGGTTTGTATTCTCGGCACTTTATCGATTCTAAAGCACGAGCGATTTCGAGAAATGTTATGTGGTATGACCCGGCTGTGGCGCCTCCGCGGTCGTGCGTGACTTGAGGGTTGACGAAGTGAATGGCTTTGCGAAGCGGATAGGATGGTGGGTGGATTTTGGGCCAGTTTGAGGCTTGATGCATGGAACATACTTTTCCCATGAGGTTTTCGATTGTGGTGGCTGTTTCGCGGAGGTGGCGCGCGAAGATGAAGAGTTGGACTACGGCTGAATCGTCCATTGATGCTGGGGGCAGTTGGCCCGATTCCAGGAGCTCTGATTCCACGGCGTCGAAGACTGTTTTTGCGGCTCTCATTCGGATTTGCGCGGGTGCGATTTCGGATGATACGTCTTTCGGAGGGCCGAGATATTGTCGGTAGCCTGAGAGATCCATTAATGCAGCCTGACTTGCCTGTAGGCCTTGGTTCATGCAGGCGAGAATCTCCTTGGTAGGCTTTGACAGTCTCTTAATCACGATACGGGTTACGTCAACCTCGTTAATCACACCGGGGGGCTTTTCGCTGGTGATGTTGTTGACGTCGTTGCTGCTGGAGGATGAAGAGGACATCTGAGTGGCCTCGACGACGATTGGAACATGTCCGTCGTCGGCTTCGCTGAAGAGTGCGCTCTCCGTTTGCATGGCGAGTAGTGCACGAATGACGGCTTGCATGAGATTTCGCAACTCTCTCACGTCGGCTGGCTTGAATCGTGTTATGGTGAGGGTGGATCGCATGTCTTTGTAGGTGGCGGATAGGTCTACGAAAGCTCGAACTAGACGTCGCCTGAGCCTAGTATTTCGTGGACGTGGGATGGCTATAGCTTCCTGAATGAAGGAGTAGGGGTTAGTAGTTGATATGAAGTAGATTTGGTATTGATGTATGATGTGTACAAACCAGCATAAGAGAAAATGATTGGTGAAAGACGAGAGCGAGCGATCTTGCACCGGCGTCAGGAAAGACGAGACAGTTGACGAGCAGCGCAATTGCCTGTCCCAGGAGCCATGGGACGACGTAGTCTCTCAGCTTTTCCCAGGCGATGGAGTTGCCGGAAGTCTGAGCCAGAAGAGTAAACGTGATGGCAACGCCTGCGCAGACCACCATTTGGTAGAACCTGGAGTAGTAAGAGCGTATCCACGCCACAACTGCCATGAACCACGCCAGAAAAAGAGCCAAAACGCCGCCGTAGCCGGCACTGGCGGCGGGAGTCGACGTGGATAGCAGGAGACCGAGAACTCCCCATCCTATGCCGGCTGCTGTGCCAATGGTGGTGAGAACGGCACCTTCTACCTGAGCACCAACTGTCCTGGCCGGATGATTCAGTATGACAGACACGGCGATGATGTAGTGGTAGCGGCCAAGCCATTCTCTTACAGCCGGGATCAGACACAGAATGTAAGCTGCGAAATAGGCGGTAAAGGACCTCACGAGGCGAAGGCCGGTTCGAGTCGTGGTGACATTTCGGAGCACCAGCTTCAACTCACGAAACTGTCTTGGTATAAACCTTCGAGCAGCCAGGGGTGAATCTTCGTCAAAAGCAGCGGGCAGCGAGGCTCTGGATCGCTCTTCGAAACCGTCCGGCACCAACGGCGTATGTTTCAGGAACAGCGCGTCAAAGAATCCATCTCGATCCTCCACCACGCCAAATGTTTCCAGATCAATGTGGTCGTCTGGCAGAATCTGGTCAATGGGCGCTATGTAAGAGCTGCGTCTGCTTCCGTACTCGGACGGGGCTGCTGAGGTGGTTGTTGTCCTGAGCGGTGGAGCCTGGGCGAGGAAGCGAAGCTTTGTAGAGGTTGGACGGGAGAGCTGAGGAGTTTCATTTTCGGTGTCGATGTTGGTTGGGGATTGGGCTGGTGATGGACTGGGACTGGGGCTGGGGCTTCTGGGAGGCGATGAGTTGCTGGAAGCCATTGGTGTTGCGATGCAGTTGCGGTGTCTGGCTCTAGCGGCTGAGATTTGCTAGACTAAGACTATCATGATAAGAAGCTGCATCACAGGCCCAGGATCATTATCAGAGGCATTGCTGATGTGAGGGAATATGAATGAAGATGAGAATAAGAGAAAGTAGAGAAAAATTTGAGGAGACTCGGACAATAAAGTCGTTATCGCAGTTTCGGTGAGTCTACGGAGAGATTGAAGTCATCGCCGGCGTTCGGCATCTGACGTCAGAGGAGAAATCGAGTGACGGTCTCCTATTGCGAAGAGGGGCGATTGAACATGAGATACGAGGCCAATGGCTGGAGAAAATGGAAGATTATAAAATACACATTAAGATTCTGAAGAGCAACATGGGAAATGAATGAGATTGCTGACGCAATTGCTGTTGTTGCTTTAGAATTGTTGGCGTAAAGCAGCAAGTTTTAGCAGCGCTTGGTGGCGCTGAAGGCTTTTCCTTTTTGGGGCTTGTTTGGGAAATCAGCTTGGCGCTTCCGTTTTAGGGCAATGGCGACTCAGTCAGCATTATAATTTGTTCGTGGTAAGTTACAGGTGGCTTATACGGCATTTTACCAGATTTAATGATTGTGGTTTGAAATGTATCGGGTTTTCTACTAATCGGTACTCTTTATTAGTTCTTTTAGCTAGCGAGATTCATGTAGAATGCCAAATGTTCTATGGAGAGCTATGCAGACAAACATGAACCGATAACGCTTTTATAAATAGCTATTTCGCAGCCTCTAACACCTCTTACCGACCAAAATGGCGGCGGTGTCATGAGCAGCAACGGATGCCGAGTATGAGCTCAGACAGCCAAGATTCTTGCCACTCCACACATCCTTTACTTGATATCTTCTAGCAGAAAGACCAGGAATCTCTGCCCAGGTTGCTTTCTTTGTAGTCGTCTGGCTCAAAGTGTTGACCATCAACACCAGATGGCCATTCTTCGAAGGACCGGCCCAGAACTCGGCGGGATAGGTGCTGTTATAAGTCCAGTCGGGGTTGATTCCCCACTTGTATGGAGTGGCAGGGCCTCCGTAAACATTGTCTTGGTTAAAAGCCAGCAGATCCTTGTTCTTCAAGATGTTGATGTTATCCTGAGACAACAGACTGATGTCGGTTCCGATGAGAAGCGGAGACTTCATGGCAGCCCACAGAGCAAAGTGTGTGCGCGTCTCGGCTGTAGTCAAGTTGCCGTTGCCAACTTCCAGCATGTCGGCATCGTTATGGCCCCAGAATCCAACAGAGTTCAGCTTGAACGAGTTCAAGTTTAAGATGTGAGTGACAGAGTCCCATTCGGGGGAGATGTCGCCGCTCATGCGCCAGCTGATGCCGGTCGTGTTGCCCCAAGAGAAGACATCGGCCGTGCCCCAGATGCACAGGCTGAGGACGATTTCATGCGTCTGCTTGGCCAGGGCGTCTCTCATGCGGTCGAAACGATCGGCCGATAACGAGGTGCCCCAGTCATATCCTGGAGGAGCCAAGTTGGGAACAGAAGCTGTGGAGCAAGTGCCATTTGGGCCGGTTGTGACGGCGTCTGGGTCGCAGGCAACATACTGGTCTGTCCAATTTGATGGAACGTTGCAGTTGTCGCTGTCAGATGACATTAGTCTATGGGAAACTTGAGTGATGGAAGATGAATAGCTTCGACTTACTATTTGAGATCTGTTCATCGAATGTTGGTTAGTATTACTGCGATAATCTTTGTGATGGAAGTGCACTTACAGTCTACTCCCCAACTGGCGAAATCCGCGGCATCGACATCCTCGTACCCAAGACTAGCCGGATAGCCAGCACATGTCGTAGTGCCAGCAGCTAATAGGTGTTATGAGCATTCTTTCGAGGCTATGAAGAGAGACTTGACTCACTGCTGTAAATGCCAAACTTCAAACCCATACCATGGATCTTATCAGCCAACCCGTCGATGCCGTCGGGAAAGCGAGTTGTATTGGGAGCAATATGGCCGTTGACCCGCCCATCCTTTAGCGACCAGCAGTCGTCAACTGCAGCAACTATCAGCGTTTATTCTCCAGCATCTGTGAAGAGAGCAACTTACTATTTACGTAATTGTATCCGGCGTCAAGAAGACCGGAGCTCACAATCAGCTCGGCGGCTGAGAGAAACTTGCTTTCATCGATATCGCAGTGGTAGGCATTCCACGAGTTCCAACCGAGGCTTGGAACCTTTCCCTAGATTTTTGTTTTTGTTCCTTAGTATAAATACAATCAATCACGGTCCAACGAGGATGCTTACAGTTCCACTGGGCATCACAATTGCGCCCGCGCCTGACAGAAAGAAGGCCAGTGCAGCCATAGGCAATGGCTTAATGCCACGACTAGTTGAGTAATGGCCCATATTCGAACTGGTAGATTGACGTCTCCTTGACCGCTATCAATGCTTATAAAATGCAATTGATCTTTGCATCAATAGCTGCGCTTCCTAGAAGACCTATCTGAATATAGGGCAGTTGAGAGCTTGCTTCTCTGCAGCAATGGGAAAGCACCTGTAAGACTTCCTGTAAGATTTCAATAGCCGTCGGTCGTACTTATATGTACTTTACGTTCCACTTAATGTGCTTGAACAACAAGAGAGGGGTGTTGGAATGTCATAGACCTACTTGTAGGCTTTTACAAAATAGTCCATGTCGTACGAGATTACCCCAGGTCCTAGGCCCGGCTAATGCCGAATTGGCATGATCAAAGACAAAAGTCCTCATTGACACAAGGTATTCGCGCAGGATCGATTCTCCGCCGGGCCGACCTAGACTCGAATTCAGGAAAGCGATGGTAATTTGACGAAATCTTGTTAAAGCGCACCAACAAGAAGTCGAGCCAGACATTGCTGTCCTGCAATGGTAGGGTAGCAATGGAGCTCTTCATAGCAGGCAGCCACAACGGCGATGCCCCGATGAAACATCATTGGAGACTGGCTGTGACGATGGCCCACCCCCGCAGAGCGACCAAGGATGAGCGGCACACGATTTCTCCGTAAGCTACGTCCGATGCGGGAAGAATCTGGCGATCTTTGAGCCGGAGAAGCGTCAAGTCTGGGGTGATGGAGCACTTTCAATGCATGGGTTAGTAAATGTATAGTTGAGTGATGTTGCGGAGTTCGGGGTGACACAATACCTTCATGGTTTCTGCAAACTTGTACCGGGAACCGGCAGTTGATCGAATCTGGGGTTCCTGGTAAGGCGAAGGATGACTGACTTTTGCCTGTTGTAGTACCGACGTCGATTTAAATAGAGTAAAGTCTCTCGCTTGCAAGTCCATAGTTGAGTAAGAGACTCTTTAATCGTGTACACTTACACGTCTTCATTTAGCCGGTAAACCTATCCGCCGTCGCCTACTGTAGGCCATTAGTGATACACCGCCAATGGCTATTATTTCTAAGCGCACATCTATCTGCTTTTTTCGCCACCGGTATAGACGTTGTCAAATAAAAGCCGACGGTAAATTATATCTCTTTGTGGGTTACTGGATCTTCACAAATGACAACTCATATAAACTCTATCTGAACTGGTGCCACGAAGAATACGGGGATTGTGATATGCCCGAGTATAACCCCAATAGTGATGCATACGAGTCGTTGATTGGCCCGGCTTGAGCGGTACCTAACACGGAGGGAAGCTCCAGAATTATCCCATCATATTTGAGTCGATAGCTCAAGCATGTGGCCTCGCTGTTGATTGTAATGCTGCTATCGATTTAAACAAAGAGATGTTTCTGTTTCAAGGCTGGAAGTTCTGCAGTCGATTGACTTCATGACGTTCAATTTCTTGTCATTGGCCATTCTAAGGCATTCGTCCCCGGCTTGAAGCCCAGCGCTGCTGGTGCATCATCTCTTGAACCAAGTTCTGCTATATTCCACCTTTGATGGCCGACAACAGTTGGGGGTGAATGATCGCACCTAGGAAGAATGTATCGACAAAGTATCATTCGTTATCTGCTTCGTCCAGAGTTATAAGGCTAATGGGGTATAATCAAAACACTCTCTGGGACTCGCCTGAGCGCCTCCACCACTCAGTATCTGTGTCTTGTGCTGTAATCCTTCGGACTGACCACCAAACCTCTACCCTTCTTCGCTCCCCTGTAGATTGTCTCGATAATGTCGATGAGCTCCTGCTTGTCCTCCAGCACCCAGTTGAGTTTGTTGTTGTTACCGGTTCCGAAATCGCACATCATGTGCTTGTTGCGAAAGAAGAATAGAATGGAACAAGGGTCGTACAACTCGTACATGGCGTTGAAATCAGGAACCTGCTTCGAATTAGGAACAAATTTTATGGATGGAGGGAGCATAATACACACTTCGTCGATATCGCAGAGGTAGATGGCGGCGAAGTTTTTGACTCGGTCAGCTATCTTGTAGAGCACTTCATCTTGCAGCATGCAGTCCTATAAATAGTCAGATTATAACGAACTAAAGACAGAACTCCACAGAGTATATGAGAGCGTCTTACCCGATCATGGTCACGTCCGAATCGGATGACAACGAGACGATCTTCCTCTATATGAACCGGTCAGCACCGAAACTTGTGGCTTGGATCCTGTGCAAACGAGCACACAAAAGGAGAAGAGTTATGAGCCGCCATGAAGGAAAATAACTAACCGGATAAGATGGCCTGGTCAACGTGCCAGCCTGAGTTGAGATGCGGAAGAACGACGGATCCCATTATGAGATTCTTGCTGCTGGTCTAGTGGAGATGACGATGGCAGCCTTGAGCCATTGACGCTGAGATTTTGGCCCTTGGCGGTAGATCGGCTAGAGGTATTGCCGTGCCGCGTGGCTGGATCTGTGGCGACACATGGTGGCTTTTAGTGCACGGTTAGAGGTGACTAGATTGTACCCAACTGAAGCAATAATATTTGGCGATATCTGCTAATTCGCATAAATTCCTGGCTATTTGATACCTATTTTTGTTCAAAATCTTAACGCAAAGTACGTGCACTCTTATTGTTGCGATTAGTTTATGACGCATTATTACTGAGCTGTTGGTCTTTTTTGAGCCTAATTCACTGCTCGGCAAGCTTAGTTTCAGTAACTTTTATAATTACGTTAGTGAAAATGTCCAACTTCAATCCCACAATTGTTGTCCCAGGCCGGATGAAAGGCGAAGAACTAACTAGTTCTACATCTTCTTTAACGCTGTCTTCAATTCTGTGGAACAAAATTAGCAGTGCGCCTGTGAAATCACTATGAATCTTGAGTGGACTTACGATCCAGTAATCTCGCCATAATTTGCTGCGTTAATCGTTTCCTTCTCCTGGGGTGCAAACTCTAACAAAGCCTTTCTGATATCAGCATTGTGAAAGTGTGTCATTCCGCAATCTGCATGTAAATTGTGTCAGCTACTGTTTATCCCAGCCGTTCTTGTCCATTAACTCACCAGTATGGTGCATGATAATCACCGTTTTCGTGTGCCCAATGGTCTGAAGAATAGATATAGTTCTGATAGCATCAATTGCCCGGCCGCCGGCATTGCGGATCATTGTGACTCCTCTAATGCTTGGATCGATGCCAAAGATTGCGTAGGGATTTAAACGTGGGTCAGAACAGCTCAAGATAATTGCGCCAGCTCCGGATTTGCGGACTGCGGGAACCATATCTAATAATGGGAGAGGAGTTTTATATGCTTGTGCAACTTTCCTTTTAACTTCTCAGTTTTGGCCCTAATGTAAAGAGTTGTTTCTGTTTTGTGTGGTTTACTCACTCATTGCGACTAAGTAGCTCTGTGAGAATGTTGGACGCCATTTTGTAGTAATTTGTCGAGATATTCTTGATGAGCAAAGAAAATCGGCGGAATTGATCTGTTAAAGTACTTCTATGTATTTAAAAAAGAAAGATGCAGCCAGCAGTCTCATTTATATAGGTCTACAATTGCGGCGCTAGGCATTATGACGATGAGGCTGGACTAACTCAATGATTACTGAGCAAGAAATGGTAGACCAGGCCACCGACATCCTTTCTCGTACGGCTTAGTAATTGCTACGGTATTATATAAAATAGATGCGATATTCGTTTCGAAATTGTTACATCAGTCCTCCGAGGCAAGGCTAGCTGAGCTTTCTACATTTATAAGCTTACTGACGACCAGGCCGTTTTACTAATTCACTGAGCATAGTTTAAACTGAAAATATTTGTATTAAGAAATAACTTTTAGGGAACATGTATGTACTAGCTAATGACAAAGTATATAACCAATTGCAGTCTATTATGCAGGCTTTCTAGGAAGATAAACATTGTGAAATAAGATTACTCAAATGTTTGCCTGTGTGATCGGCCTGTAACTGTTAGTGCCTATTTTCTTAATCTGATTGGATAGAAAGGACTTACAAAAGACTTGTTAACCATCGAGAAATGGTCGCAAGGTAGAGACGAACAATGAACCTCGCTCTGCGTTGCTACATCCCACCCGTCTGGGCCCTCTTGCTCCTTACGCTTGCCGAAAAACCACAGCAACATGGTATATGCTTGGGTATCGGTATCCGGGTCTGAATGAAGCTTTTCTTGTTTGAGTATCTCTTCGATTCCTGCCGGAATGCCGCCTAAGAGAGTCTCAAGACCTTGTCCTGCCCATATCACATATGTATTCAAAGGTGCTCGACCAGGCTTCATCGGGTCAAGGACATACTTGACCGCTGCCCTCACAGACTGGAGTGAGTGCAGCTTAGTCTTTGGGGATGAAGGGGCTATTATGAACCCTTTACCAGGAATATTGACACCGTTTGCGACACCAATCATCTCCACCATCTCCATGGATGGAACAATCTGATTCTTTGCTTTCGAAGCCATCGGGAATTTGAAGTCGAGGACAAACAGGCCCTTGACTACTTCACCAGCGTTTATAAACCGCTTACTGACCTCAAAGGCGTATAAACCGCCAAGGGACCAACCGCCTAGAAGATATGGGCCATGGGGCTGTATCTTGCGAATGGCCTCTGCGTAGAGGTCCGACACCTCTTCGATAGTATAGGTGAAGTCTTCTGGCTTGTCAAGGAAGGGAGATTCGCATGTATAGACTGGGTTATCGCCAGAAAATAGAGGCGGAAGATGCATATAGGACATTGAGGATCCGGCACCGTCTGTAACTAAGAAGAGCGGAGTCTTCTTTGACTTGGATCTTCCTTGAACAAGCACGACGTTGCTATGATAGCTGGAAATGGGTCTTGTGTTCTTCGCTGCAGGCTCTTCCGCCGCGCTTTGGTTGCTATGTGAGGAAACTACCGGCGTTTCTGCCTTTGGCTCGTCTTCATCACTAAGTGCCTTTCTCACGTCTGCAACGGTAGGATTGTGATTGAAGAAGGAAGCAGGGAGTTCCAAACCGATGGTACTTTTAAGCTCGCTGATAACCTCAATGGTCAAGATGGAGTCAAGACCCATATCTGTAATTCGAGTAAACGGCTCAACGTCAGCCGGATCGAATCCGGTTTTAGCAAGAATAGTAGAAATAGCCATCTCTGCATCGCTTTCAGAAGAACTAGGTGTAGGCGCATATGTAGAAGCCGCCACAGGAGTCACCACAGGAGCCACAACAGAAGCCTTTTTCTTCTTGGGCTTCGGGGCCGGCTTGTCATCATTTCCAAGTGCCCTTCTCACATCCGCAATAGTAGGATTGTGGTTAAAGAAAGAAGCCGGGAGTTCCAATCCAAGGCTGTTTTTAAGCTCACTGATAACTTCAATAGTCAGGAGTGAGTCAAGTCCCATGTCCGTAATTTTAGTAAACGGCTCAGCATCAGCCGCGTCAAATCCAGTTTTGGCAAGAATAATAGAGATGACCTCATCTGCATCGTCACCATCGACAGAAGTACCAGGCGTCTCTCCGCTCTCTGTGTCAGATAGAGACGGAGATGTTCGGCCGCTCTGGAAGACTTCGACTTTCGATTGAGGCAGCGCCTTGGTGGGAACGGCGGATGGTTTTGCTGGCGTAGGAGCACTGCTATTGTAAGTGTCGCCTTTTCCAATAACAGCTTCCAAGACCCGGCGCGACATTCGCGTGAATATGATTCCAGTGCTAGACCCAACTATCTCGTTGCCTTCAAAGATGTAGACATCGCAATGAGCTGTATTTTGACCAGCACCCGGACGTATATGAACATAGCTCTCATATGTAACTCCTGGCTGAACACTCTGTAGCGCACGAAAGCTTCCGAAGCCACTAGCAATCCAATGGTTATCATCGTCAACATTCGGCTTTCCATTCAGCACGAATCCAGCAACATGGATAAGTGAGTCAGACCAGTAAGGGCTAAAGGTGAACCGCGACTGATTAGCTGGAGAGAGCTTCACAATTGCAACGGCATCACTGCTGAAGTCTTCCTCAACAAACACCTCTTGCATAGCCTGGAAAGGCTCATCATAGCGTACAAGATTGGCAAACAGCTTGTAAACCACCTTTTTGTGAAGACGGTGGCCAGTTCCCGCCATGGCGCGTTGAACGAGACTGCTTTTAGCTGAATCGATGAAATAGGCATTGTTGGACCACTCAGCTTTCCACTGCTTCTCGTCGCTGAAATGAACTTGGCAGCTGCCATGATCATCAGAGAACTTACCGCAGCGAGACTTGAAGTTGATGTTTACAGTCTGGCTATTAGCCACCTTCTCGGCCTTAATGATGACTGTTTGATCGGGCTTCTTCCTAGGATCTGGTATCAAAGGATGGATGATATTTAAACCTGTAAGAGACATTGCGGGTACTGAGCTCCCAGGGTTTATCCTCAGGTAAAGATATTTGGCTGCAGAAAACGCCATATCCATGAATGCACTAGCTGGGCAGAGTGGCACCCCGTTGATGAGATGTCCTTGTATAATGGGTAGTAGCGTTGGTTCGCATGTCATTGACTCAAAGGTAACTGTTGCTTTTGATGCCTCGATCGATTCCTCTTTAACACGTTGAAGGCTGGCATTTGGAAACCCTGGCACTAATGGTGTTGTAATCTTTTCTGGTACTGGCGCGGGTTCAACTGGCGGAGTAGCACTTTTGGTTGTAACCCAGTATTTCTTCAGGTCAAACGCATAAGTGGGTAGCTGAAGCAGCGTAAGGAACTCTGTGTAGTCTTTGTGAAATTTGGTCCAGCTAAGAGGTAGCGCACACAGATAGGCAGATGTTGTTGAGGCTGAGATAGTCTTCCAATTCTCGTCCTTGTTGGAGATTGTATAGAGGAGTTTGTCTCGGCTGATGCCAAGACTTGCGGCAGTAAGTGCAGAAAGGACAGGTTTTGGGCCAATCTCAATCCATACAGTCTTATCATCAATAAGATTTGCAGCCTGGCAAGCCTTGAGTGCACCGACAAAGTCAACAGGCTGGCGAGCTTGATCTTCTAGATAGGAGGGTGAAAAGACTCCTTCCTCTGTCACGATAGCGCCCTTCAATGTGGATGCTACTGGAATGCGTGGCTTAGCAAAGTTGATCCCGTCGAGTAGCTCTCCGAACTCCTCTAGAATCGGGTCCACTTGAGAACTATGGAATCCATAGGGGATCTCAAGTAAAGTGCTTGAGTAGCCTTCCTTCTTCATCTGACTTTGAAGATTAACGATATCATCCGCTGGCCCACTAACAACGTTGGAGTTTGGCGCTCCTTTGCAAGACACTTCGCACGACGGGTATGCAAGCAGCTTGTCCTTGATGTCGCTTTCAGATGCCTGGACTGCCAACATAGCATGCGTTCCTGGAGTACATTTCTCTTGAATAAGCGTTGCGCGTTTCCCAACAATGTACAACACATCATGGACTGAGAGAACGCCGGCCACATGCAAAGCGGCGTATTCGCCTAGGCTGTAGCCAATAACAACATCTGGCTCAATGCCCCAAGACTTCCACAAGTCAGCCAAAGCCAACTCGATAACCGCAATGGCAAGCTGAACTTGAACTGCACTATAGGCTCCAATTTCAACATCGCCAGATGCAATCAGATCAATGAAGGAAGGGAAGCCATGCCAAGTGCACACGTCTTGTAGTGACTCCACAGTCTTGCGAAATCTAGGGGAAGTGGCAAAGAGCTGTTTCCCCATGCCAGCATACTGTGAACCCTGACCAGTGAAAGTGAAGACTACCGATGAAGGAGGATTGGAAGGCGAGATGCTACCAAAGTCCTTTTTTAGATCAGTAGCTAGTAACTGCTGCAGCTCGCTGACACTTTGTACGGTATATGCTTTTCGCAGGTCCTCGTGGATTCGTCTTGCGGTGGTTGTATAGGCCAAATCAGATAACTGGACATCTTGATGAGATTCTAGATACTCCAAAAGCCGGCGTGCGTTATTTTGGAGAGAATATGTTGTTCGTGCTGATACGGCTACCGTATAAAACTTTCTTGGGTCATCTTCAGACTTGTGCTGTCTTTCGGGCGCGTCTTCCAGAAGCATGCTATTATTGCCACCAGAGGCATCAAAGTTGTTAATCAAGATTCTCCTTTTGCCATCTTTGCTGGAAGGGCTAGATTTAAACGGAAATGTTTGATCGGGGATATGAATGTTCATGTTGCCCAGCGGCGGAAACTTCGGGTTGAGAGGCCCTGGAAACCCCGGTTGCTTCGGTATAGTCTTTCTGCGAATCATCTCGATTGCCTTGATTAAAGAAGTAATTCCTGAAGCTGCTTCTCCGTGTCCAACATTGGCCTTGACGGCACCAATATAGAGAGGATTGTCTTCTGCTCGATCGCTGCCGAAGACTCTTGTCATGGCCTCCATCTCCATGGCATCACCTGCTTGGGTGCCAGTACCGTGCGCCTCAACAAAGTTCACATCCTTGGAGTCTATATCGGCATTTCGAAGCACTTGTCGAATCAGGTTGACTTGAGCATCGGCGCTTGGGTGAGTAATGGAGCTGGAGTTCCAAGAGTAGTTCCTAGCCCCTCTTCTCAAGACGGCCAAAACGTTGTCGTTATCGGCAATGGCATCTTCAAGGCGCTTAAGGACAACGAGACCCACGCCCTCCCCGCGAAGGTAGCCGTCGGCGTCTTCTCTAAAAGTCTTGCAGCCACCAAGAGTCTTGGAGAGGAAGCCTGCTCGGCTTAACCCTGCATATTGAGTGGTGGCAGTATAGATTGAGCCGCCACCAGCCAGGGCAGTGTCGCATTCTCGAGAAAGAAGAGCATTAACTGCAAGTATAACACTAGTAGAGCTACCAGCGCACGCGGAATCGACTGAGTAATTGCCTCCTGCCCATTTGTAGTGGTAATTCAGTCTGCCTGTGGAGAATGGCCTAACTCCTCCTTGTATAAAAAAGATATCGACGTCTTGACTATTGTTAGCCTCCCGCCAGTCATCAGCCGACTGGCCAAAATAGGTGGCAATCCGTCCACGATTTGTGGATAGAGTTGCCGCCTCTGCAGTGTATCCGGCCATTTGTAGCGCCTCATAGCTACACATCAAGAGAATGCGCTGGATTGGATCCATCTGCTTGGCTTCACGAGGTGAAACGTTGAATAGTCGGTTGTCAAAAAGCTCAGGATTGTCCAAAAAGCTTCCGTATGGCGTGGTGATAGTGTTTTTCTTGACTCCAGTAGGATCATAGTGGGTTTCCAAGTCGAACCGGCTTGCTGGAACCTCTGACTCAATCTTCTGACCGGCTTGAAGAATTTCCCAGAAGCTGTCAATATCTTCGCTTCCCGGTAGTCTTGCAGACATACCGACAACGGCAACCAAATCTGAACCGTCACGAAGGCCACTTCTTACATCTGATTGCACAGACTGTGTCGTGAAGTTGATGCCACCGTTTTCTAAAGCCTTCTTGAAGCTATCAATCTGGCTCTTTGGACCCAACGGATCAAGGTTCACCATTTCTGTATCATGTAGCTCTGAGATGATGTAGTCGATGACTCCAGCAAGATTCAGCATCCGACATGTGATGTCCCCTAGCGCCTCAGTGAGTACATCGCCCAGAGTAAGGCCCTCAAATGGCTGACAAGTACTAGTTGATATCACATGTACGTTGTCTCGTATCGGCAATTCATAGACAGGTGATTGACCGAGAACTTTGGATATATCAATAGGCTGAATATGGGGAGCATGAGCAGGGGTTCCTATCGGCACGGACATCTTGGAAGCCGACGCCAATGTTTTTGAGTAGGACCACAGCTCTGCGAACAGTGATGGCGGTCCAGAGATGACTGCCCACCGGTGGGCCAATGTGCTGATATAAATATGACGGTGTTGGGGAATGGCCTTTAGGTAATAAACGTTAGCTATTGAAACACATGTAACAAATGCAGTATGGAGGGAAAAATACCATATCATCGTTGAAAGCGTTAATGATGTTCTCAATCTCTTGTGGATCGACACTGACAATTGCCACTGCCCAAGATCCTGGCGCGCTCTCAATTTCATGCGCACTTCTCCATTGCTGCACGCCTAATCTATAGGCTACAGGAATTAAGACTCTTCCAATGGTCAGAAGCTCGCCAACATCCCCAGCAGTTGCTGCTGCGGCTGCTGGGAGGAGCCCAGTGCATAGCCCTATGCTATATGACGGCGAGTTACGACTGGCTTTGAAGAATGATGGATCATTTTCCGCACGGCTGTAGTTGGCATTAGCAATTTTAAACTCTCTTGGTAATGTGTGATTCTTTGCAAACGTACAAGAGAAGATCTCCAAACTGTGCGATGAAAAACAGAATTGTTGAAACTGCTTCAAAAGGAGTATTCTGTTCGGCAAAGATTTCAGCCAATTCAAGAATGCTCTCAAATCGCAAATATGGCTGTTTCTCTTTAGTATCAAGTTCTGAAAGATTGACCTGTACTACATCTGCACATTCGCGGAGAAAGCGCGCGATGATGGGCGATGTTCGAGCTTGGTTGGCGAGAACCTTGATATTCTGGAGAGTGTCCACAGTCTGGTCTCCGAAGAAGATGATTTGGGCATCTTGTCCGCTCATTTTGTTCTGAGTAGAATGGTCGTATGCTTTGCTCTGAGGGCAATTGAGGCAGCCAACACAACCTTCTTATAACAAGAATGATGCTCAAGCCTAGATACTTCAGCTGCTAAATCATCAATATTGATACTCGATCTAAAATCTTATACGTCCTATGATAAGCCTGTCGCCTTTCAGTGAAACGCGATAATCCCTAACAATTATCTTCATGTACTACCGTTTGCCCCTATATCTTTTTGATGTGATCTATTCTTGAATACAGACTATTCCTTGATGAGATTTACCGAAATGGTTCGTTTGTCTTGATCCAGTTAGCAAGGCAGTACAATATGTATGCAAACCCACCGATGGGCGTGCAAAAGTGAATATTATAATCTCGGTATGTTTGAAGTCTATAAACATTACTGAACATGATAAGATTCTGACAACACCTCCCTAATTCATCATGAAGCAAAGCTGATACCGGCTCAACCTTTTCTATACGAACAAATCTTGCTCATGTACTGAGTACAAAGGAAGAAGTACATTACATTGAGAAGGGAGTGTGCGGGCGTAAGTGAGCTTCAGTGGAGCTCGGTAGCATTTCTTACCTAAAACATCGCAAACATCTTGGCAACTGTGGAGTTTGAGAGAATACATAGTACAGGTAAAAATTACAGAAAGCTATAAGAGATATACATACCTATGTAAGGACTTAACAAGTATTAAACCCGATGCATAACACATTGTTTTAACAGTATATTAGGGGTGTATTCTTTTTATTTAGATAGATGCCTTTATTGGAAAAAACTCAAGATTAAGCAATGCTATATATTTAATTACAGTGTTGTGCTTGCAAGGACTTCAATAGGCAATAACGAGAGTTCATAAGTTATACATCAATATATAACGTTATAATGTATATCCCATGTAAGCATATAGGAATGCATATCCAGTGCTTGCACTGAAAGATATCCTAGATCACCAACGTTAGATCCTACATTCTCTGCCTTTCATTAATGCGTTGCTAGTAGTATCTGTTAAATCCACGTAAATGCCTCACACACGGTGAACGGTATAGAAATCGCGACTCTAGCCTCAAGAGGGTAATTTGTACATATGTATTTTCCTCACTATAAGCTAGTCTATGACATGAGATAAGAATCTCCAAAAAGGATGCATCTGGATCCACTTCATTCCGCAGTTTGATTCTGTGGAGAATGGAACACTCCGTCAATCTCAAGTTGATCTTAATAGTTGAAGGTGACCCATAAGAAAAATGCAATATCAGTTCATTAATCGCCTTCTTATTATATACCGCATTAGTAAAGGCCGCGTAATTGTTTTGAAAGGAAAGAGTTACTATGAACTATTCGCCCAGTTGAGGCTATAAGCTTACATGTATTCTTCGTCTACAGTTCCACAAGAAGTATCAACCGCTCTTATGAAGTCAAGATAGCTCGTCAAATGAGTGCTAAGCTCAATTATTTGAGGATGAATAAATATTCTATTTAAAGAAATGGCGTGATTTTTGGAACTTGCATGATACTACCATGATACCAGAGACTCGGGCTGATCGGCTATCGGCAGGCAATCATCTCCCCAGCCTACAATCAGAAATATCTGTCATAAAGAACAAGCAAATGCTAGTATCCCATACAGGAGATGCAATACGCATCCTTGTTCAAGTAATATGCACGTGCCACGACCCGCCATACCGTTATGCCAAACAAGGCAAAAGATTAGGCCAATAATCGCAGTTGTAGCAATTACTGTAACGGAACCAGCTGCCTATACGGGATTCGTAGTTACGGGAAACCAGGTCGTAACAGCATGCCATAAGCAATAGCCTACCCCCCTGTTCTGACACGGATAGATAGTGATACCCAATTCGGTAAGCAAAATTCTTGGCCGGCAATCGCTCATATCGCTCATACCCCTGCTGCTCAGCTCGGAGCGTTTTCAGTGCCCGTTGCTCCTGAGCAGCGTTCATATGCTCATGAAAAAGTATCTCGCTGCATGCCGTTATTATCCGCCAATCAGTATGGAAACCATTGCAATCTCAGAGCAACATTCAAGTCGCATTCGAATGCTACTCTGGGAATTCCACTTACATTCCACAATCAATTTCACAGCACAGCGAAGTAAAATGGCTTCTACAATGATGCTTCTGGGCTATGTGCAGCAAAATGCCATTATTATCTCTTATTACCTACTTTCAGCATTCTTTTCGTATTGGTTCGCACGGAAAATATATCATTGTTTCAAACCTGGGCTCCGTGAGCTCCCAGGACCAAAGATTGCTTCATGGACTCGATTATGGAGAGTCTGGGCTGTTTTATCAGGCATGTCTACTTCTCATAGTAATTGATAAATATAGAATTTAGTATTAACGCCGAATATGTTCTCAAGGCAACTATCCAGTGAAATTTCGACAACTACATGAAAAGCATGGAAAATTAGTGCGGGTCGGTCCAAACCACATATCTGTGGCAGATCCGGCGGCAATCCCGAAAATATATGGCTTCAATAATAAATACTTGAAGGTTTTTAGCTGTACAACTTCTTCGAAGCTTGAAGTTATCTGACAAAGGCTATAGAGCGATTTTTATCATGCCTTCCAAGCCCCATATAAAGGAAGAATTGTCGACAATCTCTTTGCGACACAAAGTACAGAATTTCATAAGTCTCAGAGATCTCAAGTTGCACACAGATTTTCCATGTCCTCTTTAGCAGGAATGCAGAGCTCCGTTGATGGATGTACGAAAATTCTTCTTGACAAGCTGCGCGGATTTGCGGATAAGCAAGAGGTAGTTGATATTGGGCCTTGGCTACAATGGTATGCCTTCGATGTGATTGGTGCCATCACTTTCAGTCAACGATTTGGCTGTTTAGAGTCTGGTAGCGATGTCGGCGGCTTAATCTCTGGCATCGAAGATACTCTCAAATATGTTGGAGTCGTAGGACAGTTGCCGGAGCTCCATCCCTGGTTGATTGGGAATGCTAAGCTTATAACCACAATTCAGAAACTGTTTCCCGATGTTTCTCCAGTCCCAAACATCATTAAGGTATAATTAAAAACAGGCTCTTTGCCGGTGCATCCTCATGAGCTAACACGGCTACTTTCAGATTATCGAGAACCAGATCAAAAAGTATGATTTGGAAGGAAAGTATTATCAGAGCAAAAAAGAAGATTTCCTGGCCTATTATATGGGCGATTCTGTTACTGGAAAGATTCGCTTGGATCACGATGATCTTGTCGGCCATTGTTTAGGCAGCGTGTGAGTCCAGCTAATGAGTTTGCAGATTATGATATTTTCTGGGCTAACAATACACAAAGCTTTGCTGGTAGTGACACGACTGCCATCGCTCTCAGGGCAATATTTTACTATCTTCTTAAAAGTCCACGCGTTTACGCGAAGTTAATGACTGAGATAGACAGCGGAATCTCCGCCGGTCATGTCTCTGAAATGGCAACATTAGACAATTCAATGAAAATGCCGTACCTGTAAGTTCACTCCTCAAAGCTGAGTAATGAATTGCTCTCATGGAATTGAATAGGCAAGCATGCATGAAAGAAGGGATGCGTTTACATCCTATCGTTGGTCAAGTTCTTGAGCGCTGCGTTCCGAAAGGAGGAGATTTCCTTTCCGGACATTATCTTCCTGAAGGAACAGTTGTTGGTATTCACGCTTGGGTAATACATCACGATCCCAGCATTTTTGGCGAAGATCACGAAGACTTTAGGCCCGAGAGATGGATTGAAAACTCTGCAGAGAAGTTGAAGAACATGGAAAAATGCTTCCTAGCTTTCGGCGCCGGCTCCAGAGTTTGTTTAGGCATACATCTTTCTATGATGGAAATGGGGAAACTAATCCCAGCCATTCTTCACAATTTCCAGCTAGAATGGGCGTACCCCGAAAAGGACTGGAAACTGGAAACAGTGTGGTTTACAAAGCAGACTGATCTTTTTGTCCGCCTCAAAGCTCGGCAGAAAGCAGACGGAACCCCCTGAGTAGTGCTTTTAGATCTTTTTGAGAACATACGGAACGAGTGCTGCAACTTGGATACAATATTATAAGATGTTTATGCAAATGGCATAAACCTAACGCTACGTTGGAATCAAGTGTTACTGGTCTTGGTACTAGTGAATTAGATATTATGAGAGTAAAATATGTACTGTGTTTCTGTATGCTCAACTATTGAACTTGGGACTGGAAGTGAAATCCGGCAAGTTACTTTTTAAAGCCGTAGTGAGGTGATTTGGGGCAAATACGTATAAAGGTACACGAATTTAACCCGTTTTATTATTTCATTGGGGTGTCATCTGTATTTCGAGTCGTAGTCTGCTGTCCATCAGCCTAGTAAAATGTCCGATGCAATTCGACAGCAGGCTCCCTGTTCTACCGGCTCTAGCGGCTGACTAGTTGCTAGTGCCTGATTACGCAGCGGAAATTATTGTTAGTTCCCCTTTTAGTGAGCAGGTTAATGTAAGAAATGATGGCCTTTCACGCTGGTTTTATTTCCATACAACCTGGTCCCTTGTAACTAGTCGAATCTCTTATAAGCAGCTGGTTCTGTTTGGGATAACGGCACAACGGATTGTTACATCCCTTCCACCTTGTTGAACATTGTGTGTGAATCATTCGGAAAATTTAAATTGCTCTTTTTGCACTAAGCAAGACGTATCAACTAGGCTTTCGTAGTCCACTATAGCTTGATCTTGAATCTGCTTATATTTTCATGTTTTCTTATTACTGAATATTGCTAGATGCTCCTATTTTATTAATGGCAATATTTCTCATTTGGAATTCAATGTGTACTACTTGTGCTTACTTTCTCAATCAATGCCGCGGCTGCTTTTAGCTAGTTGCTGTAATCGAACCTGCATGTAACTGGTGGAAATAATGACAAATTTTGCTTCCGTCATACGGAATTGCTGGGTACCTAGAATGTTACACAACATCTTGAGTGTCTCGTCCCCAAGACAATACACTAGTGAGAAGTAATGCTTACGGATCTGCAATATCTAGTATCTTGATGTCGTGTTCTACGGCGTAGTGTGGATCGCGATATTGCTTCGAATTCCGATCAGAGAAACCCACCGAGCAGGGCCCGCTGTCGGCATATTGGACCCTGTAGGGCTAGTAACGAAAACTGCCATTTATGGATGTACTTTACGACGATTGCTGGTTGCATGCAATGTATGCCTATTTGAAATACCAGGCTGCATGAGATAAGACGTACACCATGTCAGATGCACTGATATGCTTGCAGAAGTGTATAATTGACAGATAGGATGTTATTTCTAGTATATTGTCATAATAAAACCTACTATTTCTTTTGTTTGTAGCTTATTTAAATATTATTCTATATTTAATGCCATATTACACATAACTTGTCATCAGTTATAATTTGCTTAAGAATACATTAATACGTATACGTCCCAGTTCACAACATTTCTACCTAGGTATACGAATACCCTGCCAATCCCTGTTTCCAAATGGGATATCTATCTTACAGGTACATGTACAGATACATAATTTGTATGTACTTTACCTAGATAGCTATCCTTTTGCTATGGCACAAACGTACAAGCGGCGGTGCGTAGGCCGGACTGTATCGTGATTTAGAACTGAAGATTATCTGACAATGCAAATGAAATTGCGGCCGCTGGTGAACCTGAGTATGATGGCATGGGACTGGTGTAATTAGCACGTATTAAGTATTATATATATTCTCCTAACAAGTGTAATTTGAGGTTTTTACTTTGTTGCAATAGAGCCATATTCACCCAACATGCGTCTTTACGAATCTGGGTCAGATGGTGATGCTGCTCACCACTCAGCCTACGACGAGAAGTCAATCGCAGTGGTTGGACTTTCTTGCCGCTTTCCGGGAGATGCAACTAATTCAGAGCAATTTTGGGAGCTACTATGCGAAGGAAGATGTATGTATACAAATTAGAAATAATATGATATCCGTCATTAACTCTGTGTAGCTGCAATATCACATATTCCACGGGACAGGTGGAATAGCGATGGCTTTTACTGTGCAAGTAAAGGCAGGCAAAACACCAGCATCACCACCCAAGCGCATTTCCTCAAAGAAGATGTCTCGGTATTTGATGCCAAATTTTTCTCCATAACTCAGCAAGAGGCAACAAGTATGGATCCGCAACAGCGGCTATTGCTGGAGGTTTCATACGAGGCATTTGAAAATGCTGGTATTCCTTTGGAAAAGCTAGCCAAGAGCAAAACTGGCTGCTTTATATCTGCTTTTACACACGATTGGAGAGAAATGCAGTTCCAAGATCCTGACTTTGCACCGATGTATTCGGTATCTGGTCTCGGAACAGAAGTTCTCGCTAATAGAATCTCGTGGTTCTACGACTTGAAAGGACCAAGCATGACTATTGAGACTGCTTGTTCGGGAAGTCTTGTCGGCCTCCACGTAGCATGCCAGAGCCTACGCTCTGGTGATTGCGATACGGCCCTTGTTGGAGGAGCAAATCTTTTTCTCAGCCCCAATATGTTTAATGCTCTATCCAATCAAGGGTTTCTCTCTCCAGATGGGTTATGTAAAGCATTTGATGCTTCGGCTGACGGCTACGGCCGGGGCGAAGGATTCGCAGCCCTGGTTCTCAAGCCGGTCGAAAAGGCCATCAGAGATGGTGATACAATTCGGGCTATTATTCGTGGCTCTGCAACCAACCAAGACGGCAAGACAAGAAGCATGACAATGCCAAACGGCGAAGCTCAGGAAGAGCTAATTCGTGAAGCGTATCGCTTCGCGGGACTGGACTTCAAAGATACTTCCTATTTCGAAGCACATGTAAGTAAAACGGCAGCTTGCTCTTTATTCTTTGCTAGACCAAGATTCGCTGATACAAGTTAGGGTACGGGGACATCTGCTGGCGACTTCGCAGAGTTGAATGCAATAGCAAATACTATCACGCATGAGAGAGACAAGCCCCTTTGGGTTGGTTCGGTGAAGACAAATGTCAGTCTCCAAGTTTCATTGCCCTTTAGTTATTAATATGTTGGTTAATTAACTATTTTTTATAGATTGGGCATCTTGAATCGGTGGCTGGTTTAGCCGGTATCATCAAATCGATTCAGATATTGGAACATGGTTTGATACCACCTAGCCTGCATTTCCACAATCCCAATCCTCGCATCCCTTTCAAAGAGTGGAGGATCTCTGTTCCTACAAAAGAAATTCCTTGGCCGGAAGAAGGCATCCGACGTATCAGCGTCAACTCTTTTGGCTTTGGTGGATCTAACGCACATATTATCCTCGACGATGCATATCACTACCTCACCGCAAGAGGTATCAAGGCTCATCATAACACTATCCAAACGTCTCCAAAAGGCAGAGAAGCACTCAAACTGCATAAAGAAGCGCTTTCACTGTCTTCATCTAGACCCCAAATTCCCGAGGGGCATAAAATGCCATACATGATGATTTTGAGCTCGTCAGACCAGAATGGTTTGAATCGTCAACGACAAGCTCTTTTCAAATACTTGAAGGATCATGCAAAGATGAGAAACGAGTCAGGCCAAGCATTCCTTCGCGACTTGGCTTTCAGTCTGAGTGAAAGACGGTCTCGTTTGCCCTGGAAGACAGTTTTTACGGCCTCGACTGTGCCTGAACTTACACAGGCACTAGAAGCTCCCACATCACTCGAGGTTCGGTCCAATATTGAACCTCGGCTGGCATTCGTATTTACAGGCCAGGGCGCGCAGTGGGCCCGTATGGGGATAGAACTCTTGCAATATCGCATTTTCCGCGAAAGTGTCGAGAGCGCAGAGCGATATCTTAGGAAAATTGGCTGTCCATGGTCCGTTATGGAGGAGCTTCAACGAGAAGATGCGGTGTCCAACATTAACCAACCGCTTTATAGCCAAACTATATGCACCGTCTTGCAAGTTGCTATTATTCAACTGCTTACATCTTGGAACATTGCTCCTCACTCAGTTGTAGGCCACTCAAGCGGAGAGATTGCGGCCGCATTTGCAATCGGTGCCATATCACGAGAAGATGCGTGGAAAGTGGCCTATTGGAGAGGTAAACTCTCGTCAGAGTTGTTGAAGTCATCTCCAGATTTGACAGGCTCAATGATGGCTGTCGGAGCATCAGCAGAACAAGCACAAAAGTGGCTCGATGAGCTGACCGAGGGGAAATGCGTTGTAGCCTGTATCAATTCTCCATCGAGCGTCACTATTTCGGGAGATGAGGCAGGAATTGACGAGTTGGCAGCGAGGCTCAAGGAGCGCGAAATCTTTGCCAGAAAACTGAAAGTCGACACTGCCTACCACTCCCATCACATGCTGGCTGTCAAAGATCCCTACACCAAAGCTCTGGCAAATATGGAAACAAGACAAGGGCCACCAGATGGGCCACAAATGTTTACATCGGTGACGGGACACATCATCAGCGCGGGCGAACTTGGGCCATCACATTGGGTCACAAACTTGACATCTCCTGTTTTATTTTCAGATGCGGTGCGAGAACTGCTACGGCCTAAAAGCCATGAAGATCAAAGCCATGGCTGTTCTGTTGACATTATGGTCGAAATTGGACCACATTCGGCGCTTCAGGGACCTATCCGTCAAATATTGAGCGGGTTTGGTGCTCACAACACAGAATATCGATCAGTCATGTCTAGAGGAAAAAACGCTGTCGATACAATCTTGACTGCTGTTTGTGATTTAGTGTCTCACAATGTACCTGCAGATATCCTCGCCATCAATACCTGCAGCGATGATTCTACAATCTCTTTTAACAGTTCCCCAGCTCTGATAGTGGATCTTCCATCATACACTTGGAACAAGACAAAGTCGTATTGGAATGAATCTCGACTTACACGGCAAATCAAACAGAGGTCATCGCCGCGGCTTAGTTTAATAGGTGCTCCACTACCATCTTTTGCCCAACTTGAGCAACAGTGGAGAGGATTTGTACGGATTGCAGAAGAGCCTTGGTTACGTGACCACAAAATACAGGGCTCCATTCGGTATCCGACGGCAAGCTACATTGCTATGGCATTAGAAGCGGCGAACCAGGTGGCAGATCAAGGCCGCACCGTCAATCGATATAAGCTCCGAGACATCAACATTCGTAATAGCATTACTATAGACGAAGGTTCTCAGACGGAGTTCATTACTCGGCTACGAGCCTCTACCCCCGACGCTGAGAGTTTGAGCGAAGGATGGCTAGAGTTTAGCATTACTTCAAGCGGGCCCGATGACTCTCTACAGATTCTTTGTTCAGGTCTTTTAGCTATCGAATATGGCGATTCAACAGATGCTGCAGTGGACGCAGAAAGCACACATGAAGAGCAGGCCATGAGAGACCTTTATCTCATGGCGGAGGAAGAATGCCAAGTTTCACAAGATGTGGAGACATTCTATAAGGACTTTCAGTCTATCGGCCTTGAATATGGTCCTTCGTTTCAAAGTCTGAAAGACATCCGCTATGATACGCATGGAAAAAGCTATTGTACTATTGAGATAGTCGATAATGGCTCCATCCCAGCGGTTCTGCCAGCAGCCAGACCTCACGTTATCCACACCACTACCCTGCACGGCGCGATTCAAGCTGCTGTCGCTTCCTTTAAGGGAGATGACGGTAATATTAAAGGGTATTTGGCCGAAAGTTTTGTTGAGGAAATTGTGGTGGAAGCAGATATTCCTTTTAAATCTGGGGTTCGCTTCAAAGGGTGTGCGAGACTATTACAACAGAATTCCTCAGAAGCCATCTCCGATATCTTTATGCTCGATGATAAGACTGGTCAGAGAGTGATCAGCATCAAGGGTTTACGCTTCGTTGTTGACGCTGTTAGTCGGACGCAGAGAAACGGTGACCCAATGTCCCTTCGAGCGAGCCCGTTCACTTGCAAAATGCATTGGATACCGGCATTTGACTTATTATCGCCCGGTAAAAAGCAGGAAACGATTGATCAGATTGATAAACCGAATGATGAAGAAGTACGAGATCTCATGAAAGAGCAACAAATTGCGTATGTCGCGATCAGAGAAGCTATAGAAAAAGCTAACGGGATGCGGATCCCTAACTTACAACTTCGGAATTTTGCCAAGTGGATGAAGCAGCAGCTAAATGCATCTTTATTTCCTCTTGAGAAGCATATGTCTGCGAATAACAAACTTAGAAAATCGTTGACAGAGGTTCTGGGCGCTTCAGTCGATCCTGAGAGCCTCCTTGGGACTGAGAAGAGCGTCGACAAGATTGTTCACTCGCTCTGTGGCATGCGCATTTCACAGAGGAAGCTAATTAAGGTAATGCCACTGAGATAACTTGATCATGTGTAGCAAATTGTTCTAACAATTTACTAGGTCGTGGCCACAATGGCACAAATCAAGCCGAATCTTGCCATATTAGAGCTTGGCGCTGACTACACATCCCCGTTTCTTGCTTCGGCTGGAGGCATCCCAGATACAGTGAACTATACTTATACGTGCCCCAACGTCATTGGCCTTCAAGAGGTCAAGGATTCATCTCACGCATTCCTAATACCAAGTCAGCTCAAAGTCCTGGACATCGATCTCGATATCAGGAAGCAAGGATTTGAACCTTCTTCTTACGACATCATCATTGGATGCAATGTATTCTCAAACGCCAAAAGCCTTCAAAGAACAATGGCAAATCTGAAGAGTCTGCTCAAAGATGGTGGAAAGATATGTCTGGCCGAATTAACAAATCCGGGACCAACTGTACTGCCTGTTTTAGGCGGCATATACGAATGGTGGAAGTAAGTTTGGAGATTTACCTTTGTGATTGAAATTTGTCTAACAATATTATAGGAAGCGTGACGACGGTTCAAGTCGGCCCTTAAAGCTTGACTCTATCCAGAGTGTATTCAATGATCACCATTTTGGCATTGACTTCATCTCTTCCGACTTCGATGCATCACCACTGCATCAGACCTCTGTGGTATTTGCGTCAGCTACAAGACCCAGAGATGAGGTCACGATTCTACAGGCAGCAAACTGTTCAAAGGTAGCGCAAGAGCTTGCTTCTAAAGTGTCACAACTACTACAAAACGACGGCATCTCAAGTCGAGTTTGCGCTTGGGGGTCAGACGACATTGACTATAAAGGCAAGAGATTCATCGCTCTTGTAGAATTCGAGCTTCCCTTCTTGGAAAACTTGATGCAGCGTGATTTTGAAGTTTTACAGCGACTTGCGACCGAGACCGCAAGCTTACAATGGGTTACTGCTCTTCCAGACCCCGAACGTTCTTCTTCGCTCGGGTTCGCTCGTGTTGTTCGCAACGAAATCCCCGCAATACGGTTTCAGACTCTCCAGCTGGACACTGGTTGTGTCACAATGCTGGATCGAGCCGCAGCGTTAATTTATCAAGTCGAGAGTTCAACAACGACAGAAAATGAGTTCAGAGAGGTTGACGGAGTCCTGCGTGTCCCACGGGTTATTGAAAATCGAGAATTAAATGAACGACTGTCACAAAAGAGTCCAGATCTGAGTACTGTTGAATTAATACCGCTTGGCTCTACGACTGGTTCACAGAAGCTTTTTATCCGCAATGATGGAGTCTCGGAACCTCCATATTTTGAAGTTGATGAGTTACGAAACAATGATCTGGACAAAGATGAGATCGAAATAGGTATAAAAGCAAGTGCACTGAGGTATGTCTCCACGTCAATTTTTAAACAGACCACTCTTGAGCTGTTTCACGGTTACTAACAATGCTCTATCAGTCGCCGAGATGTTATACATCAAATAGGCCCAGCGTCCGATGCGGCACTGGATCTAGAAGCCAGCGGAATCGTTCTACGCGTGGGTGAACAGGTTACTCAGTTTCAGGCAGGCGATTTCGTCTTTGCTATAGTTCCCGGAACGCATAGGACTGTCCTCCGGGCCAATGCCAGCATGTGCCAGCGGATACCCACAGGTATCAACTTTGAAGATGCTGCTTGCTTATCCCTAGCAAATTGCACTGCCTATCACGCTCTCGTGAATATTGCGTGTATCCGAGAAGGGCAATCTATCCTTATCCATGATGCGGCAAGCAATGTTGGGCAAGCCGCGGTGCAGTTGGCCAAGCATAAAGGCCTAGACGTCTTTGCAACTACCAGGTCTGCTAGTGAAAGAGAGGTGCTCAAGGATGTTTACAGCATTGCCAACGATTGCATCTTTTCCTTACGCGACTCAAAGTTCTCAAATGGCATACTCCGTATGACCAACGGCACTGGCGTTGATTACGTTCTCAATTCCAGTGTGGGAGACCAATTACAAGAGACATGGAACTGCTTGGCATCTTGTGGAACATTTTTGGAAATCTCGACCAAGAATACTTCAAGAAGCACTCTTCGAGAGATGCGACCACCGCTCAAGGATTACATATTTGCTTCCGTTAATATGGGGCACATACAAAGTCAACGCCCAGAGATCATGGCAGGCATCTTGCGAAACACTTTCGAGCTTATGGAACAAGGCATAGTTAAGCCCACCGTCCCTGTAACCGTATATCCGGTATCTCAAATAGAGAGGGCGATGCACTTTATGAAATCCACGGAGAACGAGAACTTAGAAAGCATTGCTCTCTCTTTCTCTGCGGATGACTTGATTCCTGTGTTATGCAAACCGAAAAATACTTCCTTGAAGCTATCTGGAGACTCAACCTACTTGATCGTTGGAGGTCTCGGTGACCTCGGACGAAGTCTTGCGCGCTTCCTGGTCGAATCTGGCGCACGACATATATGCTTCATTTCTCGCAGTGGAGCGGTCCAAGACGTACAGAAGCAGCTTGTCACCGATCTCGCAAGCAGCGGAGTTGGTGTACAAGTTTACAAATGTGATATTGCCAGCTTTTCGGCTTTGAAAGACACGCTCGCTCTCTGTTCTCAAGAGATGCCACCTATCTCGGGCGTTATTCACTCTGCACTCGTACTCCGCGACGCCATCCTTCATAACATGACTTACACACAGTGGGTTGAGGCCGTGGGCCCCAAGCTTCAAGGCAGTCGGAATTTAAACGAGCTACTGCCTCGCAATCTTGACTTCTTCGTTGCCCTTGGGTCTTTTATAAGCGTCATTGGTGGTCGTAGTCAAAGCAATTACGCTTTTGGCGGCGCATACCAAGATGGTCTGGCTGACTTCCGTCGCTCTCTTGGCCTGCGAGCTGTTACTATCAATCTCGGGGTTGTGAAGGACATTGGGATCATTGCGAGAAATGGGGCAGTTGGCGCCGCTCGAGACTGGGCAGAGGCATTCGGCCTCGATGAGTATGAGTTACACACTCTCGTTGAGCATGCTATCAGTGGGCAGCAGCAAATTGAGAGCAGCTATTCCATACCAGCCCAGATCATCACGGGTATTCCAACCATTGGCATGGTGAAGGAAGCTGGAATCCCACGCCCATATTATTTTGACGATCCTAAATTTAGCATACTGGCATCAATGGGCGCGAAGCAGACCCCTTTGATTGCTAAGAACGAGGATATACTGCCATCGTCGCTGTCCCTAGGGGAGCAGCTCAAAGGCGTCACAAGTATAGCCGACGCTTCCAAGCTGGTACTGGATGCTTTGGTTGCCGAGGTGGCTAAATTGATGCAGGTGGACACTGGAGAAATTGATACAAACAAAGCGCTCTACTCCCATGGCGTAGATTCGTTGATCGCGGTTGATATGGCACACTGGATCAAGAAAGAAATCGGTGCCGACGTTGTTCTGTCGGACATTACGGCTACGATCCCTATTACAAGTTTTGCGAAGGACATTACGGCCAAGAGTAAGTTCTCGTGGAAAAATTAGTTGATACGAGGAATCGGCTTAAAGATTGTATATAGTTTATATATGTGTTAAAACTTCAACTGTGTAAATCTCGTGCAAGACCAACACTTGAAGTTTCGGCCTCTAATTCACGAGTAAGCGCTATAGTACAGCGCCTGCTTGCACCGTATTTAGTTGATATTTATTGCACCTCGGTTGAATAGTTCTAAACTGTCCGATAAAACCCGCCGACATACCTACAACAACTACCCATAATAGCAAGCATAGGCCAATACACCCTTTCTCAGACTTATTATTATAAACATGTACATTTCGCATGATGTAGACCGGCCTAATAACATCAAGCAGAGTTGTTGAGCAGTGATTGTAGAATGCAGCGCATAATTTCGTCAGAATTCTTCAACTTTGAGTATCTTCGCGTACTCGGCACGTCTCCCTTCCAAGGTGCCGAGGTGGGAGAGTGTTTGGAAGCGGCTCATAAAATCAGAAGTAATGATCCCGAGAGTTGGTATCGAGCTTGGTCCGAAGCTGCTCTGAAAAGCGAGGAAATAGCGGAAACCGCGTTGCGGACTGGAGATCGTGAAGCTGCGCGATGGGCTTTTCTGCGCTCATCCAACTATCGTCGAGCCAGCGAGTTCCTACTGCACCATAAACCTGAAGATACGCGCCTATCATCAACAATTAGCCTATCTATTAGCAACTTTAGGAAGGCGTGTCAGCTCTTTGACGATCCGGTTCATTTTCTCGAGATACCCTACGAAAATGGTGCTACGCTACCTGCCTACCTTTTCATGCCAACATCTTCATCGAAACTCCCTCGGACACCCGTTGTTATTAGCACCGGGGGATTTGACTCGACACAAGAAGAGCTTTATTATTTTACAGCATCTGGTGCGAGGACAAGAGGATATGCAACCCTTTCTTTCGAAGGACCAGGCCAGGGAATTGTTGTTCGCCGCGACAAACTCCATCTACGACCAGACTGGGAATTCGTTGTTGGACATGTTTTAGACCATCTTGAACGGATAGTCGGCGAACACCCGGAATGGAATCTAGACCTCTCACGGGTGGCCATCGCAGGCGCATCTATGGGCGGCTATTTTGCGTTACGCGGAGCACTCGATCCGCGTATATCCGCCTGTATCTCCATTGATGGATTCTATGACTTGTCTGTTTTAACGAGAGCTCGCGTATCGGGGCCCCTGATGACGGCCATAGAAGAGCAGTACATCCCGGATAACATATTCAATACGCTGCTCTGGATAGTTCTTGCGCTCGACTTCCAGAAGCAGTGGGAGTTGGGCCACGCGAGATTGGCGACGGGGATTCCATCGCCCGTAGCAGCAATGCGCACCTGGAAGAACTACAGCATGGCGCTGCCTGATGGCGGGACGCGTTTGAGTCAGATCAAGTGCCCTGTATTGGTGACGGGATCCCGCGATACAATGTATATCCCGGTAGAGGCAGGGCCACAGCGAATCTACAATGAGTTGACGAGCATCAGCAGCAGCAATGGAAAGAAACACGAGCTATGGATTCCCTCCAGCCCTGGCCAGGGCTCATTACAGGCGAAAGTAGCAGCTCTGGCAGCGTTGCATACAAAAACCTTTGGCTGGCTTGATGATGTATTCGAGATACAAAGGGAATCGATCACGGTCCATGACTAATATTTCCCCAGTATATATTTAAAGCTTCTCTTTGTAAATAATCATGAGGAATCGAGAGTTTTCATGTAATTGATGTTTTGCTTGTTGCATTGCGTCGCTGTTGTAAATATGATGACAACTCGTATGGTATGCTCTTCAGCCTTAGGGTTCCGGGATAGGCATGCTCCTGATTGATATCGGTGGGTTTGTCCAAACTGTAGGCTCATCACCCCACTGTACACTGAATCCATCCTTGTCTTACGGCGGATTTGCATTATTGTAGCGCGGGGCAGTCTGCCCATGGACCAGCTATATCAGCATCGGTCGATGCCGGGGAGAAGAAGAATATACATGTAGTCAGGTTGAAACAAGCGGGCAATATCAATCTATTAACCAGTTTATTCAACATAGGCTGTCGTTCTTGTGGCAGTTTCGCAGTTGACTTACCTGGCGAATTTAACAGAAGGAACTCAGAATGTCAGCACTTTTATCAACGTCCGCGCTTCTCCGCGTTACACCACTGATTTCCTCTTCGTTTTGCATCTGGTTTGCTTGGGATCAGTACTTTTACCTTCGTTTATTCACCATTCAAAATGTGCGACTAAAATCACCTCAGATTCTTCCATCATACATGAAGGCCTTTTACCCTAGTGCATCGGCTCGGGTTGCCGTCACATGGATCACTACCATGGCAACTTCTATCGCGACAATCTACTCTCAGAGCTCAGTCATTACACCACAGCAGTCTTTGTGGTGGTACAAGGCTGGTTTAAGCATGACAGTGGGCCATGCTCTATTTGCACCGATCATCCTACCCACAATCGTCTCCATTCTGAAATACGGAGACAAGTCTGCTGGACAAGAGGATATCATGACACTGCTATCTCGATGGTTAAAAATTCACACTATACGCTCTTTAACTGTGGATTTGTTCGCATGGGTTTGTTTCGTGATCGCCGTTACCTACCAACTGGATATTTAGAGAGAAATACATAAAGAGGTGCATATGCTATATGTAAATAGAAGGCCCAAAATTCTCAATAAAACTCTTTCTTGGTTCATATACAGCTTTACTATTCACACTTGATTCATCATTTCGTCCAATAGACATACAGTAGATAGTCTGTATAGAGAAGAAAATGTGTTTCAATATCAGGAGAAGTCCCTTTACTAACGATATGTCAACATCTATTACTGCTGAGCGAAATGCCCTCCTGGGCCAAATTTCGCCCTGATGTATGTTGTAAGCAGATTTTGCTTTACAATCTCATCCTTCTTAGCCTCCAAGTCATCTATCGCCCAGTTTGCCGATATAAATCTTCCCCTTAAGAACTCAGCTTGAGGAGTGGTGAGATACAACGACACCCCAGCGGATAATGCAGCTAATATGTGATCAGTACAGTTTTTGGCCATGAAGCGATCAAGAAATGTGTTTTTACATACCAGTGTCTACATTTGCGCCCGAAAGCATAGTAAACTGTACTCCATTCGGAACAATGCCTGGGTGGAGATTGAATGCTCGCACATTTGGATGTTCTGTCATGGTAAGAAAGAGGTGGAAGAAACAAGGAAAGGATATCACGACTTACCTGTGTGTAGATATTCTATGAGTCGACAGCCTGCTGATTTGGTAATAGCATAGTTCGATCTCGTAGGGATAGTTTCAATAGCCATGCTACTTGTAACGTTGATAAAAGTAGCCGGGCTTTCTGATTTCAAGTTTGCTGTATGGCGGGCCAATAGGTAAAGCGCCTTCACATTGGTTTCCTATCATCAATACCGGAAAATACTGTCAGTTGATTCCTGTGCCGTAAATGTGATTGGATATCAAGTTGACAAACAAAATCGCTCCACCATCCCTGAATATCTGTGTCTCCAATTTTCTTCATTTGGGAGCGCGATGCAGCGCAGCTGATAACGACATTGATTGTGCCGAATTTTTCTATCGAGTCATTCCATAGGCTGTTGACATCTTCTTCGGACGTCAAGTCCCCTTGAATGCAGTCGATTTCGACTGCTGAGTTGATGTTTGCGATTTCTTTTTTCAACGACTCCAACACATCGAGACGACGAGCACTTAGAATAATTTCTTTTGCTCCTGCCTTTGCGAAGAACCTTGCGTGTTCCTATAGTCAAATGAGTAATGTGCTGATATTTTAGTTTTCCGATTCGAGCCATTCGAATTTGCACATTATGCCATATAGACTGTAGAGGACCTACTGATGCTATTGGCCCACTGGCACCCGTAATCAGAATGATACGTCCATCTTGTTTCAGTTGCGGATTCTCGGGTTCGATAGACGGATACACGTCATGGTAGAAGTTGGGTGTGAATAACTGGTGATAGACGAATCTATCTGGATTTGAAGCTGCTTCAGCACCTGTAGAGTTTGACATTTTCCTCAGTCCAATAAGCTATACCTTTCTGTACAACGAACTAGTGGAATTTGCAGAGTCGAAGATTATGTTATATCCCCTCACTGTAGTTTAAGAAGATCGTCGGTATGCTTTCTAACTATAATTATCCTCGGTCACGGAATGGTTCCGGATAAATGCGTAATTTTCGAACCCCATCGGAGGATATTTTTCATACCCACCGAGATGTCACACAATAGTTCAACGTAGCGGCTACCAACGACCTTTGTTAGACAGAGTACGTGGATTAACGAAAAGGATAATAAAATATGCTTAAACGAATAAGTAATCATGCCTTGCTAACTGCGCCGAGAAACCTTGAATGTTTATAAATCAAGCCAATACAGATGGAGTTGTTGTGTCAATTGGATTAATAATAATCCTTTTCGCAGCATATAAATGATAAATATGGCAGATGATCTCGCCAACGTCATTCGCTACGCCCTAAAGATTTCATATTATTGACAGGGTGGTAAGAAAGGAAAAAGAGGAAATAAGTATAAATGCTTTGATTTCTCTTCTTCGTTGGTGCTAACTATACAAGTCCGTAATACTACGCTGTCGCCATCTTGGCTAGCTATTCAAATTGAATCAAATTGTCTAATGAGCTGCTTCACAGTTGTTATTTGACGTTGCAAATGTTCATGACGACGTTTCATCATGGTCAACGCTGAGCTGATAGCCTTATGAGAACCGCTCGATGCGCTGCTACTGCTTATATCCGATTCGTGTTCACTGTCCTCATCATCAAAAACATCCTTCGATTTGTTCAATGAGCCACGGCCAGCTGTACCATGAGTAGACAAAGGAGACCCCGATGATCTTGAAGAAGGTAGTGAATCGTTAGAACTTGCTACTACTCTTGCGGTATTGCTTCTGATAGGATTCTTCGAAGCTCCATTATCCCCTAGTAAGCCAACAGCATGGTCCAATCGTTGAAGTTGATGGCTCACGAGTTTGACATTAATGATGGCCTGTGTTGTTGGCATTTCTAGAAACTGTGACGTCCCAAGAGGGCGTTTTGAAGGCTGCTGCTGTCGCAGATGCCGCGATATATAAAACAAGATCCCCCCCAATGTTGTAAGTAGGCGCTGATGGCAAGCAAGAATCATCAACACGATGCCAGTATCCGGCATTCTGCGGTCTGCTGGGGGCGATACCACTGGCCTTTCCGATATCCGCTGCTGAAGCCAATCGACATCCTCCCAGCTTGCGGAGAGATCAAATCCATGCGGGCCAGTGTCGGGTACAAAACTATCGGCTTTGTTGCCGTATTTGCCGCCGACATTTCGATGGATGATGCCCACGAGAATCTCGCTGGAGATGAAGATGTCATTTAAACATGGGGAGGATATAGAGAGGGATGAAGGATACGAAGAAGAGAGTGCTTTGTTCAGACGGCAGACTCGGAGACTTAAATTGCCCAACTCTTCAGTATCCCTCTCAGTCTGATCTACAAAAGACTCTAAAGTTGGCCCCTCTGGGAAAAAGCATTTCTGTCTTGACGTTGGAGATAAAGATTCGATTGGCGGCATACCTGAGACGCCAATCAAAAAATCAGCTTCATATGCGTTGCTGCTGGTATCAACCAATGCATCAGCCATTGTGAATGGTGAAAACAGAGCGGGGTTGACAGGTAGCGAATTGTCTGCTGAAGCTGGATTGTGTAGCGAGTTTGCCGAGGGCGGGCATGAAGCTGGTGAAAGGCGAGACAAGTATGCCGGTTCGGGAGATTGCGGAGGTCTCTTCCTGTGGTTCACAGTTGAAGGAACCGTGTCACGCATTTCGCTACAGAGTGGCGGTCTCCCGGGCTTTTGTTGTGGACTATAAACGCATATTGCGCCTGATTTCTTGCATCGCACACATTGTTCCGAAGCTATTGTCGGATGGCTTTCTCCCTGGCTTCGTATACATCGAACTTTCTGATCATGACAACGATCGCAAGAACGACGAAATGGCAAAAGAGTTTCTTCAGAAGTTGTTGAGATGGATATTGACATATTCATGCGCTGCGAAAGTAGCTTGTAAGAAATGAGTTGCTCGCATTGAGATGAGATGTTAATGGAAAAGGGTAGACATGTGAATTAAGACCTACTAAAGACGGTTACCTCGCTCGCTGGTATCGGTACCTGAGCAATATAGTCTGATGACGGCAAATAATAGCCTAACCGATCTCTTACTAAGGTCACACCATGATACGTGTACGACGCAGTTATATGAAGTATGAAGCTGCTTGAGACGTGACATCAGCACTATTACTACAAATTGTGTCTTTGATCCTACAATCTTGTGGCTATCACTGCGCTAAGTTGGATTGAGATTCTTAATCGCTGCTTTAGATCTAGTAAACCTGTGTGAAATGAGAGTTCTGTGTGCTATTCTATTGTGCTTGGCGAATCGTCGTGTGTTGCTGGGGAAGAGCCCATGTCCTAGGCCAGGGTACGTTGTATTGTAATGCCGGCTTTAGTTGCTCAGCTCGTTGTATATCCCCGGAAAAATGGTTGACGGGACTCAGCAAAGGTTAGTGGGCCGTGATTAGATATTGTGTATTACAGGGGCTTGGACCGACAACCGAATTGGTAACTGATTAAGAGAAAAATAGATCCGCATTATTCCTTATTCCAAGACGGCCCAAGAATAGATTCTATATAATAAGGCTTCAGAATCCACTAAGCCCACAGGCCAATGCTACGGTAGATTGACAGCAATTGGACATCTCTTATGGAACGCCCGCTATAAGGTTTCACTACATGTAGCCTGCACCACACCACTCTGCCTGTATAAGAGCAACATGCACGTTTTGATTCCGCAACACATAGTGCTTCGGCGCTGATAATCGGCGCTGATAATCGGCGCTGATAACAATCGGCGTTAAGATAGCAACTGACGTTAATTGGGTTTATAGATACATATAGTACCTATACATTTATCTTTATCTACATAATGTATTTATTTTTAGAAGTCCGCTGCTTCAATTCATTATACATTGGATTTGAACGTGCTGCTTTAGTTCTAACAACCATCGCCTATTAAATCAGTTAGCAAACAGGTTTAGCAATCAGTTTGTAAGTCTACAAAGTCATAATACAACCTTGCTACACATATATTTTAATACATATTCGTATATCTCGCGACGAACGAATATATGAAAACTGTGAGAGGCTGTATATTACAAAAGTCCCAGTTACAAAATTCTTATTTCCTGCTTACATACAGACTAAAGACCATACGATCGGTGTATAAGCTAGATGGTCGGCATGATCGCGGATTACTGATAGACTTACGCTTCCTAGGTGTGCAGATCTCCGAACCCCTGTTGATGGTCAATATTGATCTTACTAGGTACATTAGCGGGGCTGGATGGGTGGTCATCCTGCTAGTTTCCATTTGCCGGCATACTTATCTCTATATATGCATAAGACACCAGGGTATAACGGGTAAGTCTGTATCCGTGTCTCGTAAGATCTCGGGCAATTTGACAAGATATACCCACGACATGTACTCTGCGGTTCTGCCTGCTCGGATGGTTCATCGGTGTCGGCGAGGACGGTGTATTACCCTGCGGCTGATTCTGGCCAAAGCTACATGTATGCAACTCCGGTTATTTTCTCTTGCTGACTTGCCGAATTCAGAGTATGAGGGAGGCTATAAGCTGGGTAGGGACAATGTGAAATAACAGGTTTGGAATGTGCAAAAAGGGTTCGATATTATGTGTTTCTTGTTATCAGCGGCACCATGTATGCTATAGCTGCTACAGTTGCCGCGGCCATTGGGGCCTTTTTCGCACAATGGCCTGCATCAGGGCCACCGCGCGTCAGCATCGAGAACGGAACTGTCATCGGATTGAGCACAGATGGCGTCGACTCTTTCTTGGGAATCCCCTATGCCCAGCCCCCAATTGGCTCTTTACGGCTGAAGCCACCTCAAGCATTAACAAACAAATTTGGAACAATCCAGGCAACATCAATGCCAAAGGCATGTCCGCCTCTCAAGATTCGAGGCGATCCAAACATGCTTGCCCAGCTTCCTGAACAGTTGGCAGCAATGATGGGCAATTATTTCAACGAGCCTACGCATGTGGGCGAAGATTGCTTGACTTTGAACATCCAACGGCCCGCGTCCACAGCAGCTGATGCCAAGCTGCCAGTGTTAGTCTGGATTTACGGAGGAGGTTTTGAACAAGGTTCTACGCAGAGGTATGACTTTGCTCGACTTGTCAATACCTCAGTTTCCATGGACCATCCTGTTTTAGTGGTACAAATGAACTGGCGAGTATCTGCTTTCGGATTTCTTGGAGGAAAAGAGCTCCAGAAGGACGGTAGCACAAACCTGGGACTACGCGATCAACGTTTTGCCTTGAACTGGATCGCGGAAAACATCGAGGCTTTTGGGGGAGATCCCTCCAGAGTCACCATCTGGGGCGAATCAGGCGGAAGCATGTCCGTCTTCGATCACATGCTCATCAATGGCGGCGACCATTCCTACAAGGGGAAGCCGCTGTTCCGCGGAGCTATTTTGAACTCTGGTGCTGCTGGGCCGGCACTTCCCGTCCAAGCCCCTGTGGCACAGAAAGTATACGACACTATTGTTGAAACAGCTGGATGTTCTTCATTAAAGGATACGCTTGGCTGTCTCAGAGAGCTACCTTATGAGGCCTTCTTGAACGCTTCGAATGTGACACCCAACATGTTCAATCAGGATGGTATAGCTGTAGCGTTCTCTCCACGACCAGACCCAACTGATGACTTCTTTCCTCTCTCTCCGGATGAAGTCATCAAAGCAAAACAGCCAAAAATTGCTTCTGTACCGCTACTGGCCGGTACCATGGAGGATGAGGGGACACTGTTTGCTCTAGCGCTGTACAGGGCTCAGACCAAGGACGCTCTTGTTGATGTGATTTATGGCATTGCTCCTGATTGCCCCAGGTCCGTCTTCGAAAAACTTTTCTCATTCTATCCCGATGAGCCCAGTTATGGATCACCGTATAATACCGGGGATGCCAATGAGTTATACCCGGGCTATAAACGCAATGCAGCAATCACGGGAGACATATGCATTGCCTTCCAACACCGTGTTGTGCTCGAAGCTATTTCAGACCTAGTGCCATCGTGGAGTTACATGTCCTCATATGGACGACAGACACCATTTATTGGCACATTTCACGAAGCTGATGTTGCGCTCTTCGCGACCGGGTTCCCAGAGCCAATATACCTTGCGATGGCTCAATACCTCATTAGTTTTGTTCATCACTTGAACCCCAACGTAATTAGCATGATTGATGGGGGCTCACGACCTCTTCCAAACTGGCCAAATTACAAAAAGGAGACTAAAGATATGATGCAGTTCACAGATCATGGGCTAGAGATTGGCCAAGATAATTCCCGCCAAGAAGCTTTTGACTATTTCAACTCGAAGCTTCATCAGCTTCGGTGGTAATTATATACAGAAAGGTTATACCAAAACTCAACTCATAACCTGCAAATACTCTCTAATTTAAATAGTTGAAATCAATGATGTTGAGAGGGTTTAGAAATAGACACTGAAAGATGGGATCTAAATAAACGAAATGAAAAGAATGATTGCCTCCTTGATTAGAGTAATCCCGTAATTCGCACTACTCCTTTTCTCTTCATGCTTGAGAGAGGTAAAGAATAATACGTAATTAGTATTTACATGAATCTTACAGCCAAGGCTACTAGTATGCAACGTAGGATGACATGTGTAGATAGGTCTCCACCTCGGCGGGTTTATGCCACCGGCGGGTTTAGCATCCAGGGCTTTACTTCTTGAACTAAACGAACATTGTCGGATTTAGTTTGTTTACTTGGTCTGGGCCGTGCTGACATCGCATTGGATAGCCATATTTGGAAGCCTTCCCGATGCCATGTATGTAAAAAGTTGTTGAAACTGTAAATAATTCTCAATACTTGGATTTTTACTCTTGGCTTATTCTTCAAGCATCCCAGATAGACTAAAGCTGTAATGGCGTCAGCCGGTATAGGAGATATTGCCAAGTTTGCTTTTGGATCGGTACATCCTCACCCATTTCGCCTAGACATGTTGAGTGGAAGAGCAGATTTGGTTAACACATGCTATAGCTGGTACTATTCGAAACTATCCAAATTATTTACAACATCTACTTTCACCCACTAAGGCATTTCCCTGGGCCATGGCTTTTTCGAGCAAAGAGACTTTTCTATGTGATACGGTTCAATCAAGGTAGATTGTCGTTTGATGTGCATGAATGGCACAAGAAGTATGGGCCAGTGGTACGAGTGGCACCTGATGAGCTTGCATTTGAAAGCCCAGATGCTTTCAGAGACATTTACTGCCGGCGAATTGGAGTTGCACCACCAGATGATGAGATGGTTAAGCCTATGCGCTCATATCACATCAAAGGCGAAGCGCGCAGCATAATGAACGAAGATAGAGAGAACCATGCTCGTCTACGCAAACAGCTGGGTCTCGGATTTAGTGAGCGCAGCATGAGGGACCAAGAACCGATTATTGGCGGTTATGTGAATCTTCTTATTCAGAGGCTTCACGAATACTGCATTGACCGTGACTCTATGGATCCTATAACCGGCCAGCAGGCTAAAAGGCCGATGGATATGACTGCGTGGTACGCTTGGACAACCTTTGACATTATTGGCGATCTGGCGTTTGGTGAACCATTTGGATGCCTTGAGCGCGCAAAATATGACCCCTGGGTAGCTGCTATTGGCAAAGCTGTGCGCTTTAGTCCCATCATTTTGGGTGCTAAACTGCTTGGTTATGAGTGGGTGTTACGGCCCATATTGAAGATGCTAAACAAGTATCGTCGTGAGCATAATAGGCTGTGTATGGAGAAGCTGGAGAGGCGTTGCCAGTTGAACATGGAGAGACCAGACTTCATAGAAGGCTTATTACAGAAAGCCAAAGAATGGGTAAGTTTCCACCCACATTTTTCATATTTGCCTTCTAACAGAGTTGCAGAACCTCGATATGCGTCAAATAATGCAGAATAGTAGCAATCTAATCATTGCTGGCTCAGAGACGACAGCCACAGCATTAGCTGGTATCACGTACTTACTTCTCAAAAACCCAGAAATATTCCAAAGGGTTGTCGACGAAGTTCGCCAGGCTTACAGTTCGGAAGATGAGATAACGCTACTGTCGGTCAATAACCTCCCTCTTATGCTCGCCTGCATAAACGAATCTCTGCGTTTATATCCACCAGTTGCTCTTGGTCTTCCACGAACGGTTCCTCAGGGCGGTGCAATGGTTGCAGGAGAATACGTTCCACAAGGTGTAAGCGTCTCTTTCTCCCATGGTCTGTTTGGCAAGGTTAACATTTGTGCCTTTAGGTGACGGTTAGCACCTGGCATTGGGCCGTCTATCATAGCGAACGGCTATGGACTGAGCCATTTGCTTTCCGGCCAGAGCGCTTCATGAATGATCCGAAGTATGCTGGGGATAAGTTGGACGCTCTGCAGCCTTTTTCCATTGGGCCGCGGAACTGTCTTGGCCGCAAGTAAGTCTCTTACAGCCCTTTCAACTTGTTTCTTTGCTGGTCAGAATACCCAATATGGCATGCTGACACATTTATAGTCTAGCATATGCGGAAATGAAGTTGATTCTTGCGCGAATCATATATAACTTTGACATTCAGCTGGTCGATGAAGGAAATGATTGGATGAAGCAAGACACGTACATATTGTGGGATAAAGGTCCTCTGCCTGTATATTTAACTCCTATTAAGGGTCCTAGACAAATGTGATGGAGGTAGAGCTTACCCTTGACTTCGAAATAGATACATGTTTGTGTATTTTCACATTATGTCTATCAACAGTCAGTGAGTGACTACTTATCATCTTTGACAATGAGTCACTCAAAGATTATATGAACTGTAACCTGAGATTTTGAAGTGAAATGCATGCAAGTATTTATTATAGTGTCATATTCTCTTACTATTGACCATCCAGATTGTAGACAAATCCGTTGTATTCTTCTACCACTAATACTAACTACTTGGTAGAACAGTAGCTCATACCTTGCCTTTTACAAGTGATGGTAGACGTAGAGGCTCCTTCTTCTCAACCATATCCTTCAAATAGTCACAAATAAGCTCATTAAGCCCAGCCTCGCGTGCCTTTTGCAACCAATCGTTCAACTCTAGGTCGTCAAACGACTTTCCTTTAGCCTTCTCCATGTAATCTTTCAGATTTGGAATGGGCACTTTCTCTTCGCTGCAATGATTTACATAGGAAGCCTTTGGCGATGAGTCCATTTGATTCGAAATTGTTGACGCGAGAGCCTGAGTCGCAATATTCTTTGCCACGTGTTCAACGTCCACGAAATCCAAGTTTCCTTCAATGACTCCTGATAATTGGGGCACAGAACCAAGAATCTCAGAATAGGTACGGAGTGAAGCAATAATGTCTGTATCGGGCGCGCCATCTCCGATGATACTGGTAGGTCGATGCACGCAGCTTTGGAGAGCATGGTTGTCAACAAGATACTCCAGAAGTGCCTCGCTAATCCACTTCGATATCGCGTAGCCTTGCTGGCCATCGGCCGGTAGATCTGCTTGAAGTTCAATAGGAGCTTCAGTTAAATGTTCTCCTGGATACAAGTGCGCAACGGAAGCTGTCGATACGAAGTGGAACGGGATAGATGCCGCAGCCGCGATTTCAGCCAAGCGCCGTGTTGACAGGACATTGGAGCGTCGCAGCGACTGATATGTTTTCATGAACGACACGTCTGCGCCATTGTGAATCATGACATTGGCGCAAGATACGATGCTCTCAAGCTGTTCTGGAGATAGACCCAAGTCGTGTTCGGCAAGATCACCGCTGTATTCGATGATTTTGGAGCTCGAGACATCTACATGTCGTGGTAGCCCATTGACATCAGGTCGGATGGCAATGCAATGAATCTCGCTTACTCGGTCATCATTGACAAGACACTTGAGGATGTTTCGCCCTAGAAATCCAGTGGCGCCTGTGAGGACAACGGAGAGCCCTGACTTGGATGAAACGTTTGTAGACTTGGTGAAGGAGCTGCGTGATAAGCCATCACATAAGGATCGGATTTCCTTGCTCCAGTCAATATGCTGACGAAGAGCCTTATCGGGAACGGCCTGTATTCGTGCAGCCATTTCGCGGATTGTGCTCGCTTGGAATAGTTCCGAGAGCGTCAAGCTGCGGCCAAATGCCATGTCCAACTCTGCTTGAAGCTTCAATAGTAGAAGCGAGTTTCCACCAACAAAGAAGAAGTTTGTGTCTGGATTCAATTGTGAAGCCTTCATTGGAGTGGGGAGCACGTCTCGCCAGACAGCTGCTACTTCTTTTTCGACGTCGCTGAGGTCGCCTGTTTGCGGTTTGACTTCCAGTGTATCTGGAATTGGAAGAGCATCAATCTTAGATCTGTCCTTTTTGCCATTGGCGTTCATTGGAATTTCATCAATAGCAATGATATGCGTTGGACACATGTACGACGGCAAAGGCAGATCTTTCCTGAGGTTCTCCAAGGCCGAGTTCATATCTCCCGCGAAGCCGTCCGAGAACACAACATGAGCGACAAGCAGGTCGGAACCACGAAGAGACACGGAAGCATCATCGACTGCTCCTTGGGAGGCATCCACTATAGTTTTGGCTATTTCCTCCAGTTCGATGCGCATGCCGCGGATCTTTACTTGCGAGTCTCCGTCGAGCCGCCCAATGAACTCCAGAAGGCCATTCTCTAGCATTCGGCCCTTGTCCCCTGTATGATAGAGTGTGTTCCATCCCCGGCTGATATCTTCTACAGGTGAGACACGATCCGGAGTAAACTTTGTTGCTGTCTCTTGAGGTCGGTTGACGTATCCAACTGAATTGCCGGCACCTGCAATACAAATCTCTCCGGGGAAGCCAAAAGGCAGCGGGCTTCCATTTTGATCAACCACAATGACCGTATAGTTGGGCATTACAAAGCCAGCTGGACTCGCTGTCGTTGTCTTATCCGTCTTGTATGGAATCTCATACCGCGTGCAAGAGAGACTGGCTTCTGCGGGTCCATAGAGATTAATGAGACGCAGATCTGGAAGATCCAGCTTATTGAATCCTCGACGCAACTGAGCCGTAACCTTTTCTCCTCCAGAGAATGCAAATTTCCAAGATGAGCACGTTTTGAGAATATTGGAGGTATAATGCAAAAGATGCAAATACTCGGAAGGAACAAATACAGTGTATGTAATGTTTTCCGAGAGTATGAGATTTGCAATCTCCAGCGCATTGCCTCTAGCTTCCTTGGAAGCCACAATAAGTGTACCGCCATTTGCCAAGGCAATGAATACTTGTTCCAAAGAAAGATCGAATCCAAAAGAACTTTGCTGGAGGACAGTCTCTCTTTTGATCTCAAATATCTTGGTAATTCCCCAAATCTGATTCAAAACGCCATTGTGGGTGAGCAAGACTCCCTTGGGCGTGCCAGTTGACCCACTGGTATATATGGCAAAGCCAGGGGCATGAGACTGGGCAAGGCAATTAATCGGAGAGTTAGCTCTCGTTGTCGCCGTTGGCACATCTGACGTGTTTAGTAAAGTAGTAAGAGTATTGTCCGCTGCTAGTGTAAGATTTTGTGCCAAGTCGAGCGTCTCATTCTGGCAAATTATAGCTGCAGGTTTGCAATCTGCGATGATGGCAGCCAGGCGCCCCTCCGGATTTCGTAGGTCAAGTGGCACATACACCAAACCAAGAATCATGATAGCCACCAAGGAACAGATAGTATCGGCTGCAGGATCTAGAAGAACGCCAACGTATGATCCTGGAGACAAGCTGCTGAGATTTTCAGCAAATTGCTGCACGCGTCGCATCATGTCAGAGTAAGTTAGTTGTCGACCATATCCATCCTTGATCGCCACAGACGCCGGACTTAGTTCTGCCATCTCAATGATTCTATGAGCGAGCGTTGGAGCGTCCCATTCTATGCCAATGCGACTACCACGGCCCACTGAGGTTGCGCGCTGGATATCAGTGCTAGAAGCAAGACCACAGTCCAACGCCTGTTTTGACGTATCGGCAGCAAACTCCTTGAGGGTATGAGTGTACCACTTGAGGAGCATATCTGTATCAGAAGTGCTGTAAAGGTAGCTTTGAGTGGTGAATGAGATAATTGTGCCCTCTGCAATCTCTGAGATGTCTATAATGAGATCATAGGGATTTCGCGCATCATGTGTTGAAGTCCACTGGATCTCGCACTCTCCGAGCGGCATAGTTCTTGAGCCTCCTAGTCGGTAATTCACAGCGATCTGGAATAGAGGATTCTGGTCTCCAGATCTGGAAATCTTCAGTGTATCAAGAATCTGATCAAAGTCAACTCGCGAATGACTTAGGGCGGCCAGCGTGATATCTCTGGTTCGGACGGCAAGATCTCCGAAGCTTTGGCTTGTGTATGTCTTAAAGCGTAGCGGTAGCAAGTTTGTAAAGTATCCAATTGTAGCCATATCCGCAGCACTTGTTCGGTTTGCGTCTAATATACCAATAGCGAAATCGTCGATGTTGAGGCATTTAGACACAAATGCAGCTATGGCAGAGAGATAGAAGTGAAAAGAAGTAACCTGGAGCTCTGCACTTGCTTGCTTGATCTGGTGAACGAGTGGTCTCTGCAGAATGAGGTCCAAAGTCTCTGTATCGTAACTCTTGAGCAGTTGGCGACATTGGACCTCGGAGGTTGGAAATAGGGGCATTGGCCCAGGGATGCTATCATATGTGTCTCTCCAGAATCGCAAATCTTCTTCAAGCTTTCTACCTGCTGCCTCTCGTTGCATCTTTTGAGAAAGATCGATTGCCTGCTGTCTCGGGGTTCTGACTCCTTTGCCTGCGTAAGCATCGTTTAAATCTTTGAGAAATATACTCCAGCCAACGCCGTCAAGTGCAATGTGATGAAACGTGAAGATGATGCGATGATCTCTTGGAGATAAAGAAAGACTTTGAATCTTCATCCATTCACCACCATTCAGATCAAACTTGAAGCGTTTCATATCATCAAGATATTCCTGTATCTTAGCACTCGATGCACCAGGGATGTCTACATGCTCCAAAATGATGCTTGATCGTCTGTTCACTCCTTGCATGGCTTTTCCGCTGGGACTATCCAAGTAAAAGGAAGTTCGAAGACCTTCGTGTTTCTCAGAAAGAGCGTCAAGTGCGTTGCTAAAGTTGCCAATATTGAGTGGACCAGATAGCTTGCCAGACATTGTCACGTTATACGTTGTCTTGTCTTCCAAGTACACATGAAGGAAGTACAGACGGCTTTGACCAGGAGTCATTTCTCCCTTTCGCACATATGAGCGGTCTTCAGGGGTTTCTTCTGAAACTGAGGAAGGCTTGGGGGATACTGTTGATAGCTCGGTACTTGAGTCTCCCTCTCGATCAGAGCTGGAGGTGATTGTGGTTGGTGGTATAGACAGCTGAGTTTCCTGCGGGGTTGTTACAAATGCCGGAGCTTGATGAATACGGGCCTCGGGGGCAGCAGTAGAAGAAGTCAAGTCTTCATTGGCTGATGAGATTAAAGTTGGTGGAAGCATCACCAAAGCGTCCTGACAAATATCGGCCAGGGAAGCTCCGCTGAGTATCTTCAAAACAGGCATATCAACGTTGACTTCTTTTAGGAACCATGATCTGATCTCGACTGCTACTAGAGAGTCAATTCCCAGCTTGAGGAGAGGTGCCGCATGGTCAATTGAATCGGCGTGAACTTGAAGGATCATGGCCAATTTCTCGGCGCAAGCAATCTGCAAGACAGTCAAAGCATCTTTTCCACTTCCAGCAGCCGCCAGTCTTCCTTGGACGCTATCTGAAGACTGAACTTGTTGACGGTCAGAGCTTTCTGTAGTATTTTCGTGCGGTACATAGGTAGCAAAACGCGGGTTAGTATACCAAGGCGCATTTGCTGCTTGTCCAATGCCAATGATGATCTCTGGATCCTCACTAGAAGTGGATTTTCCAGCCATAATAGCCTCGGCAAAAACCGTGTGAAACTCAGGCTCGGACATTCTCATATATCCAACCTTCTTCAAATGATCTTCGTATTGCTCGAGATTGCGTGAGACGAAACCCACGCCAAGCAAGAATGCAATGTCAATAATGGACGCGGAAACGCCTCTCTTCTTTCTTTGGCGTACAAGCGAGTGCATATACATGTTTGCAGCGGCATAGTTGGATTGACCTCCATTACCCATCACGCAAGTAAGCGACGAAAAGCAGATGAAGAAGTCAAGTGGTGTAGAGTAGAAGATTTCATCCAAGTTCTGAGTTCCAGTCACCTTGGGCTTGAGAGCTACCTCAAAGTCGGCCAAAGTCATGTTGGTAAACAGTTTATCATTCAATACCATCGCAGCATTGGCAACACCGGCGATAGGTGGCATTGTGTCGCATACTTCCTTGTAGATCTTGAGAAGACCTTCCTTGTCTGATATGTCGAGGGCAAAGATGTTGATCTTCGCACCCTTGCGCCCAAGGTACTTCAAGACTTCTGCGTCCACTCTGCCAGGATTTCTGCTTGTCACCACGATGTTGCGTGCTCCGTGTGTGACCATCCAGTCACACAGAGACAGTCCGAGCTCAGAGGCCAATCCCACAAGGAGGTACGTCTTATTTGCTGAGAAAAGATCATTCGGATCAACGGGGCTGATCTTCAAATCCACAGTGTCAGAGCTGTTCCAACTAAGCATCGCAGTGGGAATATCGGGGAGAGACGGTATATCCATCACTTGATCCAATGTAATAGCGCTTTGGTGATGCCCAACATCGTCCGACAACGACAAAAGATGCCGACTCGCAATACCCGCCATCTCTTTCTTGGTAAAGCTGACATGTATAGCGTTTTCGTCATAAACGGCCAGTTGATTAATGCACCGAGAAGATTCGACGATGCGATGGAGTACGCTGTTGAACTTTCCTAGGTTCACAAATGATTGGATACCCGCTGGAATAATATTTCGCGCATCCCTTTCTGTCGCATATGGATGGATAAAAGCTTGACCAGGATAAGACTGCGAGTTTGCTTCGGATGATGTACTGAGGAACACATCAAGCCCTCGAGCACCAGCAATAGTAGAGATAAGCTTGGAAAGTAGCGCATCGGAGTCGTGAACCCAAATATTTCCTTGGCTGCTTTGAACGATACTCTCAGCGATTATGGTCGCCATGAGTCTTTCGGCTTCTGAAGAGGCAGCAAACTGCTGCTGGAGAAGCAGTATTTCTATCTTGGGCACATTCAAAATTGATCGAGCATGGGGAGAGAACAAAAGTGCCATTTGGCTGCTTTGACCAATAGACCCAATGCATAAGTGCAAGAAGAGGTTATCTCTGGTCTTGATAGGCAATAGAGATGAGTAATGGACGTGAACTCGTACCGTATCGGTCGATGTGGTTGCCTCCATTACATTTCGGACCTGCTGCAAGGATCGAGAACCATTCGATCTCACAAGCTCGACGCATGCCTCTCCAAGGGAAACGGGGCTGACTATATCTCTCCTGGTAGAGTTTAATCGGTCATTCATGTACTCAACAGGAACAATTCTGGGGATATAAAGCCCGTTTTCATTGATTGATAACTCCCACTCGTCATGCCATAGGATCCCGTCGAATTCTGGCGAATCTAAGCAGATCGTACGCAGCATCGTCTCGACGAATAGCGAAGGCTCCACAGCTCCTGCTTGAGCAGTGTTGATATCCAAAAACTGAAGGCGAAGATCTGGTAACTCGTGCAAAACTGATCTTCCAAGTCCAACAACCATATTTGACATTGGATTATCATCACGGCATTTCTGAGTTATCCACAAGACATATTTAGCATCTTGGAGAATCAGCTGTATCCCACGGAATTTTTCAGGAGTGATTTGTTCGAATGTTGGTTTATCCAGCTCAGAAAGAATAAGCACGGCTGATCCAGGTATAACTTCTCCAACTTCCTCGAGAGTTGTAACAAGAGTCACCGTCGATGCGATGTGCTGGAAAAGAGGCTCAACTTTCCGTACCATATTTTGAACTTTGTCCGTTTCTCCTCCTACGATGAACAAGTGTTCTAATTGTGTAATGTTCTCCTTTGAAGACATGGGATTGCGTAACAGACTGATGCGATCGTCTACTGCTTGACTCACGATGAGAGACGCAAGATATCTCTTGGGATCATGATAATCTCTGTATGCAGCGTCCACTCCAGAGAAGCCAGTAGCTAGCAGTTCTTTATGCCAGCGCGATTCGTCAACAGTAGGATGGTATAGTCTGCCATCTCCCCGTCCAAGCCACCAACCCGGTAAATGAGATGAGATGAATTGTGGCAGAACGCCGTCATTTGTTACTTCATTGAGAATCATGAACCCCCCGGGCTTCAACAGAGTTCGGCAGTGGGTCAGTGTCTGGGCCAAAGACTTGGTAGCGTGCAGGGCATTTGAAGACATAATGACATCAAACGAGTGCTTCTCGAATCCTTGCTCACAGGGATCACGCTCAATATCCAGAACTGCCCACTCCATCAGGGACGAGTACTCTCGGAAACGTTCTTGAGCGGCTTCGAAGAAACCAGCAGAGATATCAGTATAAGTATAAGAATGGCAATGATCAGCGAGGCCTTTGAGCATATGAATACTGGCACCACCGGTGCCAGCACCAATCTCTAATACCCTCATACGCGGATAACGGTGAGCCAACTGGCTAGTTACCGTGATGAGATGGCTGTATGTCTGGCGAAATGGAACTGCTTCGGCATATAGCCTTGTAAGCATATCCTTCTGCATCATGACTTGAAGCGCAGGTAGTTGTCCACGCAAGATTGAAGGTTGGACCTCGCCTAGGGCTGATATCATCTGCAGCTCTACCTTTCCAGGATACTTTGCCATCCATTTCTGCGCATCTTCTTCGGTATCAGTTACCCACTCTTTTTTAATGCGAGGATGGTTTCCAGCTTCGATCTTTGGAAGCAAATGATTGAGAATCCAGTCAATCTGAATCTGAAAGTGCTCATCCATACGGGGAATCTCCTCGGGCGATATTTCTTTGCGAAGCCTTCTCAAATAGAAATATGCGAGACGCTCGCAAATGTCTCCATAATTGACCTCTTCTTCGCTCAAATACTGGATTTTATCCGGTTCGATACCACTGCTGATATCTCTCATCCATACTGTCTTTGCAAACAGCTTGCGGTCGTTCTGCGGAGTTGCATTTGTGAATGACGAACATGTCAGAGACTGCAGCTGAATCTGTGTGATTCCAGTAGTCGACGAAGAGACATTTACATCGCCGCATATCGTTTTCGAATTAGCGTTTGTAAGGTAGCAGTCTGCAATCAGATCTGATATATCGCTTGTGGATACAGGGGCGTCCAGTGCTGCAGGATTAATACGGACGCGACGGATGTCAGTCGGCAGATATGGTGTCCATAGTTGACCATCTCCAGGGAATGCGAGCGCGGTGAAAATTCCGTGAAACGCCGCATCAAGAGTGGCAGGATGTAATTTCGTTTTAGAATTATCCAAGCGTTGTAACTTCACCGTTGACGTGTTGAGTCTTCTCTCTACGCCCTCGACCATAAACTCGCCAGTGTAACGCAGGCCGACCTCTTCCATGTAGGAATACAGACGACTGACACTAACAGGCTTCATTGGCAGCTTTGGAGCTTCTCTAGCCGGCAGAGAGTCCAGACGGGGCGTTCCGAGATGGATAATGGCGCGCCCTGTGAAGTTGGTGCTGTCAGGCAGCTCTGATGCCCCGTCCACTTTACAGCTGTAGCATGAATATTCAGCCGTGATCTGGTCTGAGGTTTGAGATTTAACTCGAATTATGAAAGTAACTTCAGTACCGCTCGACTCATCTTCGAGTGTGATTGCGCGATGAATCACAAGATCCTCAAGCTCGACAAGCCGGACTTCAATCTCGCCAGTCGCAAGTCGGATCGACGCTTCATAAGCCATGGATACGTATCCAGCAGCAGGGAAAAGCACTTGGCCTTGGAATACGTGGCCCCTAAGCCACTCCATTTCTTTGATCTTCATCACGTTGCGCCAAATCACCTCGCTGTTGTTGCCATGTGTGGTTGCATAGCCCAAAAGCTCATGCATGGGATTCTTGCGAGATCGATAGTTGCGAGACTTGCGGGATTCTTTCCACAACTTGGCGTCATGATCCCATGGATACGGCGGAATGCCTTTCAGCGTTAAACTTTCTCCTGCCTCGCCCGCAAGACAGGCTTTCCTAAATCCGGCAAAGTCAACGACGGGAGTTGGTGTGTGGAAATTGGACCAGATAAAGCCCAGAGCATCTGAGAACGACTCCATATCATCTTCGCCACGTTTAAGAACGCCAGAGTATGGTAGATCCAACCCTGTCAAGTTTTTAAGTGTCTCCAACGCTGGTGCTTTCAATGCAGGATGCGGTCCTACTTCTAGGGCAATATCGTGGCAATGCTCTTCAACTACTGCTCTATCAATGGCTTGAGAAAACAATACCGGCTTAACCATGTTGTCAACCCAATATGAGGCCTTAAAGGCCTCGGTGTCATCAATGCGACGACCATTTGAACCATAAACACTCGAATACCATTTGCACTTCAAATGATCGGCCCGGATCTGAATGTCAAGCTTCTGGAGCGATTCAAGGTAAGGCTGTGCGCAACGTTGCATATGATGTGAGTGGTACGCCTTTTCCACTTTCAGCACTCTTGCAAAAGTCTGTTGCTGGTCCAGGAGCTGCTTGGCCTCTTCAATAGCGTCTTCATCTCCAGATAATGTCACGCTGGATCGTGAGTTGCTCGCAGCTACCTGGATCCTGCCTGCAAACTGTGCTTCTTTACAGAAGAAGAGAGCTTGCTCAAAGCTCATGCCAACTGCCATCATCTTTCCTTTCCGGTCCTCTGGTCCGCCGGCAAGATGAGCAAATACTCCACGATAATACGCGATAGCCACCGCATCTGCAGCCTTGAGATATCCAGCAGCGTAGGCCGCGCTGATTTCTCCAGACGAGTGTCCCACAACAGCGCTGAACGTAATTCCAGAGGCATATAGCAAGTCGACCAGCGCAATTTGAAGAGCCGTGCAAAGTGGTTGAGAAATGGTAGCTTCGTGTATTCGAGAATTCTCATCTGATGCAACCAGCTCGCCAGATAATGACCAGGAGGGTGGAATAGGCAGATTGCTGAGTGCTTTTTCAAGTTCATCAATTGTCTGTCTGAACCTCTTTGACTTCTCATAGAGACGCCGACCCATAGAGGGCCACTGCGCACCTTGACCAGTAAATATTCCAAGGATTCTTGCCGGAAGATCCTCCGTCGCGTGAATCGCTCTCGTAGGTGTAGAAGCTGCTTGGTTTGCCACATTGTTTAGCTTCTTTACAAGCTCTTCTTGGGTAGATGCTGAGATGTATATTCTATGCGGAAACTGCGTGCGACGAGTCTGCAGCGTCCATGCCAGATTTGAGAGATCTGATAGCTCTCCAGATGCCAATGCCATGGCAAGAGACTGCGCTCTGGCCCTCACAGCCTTTTCTGTGTTGGCCGACAAAGTAAATGGGCCACAAGGGACCTGAAGAGCTTCGTCATTCCCTCCTGGCGGCCAGTGTTCTAAGATTGCGTGAGCGTTGGTGCCTCCAAAGCCAAAACTATTAACACTGGCACGCCTTGGAACTCCGGGAGGCAGTTTAGGCCATGGTTTGGCTTGGGTTGGTACGCAAAGATGAGTATAAAACGGGGAGATTGCTGGGTTGAGCCTGTTGAAGAGCATATTGGGCGGGATAATACCGTGCTGAACGGCAAGTGAAGCTTTCAACAATCCCGCCAATCCTGCCGTGCCCTCCAAATGGCCGATGACTGTTTTGACAGATCCAACGTAAAGAGGTTCGTCTGATTCAGCTGCACTGGCATTGTCTTCTTCTTCCTCTGCACCGAAGAAAGCATCTCGGACAGCCCTTGCTTCAATTGCTGATTGAGTGGAATGTTAGCAACTCTTTAGTGTATATTTTAGGCTAATGAATGAACTTACGATCACCAGCCATGGTTCCTGTACCGTGGGCCTCGAAATACTGGCAGCGATCTTCCTTTTTGTTAAAGTCAAGGCCTGCTCTGGTATAAGTGGACTTGATTAACGCTGTCTGGGATATGGAGCTGGGCATCGTAATGCCTGATGTGTGTCCATCTTGGTTGACACCCGTTTCCCGAATCAGGCATTCTATGTGATCACCGTCTTTAATGGCTTGGCTAAGAGTCTTCAGAAGGATTGATGCGAAACCTTCGCCGCGAGCGTAGCCGTCAGCGTCGGCATCCCACATGCGAGATCTGCCAGTTGGGGATAGCATGTGAAGCTGTAGACGCATACTTGGTTAATATCTTCCAATTTCACATTTTGAATGGCTCTCCCATCTGCGTACCTTGGACTCAAGAATGTATGGATCCGGGCCAAGGATCAGATTCACACCGGCTGCCACAGCCAGTGATGATTCTCCACTTCTCAGAGTTTGCACAGCGTGATGCAAAGCCACTAAACTTGATGAGCAAGCTGTATCTATTGTTGATGATGGGCCTTTCCAGTCGAAAAAGTACGAGACTCGGTTGGAAAGGATGGCCCTTGAGATTCCTGTAGCAGCGTACTGGGGCGCGCTATCCACATCACGCAACATGAGATCTGAGTAGTCTTGCGTCATCTGGCCTACGAAAATAGCCGTTTGAGAACCCTTCAGTTCCTGAATGGAGTATCCTGCCGCTTCAACACATTCATACACTGTCTCTAACAGCATGCGTTGCTGTGGGTCCATGGACTCCGCCTCTCTGGGGTGGATATTGAAGAAATTATGATCAAACTCTCTATGATCCTCTTCCAGGAGATAGGAGTGCAATACATTTGTACTCTACAATTGAGTGTTTGTTTAGCATATTTACAGAGCCAGGTAGACAAGTTTAGCAAGTATCACTGTTGCTTACCCCATGATGCTCTCCATTTGTATTATAAAATCCATCTGGATTGAACCGACTGGGAGGTATCTTCACCAGCACATCCTTAGGGTCCTTCAAAAGTTGCCACAGTTTAGATGGCGAGTTGGCACCACCAGGAAAGCGACAACTGCTTCCAACAATAGCAATGGGCTCAGTCTTGAACGGTGGCAGAGCCATGTTGAGAGTCTTGAAAAGAGTCGTAATCTAGGGATTTGCTAATTGTCGAATGAGGTTCCAAGTCCTTGCGGTTACATGAGATACAAAGTTATATAAAGGTGTAATCAATTCATGCCCTTAAGAGCCACAGCCGGACAATTGAACAGAACTCGTGGCGGATTCGTTATTGTGCGATAACAGGCGTTGCCGCATAGACGTAGGACTTTCATCGTTAATAGCTATAATTCAGCATAGCGTGAACGCTAATGTTCCCTACTTGACTCTGTCAATAATATTATTTCCACCGACTCTTTGTACTACATGATCGGTGCAATATGCTGACAGTGGGGCTCAGAATCATATCACCTAACCGGTTAATTAATGCAGGCTTACTCTACATGAGGCAGTTCAATATGTCAACAAACCGGTTTGCTTTTCTTTTTCTTACCGATATACGTGCCGAAATCATGAGCATTCGCAGATCGCAGTGTTGGTCCGATCTTGATAAATCTGCAGAGCGACGAGCCGCCCAAAGCGGAATATCCAGAACTCGTATTTGTACCAAACCAATTAAAGAACCGGAGACGTAAAAAGACAACTCCAAAACAATAAGGAACCATACAAAAAAAAAATGACAGTTCGAAACACCTTGGTCGGAAAGAGTGCAGGCCAATATGAATTGGTCTACAATGTTCCAATCCCAGATCCAGGCCCCGATCAGGTAGTTTGCAAAGTTGCCGCTATTGCATTGAATCCTACCGACTGGAAGATGGTAGATTTCTCCGTTGTGCCTGGCGCAGTCGGTGGGCATGATTTTGCGGGAGAAGTAATTGAAGTTGGAACTTCAGTTACGAGACTGAAAAAAGGCGATCGTGTCTTTGGGCTAGCGATAGGCTTTGATGTAGACGACAAGCGGACCGGGGCATTCACAGACTATGCCATCACTTATGCTCACGGCGCCTGGAAGATTCCTGACTGGATGTCCTACGATGAGGCAGCAACATATGGCGTTGGTATAGGCACAGCAACTTTGGCCCTCTATCAAACTCTCAATTTGCCGCCACCAGTTTTAAGCAATGACATTGCGACAACAAAGAAGAAGCCCAAGAAGCCGCTATATGTGTTGATTGCCGGTGGAGCAACCGCAACTGGCACGATTGCAATACAACTAGTAAAAGCGTAAGAGTTACTATTCCCGTTTCCCAAAATGACATTACAAACAAAAATATTTCATTATTAGAGCTGCAACTAACTAATACGTCAAGTTCTGGTCTCGTTGCGATTGCCACCTGCTCTGCCCAGCATAAAGATATGCTCATGCCGTTGGGTGCCGACGCGACATTCGACTACAACTCTCCCCACTGCGCTATCGAGATTCGCAAATACACCAACGATACCCTCCAATATGCGCTGGACTGTGTCACAGAAGCGGGCACAATGAAGATGTGCTACGACGCGATTGGTTCCGCCGGCGGTCGCTACGTTGGGCTTGAGCCACTTGCTACGCACATTCAATACACGCGGCGGACAGTTCGTGCTGATTGGGTAATTGGAAGAACTCTCTCCGGTTTGCCTGTACGACTAGATGGAGTTTATGGGAGACCAGCGAGACCGCAGGATCGCCAGTTTGCGGAACACTTTTTTCCTATAGCCGAAAAGTTGATTGCAGATGGTCAGCTAAAACCACATCCTGTGGAGCTACGTACGGGAGGGCTAGAAGCACTTGTTGAAGGTATTGATGATTTACGAAAAGGCAGAGTTCGGGGCAGGAAACTAGTTTACCCACTGGCATGAGGATAGCAGCATGGCCATGGGACCGCAGTATTTGAGGGTGAGAGAGTATTATTTTACCATAATTGCGATAGCTGAAGTGGCGAAAATCACCTTATGGCAAGATGGATTCTCTTCCCGCTCCAGCTACTTATATCTTTTCTGGTTGAAGCATCTGGTCTGGTCGGCTTACAAGACACGAGGTCGAGTAAGAAAAACATACAACCAAACTTCATTATACTATTCTTTGGTCTGTCAATTATCTGTTGTTCCTGTAAAGACGCCTTCACAGAAAGTTTAGTAAACAAATTCATTGTTGCTGAGTTTTGAATAAAAAGATCAAATCTAGTAATTTGCAGACTTACTCATGATACCAGGCGGCGATAGGTGCTCAACTGCCATGCAAAACACCCAAGTACAGGTAGTTACCTATACACAGAAGACAGACTGAACTCCATACCAAATTCTTCTTTATGCTACAAAAGCTGGCTGCACGTCGTCAGCACTGGGCATGAACTGCCCAAAACTGATATACAAAAGAGGCAAAGGGAAACAATACACACGTAATAATATCGACGACTAGACTTCCTCTGACTGGGTAGTCTTAGCTATTGGTGACCTCTCAGTCACTTTAGTGACGAAAGCCTGTACGCTATGACCTTGCTCGCCTATCTCGGCTCCAAGTTTGTGCTGTTTATTGGTGGAACGTGTATCGGCCATCTCCCTCGTATGACGCCCCAGGTGATTTGTGCACTCTAAATGTTTCAGAATCGTAGAGAATGTTCAGCTAATACTCTCTTCGCAAAAAGTAGTTTGCTAATGGCAATGAAGCCGCTGACGCCCATGCTTGGGTGACAGTCGGGGAGTATGTCAACGCCAACCCCCCATGCACACACGTCAGTGGCAACTTCGCACCTGGAACAGTAAATGTCGTGAATTATGTTCATGATTTGTATGACATTTTTTAAACACAATTATACCCACCATCTAAATCTCTTTAACTACTGATTCTATACCTTTACCCTATTATTATTACAAGTCCTCCTTGAATAAAAAACATTATCAAGAAATGTAGAGTGAGCCACTTCTCTGGCCGCTCTGTAACGACGACACATTAAGCATAGTGCTTTCTAGGCAAGAGTTGGATTTGCCAAATATACCGGGTTGACAAAGGCATCGTTATCGGCTGCTTGCCAGAACAGGTCAACCAAACCAGCGTCGTTGAATCTCATAAATCGCATGCCTCGGGCGCGATACTGTACGCCATTGGGCTTCACTTCCGTGCCGTTAAGCATAGTAAACGTGCCGTTGCGCGTTCCCTGGAATATGTATTCGGTAGCTGCCCAGTTACCTTGGCCGAGAACGAACTCATCGTGCTGAACGAGATCCGGGATCGAAGTGTTGTAACGAGTGAACAAGTTGACAAGAGATGCACGACCAGTCGAGTTGCGGCCATCAGATACAACAGTGACGTTCTCCGTGGCAAGGAGTCCGTTAGCTGATGAGTTTTTATTATTGAAGTTGATGTTGAACTGCGCGGCCTTCTCCTTAATTTTGAAAGTGAATCCGGCAGATGTATTCGCGATAGGATTCAGTGCAATCGGCTCAACGGACGGTAGTTTAGCCTCGCCAGACTGTTGCGCTACTGCGAGTCCAGATTCGCCTATACTGACAATCCGGCTCAAGAGAGCATCTTTATCGAAAATCATAGTTTCGGCCAGTGTTGTCTGAATAAGAAGTTGCGAGGTGTTTGTAGTAATCCTGCTGGCGCTTAGAATTGCGGCAGTGTCTCCCTCCACAATGATAAGTCGATCGAGAAACTGAGCTCTGAGTCCTCCCGGAGGAGGAGCCAACGCCTGGGCAAACTGAACTCTTCCAAGGCCAGAAACCCCACTAAAGAAGCTATCAACGTCTGGTGTGACCAGTGCTGCATTGGCTCGAACTCCCTGGATGGTGTTTTTGCTAAAGTTCGGGTGAAATGACGCAGAGTGGTTGGCAACTAGACTAATATATTCGTCGCTAAGGAGAAGTCCTGGCGTTCCGATCGGTTCTTCGAGCTTGGTACTTGAGCCTACCAAGGCCAGCATATAAGCCAATGCAGATTTCATGTTGAAGGTAGCCACGGATTTTCTGGTTTGATCGAGGAAGAGCGCTGTGAGACCTGTGAGTCAATTCGTAAATGAAACGCTCAAGAAAAAACAACAACATATAGGCTGTCATTTGCTTGATATATATCCGCAATTTCCATCATTTCGTTACAATAAATAGCAGTATCACTTCGGATAGGGGCTGTGCTGACGGTTAGTCTTAAAAAAGATCGCCGTTCTGAATGATGATGTGGAATCAATCACCACAAAGCGTAATCACTAGAACAAAGCCGTCGGCTAAGTTTGACTTGCAGTGGGCCTTGATGAGATGGCACATAATTCTAAAATAACACTATTTCGAAGCAAACATTCCTATTTGCTAGTTACTAGCATTGATTCCAGGGATGGAATCAGCTAATGTGGGCTGGGGGGCTGTAAGATAGTACTGCCCACATGGAGACCATGTAGGGCTGATCTGTAAGGCGAACAATATATTGCTAATGATTTGATAATGGTACAGCCCCGACCAGCCGCCTTGGCAGACTATAGTCACTTCCTCCTGGTATTTGCTAGCACCCTTGTATTTTCTCCTCAGAACTGATACAGAGCTGCCACCCTTCGTCGCATTGTTCTCGAAAACAATAGGATCCACCGAAAAACGTTGTGACCAAAAATAGGAAGTAGTGTTACATTCTCCAACTATTCAATTAGAAATATGCGGGTTTCTATCTCGCCGCTGATACTGTCTAGTCTAGTGTTGGAAACGGAAATCTAATCTCTTATTACCCTCATCAGTTGTTGTTGCCAAGTAGTGTAATTTCTCCTCTTGCGTCATGGCATCCCATATCGTATCCCTCCGCTTGTTCCGGTATACGTAGTAGCATTTGGTAAACAGATACCAGGTAATGCTCACCGAAGTGATAGCGAGGAGGTATCTGTTGCCACGTCGGTAAAGTGGAGCGTCATCGGCGCGATAGAGATTCGACGATATGATGTTGCCGAGCTGCACGAACATGTTGTACGTCGCAGCGGATACGGTTCGTGATCGCACAGTATTGGAATTGCGGCTATTCAAGCCTACTTGGATCGGGTGTGCTAGTTATACATGTCAACAATTTTCCTTTGCCCAGCATTGGTAGATGGAAGCGTGAAGCTACTAACCGTAGGGATAGCTCAGTAAGAGACTGATTATAGTGAACACGACCCATTTATTGCTTTCAGCTGTGTAGCCAACTTCGAGCCAAATCAAGAATGGAAGACACCAGACCTGACCAAGCATGGCTGTCAAGACCATCTCGTTCCGGATCTCGGCCAAGTAGCTCAAAGCGAACATAGTGATGACTATACTTTATATCAGCAGCTATTATGAAGACGACGAAATGAAGCATAATTTGGACTTACTATTCAACACGCTAGAGGGTATGGTTAAGAGATTGGTTTGGAAAGTACTGAAGCCGATACTCCTGAGGGCCAGCGTGAGATATCTGCTCACAGGCGCAGCGGGTATCTGGAACAAGAGTCCAATAATGTATAACGGCCTTTTTGCTTCTATTAGCATGACAAGTTTCCTTGATAAGTGATGCTTGACCTACCAAAGATCATAATCCCCCAAACTCTTGAGTAACAACCTCGGTGTAATTGGTTCACGGTTGTGCATCGAACTCTTCGAAGGATCTTCTCGCAAGACACGGTTGACAATGATAATCTCTTCTCGTTCCGAGAACCAGCCGTTTTTGCCACGGAACCAGCCCTTCGTTTGGCAAGGGCCGGCGGGCATCAGACCAAATGCTAGAATTCCCACAATAAGAGTCATGAGGCCCTAGACGTACTTGTTAGCCTAGAACATCGTACATCCTCTTTTAATAATTGCTCTTACCTCAATCAGGAAAAGCCACCTCCAACCTGATCGACCTTCAACGTCTCTCATGTGGAGGATGCCATAAGCTAGTAAAGCGGCCAGGATCTCGGCTACAGTCATCATGCCCCAAAACCAGCTTAGGCGTAAAGTCAATTCGTGATGTTTGTAGAAGTACGAGAGATATAAGACAATCTGTGTAGTAGTATTAGTATGCAATGCATCCATCGTAATCTGAACTATTTTCAACTCACATCTGGAATAAATCCACCTTGCAAAAGGCCTAATAAAGCTCGACAAGCCAAAAATGAGGATCGACCTGATAGCCAGAATTGGGCACCAGCAACTATACTCCACAAGACCATCTGGGAGGGAATCCATCGATCGGGGCCTATCCATTTAGATACCAGCTGAGAAGGAACTTCGGCAAGTAGAAATGCGATGAGGAAAACGGTATTTCCCAAGTTGTAGTCTATTTGGTTTAGAGTAAGCGATTGCCTTCGGATTCAGGTTTGACAAAGTCAGTGGCAAATCTCACCATTTGTTGTCAAATTCAGATCCTCAAGAAAGTTGTCAGAGTTTGCCTGGCTGAGATTGGTTCGATCCATTTCGAGAGCCATGAACATGACACAAGCCCAGGCTGTAATGCGAAAGTCCATCTTTCGAATCAAAGCATCTTCTTCGGCCCAGGTCCATCGCGCCAGTGGATCGAAGCGATGAACATTTTCCCTTTAAAAGTTAGTTTTTAGTCCGCAGTTTAGCATCTGGATAAACGTGGAAACTCACCAATTGTCTGGAGGCTGGTACTTCTCTGCTGTTTCGGGATCATCAAAGACACTGGGCTGTAACGAAGTTAGAAAGGGTTCGACATGATATAATGCCGGGTATAGAGTCTAACCTGAGTCGCAATTGCGTACGGATCGATCGCCCGAGTTCGTTGCCACCAAAAGCGCTTCTCTAGTTTTTCCGCTCCCAAAGGAGGGATTTGATCCAGAGAGAGTGTAGACTCATTTACGCCCTCTTTTTCGGTCCCAGTCTGCCTTATGCGAACTGTAGCCATGATGAGACTGAAAGGTTTGATCCAGATCTAGGGTTGTATCAGAATCTGGATTTTAAGGAAGAATATTTGGGAGAACTATATAGGTTCTCTGCCGATCAAAAGTAGGCCGAGATGGCATCATTGCGGACCCCAATCACTTCTTAATCACTTTCAAGATGGCAAGGGTTTACAAACGTGCCTCCACTATCTTAGAAATTTTCGCAAGTGTGCCCGGTTTAAAAGTTAATACAGCCAGCTTGTTTTTGTTTAGTATCTAGATGGGCTTTATGTTGTCCCGAGAGGGACGCCCAAGCGGGGGACATAAAACAGGGATTCGGCAAACAACAGGTACGACTAATCCTTACAAAGTGATCTTTAATCAGGCTAAAACGTTATCTTGGTAATGGTGCAGAAATCAGTCGAACTATTATTAGACTTTACTTGAATTAAGTTCGTTTTCATCTTTGATAATTAATCTCTCCGTGAAGTCGACGGCTGTTTTCTTCTGTGACACTAAATTCTATTTCGGTTTCTTGGTCTTGTCTTGGCAAACGTCTTTCCATTTCACAACTGCAATGAAACAACCTGTTCATGCCCCTGCCGTTCTAACGATAGTTGCGGTCCCTCGGCAAACGGTTCGTCTAAGTCCCACCACTCTCTGGCCCCTGTGGCGACATCGGTCTTCAAAAAAGTATCGAGGGACTTTCTTTTACTGGTAAGAGAGGGCTATCACCTGCAGTTACGCATAGATACCCCGCGGTCTGATGTCCATCGCTATATTGCTTGCTTATCAACCGCCAATGAAAAAGGAGCATTTCGTGTAAGGCAATGTGAGCATAGAATGGCGACATCTTAGAGTAGCGATGAGGTGTTTGCCCTGGACCCGAAAAGTGGGGCATCTACCGGGTTTGGATGCCGGACTTAAGCCCGGCTAGACTATATAAGAGGATTCACCTCCTCTTCTTAATTGAAGAAACGAAACAAGTTACTTTACTGGAAGTAGTCCTAGCTATCTCAATGGCCTAGATCAATTGGGTCTTGGGCTTCTTTTCGGATATGGTCTGGATGATTGGTAACGGATTTGGCCATAGCTTTGATGCGTGAGCGTTTTGGTTGTTCGTTTAGCTCCGTGTGTATTCTTGTTCATATTAAGGCATATGATATCATATTACCTAGATATGTACATTCTACTACATGATGGAAGAAAACTTTCTGTATCATTCGGAAGAGACGAGCTCTTCATGCGGTCCCGCATCGCAACTAGAATTACACCAAGCCACGGATTATATAATAACTGTCATTATGAAATCAAGTGCATTTTCATTGGCCAAACTCCTTCCTAGCAGCTCTCCTTTTCTGCCACAGCATACCGCCCTAGCTTCATGTCCCTTGCAGCCGGAACGACGTGGTGTTTACAGCACTAAAATACAGTAGAGCATACTGTCTTCTTTACACCTCAGATACATCCGAAACAATTTTCACGAAATACCGAGAAAATGGCTGATCCAGTAGAACCCTTTTGGGGGCCTCAGACATCATATCTCAAGTATGTACTGCATTAATTAGCAAAATTTGAGCAATTACTTATACGTGGTGTTGCAGCTTTTGTGAGGAGGTACGTACACTCTACCCTTTGCGTCAATTTAGATGGTGCTCTGACGAATTGGCATCACGCTATAGGACTATGTTGTCACACGATTTATCGCTGAATTCGTGAATACTCTCAGCAGTTTTACTTTTGGTATATTTGAACCAGGAATTTTCCTGTGGCGGTCAGAATTGACATTGAGTAGTCATCTACGGAATCTACGGCTTGGTCACATCTCCAAAGGAACAGCGAACGGGCCCTCGGTTGATCTCATACACTGGTCTCATCGGCGTAGGAGTATGTTCCGCTGGATACCACATGACGATGAAGTATCACACCCAGATGTGTGAGTGATGTCTCTATAGCTTTCCTGTCGTCATCTCCTAACATGCTCTAGCCGACGAGCTCTCCATGCATCTTTTGACAACGCCTATCGTCTACCGCCTTCTTACCTTCAAAGCCAGTCCGCAGCGCACTAAACTGGTGGGAACAATTCTCCTTATTCTCTTCACCACAGTCATGGTCACTCACATGGTGATGGATGAATTCCTGCTCCATGCATCCGCTTTTGGTCTAAGCATTTACGTCATCGCGACTCGTACCTTGAAGGTCATCTCTCAGCAAGTGCCTGATCCCGCAATCAAAAAGACTCTGCAAAATATCTCCATCTTCGGCATGAGTAGGTTAACGATCCAATATGTTTATAAAAAACACAGCTAAGGATATCGCCAGTGTCTTTCGTATTTGGCTATTTTGTCTGGCTAATCGACGACTGGGCATGTAACATTTTGACCGATGTGAGGCACACAGTTGGCATTCCTTTGGCCTTCCTTTTCGAATTACACGGATGGTATGCCTCATTCCCTAACTCTCTCCTGAAGACCATGCACTAAATATTTTCAGGTGGCATGTTTTCACTGCTATTGGCGGCTATGTCGGTGTCGCAATCGTTGATTTGATCATCACGGGCGACGTTCACAAAGACCCTACCGATCAACTTGCCTGGCCCGTTCCTTTTGCTGCGAGACTCATGTCTAGTTCCCAAAAGTCGACAAAGCAATCGTAGATTTATCGAAGAGTAAAACCTATAGAAGTACAAGAGCCTATTCGTAGGCTTAGATGATCTCATAGATGCCATCAGCTGGTGAGACAATTGGGGAGCACTTAGAGTGCTTATTCAAAACGACATTTATAGACTATAGAGAGGATTTGAACTATACTTTTGACTCTTAAATCTTGTTAAACACGCCCGTAGTATATGTACGACTGTTGCCCTGCAACAACGCCTCTCCTGCTAGCCACACTGCGCGAGCCACACGACAAAGGAAAAGACTTGCGATGTAACACATCATGCTTACAGGCAAATAGGTTTAATAAGAAAGATTATGGTTCTTATTATGAGCTTGTCTATTTTCATCGTTCTAATTGGCCCATAGACGCATGGTTACCTAGGGTAGGTCTCGTTGTAATCATCTTACATCCGTCTTCTTATGTCATGCTACACCAGTTTGTCTCCGGCTCGGCTTTATTGGGCGTTCTGAAGTCTAAACTATTACCTAAAACAGCCCCTTCGCTCGTTTCGGACGAATGATGCCCACGTCTACATCATGATACTAGTGCGCTCGGTGCTTGAGATCAGGCCCGCTATTTAAGTGTTGCTTTATATGTCGCCGTGCAGTACATACGTTAAGTTTGATGCCCGATACTGGAAAGTTTCTACCATTCTTGGATAATTGGTACTGAAATGAGCAACCGGTGCAACCGAGATACCTAGTGCACGCATCTTCCCATCATGCCGACCCGTTTATTAAGTTCAATTCAACAGCAACGTGGCTAGCGCTAATATTAGTCAAATAAGAGACACATGCAGACTCGGATTAGAATTGCAGATATTAAAAAGTTGCTACTGAATTTCGTGAAACTTGCTATTGAATCCTGGAGAAGACTGAAGATGATGAGTATAAAAGATGAAGATATCCCGATATTCTTTTCCATCAGAACATTATCACTCACACACTACCACCATATCTAGGACACACGCTGCACACTCAACAACATTCCAAGCTTCCCAATTTTATCACATATTTTTGAATCAAAAACAAAATGGCTACTCTCGAGCAACGAAACAAGGCGGTTGTTGCCAAGTACTTTGAGGAATACTGGGTGAAGGGAAATGTCTCGATTGTGGACGAGCTCTGCTCTGATGACTTTGTCATGAGCTACCCTAATCACGGACCCCGTCACGGCAAAGAGGGCGCAAAGAAGATGCTGACCGAGTTTATGGAGGTAATTAAACCTAGAATATGCCCCAAAAGCACTTTCAAATACTGACTACATAAAAGGCTTTCCCTGATCTGACCTTTAGGTCTTACCAAACTCCATTGATTGCAGAGGGTGACTACGTCGCAGCCCAGTGGGTTGGCGGCGGCACGCATACTGGCCGTGCATTTGACGATTTGGTCGTGGGAAAGCTTGACAAAGCCAATACTGGCAAGAAGATTCATTTCAGCGGAATTTCAATTTTTACACTCAAGAATGGCAAGATTGTTCGCGAGATTGCTGAGGAGGGCGGGTTGACTGTTCTGCAGCAGCTTGGGCTTGTTCCCCAGCCTAACCCTGGCAAAGAGATTGTTTACGATGCGGAGGGAAACCAAGTCTACTAAGATGTTCTCTTGAAATAGATAGATATATTCATCAATGAATCGCAGATTTGGTGAATTTTATTTACTCGGCCAAGTGTATGTATTTCCGTCTCAGTGATGGGATCTCTAGGTCCGGTTGATAACAGTGAGGTTACTGATAAGGAAACTTGAGAACAGCGCTCCATATCAGAGGCCATTGTCCATGAGCCATGACATCATAGCGCTGGTTTGATCATATAATTAGTACAATTCGCTGTGGAAAGGGTAGAGAAATGATGGGAAAAGAATTTCCAATGGATGCGATTTAGATTGCGATATGATTTATGAAATTATTCCAGTGGCATTTGCGGCTGATGCTGTGATGCAACGCTACCTCAGGTACTGTGTTGATAGCCCGGGCCGTTAAAAACGCGATCCACACTTCACACGTGCAATCGTGTTAGCAAAACTACACTACCTGTAAAATAACACGTCAAATCAGTGCAGATCTTCGCATACATCATCAATATCGCGTTCTAATTGACCAGCTGTTTGACAATCCTTTCTCTTCCAGCCTGTTGTCAGCATTACATCATCGTACGTCTGACCGCCAAGTTTGGTCGCGTAAATTGAAACAACTACGCGTCTTCGGCACCATCCACAGCCTCACCTATTAGAAGAAGAAAAAAGACACATCTACACACACCATTTCACGCAGTTGGAGACACCATGCCAATACCGGCACGATCTAATCCGCCAAACCGTCCCGAAGTGCCAACTCTCAAGCGCAATGGCTTCCAAATGTGCAAGGAAGCTTTCACCGTGGACGACATCAAGCGAGTCAGCGGCCCGCGTCTGCTGGACCTGCTTCATCTTGACACCATCCCGAGCCCAGCCGACAAGATGATTGCCAAACTAGAGGCGACTCATTTATTCAGTAAAGCTTTTTTTGCGGCTCAGTTGACGTACTATGGTATTCCCTTTAAGCCATCTGCCAAGGGTTCAACGCTGAGGGCTCTCCTTCGCGATGAGGTTTGTGAAGGCAACGTAAGTGGCTAAGAAGCACCCTCCACTCTTCCTAGGACTAGTTTTCTGATTCATCTACATGGATAGTGTGATACCGTTCCTGAATCTGTAGTTGAGCTAGAAGCCGCCATGCGACGCGACTACGAGCCTCTGTATCACAAATGGGAGAGCGATTTCGCCGCATGGAGTGCCGAAAAGGAGCGGTTAGACGATGAGGCTTTTGAGAAGTGTAAAACGCCCAATGAACGAGCATGTTTTGATGTCCGTCGCTTTTTGGAACATTACTACTTGACAGACGGGAAGCCAGACCCGACCAAGACTCCAGAAACGCTGGTTTTACGCACTGAACGCAGAATAGGTGACCTTACATGGAAGACCCAGGATATCCCCGGTCTTCATATTTGGAACAGTACTCATAACGTCATGGAGCCTGTTACATGCTTCATAGGATGGGACCGTGACGAGATCATGCGATTAGGGAAAGAGTTTAGTGATCGTCAGCGCGAGGCTGAGAAAGCCCGGCGAAGATTAAAGTGGGAAGAAAACATGGAAGCCCACAAGCAATATCTCGCTCGCAGGCAGTCAAAGGAGGGAGATGCTGACGGAGAGGATGAGAAATCCAAAACATTTGATCTCAGCCGCTTAGCAGGCTCTTACGTTATTCGATGTGATGCGGTACTGGACGGATGGGACACTGAATTCACGGGAGATACGCTGACCATGGATGTTGCCCCGAGCTCCGATGATATGCTGGTTGCGGCTTATAATCTTGGCATCATCCGAGGAACCATGACGCTTTGTTTGTCCGACGATACGCTCAAAGAAATGTTCGATCCGGATGAGGATGAGGATGAAGATTCTGAAGCCTCCATGAGCGACGAAGAAGATGAAGACAATGAGGATAAAGAAGATGAGGATAAAGAAGATGATGACAAAGAAGATGATGGAGATGGTGTTGATACAGAGGAACCCACCAACGCGAAAAAGCGCAAAGCCTCACTGAAGCAAGAAGAAGATGAAGATTCGTCTCAGCAACAACCCGCGAAGAAGCGCAAAACTGCCACCCAGCCAACCCCGTCTCGCCGTGTCTACCTGCGTCTTGAAGGCTACGAAACCGGCGAGGGCGAAGAGTTACATGTCCCTGATCCCGGCTACATCGATTTCACCAGTAATGACTGCATCGCATTTGAAGGACTGATGAAGACCTTTACTTATGTGGGGAGCAAGGTCAAGTTTGAAGGCTATAAAATCTCGGACGAGCCACAGAGGGAGCCAGACGTTTACGAATACGTGTTTTTGGGTGAGTAGGTAGATGTATAATAGTAGGACCTATTGAACTATTATCCAAGAGCGAAGAGATGGCATTAGGAATCCGGAATATCGGCTTTTACTTTCCCTAGCTGGGAAATCCTTGTGCATAATCACATTTCCCGAAAAAAAAAAGAAGCGTCGGGTAAGCTGGCGGATCAGGTCCGAGCCGCAGCTACTGCTTCGGTAAATTGGGGTTTCAATGAGAATATAGAAACAAGCGAACCTTTTTCGTATATAGATACTATTTGAGCATAGCTATTCAGATCGTCTTAAATTTCAATGTTTGCCCTAGCAAGGGTCTTGCTCAATCCGCAACGGACTCAAGCGTAGCGCTCGCGTTTATAAGACTTCAAGACGGCGTCATTTCGCGAACTACGTATCGTAAATCACAAGCCCGCTAGCCTTTAGGTACTCCATAGCCCTTGTCTGTTTTCGCATATCTGCCAGCGAGGTATGGAGTGCAGTATCTCTAAAGATCAGGGGATAGATCCGATCATTACCAAGTGCCGGCCATATCGGACTATGCCCGAGAATATCTCCAATAGGGCAGTGGACAATCGCCTGTGCTCTCTCAGCTCATATTTGAGAAACATGTTTTCGTTTTGTGCCCATTCGCTCTCATCTTCTATAGCTATTGTATATACTTGTGTATGTTCATCCACGTGTGAACCGACGCTACGAATATAGCTGACATCAGCATCTTGCTTGTATTCACATCCATGTATAGCCGAAGCGCTGATGAGTGTTATTCGGACGGTATATTTTTGCTATTCGGGCGGTTAAAATCTCCTGCCTGAGCGACGGTTAACTTGTTTAAGAAGGTGAGCTTTAACACCACCCGAATAGCAATACCTGCGCTAATATGCCGGAGAAAGAAAACAATCACGAGCAAAGGGGCCACCTTTATTGTTTCACTTGCAACTATTTTTTCCTCTGTTGACTTAGTCGCTTGAACTTGATACCTCGGAACAGGTACTGTCAGAACTGAACATCTTTTGAGACATATGTTCTATCCATCTCTCTTGCCAACCGCGCGCCTTTTTTTCTTTTTTCGGGCTGCAGTGGGATGACGCTGTAGATTGATTACTTATTTGTGTAGCATTGGTTGTAGATTATCTTTGATGATCTCAGCTATAAGTGGAGTCATAGTCGTACGTCAAGCTTTATTTGAGCTTAATCCTGTTCCTTTTGTCCCCCAGCCACTTGTGGAGGTGAATTCTCCGTACTACTTCCCTACAAGGATACTGTTGTTTTCTGATTAGCTGATACTATTCTTTGTTCAGTTAGTAGGACAATGCAAATGCCAGGAGTAGGCGGATCAAACGGCTCAGGTACAACATGCCAAGTTCTCAGCCAGAATACCTATTTCCATACTCGACAGGTAACTCGCTATTCTGCTTACCAAGTTCTGACTATTTTACATGCGTTTTCCTTCGGATCTTACTAAGGCTAGTGCATCGGCTCGTCGATTTAGTGACAGCCCATTGCCGTGCTGCCAGTACGGCCCTCTCGTATGCTGCTTTTACCCCGGCAGTCCAACGCCAGTACGACACCGTGAAATAGGCAGTATCCAGGCTTTATACTGATTATAGCCTGCAATACTATGCGTCTTTGTTCTGATGTAACGTTACATTCTTGTTTTCTTGATTCATTTTAGAAGGAGAGTGTGAGAAAAGCACCTGGTTAGTCGGATCTCGGCCCCGATAGAGGCGACGAGCCCGACCATCTATTGCTTGCGTGCCTTTAAATAGACCGCGATTCCCCCATGGGATAAAATTTGTAACTAGTCGTGAAAGGATTTCCGATCATCGATAATTCACTTTAAAAGTTCTTAATCTTCCTACAATACGATCGACAATGCGTTTCGCCGTGGTCCTCGCAACGCTGGTTGGACTGGCTGTCGCCACCCCAAAGTCACCGCTTTTCAAGAGACAGTGCCCTACCCAGCCCCAAGACTGCTGTCTCCAGACTGCCAACTGCCAGACTTGCTACTACGGAACCGAGCCCTACGAGTGCAATTGCGACTGCGTGAAGATTGGTGGCTGCCCCTGCACCGAAATCGACAACGACCTTAACCCGCCGCAATGCATTGGTTGGTCGGCCGGCATGAACCATGACGTGAGCTCCAGAATGTGTCTGCCCTTGTGCTGCTCATCAAGACTAATGAATATCGTAGTGCACCTAGTTTCATGACACGGTATTCAGTAAAGTCATATACTTGACTTTCTGAGAATTGATCACCGAAACTTTGAGGAAGCGATTGGTCTTACTGTATTGGCGGCATTTTTATCCATGATATGAGGGCAGTCCAACTGCGTCCCCTCATACAACACCTGTTCTTTTAATAAAAGAATAGGACATATAATGAAATGAATGATTCATGCCAAAGTTTAGCGAATATAATTCTTCACAAGATCATCCCGTCATGATTTAACCAGCGCTGCCGTTAAATCAAATCTATCAAATAAATACGTACCGAAGTGACATGCACGGTATATCAAACGAATCAAATATGAATGTATCATAATACTTATATTTGCAGCTTCTGGTACATGTTATTTGATTTGATTTGATATGTTGTAGATGTCACTTCGGTACGTATTTATTTGATAGATTTGATTTGACGGCAGCGCTGGATTTAACATTACGCTGTAGCCGTTTAAGCACCGAATATTCCATATTGGCAGCCACTTTTGTCCTAAAGGCCACCCTTGCACATCGTCAATCGAAGCTCGAAGAAGGATGCAGTTGATCGGCCCACCTAGCGATATCTCTTCCAAGTATCCCGGACATTTGGGAATTGTGTTCCATTCTTTTGGCTTGGCAAGACGCTACGGCCTGTTCAAGTTCAATGTTATGCCAACATCTTAGTTAAAAGAAGCTAGACTTTTCATGTTGCTTTATGACGCAAAATACCATATGTAGACCGATACCAGCATAGTGCAGTCTGTCTTTCCCCCTTCTCATATTATTTGGTGTGTCTAGTAGAAGCCGGATTATACCGGAAGTCCGTAAAAACCGGGGTATCGGGTCAGCGACGGTCCGTTACAATGGTTAAAGCAGATACACAAAGTGGGAAAAGACTCCATTATTGAGGGATAATTTGAAAATCCCAATGTAGCTGTTCCTTTATATTCATCCCAATGGCTAAATATGGACAGCTTCTCCGCGGCGTTTCGGCAGTGGTGGACGGATAAAAGCATTGATGGTAGAAGTGGAATTTAATTTATATTTACGAAACGCTATTTTAACCCATTCACGTACCTATTGCCTGATTGGGCCTACAATCAGCTTTTGATGGCAGCCCAACTGGCACTTATAATGCAGAGTGTTTGTATATACTATTCCCACAGAGACTCTATAGAGTACGTTGCACGCCTAGCTTCTTTCAACCAATACATGGTCAAATGACTTGAAAGTAAGTATCTTGATCGTATTGTTAGATACTCGGCGGAAGTGTATGTGATTGAAGAAAAATTCTCCAGTCACCAGGTTGAAACAGTGGAAGCCGCGTATATTTTAGCGACCTGCTACTCTATCAGTGGTCATGGAGCCAAAACGGCTGTGTGATTGCGTAATTTTGACTCATGGTTTAGATAGTTAAAAGTTGAGATTGAGAAGAAAGGCCGGTGTTCAACGATGTATTCTGCCTTCATGAAACGTGCTAGCTTTTAGACTGTTACCCTCTATTTCTCTACGCAAATCCAGTGTAAATGTGAATGATGGAGTCATTTACAGATATACACAGTATATGGCGAAATAATGTTAGACATGAGAACTCGCACAGCTTACATCTACAAATCAATATGAACGACAATGCACTTCATATGGTCTCTTCCATTATATGTGTATAGAGCTAGATGAGCAGCAGATGGGCCAAGCTACATGCACTCATCTTAGTGTAAAGCATATCACCGCTATAGTTCGAGACACCCTCAACACCGACGTATAATGATGAATGCATGTTAATAGACGGTAAATCAATCCATATTGCTGTACTGCAAAACATACGGCACCAATCGAGAGATTTGGTCGACAAGAAGTGGCATTCGTCAAGGAAAGCTGAAGTCCAAGCTAAGTGATGATATGTGGGGCTGATGGCGATCTCTACGTGCAAGCAGCTGAGGCAATGCGGCACAAATCGTGGCTGGAAAGCTGGAGGACTAAACTGACGATGATGTTATTGAAACAGCTGTTTTTCTATCCATGTCTCCCATCATCCTGCTCAAGGACCAAAGGAATAAATACCCTCTGATGGACGAAGGGAAACAACGTATAGTGGGGTAATTCAACGCCACAGCATCAAACGGCGCAGATCAGTCACGTTTTCAGTCATGTGACTCTGAAAGCCGCTATCCGGAGTTCTAACCAAGAGAAGCGCCGCACTTTGAACCGCCGGCCTGGTCCAAACGACGTCCCTCTCCCCCAAAACCGACTTCCACCAGCCATTGCGGCCCCGAAACATCGCCAGAACCACCCGAATCACCACTCGCGAGTGCCTCTCCCCTCCTGCAAGCGCCCGAAATGGCCATCCTCCGACATACCGTCGCCCCGCTGCGAGCGGTGCGATGCGCACGCAAGCCTCTCGTCTCCGCGCGAAGCCTCTCCATGACGACTCGACGACAAGGCGGCCACGGCAGCGAGTCACAATTTGAGCCCCCTACCGGATGGCTCTGGGGCGTCAAGCCCGGCGAGAAGCCCGAGCCCGAGGGCTGGGAGTGGCCCATGTACCTGTTCGGCGCCGCCTTTTTGGTCACCGGTGTTGCTCTGGCATTCAAGCCTGATACTTCGTAAGTAGCAGGACATATTGCGTCTATGGGATTCGGCATATAGCACTGCGGCTTCTGGGACCATTTCCCTTTGACATTTTGGAGCCTTTGGGACCAGGAATGGAGCGGCGGAAGTGGCGAAGCTACCGGCTTCATTGCGTCATTTTGGCTATGTAGCATTTACTGACTCTTTGATATCACAGCGTCTCTACCTGGGCTCTTGAGGAGGCACGAAGAAGATTAGAAGCCGAGGGTGTTCTTCCTGACCCTTCAGCAAACGAGAAGAAGAACTAAATCGACGACATGGGGAGCGAGACTGGGGTGTCATGTTCACAAAGGGGAAGGTAGAGGAGGAGGAAATCAATCTCACATGAGGATTTGGGTTCAGCAGCGAGCGGTGGGGCAAACGTTGGGAGTGGCCAACATGTACATGTTTAAGGCATTTTATTTTCTTGGTTTTCTATCGTTACAGAGATATATGGTCCCTCAATGGCATGAAATATTAGACTGGGTTGTTGGACAAAGAAAAGAAAAAAATGATTCACGATTTCACCGAATCTTCTCCGTACAGGGGGGGAGGCATGGTTTGCAGCAGATGGCAGATTAATTCTTTTTTATAACAGCATATCTACATGACGCTAACTAATGTATTTCTCTCCATCTATCCTCCTTTTTTGTTATCCTTAGACCTTGACGCTCCACTCGTGCTCAATATCACCGTACTGAATGGCCTCTATCCATTCCTTGACCTTGAGCGCAAGCTCGCCAGATTCCTCAGTCTCCTTCAGCCCACAGTCGACAATCTCGCCCTTCCACGCAATAGACCTCACAGGGCTAACAATAGCTGCGGTGCCAGCACCAAAGGCCTCCAACAGACGGCCCTCCTTGGAGGCATCAGCCAGATCCTGCATGGTGTACTTGCGCTCGCTGATCTTCCAGCCCTCGGGAGCAAGTCTCTCCCGGGCAAGCTGGAGAATAGAGTCGCGAGTCACACCCTCGAGGATGGTGCCGTCAAGAGGAGCAGTGACAAGTTCCTTCTGGCCAGTAGCCTTGTCCTTCATAGCAACGAACATGTTCATGGTGCCGACCTCGGTGACGTACTCCTCCTCGCCGAACAGCCAGAGGTTTTGCTGGTAGCCACGGCTGGCAGCCTCCAGCTGGGGAACAATGCAAGGAGCATAGTTGGCGCCGAGCTTCTTGTCGCCAACACCGCCGGGCCAAGCGCGGACGGCATAGTTGGTCGCCTCAAGAGAGACGGCCTTGAAACCAGTAGGATAGTAAGGACCGACGGGAGAGGCAATGACGTAGAGCAAGGCAGAGCCGGGAGCGCCGACGCCAAGAGTGCTCTGCGTGCCAATCAGCGTAGGTCGCAGGTAGAGAGAGTAGCCGCGCTGGGCAGGGATGAAGCGGGAGTCGAGCTTGGTGAGCTTTGAGATGAGCTCGACAAAGGCTGTAGGCTCAAAGGTGGGCAGGGCAATTCGGGCGGCAGACTTGTTGAGACGGGCCATGTTCTTGTCAGGGCGGAAGAGCCGAATGTCGCCGTTCTTGTCCTTGTACGCCTTCATGCCCTCGAAGCACTCAAAGGCATAGTGGAAGACGCAGGTGGCCGGGTCCAGAGACAGGTTCTGGTAGGGAGTGATGCGAGGCTCGAGCCATCCTTCGTCCTTGTTCCACTCAATGGCGAGCATGTGATCTGCGATGAAGTGTTAATAATACACAAGAGATATTGATCCATAAAGTCGAAAAGAAACTCACCTGTAAACTCCTTGCCAAAGACGAGGTCTTCAGGCTTGGTCAGGCTCTTGGGATTCTTCGTCTGCTCCACCGAAAGCCTTGAAGCCTCAAGAGGGCGCTGTACGGAGGTGGAAGTGGCCGTAGCCTTGAGGCTGTAGAAGCGAGCAGGGCGATACGCAGGAAGGCATCGCGAAGCCCGCGAAGCGCTCAAGAGCGCTGTTCTGGAGATGGTCGAACGCATTGTGAGAGTTGTGTTGTCTCCAACAAAATTCTAGCTAGGTGCTTGCTAGTAGGGCAGTTGTCCCAAAAGCAGAAATTTCCAGACGCCTCGCTTTAGACAATCGTGGCCGAAACAGCAATACTTATACCTCTGCGGCGTCCAATTGAGTTGCCAGGCCAGAGTCCAGGTCAAATATAAGTTGAGATTCCCAAGAGAACTTCCAGCTGACAAAGAGAGAAGCAACTCGCGAGGCCGGAGACAGCGCAAGGCACGGAGAGGACCCTGGACCCCGGAGCGGTACCGGACTACGGGCTTAGTCTTAGTGCAGGATGGATTACGTGCATATTCACCGCTGCCTTATTACAGCGCTGCGATACGGCCATCTATGTCTTACAGCAGCAAATTAGCGCTACAGGCCTGGGGGAAACAGTGCAATTTCTTGCGCATCTACGCTGTAGGTACTCGGTGCTGGGCGAGGCTACTGCTGTGATGCTCTGTACTATTCGGGGTAGTTGAAAACACCAGGCCCGAAGGTACCCGTTACGTGATGCCGCGTCAGGCCGCTGTGCAGCAAATGTCGTCGGTTAATTTGCTGCTGCTGCCAGGAAGGAGCATGACGAGTAAGCAAAGGAAGATTGGACCGTCACCGATATAGGAGATGCGTGCGCCTTTGAGAATGACTGTCTTGACCACGTCTATGTCCCTGGGATGGTCAGCCTTGTAATTACAATCCAGCGATTATAGAGAATTCTTTCCGATGTGCCCTTGAGACGGCCGCTTCTGACTCCGTAGCAGGCCTTCTTAGTCAGTCGCTGCACCAAATCTGCAGCACCACGGTACTGTGGCTTGGTGTGGCGCAGAGGTCGAAGCTCTGATGCATCATGTTATCATTTTGGCCAATGACAGCGGGGAGCTACGAATAGCATCAACGCACGTCGCACTCCATATCTTGTAGCTGCGATCCAAAAACGCGTGTCATCGCTCAGCCTCGCCGCGATACGTCAGGGACATTCGCAACACGCAGATTAATTCATTCAGCTGAGCAGCGGAAAGGCCCTGGTATAGATACCAATCTGCCTTGTTCGAATTGCGCCGGGCGCACCACCAACCTGCCATCAGGCCATTTTGGCGCATTCCAAGATCCTCTCCTTTATCGCTGTCCCGGTCCGCAATGAGCCTTGAAAGACTTCCGTAGACGACGCTGCAACAGTCTGCTCTCTCCTACACGACGCATCATGTTCTCCTCTGCGCTCAAGTCCTTCTCCAGCACCAACATCTCCTCCAACTACACCGTATCGCCGAATCCCACCTCGACGGCCGGGCCGTGGAAGATTTACGATGCCAAGAAGAAGTCCACCGGCAAGGCGTACAGCGTCTTTGCCTTTGACAAAAAGTCTCTCGACGCACACGGCAGCTCCGTCGGCAAGGGCAATGCCGCATCCTATAAGCGCAGCGTCGAGGAAGTGGTGGAGCGCCTGAAGAAAGAAGCGTCCAGCTTGGCCAAGCTGCGGCATCCCAGCATTCTCGAGCTCGTTGAGCCGGTGGAGGAAACCAGAGGCGGCGGTTTACAATTCGTGACAGAAGCAGTGACGGCGTCTCTAGCCAGCTTGTTGCAGGAAAAGGACGAACAAGAGCGCGCTGGTGGCCCTGGCGGCCGATCGAGTCGATACGTTACGGAAGATGCCGACGGCGTGCGCAGAAGGAGAGAGATTGAGATTGACGAGCTGGAAATTCAAAAGGGCTTGCTGCAAATCAGCAAAGCATTGGAGTTTTTACATGACAACGCTGGCCTTGTCCACGGTAACTTGACGCCTGATGCAGTGCTTATCAACGCCAAGGCACGTTCAGCCCACCTTTTTCAACGTACATGTCTTCTTGTATAGTTTCGACAACTAACCATGCGACAGTCTGACTGGAAGATAAGCGGACTTTCTTTCTGCAGTCCCGCAGACGGCTCGACAAAGCCTACGTCGATCCAGGGCATCAGCCTACATGAAGTCCTCAACTTGGACCCGAGGCTGCCCAAATTCGTGCAGCTAAACTTGGACTATACCTCTCCTGATTTTGTCATGGATAACAACCTAACCGCATCTGCCGACATGTTCTCGCTCGGCTTGCTGTCCGTTGCTCTCTACAATTCGCCGCATCAGTCACCAATCGAGGCCCATGGGAGCCCTTCTTCATACAAGAGAACCTTTTCCTCATCTTCCACCGTCCCAACTACCACAAACAATTATCTTTCCTCCAGACCATTACCCAGAGACTTGTCCAATCATGTGCTGCCGAAGCTCATCACGAGGAGACCTGCGCAAAGAATGACTGCCAGAGAGTTTCAACAAAGCGAATATTTCGACAATGTCCTTGTTTCTACTATTCGCTTTCTCGATACTTTTCCGGCAAAGACTCCCAACGAAAAGTCACAATTCTTGCGAGGCCTTAACAAAGTCTTGCCTTCCTTCCCAAAGTCGGTTCTAGAAAAGAAACTATTGCCGGCGTTGTTGGATGAAATGAAGGATAAAGATCTTCTCTCTCCGATCTTGCAAAACGTCTTCAAGATACTCACTCTGCTGCCGACGGCTCGAAGAGCGTTCAGCGAAAGGGTACGGCCAGTCTTGAAGAGCGTGTTTGTGGAAAACGCAAAGCAGAGCCAAGAGAAAGACCCAGCTCGGGATGCTGGTTTGATGGTCTTTTTAGAGAACATTGCAGTGATAGCCAACAACAGTAACGGCGGGGAGTTCAAAGACGGTGAGTTCTCCCCTAACTTGTGCTTGAAGACGATGTTGCTGACACGGATGCTGTAGATGTGCTGCCCGTCATCATTGCAGCCATAGAATGCCCCACGCCTTCAATCGTGGATGCAGCACTGAGAAGCTTTGCTGTGGTGCTACCTGTTCTGGACTTTAGCACAATCAAGAACGAGCTATTCCCCGTAGTCGCCATTGTCTTTAGTCGAACAAACAGTCTCGCCATCAAAGTCCGTGGACTTCAAGCCTTTGTCGTTCTATGCGGCGGCTCCAATGAATCCAGTGCAGATGACGGCGGCCTCAGCGGGCTGCAAGGAAACAAGAAGACTTCTTCGTCCAGTGCACTCGACAAGTACACCATGCAAGAAAAGATTGTGCCCTTGGTCAAAAGCATCAAGACCAAGGAACCCGCCGTCATGATGGCAGCTCGGGATTTGATGTACGTGGTCGGACAAACAGCCGATGCCGAGTTTGTGGCCATGGATATCCTACCAATCTTGTGGAATATGAGTTTAGGACCGCTGCTTAACCTCAAACAGTTCCAATCATTCATGGACCTCATCAAGACGTTGTCACGCAAGGTCGAGGATGAACAAACGAAGAAACTACAAGAGCTATCAGGATCGACCAATGGGTCAACAGCTGCTCCAAACGAAGACTTTATGGCTTTCGGCGGTCTGACAGGAACTGCTTTCGATGCCACCAACGGCGGCAACGAAGATGACTTTGAAGCCCTGGTCAAGGGCACAGCCGGCGGCTCTTCCAACGCTGCAAGGACGCCCAGCTGGGACGACGCACCGAGTGCCGCTGCCTCTGTCAATCGATCATCAACGGCCACGCCGCAGACACCATCCTTTTCCTGGTCAACTCCGCGCGCCATGAGCCCTCCCGTGAAGCAACCAAGCACCCTACAAAGCCAGCAGCCTTCTTTCCGAACAGTCACCCCCGACCTAAACCGCTTCGAAGTCATGACCCCAAGCGCAACTCAGTTCAGCCAGCCCCTGCAACCAACACCACAGCAATCGAGTTTCCAGCAAACGCCAGCGCAGTCTACGCCATCTGCACCAAACTTTGGCTGGTCTTCCACTGCGTCCACCAACAAGAGCTTTTCGCCGCCTCCCTTGACACCAAACTACTCCTCCAACATGTCCAACTCCAGCGCTACATTCGGTACCACAGGCATGGCCAGTTCCATGTCCAACATGTCACTAAACTCGCTCAACTCCCAGAGACCCGCAATGAGTGATTCCCGCGGCTCATCCTTCTCGCTGGCCCCACCGCCAGGCAGCAGCTCCGGGACATCAGGATTCAGTCTCGCACCGCCCCCGGCAGCGTCTCAAAATGCGTGGAGCTCAGCAGGCTCAGGTAGCTCGCTGTCTCAACAGCAGAAACCAATGGGCTTTGGGGGGGTTAGTAATAGCAGCCCGATGGGTGGCAGCTCTTTTGCCCAACCCCAACAACAGCAGCAGCAGCAGCAAAAGTCCGGCTTGGACAAGTATGAAAGCCTGATTTAGCATACGAGCTCTTTCCCCCCCTTGATATGTTCAATAGCGCTTCATATCTTTCTTGAACTGGTTAGATGTCTTGGAAGAACCAAGAAGGGTAGTTCTTACTATAATAAGCGGTGGAGGCAAGAGGATCTTCCTGTCAGGCAAGCTATCTGTAGCAAAGCATCATAAGCGAGATGGAAGCTTAAAAGAGTCATGAGCAGGGGATTGTTGTATAGTTTTGTTGTCAAGAAGCCGTATAAGGACAAATCGTATTTACAGGGTGACGTTGAATCTACATATTTGGAAACAAGGAAAGAGGCGGAAAGCAAAATATAGATACCATTTCAAACAAAGAAACCCCAAAGTGTCAGATCCAACGTCTATATCCATCTCCAAAAAAAGAACAAGCAAAACCAACCTCAAAAACGATCAAAGAATCTAATCATTTCCCTTCTCCCACGCTCTCTATATTTCCTCCTCAAAACTAGTTCTACTCACTTTTTCTTTTTAGCCTTTTTTTCCCGCCATCTCAACAAGGCAATAAATACCCTTAATCATAGTGCTCAAAAGCGACACTAAACACACAACACTAAGAGCCCGAAGCTGACCCCCTTTAAACCTGTTGCTTACATGACCCCGTCTTACACAAGACAGAAGACCACATAGGCCTAGGCACCATCTCATTACGGTAAAGTAACTTCCAAATCGCCCGCTGTGGTGGCCATGGCTGAACCCGAAAGTGAGAAAAGAGAAAATCTCCGAGGCATTTAAAAAAGTTTGGAAGATGAAAGGAGCAGGTAGTAGTAATAAGAAAAAAATAAGAACCCATTTTGCATTTCTACTAGTAGTAGTATAGCTCAATTCTCTCTATACGGATGAATACATGACTGACTTTGTCTAAACATCTTTCTTCTGTCTTCCTTCTTCCTCTTCCGGTCACGTCGTTCGTCCAAATTAGCAAAAGCACTTGGTCTTCTCTCAGAAAGTCTAACAGTCTCCACCAATTCCCATTGCTGTCCCCTTGTATGTGTATATCCCTAGGTAGTGTAAAAGAAAAGAAAAAGAAAAAGAGGGAACAAGTCTTTGCGGATGGAAGTGTATCAAAGCTCGTTTGATATAGGTACCCGCGAGGTTAAGAAAACAGGTGCAGGATGAAAAAAGGAAACCTGACAGAAATAAAAAAGGGCCGCGCATCAGAAAACAAAGGCCTAAACTCCATGGGGCCCCGCTAAATCTCATCTTAGAGGCGCAGAAAAAACACGAGGTATATCAGCAGGAAAAGAAAAGTGAGACGCGCAAAGAGAGAGACAAGGAAACAAGAGAAATATAAGATGGAAAAAAGACTCAAAAGGGCATCGCCTTGTGTAGAGAAGCTCGCCCACTCTTTTCGTGAATGTGGTCCAGCATTGCCGTTTGGTGTCTAATGAGCATCTTCGAGTCTTATGCCCGCTTTAGGCGTTCTTGGTGGTGCCGTTGGTCACCTTTGGGCTCCTGCTACCTTTGCCGTTCCTCGCATTCTTGACGTCTTTGCCATTCTTGACATGCTTGGAATCCTTTTCAGCCTTGGCTGAGCCATTCTCAGCAGCCTTGTTGGAGGTAAAGACATGGCGGCTTGCATAGCCGTCCTCGGTGCGCACAGTAATCTTCTGGTCCACGGGCACCATCTCGTGGACAAGCGGCCAGTCGAGCTGCCGGCAGAGCTCCGCCACAACGACGTCGCAGTCGCCCAGCAGGTCGATGTCGAAGTTGATGTGGCTGACGGCCTGGCGAGAAACGTAAATCTGGGGGATGTGCGGCGGCAGGAAGCTGACAATCTCCGAAACTGGCGTCACCTTGAGCGAAGTGCCAATGACAATGACTAAGTCCACCTTGTCGCGGTCGTTTTCCGTGAGGCGGCGCGAAAACTCGTCGGGCAGGGCCTCGCCAAAGAAGGTGATGTCGGGCTTCATGACGCCCGTGGTGGGAATGTCGTATTCCGACGTGTCGTCTGAGCTGTCGTTGTCGGTCCAGCGTCTTCTCTTCTTCTCAGCGCCGGCAGATCGCTTTCGCTTGGGCGCGGCACCAGAAGCCTTGAGGGTCGAGAGGCATCGCGTGCACTTGGGAATCTTGCCCGCCCTGATATCCGGGAAGATCTTCTCGCCTGGGATTTGGTAGCGACACTGGACGCAGCTTGCAGTTCCGAACGAGCCGTGGCACTGGATGAGCTTCTCCTTGGGCAGACCGGCCTTGACCTCTAGGTTGTCGATGTTCTGGGAGTAGTTGGTAAGCAGCTTGCCGCGCTCGTGGAGCATGGCCAAGAACTTGTGGGTGGGCGTATATCGATCGGTGGAGGGGATGATGTCCTTGGCAACCGAGTAGAAGATGGTTGGATCCTGCTTGAACGTCTCAATGTCAAAGACCTCTTGGGGGTCGTTGAGGCCCAGATGCTCCAGCTTCGAGTACAAGCCCGTGCCGGCCGATCGAAAGTCGGGGATGCCCAGAGACGTGGAAATGCCGGCGCCGGTGATGACGACGATGTTGCTGCACTTGTTGATGAGCTCCACGGCGTCCGGGACGGAGTTGTAGCGCGTCAGCTTGGCCCGCTTGGACAGCTCACGCGTAATGGCCAGCGAGAGAAGGCTGAAGTAGGCCTCGTCGGGCTGGCCGTCCAGAAACGCAGGTGGCCGGATCCCAAAGGCGCTGAGCAGCTTCTTGGCGCTGTAGCGACCAGCGTCGACTGTGCGCTGGCAGAAGACGGCCGGGCCCTGTTCGCGCAGTTCGCGACGCAGTCTGCAGGCCTCTTCAGGCGTGCAAGTGTCGGGCTCTGTGAGTTGGAGACGAGTTAGTGAGGCTTTTGGAGATTTCGGGCACTTCGCCACTGGTGCTGGTCATCACCACCAGCGGTTTTTTTGCCTTTTGTAGTCATTGTAGAGCCATCTGAGCACAAGATCACAAACTAGGCGCCTTGGCTGAGGCCACTTGGCCCTGATTCATACTAGAGAGGGCAGAAACGAAGCCACACCCACGAAAACTGCTCGCCCGCGTATTCTGCCAGCACGACAAAGCTGCCATGAGATGCAGTTTTGCGGTCTTGCGTGCCGTAGAAACAACAAAGAGATCAACAAGATGATGTAGAAATGAAGACCAAACAACAAACGAAAAACGACGAGAAATCAGTGGCAACTTACTGCCAGAATACACTCCACTCTCTTCCGTCAGTTCCTCCAGCGCATCCTCAAACAGCGAGTCCGTCTCCCACGACTCGCGCACATCCGCAACTCTCTCCTCCAGCTCGGCCAGCGAAACGTTGACGGACGCCTCTTTGATCTCTTCAATCGTCGCATTCTCAGGCAGGCGATCCAGCGCATCCAGCCGCGCCTGAGAGCGCTTTGCGAGGGCCACGCCCTTTTTGCCTGCAGGCGCTCGTTTCATTTTTTTTCCCGAGTTTCCTTTCCTTTCTTCTCTCTGTGTGATGCTCTTCTTCTTCTTCACCTTCTGCGCGTCTAGTGTAATGTGGCGTGATGTGGTTGCTTCCCAATCTCTTTGTTGGGTGAGAAGAGAGCAAACAGCCAACGTGGCAAAAAATGTAGGAAAAAAAGAGGTATGATGTGATGTATGAAGGAAACAAATCAGGCCTCAAACAAGGCCAAAAACGCCGGGACGCGGGCAACAGAGGAAACGAACACTATAATAGAGTTTTGAGAAGAATGATGTAAAGTAGAGAAAGGGAAAAACGACGGCGAGATGTGAATCAAGTGAATCAAAGTTGTGGAACCGAGCCCGAAAGTTGCCGCGAGAGGTCGCTGGAAAATGCCGAGTTGCCACGCGTTGAAAGGACGAGGATGAAGTTGATGCCAAAGAAAGGGCAGGGGTGGTTGGTTGAAGCTCAGATCAAATCTGGCCCTCTGTGTTTTTTTTTGTTTTTTTTTTTTGGTCGTTTTTTCGGCTGGTTATTGCTCTCTCCAGTTGCTCGTGATGATTAATTGGATCAAGACCAGGGAAGCGATTAAGTTACGCACTTCCCCTAAAACAGAATAAGGTCAGAGCGAAATATGGAGGGGGTGGGCAAAAAAATAATCGGGAACTGAGATGAGAAACGGGCGAAGAGATCAAACTAAAGAGAAAGGTGAGGATCCTGGGAGGTGGAAGAAGAGAAAAAGGGCACAGACGGAGGCAGAGAAGAATGGAAGGATTAGGAAAGGCAAAATGGTCTAGATTGGGTTGAATTAAAAAAAAAGAAGGCTGAGATTTGGTGGTGCTAGAAGAAAAAAAGGGAAAAAGGCCAAAGGGGGTGGAGGGAGGAGGTATGGAGTACGTATTAATAGATTAAATTAACATGGTCGTACCTTGGTAGTGGTACGTCAGGTCGACTTTTTGTTGCCTTAATGGGAACAACAACGGCGGCGACAGATAGTAATGGACAATGATGATGGCAGATGGACGGGGGTGCTTTGATGATGGTAAGCACAGAGTTGTTGAAGGAAGGAAATAAATAGCAACAGCAATAAGAAAAAACTGGACTATCGATCGACAAACGGACGGGGGGCTATCCATGGAGATGGGCAGATGATGATGAGAAGAGAAGGAGGAATAAAAGGTCGAAACGGAGACGAGCAGCAAGGAAAAAGAAACAAGCAACGAAATGAATCGCCAACAACAGTCTGGATTAAATTGGCCTCTATCCCTGACTTGTCACAATCGTCCACGTTGATGCCTTAGTATTGTGTGCTAGCAGTAGTGTGGTGTTGGGATTAGGTATCAGCAGCTGCTCTGCACTCATAGTCAAAACAGCCAAGGTGAGAAAATAAAAAGCAACAAAAATGGCGGTCCATCCGGCTCCTCTCCTTGGGAGCCAAGCTAGTGTGACCATTCAGAGACATACATGACATTACATATTACTACTTGTGTACTTATAAGACGCATCCATGGCGTTGCACGCACTGTCCAGCACCCTCTTTTTCCCCATCTTTTCTTCCCTAACATGTCTATTCAGAGCATTACTCGCTAGAAAAGACAAAGACAAGAGGTGAATAATAGTTGTCAAA